TTGAAGCCAAAACAATTGATAGTGACCACTGACCATGCTCAATTTAGCTACATTTTAGAAACTTCTTTATCATGCTACTAAATTTAAATTGTTATCAAACCAAATATGAGCTAGCTAACTTTACCTTATAAAAAAAAGTAGTATCAAAATTTACCTATATATATAATATCTTATGTCCATCTCCCATGTAAATCGCGACCTGAGCTCGAAACTCGCCTCCTGACCGAATCTCTAAGGAGGAGTGCTCACTTCCCCGTTAGAGGAGTTTCATACTCAGACATATCCATTTTCCTATTTTCCTTGATTATTTATGTTCAGCTGTATTCACAAGATATGGAAAGAAAGGCGAATGTTATCATACTATTTTAATATTCAATTTGTTTGTTTTTTTACTTGACACAACTATGCATCTTTTCTCTCCGGTTAGTGTCAAATAGTAAAAAAAAAAAAGTCGTGTACCACACTAGAACCTAAATAGTGCATACTTAAATGTTAAAATATGGTTCAATATTTCATTATTATTTATTTTTTAGCAAGTCAAAACTTATAAATTAAACATTATCTCTCGCTGCAATACGGGGAGTTTTATCTAGTATATTCAGAAATTCACAACAGCTAGCCCTAGCCATTCATGCAAAATCCTTTAATTAGACCTGGCCCAGTTTTATGCATAGCCTCACACAGTCCACATTCTGGCCCATGATAGGCCCAACTGCATTTAATTTTTCTCTCCCAATTTGGGGCTCAACATTATCAAATATCATTGACTCATTTTGTGCTTAATTATGTGTCCTTGTGTTGTACAGTTAGCTCAACTAACAACACACCACTAGCATAAGCCATTACATCTCTTATCATTATCATTGCCTCTTTGGCATGTTCATGTCTGCATCCATGGACAAGAAAATAATTGTCTTGCATGCTTGGAATTTTGCCCAACTTGTAGCTAATAGCTTGATCTGTTAGAGGGGCAAAAAAAAAAGGGGAGCAATTTGGAAAGATCTTATATTGATATAGTCCTCCCTCCGTCCCATTTTAAGTGTAGCTATAGTTATCCGTGTCCAACCTTGACCGTCCGTCTTATTTTAAAAAAAATTAAAAAAAATTTAAAAACATAAGTCTCGGGTAAAATACTATTCATGTTTTATCATCTCATAACAACAAAAATATTAATTATAAAAAAATTTCAAATAAGACGGACGATTAAAATTGAACGCGAAAACTTATGGTTGTACTTAGACAGAGGGACTACTACATAGCAGACGACATGAAATGCTTAGCTTTTTCAGTTGGCATTTCATGGTTACGGAAGCACATGGGTCTCATCAAGCTGTGCCCTTAATTACCTACAGATTAGAGGCCATGGCCCTTAAGTACATGGACCATCTAATTCTAAGCACATGTGACCCCAAAATTCGGATTTCGTACAAGCGTGTGAAGCTTTTGGTCTTGTTGTTCAACAACCAAATAATGATACTACTAGCTCAAGGTTAGTTAGAGAAAAAGAAAGAGAAAAATATACAGATATATGGTTTAATAATCTGTCTGAATAAACACTCAAAGCTTGCTGCTTTGTTCAGACTCTGACCAAAATGTAAACTTCAAGTACCAGTTATTTGCATGAACCTGACAGAAAACTTAGATGAAGCAAATGTCATGTGTACTTTACCTTCAGAAGATGCAACGGCAATACCAACACAGCCATCATCATATAATGTATGCTTCATTAATTAGTTTTTAGCAAGTTGACAATTTGTTTAGCACCCCAAAACACAACAGTGTTCTTTCTCTAGATGCAATAAGCTACTAAAAACGACAAGCTTGTTTATGCAAATCTTACCAGTCGTCACCTATTTAGGCATAGGTCAACTACCTAACCTACTTGGTCTGCTATGATTTTATTATGCTGCTGTCTACCACTGCTGCTGCTACTATGATACTATCCCACCATGTGAAGAACACTGTACTCCATGCCACTGTCTTATTTGTTAATCAATCCAATTTAAAACTGCTAATTGCGGTTTCATCTTTCCAACTTCTATTGAAACCTTAGATTTTATTTTAGATAATGGAAATTAATTCAGCCTTAGCTTCATAGAAACTACAACTGCAACTCACATTACTGTGGTTGAAAATAGAAAATTGCCAAGGAAACTAAATAAAGCGACACCATGTAGATGGAGATTATACAATCAGAAATTAATCCTTATTACTAAACATTCATCCATGGTGACGAAAATCTTGTATCCTTGTTTCCTTCAATAGGGCCCAGAATCGAAACCAACACTTTTGATTTTTATTATAGTTTGTGAAATGAGAGATAGTTAATTACTTGGTACATATATAATGTGCCAATAACAACCGTGCACGGTAAGAACATCCCACACTGGAACCAAACTAAAGCTCAAATCAAGATTTGTGTAGGGATTTGTTGAAATGACAACACTAAGCGTGCACACTAATACCCATATAAACAAGACAGTAGAATCTAAAATTTTATCCTCACTAACGATCTGCTGCTCGTTAATGGGAGACAAGTGTGCAACACATCACAGTTTGATTACTTCATCCGAAGAAAAGTATCATCATCTAAAAGACACCTTTTTGCTCTCTGCTCTTGTCTTCCTCCATAACAGGTAGCTAGCACAAACACTCGATTCTATCAAGCTGTATAATTAAGCTTAGTGCCTGCATTATCTTGATCTCCTCAAAAGCAACACCACACGATTAAATTTGTTTAGCTCATCTATCTGAACAAACGATAAAAAAGCAAAAGTTTTGTTTAGGTAGTAGTACTGAATAGAACTGGTTGGTTGATACAAACAACATGTGGTTTACGCTTATGTACTACACCATACACCACATGGATCTTGACATGTTAGGGAAAATAGCTTGTAGAAACTAGTAGAAAGCAGTGAACATAAGCTGTCACAGTTTATCTAGAAGCAATTACAATAAACTGAATTCCTGAAAAAAAAAAAAGGATATTTGAACTGAATAGGTCAGTGTCCCATTTCTTCCTTAATGACTTTGTTTGTGCTAAACCTTTCAAAACACAATTGACATATCCTAAATATATACTTCCTCCGTCCCATAAAAAACTAACTTAGAATAAGATATGACTTTTTTATATAATAAAACTGATTTTTTTTATGCGACTAAGAGGGTATCTTAAAAGTTTGTTCGGAAGGATATCGATTTTTTAAGATGGCCCTAGCTAGCCCCTAGTTGGCTAGGTAGGTCATGTGCAAGCCGTGCCTTTTTCTCCTTGGAAAGACATGATCCGGATCCTTGTGAAGGAGGACATACATGGCCATGTTATCATGCTTCATGCCCCGACAAGTGGGCCCCACCGGATCAAAGCCATGTCACCAGGGTCCATGATCCAGTCAAAGACAGAAAAAAATGAATAGTAAAACTCATCCTCTGGCCTGGTCCAAAGTCCAAACCTTCGGTAGGTTGTGCTAATTAATCAAGTCAGTGTCATTAGGACATTTATTAATTGCTTTTCTAGAATGGTGTTTTCGTTACGTTGATGTTATTACTGCTTCCTCCGTTTCACGATGTAAGTCATTCTAGCATTTCCCACATTCATATTTGATGCTAATGAATCTAGACATATTTTATTTATATTTATATATATATATATATATATATATATATATATATATATATATATATATATATATATATATATATATATATATATATATATATTCATTAGTATCAATATGAATGTGGAAAATGCTAGAATGACTTACATTGTGAAACGAAGGGAGTACTATACACCATTAAAAAGATTCTAAATTGTGTTTATTGTAAGAATAATTGGGGTATAAATACTGTCTCCAGATGGTATCAAGCATGAAATGAGTAGACAACAAGACCCACCAAGAAAGCTACATCAGTTGTTGGGAACCAAAAGCTTTGAGGTAGAGGAATTGACACTTAGCAGAGACGCTATATTTTTATTTTTATTTTTGTTTACTACCTCTGTCCCAAAATAAGTGCAGCCATGAGTTTCCGCGTCCAACTTTAATCGTTCGTCTTATTTAATTTTTTTTTATAATTAGTATTTTTATTGTTATAAGATGATAAAGCTTTAATAGTACTTTACTCGTGACTTGTGTTTTTAATTTTTTTTTAAAATTTTTTAAATAAGACGAATGGTCAAATTTAGACGCAGAAAACTATGGCTATACTTATTTTGGGACGGAGGGAGTAGATCATAACCGCCCTAATTTACTTTAGCATACGTGGAGTACAAGATAATAGAGTTAGTAAAGATTTACCATGCCATATTTGACATTCCAAGCCATTAGCTTCCGAAAGTCATGTTTTACTGTTTTCACATGGAATGCATTATAAATAGCATTCACATTTGATAAAATTTAGGACACATATTCTTGAAAGATAACAATTAATTAAACACACAATATTTTTATATGTATCGCAATAGCTTCCGGTGATTTCAAAGTATATATAGTAGCTATCAACAATTCATATGTAAGATACTTTTAGAAAAAATGCAGTAAGATGCAAGTCAATCGCATGACAACTATATTGTAGACGCCAATATATATTGTTTGAGGCGTGGTTTTAAATAGGTTTAATGGTTTGCAGAATTTAATTAAACTATTAATATATTATGTAAATTCAATATCTTTCAACTGTTAGTTTTATTGTCATCTTATGGCATTTTAAGAGTTTTTAAGCTCGTTATATTTTAAAATATCTGTAAGGGTATAGCAGTCAACGACTGTTGACTAGGCGGCAATGACAAAAGAAAAAAAAGTACACTAGTTATAAAAAAAGTAGAAAAATATTTAAAGAGAGAATTAGTACAAATTTTTACAAGAGGAAAGAAAATACGGTTTATACACTTTACACGGAATAGTAAGAAAGGAAAAAAAAAATTCCCACAGTTTACATGTAGATCCAAAGTTTTTACACTAAACACCCTGAAAACAAGTTAGTTATATAAAATCACCCCCTCTCTCTCATTTCCTTCCATTTCTTCCATCCGTCGCCGGGGCTCCCGCTCCTCTGGTGTCGCCGCCGCGCCGCGCCGCGCCGCTTCTCCCCCCCAACTCATCCGCCGCTCGCCCGACGACCTCGTCGGCGGCCGGATCTACTCGGCGGCGGAGCGTCCAGGTCCAGCGCCTGGCGGAGCAGAGCTTCGCGGGCCAGCAAGCGAGCCTCTCCGGCGGCTGCGCGCTTAGGCAAGGCGAGAAGCTAAGGCCTTGTGCAAGACCAGGCTCTCCTCTCCGTTCTGCGTCGCCGTCTCCGACGACTCCACCGCGCACGACGAGCTCCAAGAGAGAGGGGGCAAAGAGGAATCAAGAGTTGGAATCGGGGAGCTTAGCGCACAGCTTTCCCAACCCCAGCGTACGGCCGCGGCCGCCGGCTTTGTCTGGCCTCTTCTGCTCCCCTCTCCTTCCTGTTCGGTTCGGCCGGATCTAGGACTCGGAGCAGAGGCTGCGCCGCGGGCTTAGTAGGGATCGATCCCCGGCGAGCTCGCCCCCCCGTGACTCCTGCCTCCTCTGGTACGGCGAAATCCAATCTGTTCTACTCTTCCTGCTATGTTCGGTGCGGAAAATGGCTAGAAAAGGAGGCTCCTCTCAGTGGTTTGTGCCGTGTGGTTTTAGTTGAGGATGCGAGGTTTGGGGGGCTTAGCTTGTGGCTTCTGTTCTGATTGCTTGATTAGGTTAGGGCGAATTTTGTGAGGGCTTTGCTGTCTAAGATTTGCTCTGTGGTAGTGGTAGTGGAATGAGAAAAAACTATGGATGCTTTCTTGTTTTTTTTGCTTGGACTTGGGGTTGCTATTACTAGCGAGCTTGTGGATGAATGAGCGTAGGTGAATTCTAGATGCAAGGTATGTGGAATGGTCAGGGCAGAGGGATTTATGCATATTGCTATTATGTTGATTCCACTTAGGATGTGCTGGATTCTCGGGATAAAATTGCTATTTATGTGTACACCTGGTAATTTTCACGATGTGTTCTTGGTTATTATTGCTATGTTAAAAATGGTATGTTTATGGATTTTCCTTTTTTTCGAGCTTTAGCTAGCAACTTTTCCAAGCATGTAGGAAGGATTTATAAGCGATAGAGAGGATCAGGATTAACTTGTATCATGTAGTGCTGTAGTAGTTTGTGGTCAATATAAGCGTAGGAGGAGCTGCTGTGCTACTCAGCAGCCTGATCCTCTTTATGATGAAGGTATAATGTGAATTTATGCATTTCAACAGAACCATTCTATGTTGCTTCTGATAACTAGTGTGTACAGTTTTAGAGCGCGGACCTCAAACTGGTTCATATTATAAGATGGACAAATTAGTTCACAAACAACTTTTGTAATTGCTGTACTATAATGGGATCTAACTATACCTGGCCATAGTCATTTTAAATCTTGCTCTCCAGTAACAGAAGTGTGCTTTCCCCATAACCTCCATTATTGCTGCCATTCAGGTTCATAGGATGCTGATACTTTGTTCCCGTAACCGCATCCATGTATTTTATTCACTTGTTCTTATCTGTAATTTTGTTTCGTTAAAACTACTGTATCAATTTGATGATGCATAATGAGTTTTACTGAGTTGCTGTTAAACATATGCAGATTTTTCAATATTAAATCAGCCTTGTTATTCCTTCAATAGCAGTTCTTGGAGATCAGATGTGATAAATATGCACACTAAAGGGGCTTCTTCTGATGTTATCAGAGTAAGCACATCTAGTGCCCCTAGTACATCAAGTCACGGTTCTGCACAAGATGACTGTGATTCTTCAGGTGATGTGTATGTATGGGGTGAAGTTATCTGTGATAACTCTGTAAGAACTGGTTCTGATACTGTAGTTAGGTCAACTGTTAGGACCGATGTCCTGCGACCTAAGCCTTTGGAATCTAATTTAGTCCTTGATGCGTATCATGTGGATTGTGGAGTTAAACATTCTGCTTTGGTCACAAAAAATGGAGAAGTCTTTACATGGGGTGAAGAATCTGGTGGACGCCTTGGCCATGGATCACGAGAAGATTCTATTCATCCTCGTCTAATTGAGTCATTAGCAGTTTGCAATGTGGATATTGTTGCTTGTGGGGAGTTCCATACTTGTGCTGTGACAACAGCTGGGGAACTGTATACTTGGGGAGACGGAACACATAATGTTGGACTTCTAGGCCATGGTAAAGATGTAAGCCACTGGATTCCAAAAAGAATTGCAGGAGCATTGGAAGGTCTTGCAGTTGCTTATGTATCTTGTGGAACATGGCATACAGCTTTGATTACAACAATGGGCCAGCTATTTACCTTTGGTGATGGCACATTTGGAGTTTTAGGCCATGGAAACCGAGAAAGCATTTCATGCCCAAAGGAGGTCGAGTCTTTATCGGGGTTGAAAACGATTTCTGTTGCATGTGGTGTATGGCACACTGCTGCCATTGTAGAAGTTATAGTGACTCAGTCAAGTTCAAGTATATCTTCTGGAAAGCTCTTCACATGGGGAGATGGTGATAAGCATCGACTTGGTCATGGTGACAAAGAACCACGACTCAAGCCTACATGTGTGGCTTCACTTATTGATTATGATTTTCACAGGATAGCATGTGGCCATAGTTTAACTGTGGGTCTGACAACATCTGGGAAAGTTTTGAGCATGGGTAATACTGTTTATGGTCAGCTTGGCAATCCTCGTTCAGATGGTAAGATTCCATGTTTAGTTGAAGAGATTGTGGGTGAAAATGTTGTGCAAGTTGCCTGTGGTTCCTACCATGTTGCAGTTTTGACAATTAAGAGCGAGGTTTTTACATGGGGAAAAGGAGCCAATGGAAGACTAGGTCATGGAGATATAGAGGACAGAAAAATACCTACACTGGTTGAGGCATTGAGAGATAGGTCTGTTAGGCACATAGCCTGTGGAGCAAACTTCACTGCTGCTATATGCCAGCATAAGTGGGTCTCTGGAGCCGAGCAGTCACAGTGTGCTTCATGTCGACAACCATTTGGGTTCACCCGAAAGAGGCATAATTGCCATAATTGTGGACTTGTCCATTGTAATGCGTGCACCTCGAGGAAGGCTGTCAGGGCAGCTTTGGCTCCCAATCCTGCAAAACCTTACCGTGTTTGTGATTCCTGTTTCTTGAAATTGAACAATGCTGTAGACTCTAGTGCAATTAGTAAAAAGAAAGAGAATGTACTTCGCGAAAGCAACTCTGATGGTAGATTGACAAAAGCAATTATACCTAGTAATCTGGATATGATCAGAAGTTTGGATAGCAAGGCAGCAAAACAAGGGAAAAAAACAGATGCACTGTCGTTTCTTCGTACACCTCAAATGAATTCGCTTCTTCAGCTTAGAGATATTGCTCTATCTGGTGGGCTTGATCTGAACAGGCCAGTTCCAAGAGCAGTGCGCACAACGGCAGTTCGATCGGTAAATACTTCTAGGGCTGTTTCCCCTTTCTCTCGCAAGCCTAGTCCGCCCCGTTCTACCACACCAGTTCCAACAACTCATGGCCTTTCTATTGGAAAAGGTGCTGCTGATAATCTTGCGAAAACAAATGAGATGTTAAATCAGGAAGTTGAAAGACTCCGTGCACAGGTATCTCTTTATTTATTTATGCACAAGTCCAACTTTGGTATCCTCTTTATTATGCGACTAAAGAATTTAATGCTGCACATATTTAGGTTGATAACCTGAGGCACCGATGTGAGGTTCAAGAACTTGAGTTGCAGAAATCAGCCAAGAAAGTACAAGAGGCCATGACACTGGTTGCAGAAGAATCTTCAAAGTCCAAAGCTGCAAAGGAAGTCATAAAATCGCTAACAGCACAGGTAAGGCCTATTAGCTTATTGTCCTCCTTTATTCATAAAAGCCATGAACCGATACTTAACTAATTAACTGTTGGACACCTGTAGTATTCCTGGCCTGTGATATATTGTGGTTAAGAATGCCAAGCTGTGTTCATGCATGTTATTGTGGTGGACATTTTAAATGTATAATCATTCTACCAGAAACAAAAGGGATATGTTTCAGTTTCACTTCACTTCCATTTTGCAAGAGTAGAAATTTCTTAATGTTATGAATTACATGCAATGTCAAAATCAAAATGTACAATACCTAAATATTCATTTTATCTTTTTTAAAAAAACTTTAATCTGAAAGAAACTTCTGTATTTGGCACCTAACCTCTCAAATTATTCATTTGAGTTTTCTTCAGTTAAGTATCACTTACTTTAGTTTTGTTATGGCTATCCTTTTCCCTGATGGCTATTGTCTGCCTTTTGCTTCGGCTTGTGCAGCTCAAGGATATGGCTGAAAGACTGCCTCCAGATCAGGGAGCCTATGATGGGAATGAATCAAAACAAATGCATTTTCCAAATGGCACAGAGTTGCATGCTGCTATCTACTCGAGCACGAATGGCATCCACCAGCTACAAAATGAGTCTATCAGTGCTTTAAACACGCCTAGCCTGAACACTGGAAGATCCTTGCATGCAAATGGAATCTCAAGTCAACATAAATCACTGGGTAGTATTAGTGAACATAGTGAAGTGAGCACTCACAGCCATCGGGTTTCAAGCCCTCATGACACTGAACTTTCAAATCGAAGGGCACGGATCAGTAGTGATGAGTTGTTCAGTGCAAGCGGTAAATCGGATGATAGCAATAACAGGGATGCTAGGTCCCTTCAAAATGGTGAAGATGGTTACAAACCTCGAGGGACAGTATCTCTGTCCAGCAACCAAGTTCAGGCTGAATGGATTGAACAGTATGAACCAGGGGTATACATTACACTGACAACATTACGCGATGGGACTCGGGATCTGAAGCGGGTGCGCTTCAGGTAAATCAGGATCTCTATCCTCTTTCTTAAATCCTGTCATGGTGGTTAGTTTTTGTTTGCCCCTTAGTAAGATATGGTATTTCTTGACTAAAATAAAAAAAATGCTTTCGCAAATCACTGTGAACCTGACAGTTGGTTTATGTTTCGGGATATGCTCCACAGTATAAAACAGAATGGTGTGTTATTCCTTAATTCAACTATTTAATCAACAGTCATACTATAGTTGCAATGCAAAGTAAGCTGCCTCTTGGTGTCTTTTAACACAGCAAGTGCCCCTCTAGGCTCTAACGTGCACTATGAATGGTGCAGTGTTTGTGCTGGGATCATACAACATTTCATACGCAATGCCCAATTCAACTCACTTCTCTTATCCTTGCAGTCGCAGGCGGTTCGGGGAGCATCAAGCAGAGAACTGGTGGAACGAGAACCGGGAGAAGGTATATGAGAGGTACAACGTAAGAAGTTCCGAAAGAGTCTCGTCAGCAGCATCAACCCGGTCAGCTCGATGACATGAGGATGGCATGCTGCTGGACTGGCTGGAGGAAGAACATGAAGTGAGGCTCCAAAGCCATAGTTAAAGAGGCCTTGCAACTATCTTTTGCAAGGCCTTGAAGAGAAAAATTCTTTTTTGGCCCTGTAGTGTGGATAATTATTCTTATTTTTCATCCATGATCGTCCAAGGGGGGATTGTGGTTCTCTGCCCCAATGTCACTCATGTACATAGAGCTGTCAAACAAATTTAGGGAGGGCTGTGAAACTATTAGGGAGGACTAGCCCTTTCTTTTCCCTTTTTGTGTGATGATGAATTAATTGCTGAATGGCGAATGCAGTGCAGGTGTAAAGATTCAGAGAAATTTTCTGCAACCATTTTCCATCCTTTCTATGTACATGATGCCGATGATACGAAGTGAAGCCTTGGTAGAATTTCTGGAAATAAAACTGCTCTAAAACTGCAACTGTCTATGTACATGATGCTGATGATATGGAGTGAAGCCTTGGTAGAATTTCTGGGAATGAAACTGCTCTAAAACTGCAACTACTAGACACTTCAAATTATTTTTTAGAGGAGCCAGAGAAAAACTCTCAAATCCCGCGGGAATTGCACTGCCTTCTTCAGAAAACCCCACAGTATCTTACAAAATTCACGTACTTCCTCTATGAAATGTCACATCCGGTCATCACTTATATTAGGACGGAAGGAGTATGAATTTTGGAGAACCCCTATAGAATTTGGTTCAATTTTCTATATAATTCAACTAAATTTCCTCCATTCGAAAGCAGAGCAAAGTTGGAGGAAAGAATTCCAACAAGAATCACGAACTAGCCATACGGCCCAGGGCCCACAACAAAAGTGGGCCCCATCCATAACTGACATCCCAGAAATGGAGTAGGCTTCGTCTCCTCCACCCCACCCCAACCCAACCCAACCCAACCCTTCTCTCCACGCAGGCGCAGCGGAGTAGGTGAAGGTGAAGGTGAAGGTGGAGGTGACCATGCCGCCGCCGAGCTCGAGGGAGTCGCTCTCCGTCGCCATGGCCGCCCGCTCCCAATCGCAGCCGCACCTCGACTTCCCCTCCCTCTTCTCCGACCTCACCTCGCTCCTCCTCCAGCACCCGCCGCCTCCCTCCTCCTCGTCGTCGCCTGGCCCCGTCTTCTCCTCCTCATCTCTCTCCATCCCCGCGCCCGCGCCTGCGTCGGCTGCCGTCGCCGCCACGGCGCCTCCCACCCCGCTCGCCCGCGCGGCCATCGGGGCGTGCGCGGGCGCCGCGGCGGGGGCCTTCACCTACGCCGCTCTGCTCCCCATCGACGCCGTCAAGACCCGCATCCAGGCCGGCGCCGCCGCGGGGGGGTCGTGGCAGGTGTTCCTCGACATCCTCCGAACCGACGGGCCCCTGGGGCTCTACCGCGGCCTCTCCGCCGTCATCCTCGGCTCCGCGTCCTCCTCCGCCGTCTACTTCGGCACGTGCGAGCTCGCCAAGTCGCTGCTCCGCCCCCACCTCCCACCCTTCCTCGTGCCGCCGCTCGCCGGCGCCAGCGGCAACGTCTCCTCCTCCGCCATCATGGTCCCCAAGGAGCTCATCACCCAGCGCCTCCAATCCGGCGCCGCCAAGGGCCGCTCATGGCAGGTGCTCCTTCAGATCCTCCAGACCGACGGATTCTTCGGCCTCTACGCCGGCTACGCCGCCACCCTCCTCCGCAACCTCCCCGCGGGGGTCCTCAGCTACTCCTCCTTCGAGTACCTCAAGGCATTCACCCTCAAGCAACGCAACAAGGAGAGCCTCACGCCGGGAGAGAGTGTGCTGTGCGGCGCTCTCGCGGGGGCCATATCGGCGGCGCTCACCACCCCGCTCGACGTCGTCAAGACGCGCCTCATGACCAGGGTGGGCACCGAGGGGAGCCGCACCGTGGTTGGGACAATGCGGGAGGTCGTCGCCGAGGAGGGGCTGATGGGCTTGTCCCGGGGGATTGGTCCGAGGGTGCTGCACAGCGCTTGCTTCGCCGCGCTGGGATACTGCGCCTTCGAGACGGCGAGGCTTGCGATTCTCAAATGGTACATTGAAGACTGCGAGAGGAAGGCTGCAGCGGAGATGAAGGCTGGAGTAGGCGCTGCTTGAGTTTGTGAGTGCTCTTTCAGGAAAGTTGGCTGTTGATTTTGCTCCCAATGATGCCATGACTGTCTCAGGAGTTTTACTGTACCTACCTAGCTATGCTATGATGCAGATAATGCACCTGCTTAAATTGTTTGAAACTTAAGCATCCTTGAAAGTTCATTGTAGAGTTGAAGTGCACAAGCAATAAAATCAGGCCATTGTTAATGTATCATCGGTTTTGTTCAATAGCCAGCTTTGTTGGGCATAGGTTCCAGGTAATGTTTTAAAGTAACTTTTCATGCATCACCTTTTCTTTTGTGTTTGTGCGCGTGGTTGCAACTGAAGCTTGAGAAAATGGAAGTTTTTTTTTTCGCATTTTAAGCACCACGACCACACAAACCTTTACTCATGTACAGCAGTGTAACTCTCCATTGCTACTCATTTTCTGTTTTGCACCGCATTAGTAGAATATCATGCAACCTATTTGATTCACTAGCTCTTAGAAGAATCAGTGGTAGTTTGAAAATTTCCATTTAATGGATGTTTTATGATTCTACCACTACTAGATGTTTCATCAGCTTCAAATTCATAGTGATATACTGATATGCTTTGTCTCAAAAAGAAAAAGAAATCATAGTGATACGATTCAACATGAAACTCTATATAACTGCTAATGTTTGAGTGCGAGGTCTAGGCGACTAGGCATCTTATTTTAGTGGTTGCTGTTAACTTAAAGGGTACGTTTGCCTCTTTAGAGTAATTCAACAATATAGTATCAGTCACAATGCAATAAAAACATTGAAGTGTCTAGGCATTTAGTGTTTTTCTGATGTTCAGTAATGAGTTCACAGTTACTGAACATGTTTGATCATACTGAGGTAGAGTAGATAAGTTTGTGGGCACCAAATACAAGTTCACAGTTACAGAACATGTTTGATCATACTGAGGTAGAGTAGATAAGTTTGTGGGCACCAAATACAAGTTCACAGTTACAGAACATGTTTGATCATACTGAGGTAGAGTAGATAAGTTTGTGGGCACCAGATACAAGAGTGCAACAGAAATTTAACGTGCTATGGTTCATCATTTGAAGTACTTTCTGCAGAATGAATCTGCAGCATCTGGGTACTGAGCTCTGATGTAGTTCTCCAGGCACTTCTTGTAGGAGAAATCTTTTCTGGATCCATCTGAGGACATGACATATAAGCACCTACTTCCATGGAATACCTGATGCCTATCGACCTATAAGCAGCAAATGAGTCCTCATGGTTTTCCATTTTTTGGTTCATCTGACGCAGAAAGATTCAAGAAGGCAAGTTGCTTACTGTTATGTAGTTGCCGTTGCCAGCTATCTTCTTCTTCCTCTCTGGGTGGTACATGAGAACATTTGTGACAATAAACTTCTCATCATCTGGAGGAAGTTTAATACCGTCCCTGCAAAAGTATTGAGAGAGATGGACTGTAAGGGATACAACAGAAGGAACCACCTGGGCGGTGTTTGAACATACACTTAACTTCCATCTTATCATCTAGCTATCAACGTACTAGTGGTCGAAAAATGAAGAATCCTAGTACTTGTGCCTTTTCAAGTTTATTGGACCAGAAAAATACCTCGATTCACGGATGATCCTCTTTACATTCTTTGTGATTGGTTCGATTTGTTCAAATATCTGCTGCTCCACTGGTGTAAAAGCACAACTCGCTACCTGCCTCATACTGCCTCCACGGCGTGATGCCTCTGATTTCCACACTGCTCTACCACCACCTCGATTCCTATTATTGCCACTGCCTCGGTGTGATGCCTCTGATTTCCACACTGCTCTACCACCACCTTGATTCCTATTACTGCTACTGCCTCCACGGTGTGGTCCCTCTGATTTCCACACTTCTCTACCACCACCTTGACCGCGATTATTATTCTTCCTGTTCCATTCACCTGGTCGGGATGATCCTGCAATGGTGAAGTTCTGTGTGCCCGCGCTATTTGAACTATACCAACTTGGTTTATCATCTTGCTGTGTTGCATCTGAGTTCCAGTTACTCTTGGTCTTCAGTTGCCTTCTCTGGAACACCTGACCAGTAAATTCTACTGCAGTAGAATTTGGGGAACTCTTGGTGTTTCCTTCATGCCAATTTGGCTTCCTCGGATGTTTTTGGCCAGTGCTGTGCATCCCTGCCCTCCTACCCTCAGATTCCATCAGGAATTCAGCTTTTGGTTTGTCTGTCCAGGTGATCTGATTGTTTTCTTCTAAACATACTTTATCCTCTGGAATGCAGTCAACATCATATAAGCAGTAGTTATGAGGAACAATTGCCTTATCTTTAGTTGCTCCTGTTGTTTCTACTGCTTCCAAGAAGTCATACAGACCATACCCACCAAGGATACTCTTGCTTGATGACTGAAAAGAGATAAGAAGTTAAAGTGATCTTCAAAAGTCTCTGTAAATATGAGTGGTGTTAACAAGTAAAGTTGTCAAATGTACCATGTTCTCGTCATTCCAAAGGATTTCAAAAGCTGAACCAGTTCCAATTTCTGCATTATTGCCCCAAGAGCAGGCTGATACAACATTGCCCAGCTGATCGGAGTAGGCCTTCGCTGCTGCCTTCTCAAAGCATTGTATTGATCTCTGCAACATGTTTTGTTATATTTGAATTATGACCAAGACTTGGTTCTGGCTCATTTAAGTGAGGATTTCAAAAGAGATGAGAGTGCATGACTTACTGATAGTGTAGCCTCCATAAATGGTGCCTGAACCTTCAGAGATTGACATGTGGCCTTGTAGCCAGAGTTGTTGAAGCCATGCAAATCGCCTGTGCAGGTCATGCTACTTGCAACTGTTGTCAGGTGCTCTTGGAGAACTGATTTTGTAATCATTCCAACAGACTTGGAAAGGTACTGAAAGGAGCACAACACGAGCAATGTTTCAGCAGAAGTTACCTGAATTTCAGCTAAAAGGAGAAAGGGGAATAACTGAACCTGTGTGACTTTTTCGAATGCGGAGGAAATGCCAAACACCTGTCGGACTTGCTGTATATCGTACGGCATAGACCTGGTGGTGTCAATCAGATCCATCACAGGGATACATGCATTCATTGCTACTCCCCAGGCATTGCCACTCTCAGCAGCCGCAGCCTCTTCCACAGTGATTTCCAGTGCCGCCTCGCCTTTCTGTTCTGCACCAGAGCTCTGGACCCAAAATGTTGATTCTGGTTCAATCCTTACTAGGTTGGCTTCCTCAACTCGAGGATCACCTGTGAAGAGAAGGTGCAGAATTGATTGTAAGTAAGCATAATTGCATAGGACATTTTCACCATAACTGTCTGGATGTTCCTCTTGCATTTTTTTTACCTTTTATAACAGTGTCTAAAATTATAGGGAAAATGGCATTAGTCATGAAATCGATAACTCGTTCAGTAGATTCAGATATATTTTTAGTGATGCTTCCAGGGAGGAAAAACTGCAAGCAGGAAACCTGAAATTTTTTATCATCATCTGTATGTTGGTCGCACAAACTTGTGCTGCAAAGAAGAAACACATGATTTAGTTTACAACAAAAATATAGTCATACTTCCTTAAAAATATTCTTTTACTCAAAATATGGATGGTAGTCCCAAATGCATAAATACCTAATGGAAGATAATATATTTACTAGAGTCTGAACTGTGCCATAAAGAACTTAGTGGTCTAGCACTGAACATATGACTTAAATTAGTAGACTACTGGACCTGAAGTTCAGAAGAGCAGTAAATCTCTATTCATACTGTCTTTATTGCTAAAATAATAGAAGTTTGAAGCACCTTGAAATGAAAGTGACTGTCTTCAATATTTCACGCATCGATCCCTTCTTCTTTATGTTATTCCTAAAAGTCTCCTGGCATTTGTGAAGAACACTGTCCATAATTGTTTCAATCTGATTCAATTGCTTCTGTAAGAGCAAGAGAAACTTATAATCTTAGTGATTATTATGAAATGACATGGATATAATTTGAGTTACTGAATGATAGACCTTGTCAAGGTGAATATGGCCAACAAGATGATGAGCTGCTTGAGTTGCTTGCTGTTGATACCTGAAATATTATCCCAACAATTCTGAGCCTTGGACAATGTAGAACTACTAAAAGGGAAATCTAAGAAACTAATGCTGGACTGAACTGGGCAAGTTCAACGAAATGCTCTTTTTCCCCAAAAAGTTCAATAGGATGCCAAATCAATAGTTGCTGTTTAATTGCTTGCATCACATGAAATAAGTTTTGTAGATTTAGTTTAATTTATAGTCCAGGTAAAGTAGAATCAATAGGACTTGTATCTTTACATTGCAGAAGCATAAATAATTGGAAAGCCTGATAGTACATACTTGATGGATATCTCTGTGGTACAATCCTCTAATTTGATCCTCCTTAAGCAGGCTCGAATTGTGAGTGCTCTCTCCATGCATTCATTTTCACAAGAGCACTGGTTCAGATACAAAATGACCTTTCGGTGATTGGCATCAGCTTTAGTGCTTGCCCTAGTAAGCAGTACTTCCTATAACAGTAACATTTAGTAGTAAAAAAAACATATGAATTTAGTAGTAAAACAAAATTTAGTAGTCAAAATTAGTAAATTACAGTCTACATATGAATTGAACTGAGGCTTGGAGTGAATTGATCTGGTCAGCTTCTCACCTTCATCGAGTCCCAAGAAATTATATTATTCTGATTAGGAGCCAACACTGCCTTGTAAGCAGCATTTGCAACTGCAGTGGCTGCCAAGATACCAACGGGGTCACCTGGTGTCACACAATTTGATGCATCCCTTGAGCCAAACTGAAGAACTAAGTTACCAGACGAAGTTCTTATGGATCCATCATAGCATGCTGTGACATCTCGGAGTCTTGACATCATGTTCTTGAAAAGACTGCCAGGCTCCACTAGCCCTTTAGATGCACGCATTATCTTCTCCCTTTCACATATAGAATGAAGTAGAGCCTCATATGGGTTTAGTCCATGGTAAATTGAGCTCCTTACAGTACCATATTCCTCTAGAGGGTTGCAACAATTGGTACTCCCGCAACATCTGTGCAGAGACTTAGACAGGCAATCCTCCACTAACCTGCTACTGTATAGTCTTCCGTTGTGTTGTAGTTGAGGCCCCAGGAAACCAAGCTGCTCCACTACTTTGTTCATGTTGGAATCACTTTTGGGATCAACCAACAGTCCTATGGCAGAAGAATGGGTTATGAAATCCATAATTGGTTCCCTGTACTTATTTAGCTCAAGTGGATTATTTTGAATAGCTTCCAGAATTGGACTTGGGACAGTGAAATCTCCCAAATTTATGCTGAAGCAATCAATAAGCAGTGACTCCATTAGTAAGGGCTGCAGAAGATTCAGAAATTCTGTGGCCTCCCTTGGACCCTTTGTAGAAAGGATCGATGAGATGGTGGTACCAGTAGCTAAGGCTCCAACAGATTCTCTGTCAAGATGGTCTGCCAGTGTTATTGCATTAGATTTAGTGGTCTCTAGAATCTGAGGAAAGGTCCAGTAAGGTCCACCAATCAGTGGCTTCTGGGGGTACATCCCTGATGAGAACATTGCATTTGTAATTTGGTTTGCTTCCCTCTCAGAATACTCCCTACCACACATGATCTTCAGAGCTAGTGAGAAATCATTCTTGAACTGAAAGTTCAGTTTCCCATTATGGGAGCTCACCAGCTGCTTATCCACAGTGTATAGCTCTTTAGCTTCAGCTCTTGCTGAAAGCGACCTTGGGTAGAAGATTTGGACACAGTCACCATCAAAATCTGCTCCAAGTGGGTCACAAATGAGTGGGTTGATCTTTATGGTGTGATCATTGTGGACTTGGACATAGAAGGCCTCAACTGAGTGCTTATCAGTGCTTGGTGGCCTGTTGAGGAAGACAATATCCCCGTCGAAAACCCTTCTGTTGACAATTTCGCCGACCTTCAGTATGGTGTGTTTCTTGTTCGGATTGTCCTTCCCTGCATCCAATGAGTACGTGATGGAATTGGCATCTGTATATGTCAAACATAGTCCTTTATTCATCATGTCTTGCAATTGAGCAATGTTGTGGTCTGTGACTTTTTCTTCTACTGACATTCTCTTTGCTACTTCCTCAGGCACCCCAACAACATTGAGACCAATGTATGGATCACCAGTAATCACACCACGGGACGAGAAGCTTGAGCTCTTACTGATGAACAATGTCTTCATTTTTTGCTTCCATTGCATTGCTGTTGGTTGACTTGTGAACGTGTCATCTCCGTGACCCTTCAAGAGACATACGATGATGATAAATTTATGAAGATGCAATTATGATGAAGAAGGTAACCTACACTTTATTTACTAATGAATCATGTACCTTTGTTGTTCCTCCGAGGTTGATGTAGTTGGCAACATCGACCTGAAGATCATCTGCAACTTGATCCACTTGGATGTTTGAGGAACCAATCCTTGAACCACGAATCTGCTGTATCTTACGTAGTGCTTTCCTTAATAAGTTTGTCGATGTGCCCTGATTAAAGAAGGGACATAAATCACTAGGTCAGTGGTAATGACATCTAGAAGGGAAAAAGGCAAAAAGAACTTCTAAACTTCAATCAAATAGTGTTTGATTAGGATGAACTTACTGAACAGCTGAATGTATTTCCATCCAAAACATTGGAAACCCTCAGGCAGTTTGGTGGGACGCAGAGATAGCTCAGTATAAAACCATCCTGAGGAATATATCCCCTAACAGAAAGCCACCTTCTTGTTTCTTCAGGGATCTTCTTTATGATGTTTTGGACCTGACAAACAGAAGAATAAAATGCGAAGGGGGACAGATAGTAAGATAAATGTGTGCAACAATTTCTATATGCAAAGCTACTCTATGTAAGTTCTGAAACTTATGCATTTATCTTTGCTTTGTTCCAATAGGGGTGGCTTTCGCAACATGAGCAAGAGTACCTCTTCTGGGAGCAAAGGACGACAATGAGAGGTACCCCTCGTGCAACTGCCAAACTGATCAAGGAAGCTCCAGAATCCCTCTTCCAGTTCTTTCTTGATAGGTGCTCTCAACTCCAAGCCACGGGCACCATTGGACTTCTTGACTTCTGCAACGCACAGCGGTGGGAGCTCCTGGAATAAGATGGATTCAAGAACTAATGATGCCTGTTTGCATTACTTGGCTTTTCACAGTTGAGGGAAAAGCAACATTGACCCCTAAGAAACATAAATGGATGATCAGCTGCAAATTACCTGACAGTGTGAACATGAAGTGAATTTGCTTCCCTTAAGAGTGCTCTTCTGTTTGAGTTGTTAAGTGCAGAAACATGTGTTAGCGATGACAATATAGTATGGCTTATCGCATATGCTGATGATATGCCTGAGCATGGTTTTTGCAGTTGTACCTTTCTGTTCTTGATCTTGAGGCATCTCAGGCATATTAAGTTGAGTATCTGGCTCAGCTCGGTGACATGGCTCGGGTGGAAGATGGGCATGGGCAGCTCAATGAATCTGAAGTGACCTTGGAATCAATCATCAAAAAATGAATTTTATTTCCATCAAAGGTACACAACAGAGTGAAGAGTGAGCACTGTCTCTGAAACTGTTCTTTGCAATATCTTTTCTTTTTTTTTTCCAGAAACAGATTTTCAGACATCATGCCATGCAAAATAAACAGTGAATAACTTCACAAAACTTGCTTTCATTTGCACCCGTTTGGAAATCTGAAAGTTATTGTCCAATGCAGGATCGCACAAAAGAGATTGCGACTGACTAGCATACCCTCGCATTCTTCGATGGCGTTGCTGCCACACGACTGACAGCTGCCGACTTGCAGAGGCAGGCCCAAGTATGGATTGTTCAGCAGCTGGCTTTGATGCGTGATGGGGATCGGCTTCTCGAGCTCGTTCACCGGCTGCGCCTTCAGCTGCCGAATACACAGGAGTCACAGCAATGGGTAAAAGAATATGATACCAAATACCATTGGCAGGTGAAGGTGATGATGGTTTGACAGCTTACAATTTCCTCGTTGCTGGTGATACTCAGGTTGATGCGTCTGATCGAGGCCTCGGGGATCATGGCAGTAGCAGCAGATGTTGGATCAGGATGACCTTCCATTTCTGTACGACTGTACCTGTGGAGGCAGAGGTTAGTATGCAATCACTGAAACCAAATGGTTCGTATGATCAGTGTCATGTCCAACCAAAAGGAGAATCAAACAACTAGATATCAACCGAAGAACCCTAGAACATACCTTTGTTTCTTTTTTTTTAATATGGTTATGGATGGACAAGATCAAGAGCTTGCTAGTCGATCAATGGCGACCTCAGATGCCAAACAAACACAGGAATGAAGTTTTTTGGGAACTGTATTATCTACTGGTTTTTACTGTGTTATACAAACCTCTTCTGTAACTGTAACCAACCGGTAGCCACCCAAAGTGTAAGTGTCAAGTATTGAGAAAGCTCAGAACTCAGAAGGCAGGAGGCCTCTCTTTTACTCACTCAATACTCAACAGTCAACACGCATCTTTTACTCTCTCTCTCTCTCCATCCAACTTTGGTATCTTGCCTACTCCATATGTTCTATCTACTTTGTGAATAAGGGTGAGGCCTACATCACTGTGTATTTTAGTTGTTGTTGTAATTACAATGGTGAAAGAAGAAAACAGTAAAAAAATGTAAATACTCCATGTGGGGCTTCTTTTTTTTACCGACGTTTAATTTCCATCCTTTCAATTCTGAAAGTTTTACCTACCAAAGCAGTATAAAAATCTGTAAATACTCCACGTGGGACCAATATTATATTTTAAATAATCTAAATATTTAACATCAAAGTTGTATAATTGTATTTGTTATCAAGAGCACTTTACTAATATTTCATTTCCTCTATCCTAAAATATAACCATCTGGCATTTTAATTTTATTTTAGAATATATCAATTAATCATCTCTTATTTCATTCCACCTCTCTTTAAATTCTGCGAAAATCAGTACTCATTTAATTTCACCATTCCTTAATCCCCATGAAAACCATCACTTATTTAATATCACTTCTCTCCTTAATCCCAGTAAAAATCATGTCTTATTTAATTTCACCTCCATCCCCGTAAAAAAAAAGGAAGTACAGAAATGCTCATATTTTTTTAACCTAGCGAGTACATTTAAATAAGAAATAGATCAATACCCCGCTGCGTTGCTGCGGGAAATTAAGTTATATAATATATACAAATATGATGCAATATGATTATTAAAACTAAAACAAATTGATACTTATGAATTTTGAGTCTATAAATTATTGAGATTGTATGGTGTTATGAGAGAAGAAAAAAAAGACAATTTGAACCATAAATCCATCATCCAATGGCTAAAAATAATTCGGATGATGTGGCTTAATAAGAGAAAAGAGAAATAGCAATAACTATATTTAGTGGGGATAAACTTACAAGTATACAGAGGATTACTTTCTTTCCGTGCTAGTTCGATCACCCCTTAAGCAAAGGCCGTACCAAAACCTCCATCATTCTAAATTAATCATTACTATCGATTAATATGCTTCGTCGCTTCTTATCTAATAAAAATCACTTCGCATTGGGTTGAATCAATAGAAATTAATTTTAAATGTTGTATGGGTTGAATCAATAGAAATTAATCTTTGGTTGGTTGCATGTATAAAGTTACATATATGCAGTACATATTTACTCTTGTATAAATAAACAAAGAACCATTGTGTCATATGATGATTATTTTTTTAAAAAAACACAAATAATAGGTGATGATCAAACTGATGGGGGGAGTAACTGTCAAAGCTCATCAATGTCCCTCGCAAAAAAAAAAAAAAAAAAAAAAAGCTCATCGATGTCACCATTTAGGGAGAAGTATACCCAAGGTCCCTCAACTTGTCATAAAAAACATCCTCAGACCGCAAAATCATATATGCGAGGTATCTTAACTATACAAAACCGGTCACCTGAGATTCTTTGGTGGTTTTGACCCCGGTTTTGATACGTGGCAGCTGAGTCAGCATGAGACCCACGTGTCAGCGTGCCACGTCAACTTTCCCCTTTCTTTTTTCTCTTCTTTTTTTTTTTTTACTTCTCTTTGCCGTGGGGGAGTAGCAACGCGCGGCGGCGAGCGGGGCTGAGCGGCGGCCGGCGGAGGCGGGGTGCGAGCGTGCGGCGGCCGGCGAAGCGGAGGCGTGAAGCGGCGGTGGCGGCAGGCGGCCGCGCACGCGGCGGCCGGCGGATGGGGAGCGACGGCCAGTAGGCGGAGGCGGTGGAGGTGGCGGCCCTCCTAGCGGCGGGCATGGTGGTCGTCGGCGTCGGCGTGCCCCGCGCCCGCTCCTCCCAATGGGATCCTCTCCTCCTCGTCGGCGTCGTCATCCCCCTCGTCCCCGCCGGATCCCGCCGCGGCGCGGTGGCCGGCGTCCTCCTTCTCCTCCGCCGCCGCATCGAGGGCGTGCCCCTCTTCTCCCTCCCAGCCACCTCTGCCCGGGTCGGCACGCACGCCTCCAGCACTTTCAACTCCTTCTGGCCATCGTCGTCGGTGCGTGAAATTTCGACAATTTGTACCTGTTTTTCTTTCTTTTGTTCAGTTTCTTGTTTCGAGATGATGAACTGGTTTCACTGAGATGATGCTTGGTTTGATCTCTGGTGATGCAGTGCTTTCGGTGTTGAGCATTGCTGGATCAGTCGCCATTGTTTACCTCATGTACAGATGTGTCAAGAAGAATGGCCTCCCGGCCGTCAATATCAACACCAACACGAGCTTCGCGCCGGGGACGGCCCGGCGGCGATGTACACGGTGGTGCCGGACTCCCAGATACGCAACGCCACCATCGAGAGGTTTCTTAAAGAGATCGCCGGCGAGAAGCCCATCCGGTTCACGGCGCAGCAGTTGGCCGGATTCACGAACAACTACTTGGCTCGGCTCGGCGCCGGCGGTTTCGGCACCGTGTACAAGGGCATGCTCCCGAACGGTCACATGGTCGGCCGCTGCGCGCTCGGCCGCCTGCCGCCACCGCCGCTCCGCGCCTCCGCTCCATTCCGCTTCACCGGCCGCCGCGCGCTCGCACGCCGCCTCCGCCGGCCGCCGCTCAGCCCCGCTCGTCGCCCGGCCGTCTGCTCCCTACCTGTCGGTTGGCCTGCGATAGAAGAGTGGCAGAGAGAGAGAGAGGGGAGGAAGGGAAAGAAGAGAGGAAAGGGAAGTTGATGTGGCATGCTGACATGTGGGGCCCACGTGGGTCCCACGCCCACGTAGGCTAAAACCGGGTTAAAATCACCGAAGGACCTGATATGGCCGGTTTTGTATAGTTAAGGGACGCCGAATATCTGGTTTTATGGTTCGAGGATGTTTCTGTATCCCGATGACAAGTTGAGGGACCTTCGGTGTACTTTTTCCCACCATTTACTGCCAAGGCTGGGTGCGGAATAAGTACATATGAGGTCCCTTAACTTTGTCAATGAATCCGATTTTCGTCCTTCAACCAGAAAACCAGATACAACGGGTTTCTCAACTATCAAAACCAGTGCAGATGAGGCCCCTCGGCGGTTTTGAGGGTGGTTTTGGCTGACGTGGCGCCTACGTGGCAAATTTGACTTAGTCTTCTTTTGATGTGGCATTGACGTGGCGCCATACGTGGCAATTTGATCCGGAAAAATAATAAACTTCATGGGACCCACATGTCAGTCTCACACATAAATCAATAAAAGAATGGTGGGGCCCACGTGGGCCCCACATGTCCTTCTCGGCTCTCGTTTCTCTTCCTCTTCGCTCTTCCTCGTCCTCGCAGGAGCGGCGGCAGGAGCATGCCGGCGGACGGAGCGGCGGTGGGGCGGAGGGGCGGGCGGAGCGGCGATAGGCCGCGGGCAGCGGAGGTTGCCGGAGGAGGAGGAGGTCACCGGCGAGCGCGACAGCTACACTCCGTCGGCCGCTCCGCCCGCGATGCCCAGCCGGACGGCACCGCCCCTCCTCGCTCGGTAGCCGTACGCGTCGCCTCCCTCCTCGCCCGGCCACCTCTGCCGATGTCCTCGATGGTCATATCCGGGTCGGAGCTCCTCTTCGTCGCCCGGCCGTCGAGCGACGCCTCCCTCCTCGCCCGACCGCCGTGCGTCGCCTCTCCTAGCCGGGCCACCGAGCGCCGCCTCCCTCCTCGCCTGGCCGCCTCGCGCCGCCTCTCCTAGCCAGGCCGCCGAGCGCCGCCTCTCCTTGTCAAGCCGCCGCGCGCTGCCTCCCTCCTCCCTGGGCCGCCAAGCGTCGCCTCCCTCCTCGCCGGGCCACCGCGCGCCGCCTCCCTCCTCGCCCGGCTGCCGCGAGCTGCCATCCCTCACCAGGACACCGCTCGCCACCTCGAGGATGGGAGAAGGGAGAGAGAGGAAGAAGAAGAGGGGCTCTAGTTGAAGAGAGGGAGATGCTGAGAATGACATGTGGGGCCCACGTGGGCCCCACCATTTTTTTATTAATTTATGTGTGAGACTGACATGTGGGTCCCACGAAGTTTATTATTTTTTCGGATCAAATTGCCACATATGCGCCACGTTAATGCCACATCAGATGAAGACCAAGTCAAATTTGCCACGTAGGCGCCATGTCAGCCAAAACCACTCTCAAAACCGTCGAGGGACCTCATATGCACTGGTTTTGATAGTTGAGGGACCCGTTTATCTGGTTTTTTGGTTGAAGGACGAAAATCGTACTCGTTGACAAGTTAAGGGACCTCAGATGAACTTATTCCCTGGTGTGCCGATGGCCTGTTGCTCTGCTTGGCCCACTAATGAACTTGTATGGGCCCAATTATAGTGGCAGTAATAGTTGGGCCTAATTGTAGTGACAGTAATAACTGGGCCAAATTTTAGTGGCAGTAATATTTTGGGCCCAATTATAGTGGCAGTAAAAAAAAAATGGGAGAATTGCATATTTGCCACTACTTTCACCCCCTAACTCAAAATAGCCATTATAAAATCATGAATTGCAAATTTACCACTGAAAACAGCATGAGCAGATTCCGTATGCCATTGCCGTTCCAATTTGTACGAGTAAGAGGACAAAAATAATTCATGAAATTAAATTAAAAAACAAGGCAACGTGATAAGACCATGTTGCCCTTGCCAGATTCGACCTTATCCGCTTTCTTCCCCAACTCTACCGCATCAGAAACATCTGCTCGAACTTCTCTCCTCTCCCACGATGAACCCTACAAGCCCAATCCTCTCATCCCTTCATTCAAATCAGGAGCAAATCGATCAAAAATCGGTCACTTGGGAGTAGTAGATGCCAATGAAAGAGGTGCAGATTTCAACGAGTAGTGCAGTAAGGCAAGCAGCGGCTTGCGGCGCGCGGCTCCGGCAGGTGTCGGCGTCGACTGCCGCGCTTGCGGCTGCTTGGCGACGGCTACAGCAGGCTGCATCAGGCTGCGGAGGGTGTCGGCGTTGAGTGCGGTGGGCTGCGGCGTCGGCTGCTTCAGGCGGTGTGGTGGCTACGATGGGCAGTAGCAGAAAGAAACGTATATACTCTATACTGAAATGGTTGTGACCTGCTATCTCTGTCTATCGTGTAGGCATTTAGATGTAGATTTTCATCTGTTCCTTGTTGATCTACTAGAATATTTCTCCTTTTTTTTTTGCTTATCCTGTAGGAATGGCCGAGGTTCTTGACAGCCATTGTTAGGGTTAAGTCTTATTTCACCACATCGTTTTTTTCTTTTTGTCAAAGGGCATATGTTAAAGGAAACAATGTCAAAATTTCTATCGAAATGATGCTAGTTGACTATGTTCTTGCTTGCTGCCTCAAATATTGTTTTATTGATGCCAAAATGTTGTCAATTTCACAATTTCATGGGCAAGGGCATCCTTGTCCTAATTTTCATGAAAACCAGCCATCTAACGGTGTTAGTCTAAGCTGTTAGTCCAGTGGCAGTTATGTTAGTTTCATACTGTTTTTGATGGCAAATTTACAATTATAGTTTTTTTAGTGGCAGATCCACAATACCTGATCAATCCAGTGGCAAATATGCAATTGGCCCAAAAAAAATCTCTGTGCGTGTGACTATAATTACGTGGCTTTCCTTCCTGAAGCCGTCCTCATCGTCATCATCTCGTCCCCCCTCTTCCCGGCGCGGCGGTTGCTCTCCAGCCATGGCCGCCGCCGCCGCCGCCGCCGTCGCCTGCGGCATGTCTACGTCCTTCCTCATCCGCCTCTCGCCTTCGCCGCCGGCGTCTTCCCACGTGCCTCTCCCTCGGTCTCCGGCTTCGTCGGCGCGCCCGCGGCGAGCGTCTTCCGTCTCCCTCTCCACCGCGCCTAGGCCGAGGGCACGCGCCGCCGGCTCCGACTCTCCCTCCAACTTTGGGTACGTGATTCTGCACTCGGTTGGCTCCACGGGGTGTTGTTCTTCGTGGCTGCGGTTGACGTGATGTTTTGTGGTCTCCCCCATTGTGTTTGTGCCAATGCGTGGTAACAATGGCGGAGAACTCGTATGTCTGCGAGTAGCCCCCAGCTTTTGGCCGGCCGCCATCGCCCTGAGACATGGTCAGCGCGTGCGAGATGCGAGATATGAGAAGGAGCAGTGTCGACCACCCGAGTCTTAGCCGAGCGGAGGCCGGAGGCCTGAAGCTTTGGGCGGCGAGTTGGCCACCGAGGTTCGTGGCGGTGTGTGCGGCGGCCGTACGGGGTGGCACACCGGCGTGTGGAGGGGAGCGAAATACTGTAAGAAATAGAGGACGAGGCATTTCCCCAAATATTGCGGTATTTGCTAGATTAGTGTCTTGGAGTTGGATGCTAAATTTTGGGTAGGATATGTTCAGATATGTCAGAGAAATTACAATAGCGCTCTAGCAGAATCTGTAGACTAGTAGCATGATTCCCCTTTTACAGTATCACTATGGAATGGAAGAATTTTCTGTTAAAATTTTACTTCTAAAATCTCAATCCAAGAAATTTACATAGGAATTAGTCTTCAGTCTTTTCTTAGTGTAGTTCCTATTGATGTCCTATTACTTTGTGATTTTTTTTCCTGCGCTGCGCGTTTAATGTTCAATAAAATGAATTTTAATCTATTGCCGATGCAATCTTGAATGGCGTTGGCACTCACCGCGCCTCATTTTCCATACATCCTCTGCCAGCGACGACGCCGTGCCACACATCACAAGGATTAGAGATTGTAATAGATAGTAAGGGTGTCACTACTGAGTTAACAAGGATGAACTAGTGGCTATTTAGCTGTTAAGTGGCCCAACTAAGACAAAGACACTATCATCTCTGAAAAAAGCGGTGTATTATATATGAGCACCTTTAAATACTATTGTGATGTCTTCAAGTCAAACTTAAATTATTTGTGTGTGCAATACATCTGCATGGTTCATGTTCACAAATACTAAACTATGACTGTGACTTTTCCTTATATTCTGTTGGAATTGGCAGCTTGCCATCAAAATCTGAGGTCAATTCTGTAACAATGTATGTTCTTTCAAATTCTGTAGTAGTTTCTTTCTGATGTTGAATACAGTCTAATTATGGAGTGAGTTATTCCTGATAACGCATCTCCTTTTATTTGACAGAGGTCAAACATCACTGATGCCACCATTCAGCCTTATGCTTGATGAAGGCTCTAGATCTAAAAAGCCATATAGATGGCAAAGGGTGTTGCTTAAAGTAAGTGGGGAGGCTCTTGCTGGAGATCACACAGAAAATATTGATCCAAAGGTGAGGTTGCTTTTAGTGGAGCATTATCAAATTTAAAATACTGAATATTTGATGGAACAGGTCATGTAAGTGTGTAATGTTGTTGCAGATCACGATGGCAATTGCAAGAGAGGTTGCTTCTGTCACCAGACTAGGTGTAGAGGTGTGCCAGTGCCTTTCATTCTTTTATTGCTTATTTACCCGATTAACTGTTTGAAGATTGAAATTAAATCAAGTGAAACATAATTAGGCATGTACATAGTAGACATTTAAAGTTCAACAACTAAACCGCCCTGTGTTCCAACGAAGTGGTATTATGCTATGTGTATGTTCCTCTTGTCTTCTCTATTGTAGAAACATATGCTGTACATTAAAGATCGGGAACCCTTGCAGGTTGCTATTGTTGTTGGTGGCGGCAATATCTTCCGCGGGGCCTCTTGGGCTGGATGTAGTGGACTCGACCGCTCATCAGCAGATTACATTGGGTATGATGTTCAGTTTTCTAATGTCTTTCATAATTGAACCATCGTAACATCCTGTGGTTGGCAATCGAGAATGCATTAAATGAAGTGGAAGCGCCATGAGGGTTAACCTAATAATGACACAAGAACACCCAACTCGGCATGCCTTAGTAGTTGCATGCAACCATGCAAATATGCTAATTTATGTAATCCATGCTAACTTTTTTTTTTGGCTATTTAAACATCTATAATACCACGCCTGATTGTGCCTATCGGCCCATCACGTAGAACACATCTAAATTTCATAGAACAAAATTCCATAACAAATTTCCAAGCAGAATAGTGTACTGAGTGTAAACTTATAGTTCGATTTTACAAACCATACAATCAATAAGTATATACTGTTCTCTGTAAGTGCAAACTTACATGTAAGTATTTAACATATGGTCTATATCCTTTGCCCATAACGTTTTTAAAAATGTTTTTTAGGTTTTGTTTTAAAAAAAAGAAGACATCATTCCTGTTATAAGTGATTTCATAATTTCTCAGCATAAAATAGTTCACCACTTTATCTTACTCTTTTCCTAATTCAGCATGTTGGCTACTGTGATGAATGCCATATTTCTTCAAGCAACAATGGAGAGCATTGGAATACCAACCCGTGTCCAAACTGCATTTCGTATGTCAGAAGTTGCAGAACCATACATACGCCGAAGAGCTGTCAGGCATTTAGAGAAAGGAAGAGTTGTTATATTTGCTGCTGGTACAGGGAACCCATTCTTTACAACTGATACAGCTGCTGCTCTTCGTTGTGCAGAAAGTGAGTTTATCCTCCGTTTCTCACTAATGAACTGGTGTAATTGTAATCATAAAATCTCAACAAAAGTAGTATTGGAGATACGTGAATACTTTTATATTTTAAAGCCAAGTGCTTATAAGCTGCAATTTCATGTCGTATATTTAACAATATATAGTACTGCAAAACATTCAAGGTACTTTTGCGAGTTTGTCATTTATGTTAGTCATCATGCCCCTGTCAGTTGCTGGTAATAGAACTAGAGTTCTACCCACAATAGCTCGTAATGTTAGTAGCCTCACCTCTGAGTTTATCCCATGAATTCATGAAGACCCTTGTGCGCCCTAAATGGTTAAGCTAGACAGTTAGGCTAGACAAGGATCGATCATTTATTTTCAACCTTGCTTCCCAGAAACTAGAGACATGATGCAGAGATTGTTATACATGCCATGTTAGGGTGTGTTTAACTATTCTATTTCACAAGAAATCATTAGTCACAGTTTCCATTATGCATGTAGAATCATTTTATCATGAATTGAGTTTGAACTTGTCTTTCTATAATGATTTCTCAAATAAACATCATTGTCTCATTTTGTTTATTCCATCTTACAATGGCTTTTTTTCTTTCATTTTGCAGTCAATGCAGAGGTAGTACTTAAGGCAACAAATGTTGACGGTGTGTACGACGCAGACCCCAAGCGTAACCCAAATGCCCGCCTTCTTGAGGCTGTGAGCTACCATGAGGTGCAAACAAGAGACCTCTCAGTAATGGACATGACTGCCATTACGCTATGCCAAGAAAACAACATTCCTGGTAAGGAGAGAGCTGTCAGTTTCTGAGACTTGATACAGTGTTTGATTTGCATTCTTTTTAATTTGGCCTGTAATCTTGCAGTTGTCGTGTTTAATTTGCAAAAACCTGGAAATATTGCGAAAGCTATTGTTGGTGAGAAGGTTGGCACGTTTATAGGCTGCACAAAAGATCAGGACCAGATTGTGGGGAATGCACTGGATCAAGAAAGAAGATTGGTGAACGAGTTATGATTTCACTGGAGCTCTCTGTCGCTAGCTGTGTAGCTGCATTGCCTATTGCTTGGTAACATGTGGATCTCTAGAGTTTTTAGGCTAGAATAGCTTATCCAAATCCTGGTTCCTTGTACAACCTTTGAGCAAAAATAAAAAAACCAATGGTAACAGAGATTTTCCAGCTGATATAGCTGCTATGTTGTCATACTATGTACAATGGAATCTAGAGCAATCTGATAAATCACATTTATATCTTAAAATCATTGCATGTGGCATGTATGATGTCTTCACCTAAAAACAGTTTCTTCCTTACATTCATGTGCAGCTGAAGAAAAAAGTTAGAAAAGCGACTACGGAGAAAGCGAGGGATCTAATGAAAAGTTCAAAACCGTAGTGGACAAATCTGGAAGATGGTAAAAACTGCCTCTAAGCACAATAGGAAATCAATTAATGAAATTAATATAAGGACTTGATCATTTTGTTGTCCAAATCAACCATACCAAATTTTGATACTCCCTCTGGTTCTATATTAATTGACGTTTTGAACAAGGTTGAGATTAAACTTTTATAACTTTGACCATCAATAACTTTAAAAATATTTAGTTTAAAGAAACTAGAAAAACATATATAGATTTGTCTTTCAAAACACTGTAATAAAAGTAAACATGCATTTATTTATTGTATATATTATAATAGAAAAATAAGGTTAAAGGTATATCTTGTAGAGCGTGTCATTGTCCAAAGCGTCAATTAAAATGAAACTGGAGGTAGTACATAATAATAAAAAAGATAGTGTTGTCTTTGTTTGGTTTAATATCTTTACCAAATTTTCCGTTTAGAAATACCAAAATTTGTTAAGGTACTAACAGTACAAATGTGTTTAGTTTGTTACCTCGATAATACCAAGATTTAACAAAGTTGAAAGCGGTCATAAACTGAACAGTACCTAAAATGAGGGGGGAAATAGGGAAAGAAAAAGAGGATCAGACAAGGAAGAAAGAATGGAAGGGTGGTGAGAAAATCCCAATTAGCAACGGTCACCTGATCACCTCGGGAGGCTATTACACTAACCATTAACCAACCTCGCGTCATCTCTCCCATCTCCCATATTCCCATCCAAGAGTAGAGGAGAGAAGAGAAGACGCAGCTCACGCGCGAGGCGAGTGAGCCCACCACCGCCCCCCTCCTCCTCGCCACCGCCACGTCATCTCCCCACCCTCCTCCTCTTCCTCCCTCCGCCGCCATGGGCCGCCGCGCGCTGCCGCCGTCGTCGTCGTCGTCGTCGTCGTCGTCGACGACGACCACCTCGCCGGAGCTGCGGCGGAAGCGCACGGCCGCGCCGCCCCCGCCGCCGTCGCCGCGGAGGTACCGCTCGATCTCCGACGTCATGCGCCGCTCGCTGCCCGTCGACGCGGCGCCCCCCGTGGCGCGCGCCTACGAGAGCACGCGGTGCGACGTGTGCGGGTCCGGGGAGCGGGACGAGGAGCTGCTGCTGTGCGACGGCTGCGACCGCGGCCGCCACACCTTCTGCCTCCGCCCCATCGCCGCCAGGGTCCCCACCGGCCCCTGGTTCTGCCCGCCATGCGCCCCGCGCTCCAAGCCCGTCAAAAGTGCGTCGCCGTGCGTGCCGCCACGCACGATCTCGCCCATTTCCATCCTTTTCTAATTTCTCACCCCCTTTTTCTTTTCTCTCGTGCTTCGGATTGTTCTTATCTCACTGTTTTTCTCCTTGTGTCTTCGGTGGCGTGGGGGGTGTTAGGGTTCCCGATGACTCAGACGAAGATCGTTGATTTCTTCCGGATTCAGAAGGGCGCAGAGGATGCCGAGGCGGAGAAATATGGGCTTTTTCAAGGTAATTTTGCATTTGGGAAAAGTGCACCATTGTTCTATAAGTCTGAATTGTGATACCATTTTGATTGCTTGGAGTGCCTTACTGATGATACAGTGGTTAGCTTATGGATAGGATTCCATCTTATAATTTGTGTGGCTTAAGCTTTTGTAGTAGTGGTGACAAATAGCGACATTCATGCTACTGCTAATTATCTGATTATCAGTATGATCTACCTGGTTAGGACCGTTCAGTAGCAGAGATTCTGCTATTATGCAACCTATATTTTTATTATGCGTAATGTAGGTCAATTCTAGTGTAGTTTTCCAATTACGCTTTGTAGGACTTGTGGTGATGGTGAGAAATAGCCACATGATAAGCGTACTGTGCTACAGCTGAATATATAAGTGGATATATCCGGGCTTGTCCAGATTTATTCCTAGAAGTTGATTCTTTTTGGGACGGAGGGTGTATCCAATAGGAGCGTTTAGTAGTACAGATTCTGTTAGTATGCAATTTATATTTCTGTGCACAATGTACGTTAACTCTAGAGTTGTTTTGGCTGCATATCTAGTTAGTAGATGCAATAGGTGGGAATAGACAATACTGTGACCCTCCAATATGAAATGCTCACTTACGTCTCCACTGGAAATACGCGGGAAAGCTCTCCCTGCTGTAAATAGGTGGGGAAGTTATATTGAGCAAGCATTTAAGATGTAATAATGGTGCATGCATTCGTAATAGCAACAAGAATGTGTAATTTTGCAATTGGGAGAGGTCATGAAAAGTGCACCATTGTACAAGTCTGAATTGGGAGACCATTATGATTGCGTGGGGTACCTTATTGATGATACAATGGTGAGGCTTATGGATTGGATTCTATCATATATTCGTGTGGCTTAAGCTTTTGTAGTGGTGGTGAGTAGCCACATGATAAGCATACCGTGCTACTGCTAATTATCTGGTTATCAGTATGACATACTCCCCCCATCCCAAAACAAATCAACTTCTAGCTAGGTTATCAGTATGACATACTCCCCCCATCCCAAAACAAATCAACTTCTAGCTATGTATCAGCTAGAAGTTGATTCTTTTTAGGACAGAAGGTGTACCTGATAGGAGCGATCAGTAGCAGAGATTCTGTTATTATGCAACCTATATTTTTATGTGTAATGTAGGTCAATTCTAGTGTAGTTTTGCCTTAAGCTTTTGTAGACTTGTGGTGGTGGTGAGAAACATCCACATGATAAGCATACCGTGCTAATGCTGAATACATAAGTGGTTATCGCTATGATTTACTCTCCGTCCAAGAAAAGATCAACTTTTGGGGATGAATCTGGGCTAGTCCAGATTCATTCCTAGAAATTGATTCTTTTTGGGATGGAGGGTGTATCCAATAGAAGCGTGCAGTTGTATAGATTCTGTTAGTGTGCAATTTATATTTCTGTGTGCAATGTATGTTAACTCTAGAGTTGTTGGGCTGCATAGGCGGGAATAGACAATGTTGCGACCTTCCAATATGAAATGCTCACTTATGTTACCACTGGAAGTACGCGGGAAAGCTTTCCTTGTTGTAAATAGGTGGGAAAGTTGTATTGAACAAGCATTTAATTCATGTAACAATGGTGCATGCATTCGTAGTAGCAATAAGAACATGTAACTTTGCAATTGGGAGAGGTCATGAAAAGTGTTCCATTGTACAAGTCTGAATTGTGAGACCATTTTGATTGTGTGGGGTGCCTTATTGCTGATACAGTGGTGAGGCTTATGGATTGGATTCCATCATATATCCGTGTGGCCTAAGCTTTTGTAGTGGTGATGAGAAATAGACACATGATAAGCATACCACACTACTGCTAATTATCTTTGGTTATCAGTATGACGTACTCCCTCTGTCCCAAGACAAATCAACTTCTGGCTATGTATCAGCTAGAAGTTGATTCTTTTCGCGACGGAGGGTGTACCTGATAGGAGCGATTAGTAGCAGAGATTTTGTTATTATGCAACCTATATTTTTATGCGTAATGTAGGTCAATTCTAGTGTTGTTTTGCCTTACGCTTTCCCCACTGTAATAGGCGGGACAATTATATTGCACAAACATTTAATTGATGTTATAATGGTGCACACATTCATAATAGAAATAGGAATGTGTGATTGCCACAAAGATCATGTAATTTACTGCTTTTTTGATCGGTCAAACTATATGGATTGACCAACTTCCATCAATGCTGCTAGTATTTTTATGATCCGCTCTGCATTCAGTTAGCCATAAAATAGCTCCCATGTTGCCATAATGATCCATACAAGCATCGGTCTTATTATCACTGCTTTGTGAATATGTTTGTACAAGCTTTACAAAGCTGTAGCGTTATTCCAGAGCAGTTCATTAGCTTATGTTAGCTACACTTTTGCTGAATAAAGAAAATAGCACATGTTTGCTAGTTAATATGATAGACATAACAACAAAGTATTCTTGCATACCAGAAATTATTTAAACATGCTTGGTTGTAATAGAAACATTGTCACTGAGGTATTCGAATGGAAGAGTTTTAAGTATGTTGCACCACTTCTCGAACATGCTCTTGGTTCAGATATCAGAAATTCATAATATAGATATAAATATTTTTCAAGAAACTTGGCAAAAACCATTCTTTGGATGCTCTTGTTTTCCATGGTTGAATATTCATTGAAATTAAGTTCTTGTGAAATTTCCGTGCCTATCATATATTGTACCAATTAAACTCTTGAAGATTGATCCAATGTTTGCAAGATGGCTGACAGTTTGACCGCAAGACTTAGTTGTTCAATTGTGTCAAGCAGTTGACTTAACATAGCTAATTTACTTTATACTTGTGTAGATGTTAAGAAGCGAAGAAAGCGTTCCCTTGTTATGCACAAGAAGAGGAGGAGGATACTGCCATATGTCCCAACTGAAGATAAAGTTCAAAGGCTCAAACAAATGGCTTCTCTAGCCACTGCTATGACATCTTCGAAGATGAAGTTCAGTAATGAGCTGACTTACATGCCTGGTATGGCTGGGAGATCGTGTAATCAAGCTACACTGGAAGAAGGTGGCATGCAGGTTAGCAAGTCGTTTAATGCAAACAATTTTATTTTGTTGGCCCTTTGGTAGATAATGATACACTCTTCAATTTCTAGATTCTTCCAAAAGAGGATAAGGAAACTATAGAACTTTGCAGAACCATGCAAAAAAGGGGAGAATGCCCTCCCCTTCTTGTGGTGTTTGATTCACGCGAAGGGTACTTTCTAAACTATGATCAGATATATTTAGCTTTGCAGTATCAGTATACATAATTAGACTAATCCATGATAATTTTCAGGTTCACAGTGCAGGCTGATGCTGATATTAAAGATATGACCTTCATCGCCGAATATACTGGAGATGTTGATTTTTTGGAAAACAGAGCAAATGATGATGGTGACAGTATAATGACTCTTCTTTTGACAGAAGATCCTTCCAAAAGGCTGGTTATTTGTCCTGATAAGCGTGGAAACATTTCCCGTTTCATTAATGGCATTAATAATCACACTCTGTAAGTATAATCTTCGTTCTTTTTTACCTTATGTTTTTTACATTTTGTGGCCTTCAAGATGCAACTTTTACCATCACTGTTTATTGCATTAACTTGAGATATGATAATAAAACTATAATATTCTGAAAACATTTTTCATAATAAATCATAGTTTTAAGCCTACTAATGGACAAACTTTAGAAATGTTGACGCCACATATTCTAAGGCATCAAGTAGTTGCATTTAAATTCTTATAATTGCATAAGTACATAATTAGGCGTCTGTCTGACATGTCAAACCATCTTTATTTCTGCATTCCTTCAATAAAATACTCTGTTCTCAAATATAGGAAGACTGACTCTATGCTTGATGTTGGAAAGACTGCTATCGTTCCTAAATTTGAAAATGTTAAATCTTTGCAGGGATGGCAAAAAGAAGAAGAATATTAAATGTGTCCGGTATGACATAGATGGTGAGAGCCATGTCTTGTTGGTTGCCTGCCGTGATATAGCTTGTGGTGAGAAGCTATATTATGATTACAATGGATATGAGCATGAGTACCCAACTCATCATTTTGTCTAACTTAGTCTAGTTTTGTTACCTGCCCAGCATTAAGGACCCTGGGCAAGTGTAGGGCTTAATGGCAACATTTTCAGCATTGCCACCAAAATCCAATAATTTATAACATATATCTTTGGTACAAATGAAAAGTTAAAACCAATTTTCAGAAGCAGCCCTGAATGACAAAAATGTAGGTGCTGGTGATATTAGGAGTGAGAGCAATCTTCTCAGCTGTTGGGACAAGAGGAATCTTCATTTTTCCTGGTCTCCAAGATGCAATCTTCTCATTGATATTTTTTATTTATTCTGGAGCTTCCTGCTCAAATTCTCTTCTTTTTAGGGATTTTCATCCCTTTATGTGGGAGTAAATATGTGTCTTTGTATCTATTTAAAAGAGTGATGTAATGAGGCAGTAACTGCTCCCTTTTAAATAAAGACACATTTTTCATTGGAGATATATGTCGCTCTGTTAAATGTTGATGTTATTGGCTCGATGTCGTTTTCAATTAGCTCTGGTGTAGAGATGTAGTAAATCAGCATCGCTGATTCTGTACACATTCACACAGCAGCCTCAGCTGAGCAGAAAATGTTACACAAATATTTTTTGACAGCGGAAATTCTGAAATTATGTTATAACCACACATTTCACAATTATGTTATACCCACACATTTCATAATTATGTTATATACACAATACTTCATATTATGCTATGCCCACATAGCATTTCAGATTGCTCTCTCATCATAAATATTTAACACAATTAACTTTAGAGTTTAGATATGATGTTCGATCATTCATCTTATTTTAAAGTTAGTGTAAATATTTTAAAGTGCAAGTCATGCTTAAAGTACACTTACGAATAAAACAAATCACAACAAAATAAATTACATACTAGCTTTTTTGCCTTTTGAATACTAGCTTTTTTGCCTTTTGAATATGGTGAATGATCAAACTATGTTTAAAGTCTATCGCATCAAATATGACTTGCCCATTGGGCGTGGTGGGTTAACCGGGCCGGCTATGGCCCACATTGCTCACGCCCTCCTCCTATACTCCATCCATCCCAAAATACGTGCAATTTTGCACTGTTCATATTTAACGTTTGACCGTTCATCTTATTTGAAATTTTTTTATGATTAATATTTTTATTGTTATTAGATGATAAAACATCAATAGTACTTTATGTGCGTGTGTTCATAGGGGTGAGTGGCGTGCGTTGTGAGTGTCTACGTAGTATTGTGTAATTCTAAAAAAAAAGTACTTTATGTGTGACATTTTTTTAATTTTTTTCATAAATTTTTAAATAAGATGAACGGTCAAAGATCAGATGTGGATTTTCATGGCTGCACTTATTTTAGGACGGAGGTAGTACTAGACAACCCCATTAGCCTACAATCAACCCATCAAATCACTAGATTAGTTCAAATCAGACATGAAGCGATCAATCATAATTTTATCTTCTAATTTGGTGACTAGGCGCCTCTTCGCCTCAATTATTCGTCTACATTGCTTGATGTTCGACGCTCATCGCATTCGCTGCACCAATAACTACGCCAGCCATCAATGCCAATTTGTATGTGCAAACACCGCTCCATGTACAGGCCTGTGGGCGCGCAACCGTGCCTCTACCAGTTTGTCCCGTGGCCTATGATGTGGTGCCCGCCTATCCAATGCCTTAACCAATAAGAGCAGGTTCAATAGTATCGCCAGCTGTTGGCTCCATCCATGTTCACATCAACTAGAGTAAGCTAACAGTTAATATGAAGAGCAAATTATCTAGTACATCACAACCCCCGAGATGTATTTCTTTTTTCATGTGAGACCCAATTGACTAGCATATTTTATATAGCATTCATCTCCTTGCGTGTGGACCCATGGCCATTTTTAAAAGTTGAAAATTCCTACCCTGCAGGCTTTTTCACCTTGGAGCTCACGTAGAGCTGGCGACAAAATAGTCGTTCGTCCGTTCCTACTGCCTTTCTTCTTCTCTATCCTCCAGCTCATTAGTTTTGCTGAGATGGTTATACTATCGCCTGTTATTGTACCTGCTCTTAGAGAATACTCTCGGTATGTTCTTTTGTCTATATCTCTGTCCCATCTTTATTTTAGAGCCACGCCACTGGTCCGGAGGGAGTATACCATTTCAGAAACTCTTAGCCTCCGCTGGCGTAGAAATTCTGAAATGAGTTTTGGCAGCGGAGGTGTGATCAGAACTACGGATCATTTCAATCCAGGCAGAACACCTTTCAGAACTACGGAAATAAGACACATTTCCAGAATTTCTGAAAGAAGCACGTATCAATCCAGGGAATTACGGTCTACCAAAACCGCCAGAATTCAGGGTATTCCCTTACAGTAAATTCATACTCCGCCATGCTTGACATTTGCTTGGGCGACGCGAGTTTATCTATATATCTTGATCGCTACCTCTGTTCCTCTCTGTCGGAAAGAAACGGCACAAACCAACCCAAGTACAGAGACATGGTCTTAAGCACCCACAGCCACAGGTCACACAAAATGGCACCAGGCCTGGGAGCAGCCTGGCTGCTAGAGGCGATGATCCATGAAGGCGGCGAATCAGTCAATCTGAACCCCATGCGTCGTCCCGCAAAGCTTGTCGAGCAGCGATTCGACTCCTCCTCGCCTCCTCTTGTTTCTTCAGCTCGTCTGACCCGAAGTTTGTAAACTGCCTTAGCCCCATTCCATGAGCAATCAGCCTTTGTGCTGTTCTTGCAGATGTCTTCGGCCTTGGAGTTGGTGGTTCAAGGTCTGCAACGCGGAAGAAGCAACTCAAGACATGGTACGCAGTATCCATCGAGAACGTAGGAATAAAATACTCAAGTACAAGCTATATAACCTATAGATCATCCATGCAAAGAAGATCAAGCAGGAAAGAATAGTCACAGGATTTAAGATACATACCTATGCCATCATTTTTTGTCAAGAGATCGTCATCCTCTTTTAGTGGCCGCACTTTATATCTTGGAGGTATACAAGCTTGTGCCTCATTAGCTGCAAGTTGATTGGTGAGAAAACAGAATAAGGTACAGAAACAAAAGTAATTGATAGCTTGGCAGTTCATGTCATCAATAATAAGTTCTAGACACCAACAGAAAGGGAAAAAGATCGAGACCGCATTGAATTGAACAAGATCATGAATTAAGTATGCATCTGACAGTCTGGATGTAACTTGAAAAACACAATGTTTTGATCCAGGTCAACATATAAAAACTGAAACGTACATCATAAGATGCCCTTCTCCTTGCAAGCAAAATAAGGGTTGCCCCTCGTATTTTACTGGTTTAGTTATGGCACAGCAACCTAACATATCAGTTCAAAAATTGTGGGGAGGCAGAGCAAAGAATGTACTGTTTTTCATACCAAATGAAAATAAGTCACCATCTATTTTGAGGTAAGACAAACAAAATATGAACCATCCATTGTTGAGGCTGTTGGGTTGCATTAAGGATGGAAAGAACGTAATAAGCACCAGCACTCTAGCAGGTTATGACAACCTCTTTTCAAGAAGGGGGGTGCAATATTTTTTCCTTGTTCAAGTTACTATGTTTCACTACAAAAGGAGGTTGTCACTAATCTTGGGTAACTTAGCCTTGCCCAAAACGTGTTGTCCTCCCCATTTTCCTGCCATGCCAGTGATCTGGTGCACTAAGACCAGCAACAAGTCAATCACAGGAACAATGGATCATCATGGAAGGAGCAATCTCTTGCTTTCGCTCTACACAATTTGGACAGTTTTGCATGTGAATTATGTCGATTCATTACAAGAAAACTTGCTCAGGTATGAGCATGCCATGTGCCATTCATGTATGCAAACTGCAAACAATGCCATGTTCCTCGATACAGGCATGAGTCAATGTAATACATTTCCAAGCAATCAGAAAATTCTAAATTTCTAAGTAAACACAGTAGCCATATATGACACATGTTCAATCTGGTTCCTTGGAGAGAACCACATGAATGGCTCATCTAAAAGTTGGAATACCTAAATTAAGTCAATAAGAAATTGCTACAACAATCAAATTACCAGCTGATGGAGTCCGAAAAACTGCAAGTGCAACAGTATCATTAACCCAGCGAATGGCAACTCCATGGTCCCCAAACTTGTCGAAAATCTTTTCCAAATCTGCTGCGAGTGTGCTAGGTGGGAAGTCATAAAGAACAAGGACATGCCTTGTCCCATATTGTTTCGCAGCTACAAAATCAAGCAAAAAACTAAGTTCTTCATTTATTCACAATGAACAGGCTACCTGGACACGTAGAAATGGATCCCCTGATCATACCTGCATTACTCTTGTGTTTCTGCTCATCCACACGGCCCTTTGATCCACTCTGATCATTAGACTCTTGTTCATCCATATCATTTTCTAGACCACACTGATCACTGTATAGAACACTCTTGTCGTAAAGAAACGAACCCCTTCCCCTCCTCTTGGGCCCTGAAGATGGAGTGCTAATTTTCTCAGAAGAACTACTAGGAGAAACCTTTGCTTGCTGCTCGAGAGAACGCGCTAGCGTTAGCGTCTCATCGTTTTCACCACGATCTGCAATCGCCTCCCAATCTGCATGCACCACAGCAACAACACAACACAACAGGGTCACAGTTTTGTCCAAATTGTCCCAAAGAATTATAGAAAGTAGATGCTCCAAAAAAAAAAAAAAGAAACAGTACCATCCTCTTCATCTTCTTTGTTCCCATCTTGTAAAGTAGCTTCGACTTGAGAATCCTTTGAACCCATGGCACCACCTAATCAACTTCAGGAGCCAACCTATATCCACCATAAGTTCAGAAAATAAACATTTCAGGGGAGTTGGGGAAAAAAACTGTTCTTAGTATTGAGAGTATTAAGGTTTAATAGGAAAAAGAGAAAAAACTATAGCTTCCAGATCTAGAAGATAAGATATTAAAGGTTAGGGCAAATTCGAAAGGAAGGGGGATGTGCGGGAGCTCACCGGAGCGGAGGCGGAAGCGGCAGGACGGCGGCACCCACCTCGCGGGAGGGATGGATGGAAATCGGCGCGGCGGGGCTAGCGAGGAGACCTCCGGAGAGTGAAGGTCGAGAAGACGACCGAGCCGAGTATGCGGCGGAGGCAGCCGGACGCCGGCGACGCTGCTCGCCGTCGCAGGTGATGGGGATCGGCGAGGCCGGATGGATGGATCGACGGCGCAGAAAGGCCTCCAGTCGTCGTCAAAGGGGCCCATTTGTCAGGCAGCGGCCTCGCCATTTTGCTTTTTCTTTTTTTTCCCCTACCACTCCCTCCTTAAAAAAATACTTTAGCTCGAGGGGTTGTTCGGATTATAGCCAAAACAAATCTTATTAAATTTTAGCAATGCTAATTTTAATAAGTTGATAATACTAACAAATTTTTGGTATTTCTAATGTATTTACCAAATTTTGGTAAAAAAAAAAGGAACTAAATGTAGGTACATCTATAGCAACTTAGTTAAAAATTAGTATGGTTAGAAATGACATCAAACTGAATAACCCCTTGAATCTAGACTCCATAACAAAAAAACAACTTACTTAAAGTGAGTTTTTTTTTTGGACGGAGGGAGTATTTCAAATCGGTTTCTATTTAGAAGTTACAACCGAGTAACTCAATGGTTTTGGGTACTTAAACAATTGAATTTATTCTGACATTTGCTTCAAAAAAGTTACAACCAATTATCATAAAAGTGAGTAGCGGATTGAAATATGATGAATTATAAATTTGAGAAAACCACATTACATTTTTTAGCACATATAAAACTGGATTTTTGATATATGGCCTTTTGTAGAATACTTGTGGTAAAATTGTAAAAAAAGAATGTGTCCTTAGCTCTGTGGTTCATGAGGTGGCAATCTCCGACAAACTCCACCGTGAACTCTCACCTTAAACGTATCAAAACTTTCGTGAGATGGTGTTGCCAGTCTAAAGTTGTTGATACGCAACAATTATGCTACATCAAGGAGGTGCATCTATAATCAATGCCTTGAAAATGTATGCTACTGCTGAACTCCGTTACCAAATATTGTCATTCATCCCAACATTTGTAGAGGTGAATTCAACTTGCAGACCTGAACTAAATATGGCCCAAAAAATCAGATCAGTATATCGTGATAAATTATCTGAATATTGGAGTACGTTTCACAATTATCATTCAGCTTTTTAGCTTTTACATCTGCAAATGACAGCAGGAAGGAAGTTTATAGTATATGGCAAATTAATAATGTGGCAAACAACGCGTAATTGGTTGTTAAATTTGTTCATGAATCATAACGCATTAATTCTCAGTGTCTCTCAATACATATTTTCGTTCATTCAGAAAACGCATGTCGATCGTCAGGTGCACAGATTGCTGATCATTAGAGTCAGTATAGGACAAATTAAGGATTTGATATATCACAATTGACAGTAATTAATTTGCTTGCTGTGTGTTTTTATGAACTTCCTTAGCTGATCATGTTTTCATTCCATCTTCACCTCGTTTTACAGCTGCGAACGAATTCAGAAAGCATTAATTAAGATTCAGAGGCTGCAGAATGCAAATCAAGCAACAATAATGCATACTAATATGGATTGCAAACACTCTGGATTACAACTAAGTTTTGATCTACGTTTTTACTCGTTTCCTGTTTAGTTTCTGGTAATTTCAGGAAGCAAACACACCCATCTCGTTTTGATTCTTTCCTCTGGATTACGACTAAGTTGGCAGCTATGTCGTCGTCGGCGGCGCCGGCGAGGAAAGAGAATGGCACCGTCGCCGCCCCCGCCGCCTCATCCGCCGCCGCCAGCAACACGTTCCACGTGCTCAACTCCGGCAGCGCCGCCGCCGCCGTCGCAGCCGGACGTGCGTATGTTCAGTCGCCGCGAGCGACGGCGCTGCGGTCGCCGCAGGTGCGAGCCATCACCAACTACGGCATGTTCCCGACCACCGGCGCTTCGGCGGCGAGGACGGCCATGGCGGGGCGAACGATCAATGGTGGCGCGTCGATGCTGACGACGACGACGACGACGACGACGCCACCGCACCTGATCCAGCAGCTCATGGTGTTGGCTGGCTGGACCACCCGGAGTCCGTGGCTCCAGAACCACGCGTCCATGTCGCCGCGGGGCTCGCCGTCGTCGTTCTCCTCCGGGAGATTCTCCGACCCCCGTGGGATGCCGTCGACGTTCGCTTACCGAACACCCGGAGCTAGTAGCGGCCGCGTTATCGACAACGGCGCCGTCGCCGGCCGTGGCAAGCAGATGGCCGGAACTAGCCGCTCACTTGAGATTATCGCCGTTGATACCGGCGCCGGAAGCAGCAAGAACGCGTCGCCGGCCGGCGGCCATGCAAATGCCGGCGTGGTGGTGAAACGTTTGGCCCCTGTGCTCGCGATGCCGAGTGCCGGAGCCGCCGGCAAAGGGAAGGAGGAGGCGGCGGCGGCGGCGGCGGCTCCGTCGCCAAATGGCCGCGGCCGTAAGCGCGCGCCGCCCAAGGTGAGCAATGATCCGGCGGCGGGATCCGACAAGAAGCCGAGGAAGAGGGCCAAGAAGGCGGCGGCCGCTGGCAGCAAGGTGACCGTCCCGGCTGACGTGATCATCGTCGACGACGACGTCAACCAGCCGAGCTCGAACACCGACGCGCAAAGCAACGCCGACGACGATCTGAAGAAGGCGGCCGTCGCTTCCCCTGCGGCGACGCGGAGCAAGACCAGATCAAAGTGCAAGACCAGCAGCAACAGCGCCGCCGCCTCGCCGAGCGCCAGGTCCAGCGCCATCGCCGCCAGGAAGAAGAACAACGCCACAGCGACCGGCACGACGGCGACACCACCACCACCGGAGGCGAAGAAGCACACCGTGCTGACCTGGCTGATAGACACCGGCTTCCTCAAGGACAAAGCGAAGGTGTTCTACGTGCCGGGCGACGCCGGCGCCGCCGAGAAGGTCATCTCCGGCATGGTCACCAAGACGGGAATCCGCTGCCGCTGCTGCAACACCGTCGTCCCCGTGGCTGTGTTCGAAACCCACGCCAGGTGCGAGCGGCCAGGGCAGCCATGGGAGAAGCTGCTGCTCATGTCCGGGAAGCCGCTGTCGAAGTGCATGCAGGAGGCGTGGGCGCAGGAGCGGGTGACCGCCATGCGCGCCCGGGAGAAGGCCATGGCGTCGCTGGAGCAGGAGAAGGAGAAGAGCTCGCAGGCCAAGAGGAAGCTCGCGAAGACGAAGAAGATGCAGCTCCTCGACGGCGTCGTCGTCGTCTCCACCTCTTCTCCTCGTCATCAGGTGAAGAAGAACGGCGGCGGCAAGGATTGCAGCGACGACGCCTGCGGCGTCTGCGCCGACGGCGGCCAGCTGCTCTGCTGCGACACCTGCCCCTCCACCTTCCATCCAGATTGCCTCGCCATCCAGGTCACAAGACTGAATAATTTTCAGACAGAAACTGTGATTGATTTTGTAGCATGTTCAGTTCATGATCAAATCCTGGTTACTGTTTTACATTTTTCAGTTCATGGTCAAGATTATCTTGGTTACTGTTTTACTTTTTTCGGTTCATGTCCAGTTCATGATTAAATCTTGGTTACTGTTTTACAATTTTCAGTTCATGGTCAAATCCTGGTTACTATTTTACATTTTTCAGTTCATGGTCAAACCTTGGTTACTATTTTACATTTTTTGGTTCATGTCCAGTTCATGATCAAATCTTGGTTACTGTTTGACAGACAGCAACTGACAACAATTTACGGCCAGCAACCGTGGTTTTTGCGGCATTTTGAATTCATGATGAAATCTTGGTTGGGTGTTTTGTTTGCTTGATTTCAGGCTCCAGACGGCTCCTGGAGCTGCCATTTCTGCCGGTGCGTGCTCTGCATGTCACATGATGTTCAGGGTTTATCAACATGCCAACAGTGTACACGAAAATGTAATTAATCTCATTGTACATGTCCCTTCATTTTAGCATCTGATCAACCTTGTGTTTCCGAATAGTAACTGATGAGCTTCACTGGAAACACATTAATCTGCAGATCATCAGTACTGCCGTCCTTTGCAAAGCCCTGGGTTCGAGATCGGCGCATACTGCAGCGAAACCTGCAAAAAGGTGAAAATTAGTTATTGATATTTTTTTCCCATAGCATATGCTAGCTCAGCAATAGTCCAACACTAACCGGTTTTCCTTAAAATTAGTGCGGAGTACTGTATTTGCTACGCAACTATTGTGTTTATTTATGGAGACACAACTGTATTTCTAATATGGTTGTAGAAGTGTGCCCTAATCTAAAGAAAATTAATCTACACCACTATAATTTAGACCTCCGATGATCGGGAGGTGTAGTTTTTTTTCTATATAATTAATGTCGTAATTTTCTAATAGATGCAATGGTCCTTTTAGTACTGTTTTCAAAATATAAATGTCTGATAGATAGACTCCAAATTCTGTACATTATGCGGTACAAATACAGAGCTTCTGAAATTCTGCTTTATTAATGGAGCACATCTCAGTTATGCTTGTTCTGAATCCGTTTTTCAGATGTCCTCTCATCTATCAGATATGATAGGAGTCATGAACCATACTGAAGATGGCTTTTCTTGGGCCCTCCTGAAGATTCAGAAGGATGAGCTAGTCACTTCTGAGGACATGCCTGTCATTCTTGAGAGCAATGTGAAGCTTGCAGTAGCTCTGGGTGTACTCAATGAATGCTTTAATCCTGTGCAAGATCGAAGGACTAAGATCGATATGCTCCACCAAGCTGTCTACAGTCTAGGGTATGTGCTGCTAGGCATCAAATTGCTAATTCAACTGCTTCAATGTTTCATCCTAAAATATGCAAACCCTGATATGTACGTGTCATATATTTAGTAATTTTGTATGGTTTAGCACTGAACATCAGTTATATGTTTCTCTGGCAAAATATATGTAAGAGCAAGAAGATAACTTCAGAAACATATGAGATAGATTTGTACATTGTCACACAACTTTCATTTGTACTCGAACAGATCAGAGTTCAAACGAGTAAACTATGAGGGATTCTACACCATGGTTCTTGAGAAGGATGGAGAAATCATTTCAGTAGCCTTGCTGAGGTTTGGATCCATTCTCTCTTCAGTTTTTTTTCTCTTAGCGATAGTTCATGTCTTATATTTATTTTCTGATTACTTTGCTCTAGCTTACTTCAGTCAGTATCAGTGTCTTTCACTTTTGACACTTTACTGTTAGCGTCAGTGCTGCTGTTTTTCATAGTTTAGGATTTCTACATGGCAAGAGAATAACCAGTATAGTTGCAATTATAAAGTTCAGAATTTGTGATACTCGAATGCCTTGGTAAAAATGCCTTTTTGTACCTTTTTCAGCTACTACTATCAAACCAATGTCCTGCCCTGTTTTTCTGTTACAGGTTCCATGGCAGGAAACTGGCTGAGATGCCTTTCGCAGGCACGCTGCCAGCTTACCAGAAACAAGGAATGATGCGTCGCCTTGTCAAGGCTGTTGAAAAGGTGCATAACCTACTGAATCACCAATCCTCCATCCATTTATCATTCATTCAGTTAATTTTTCACTGCAAAGAGATTCAGCAATTGTTGGTGCCGCTTGTCAGACTCATACTGTACATTGAATTTGATAGGTGTTGGCGTCGTTGCAAGTGGAAAATCTAGTGATCCCGGCCGTCGCTGATCTAGTGGAAACCTGGAAGAGATCCTTCTCCTTCAGGCCAATGCAGGCAGAGGTCAGGGACGAAGCCAAGAAGCTGAGCTTGGTCGCCATCACCGGGACGACGCTGCTGCAGAAACCCATCTCTGCTCATCAGCAGCAACCAGTTCCATCCCGGAAAGGTAGCAGCAGCAGCAGAAGCAAGCGCGCGTCTGCTCCGGCGACGGTCACCGGCAGCAGCAAGGAAGAGGAGGAGCAGATGACGACGACGGCGGCTCGCCTGACCGACGACGAGCTGGCATTCCTGGAGATGGCACCCTTGTGCAGCTTCACCGACCTGTTGGCCGGAGGCGTCTACCCGACGGGTCTCCAGCTTCTCCGCGGCATGAAGTGATCGACGAGATGCAGCTCTGCCTGCAACTCATTCGTTTCTAAAGAACATTTTAGTACTACGGAGTAATATCTATGACTGAATTCGTTTAATTTCCTACTTAAAAGTGCGACTAATTTCAGTCAGGTGTGCGTATGCATAGTTGAGAGTCGAGACTAAAATTTGGTGTTCTTGTCCTGGGTCACAAGCAGCAAGTGTCAGTGTGTCATTGTCAATGGAGTTGATGAGATGATGATTATTCATCAGCATGGTACAGACATAGTACAGGTTACCGAACAATGTTAGGTTAGGTAGCTGTGATTTCTAGCTAGCTAGAGCACTCTCAAGGCATAACTTACTTAGTGATATACTCCATTTGTAGTAGTTCTACATTTTTGCACACAGACCAAACACCCACCTAATATTAATGTATACTCCAGTATTTCCTGGTGACTCATGGAGGAGACAGCGATAGATCACTGCGTAGCTTTCATCTAAGCGCCCATCTGCAAAAGATCTAGTGGAACAATTTATTTGGCGTATACTGGGGAGTAGATTGCAATTGGAACCTTTTTAATTACTAATTACCTCGGTCCTCGGATACATGCAACAGGCAACAGAAATAGAGGGGCTTAATTTTCTGGTCAAGAGATCACAGAGCAGAGAAGAAAAAGGTCCAACATTGACTAGTGTTTGGTGCATGCGCATGGAGGGGGATGAAAATGTGCGATGGAAATTTCGGATCGACATAACACTGTTACCCTTTTTGTTATATAAATTTTATTTTTTTTCTAATTTCTTTTTCAGCAATTAATGTTGACATTGAATAATTTAAATGATAAATATGGTTAATTACGGTCGATCGAGCGTCGTTTCCGAAGAGATGTTACCGATTCCGACCATTTTCACCCCTTAATTCCTTGTAGATCTCCCCTCATCTACTATTTTTTAAATTAAATTCAATACAAATGATCGTGAAAAGTTCTTTAAAAAAAATGACAATGTAGATTTCAGTAACATTTACCACTCCAACAACACTTATCTTCGACTCCAAACTTTAATTTCCTCCATTTTCGTTAGCACGTTTTTTAAACCGTTAAATGTTTTTTACGAACTTTTCTATGTAGAAGTTGTTTTAAAAATTAAATAAATTATTTTTTAAGTTTATAATAATTAATGCTTAATTAATTATTGAGCATGTGCTCAATCAACCTTCTCGTTTCGCGTGCGCTGGAAATCTCCGCGATGTAAGAAAACGGACGCCGGCCTAGGTTCAGACTCGCTCAGTATATCAAACAGACAAATCCACGCACGTATATATTGCAGCAATGCTATTCATAACTCATAAGTTGGATTTTATCTTTTTCTATTATTTGTGGATGTTATTTTGCGAAGTTGTATATTTATGTTTTATATATGAATTTTCAACTTTTTTTAAGATTTTCTCATGATAATTTGAATAATGTTTGAACAAAGAGATTAAATTTGTCTCCAACATGCGCACCTATGCAACTCCATCAACTGGTGCAAGCTGGCTAGCATACGAGATTAGATCTTAATCACCATCCTGCTCGTGCATTAAGTAGTAACAACTACACTAAGCACTAGTACTAACTGCACTGTACCTGTGCACCATGCAACCTGGCTAAAAAAATGTCGTTTTGACATGAGCAAAAAACTAAAAATCAAAGAAGACAACAAAAATCCAAGCCTGCTACTAGCCAACAAGAAAACAAGAAAACGGTCGGGTAATCATGTCGCGGTGGACCGTGGACGAACACCAGCTGCTAGCTTCACCTTCACACGGTGGCTTCCGGCGAGTGGCCGCCGCCGCCGAGCCGGGGCGGGGAGGCCGGCGGCGTGTAGAACGGCGTCTCGGGCTCCGGCTCCTCCTCGCCCTCGCTGCCGGCGCCGGACTCCTCGTCGATGGTGTAGAGCGCGCGCGAGGCGGCGGCGGTGGCTGGCCCGAACCACCGATCCCTCCACGTGTTCACCTCCTCCTCGTCGGGCCCCGCCGCCTGCTCCCCTTCCTCCCCCTGCGTGGCGGCGGCGGCGGAGTCGGCCGGCTCCACGCGGGTGAGGCGGCGGCGGGAGCAGAACAGGAGGCGGAGCAGCGCTCGCCGGAGCGCGCTGCCGCCGCCGCGGCGCCGGGCCGGCGCCGGCTTCTTCGGGCTCTGGACCGTGAGCTCGGCGTCGGAGGCGACGACGACGGCTGGTTGCTGCCTGTTTGCTGCCGCTGATCGGCGGCGGCAGCGCCAGAGCAGGAGGAGCGACGCCGCGAGGATGCCGGCGGCGAGGGCGGCGAGCGCCGCCGCGACGACGACGAGCTCGACGACAGCCTGGCGTCTCATTGTCAGCGGCTAACTAATCACTCTCGCTAAATCACTCTGCTCGAAGCTCGATCGATCGAGACGATGAAGTGAAATGTGTTTTTGGATATATGGCCAACGAGATGACTCCCTGTGAGCAAAGAGAATTTATGTCTCTTCTTTTTTGATTTTTTGATGTCTTTAACGTTGGCTTCTTTAACTTTAAGTCGAATATTTCCCGGCGATGGTTAGTGGGAGAGAAAGGAGGAGGGGTACTTTTGGGATTTCGACTTTGCGTTATCAGAGTGGGGCCCAGTTGCCAGCGACTCATATCCAGAATCCGGCTGAAAAAGATCAGAGGATATGTGTTGTGTTTGTTTAGCTTGATTGATGTGGTGTTTTGCCAACTCATCGCCTGCATGGCATGAAATTGAAGGGCACGACGAACTGGTCGCTAAATAACGTGCATTTCGGTGTCCATATGAAAAACATCTCTATTCATGGCAGTTGATTGCTGCTGCTGCAGACTCGGTCAGTACGTACAGTATGCAGTAGCCAGGAGGTCAGGGAACTAGTAGTATTTCCTAAAAAAATATAAAGCTAATGCTAAACAGTACTACATCATTTTTAAATTGGATGACACCGTTAACTTTTTTTTTAACGTTTGATCATTCGTCTTAATTAAAGATTTAGTATAAATGTGTATAAATATAAGTCAAGGTTATATTTTATTTGATGATAAAAACAAGTCACAATAAAATAAATAATATTTATATTTTTTTCTAAATGAAACAAATGGTTAAATATTATGAAAAAATTAACAGCGTTATACATCTTGAAATAGAGGGAGTATTTTTTCCCCCAAAATAACTTCGTTTTTAGTCTTATACGTGCAAAACAAGAAAGATTAAAGTGTTGTTAAAAAAACAGGAGTAGTATTAACGGTAAATAGATTAGGGCTGATTAGGCATATTGAAGGAATCAAGCTGATTGATTTGTGAACTGAGGTTAGACAGGAAGATAGAAATGAAATTAATCTGTGTATCGATCATTGCAGAAGGAACGACACCACACTGCACACAACACTTTAGCTCTTTAGTTTGTGATCTTTTACTACTACGACTACGACCTCTTTAGGCTTTAGCGAAAATTAATTTACAGCGCAAGCAAAGTAAAAGCAAGTGCCTTTAACTCGGATCTCGTGGACGCAGTCGTCGGTGCCGACGCATTCACCTACACGGCAAATTCTATTCAGGTGCAGCATTGCAGCCTACGGCTTCTCTGAAAGAAACAATGCAGAGACTTCACTTGCAGGGTGTAGCACAGTGGTAGCACAGTGTTCCCCTGCCACAATTTTTCTTGCACTAATTTGCGCTACATACAACGTAGTACTACATTCATTATTGTAAAGCAAACATTGTACTGTAGTAGATACAAATGATATTACATAATAGTGATATGAGGCAAAAAAACGTCATACTCATCTGGAGTACAATCTTTAATTTACAGTCCACCTAAAATGTACTCCCTCCGTGTTATTTGTATGACGTTGATTCGTTTAAAATTAAACAAACCAACTTTATATATTTAGGAAAGGAGGTAGTACTAGTGAATAGAGAATAAACTATATTAAACATATTTTTATACGGGTAGCGAGATTGTCCACTTGTAGGGCTGTCGGAGGCGATGGCCTATGGGTCCTTGCCGCAGCCCATGAGAGCGTGAGTGAGCAGCATGGCGCCGCGGCGGGTCGCCTCCGCCAGCCGGCCGACCACCGGGAAGCTCACCGTGTCCCTGTTCTTGAGAGGCTTCTTGTCCCACCAGTCTTGGTGCTTCACAACCTTGCCGTCCTCGACGTCGAGCGTGATGAGCGACGCCAGGTCGATGGCCCTGCCCAGGAACTTGTAGTGCTGCTTGTTGTCGATCAGTATCTGAAACAGATCGATTGATTGTTAATTCCTCTGTTAGTGATCAGCATGATAGTCAAACACTGTCGATGAAGTTTGGGTTGATTAGTTACCTCGACTTTTCCGGGCGCGGTTTCGTTTTCTGTAATTGTGTACTCCACGATTTTGGATTCACCGAATAACTGATGAATCATACAGGCATAGTATATTACAGAGAATTCAGTTTGAAATAAGTTTTGGTTGTGTGGAGGTGGAACATGACAGATATGATGTTACCTTGGGGAGTGTGTAGAAGGCCGATTTGATCTGCTTAACCCTGGAATGAAAGAAAGAATGAAAGAGAAGAAGGGATATTTTTTTTTTCGGGAATACGTAAGAAGCGCATCTTTGTATTAAGAGGAGTAAAAGTCTGTACAGGTTAAAGGGAAAACACAGCAGGAGACGGGATTATAGGAAGTCACCCAAGAACATTAAACCCTAATCTCGCGATACAATGTTGCGACCTGAGCGCTCTAAAGGCGTGGCCGGTATGGCAGTATTGGCGAGCCGCCACAGCGCTGCCTCTTCCGCCATTGCCCTTGCCACTTCTGTCCAGCTTCTGTGCTTCTGGTTGAACACCCTGTTATTTCGCTCCTTCCAGATAGTCCATGTTGCGAGAGTAGCAATGGTATTGAAACCTCGCCGTTGAGAGCTCGGTAAGGTTTCCCTCTTGTCACATAACTAGGAGTGGAATGAGGTTTCATTGATGGGCAAGCATTCCGAGTAGGGCTGTCAAAAAAGCTCGAGACTCGCGAGCAGCTCAAGCTTGGCTCGTCCTAGGCTCGATTCGAGCTCGACTCGAGCTCCAAACGAGCCGAACTCGAGCTTGAGTAAAAGCTCGCGAGCTTTACCGAACCGAGGTTGAGCTTCTACCGAGCCTAACCGAGCTTGGCTGTGTACAGTCTATATTGCATGTTCACCTTATTAATATAATAAACTAATAGATAAATATATATATTTGTATCTATTTACACAATAAATTAGCATGTGTTAGCACAATATATTTATTTTAATCATTTTCTACTCTTTTATTAGTGTGATTAACTAGAAAATAATTAGACTTATCAAGAGATTATTATTAAAATATATATTATACTACTTATGGCCGAGCTCGGCACCGAGCTCGAGCTCGAGCTCGAGCTCGAACGAGCTCGAACCGAGCTTGCCTAAAAGCTCGAAGGTGCAATAGGCTCGGCTCGAGCTTGTGTCGAGCTCGAGCTTAGGCAGACGAGCTCGCTCGAGCTAGGCTCGTTGACAGCCCTAATTCCGAGCAACCGATTGCCGAGAGCAGTAGCCACCAGAGCTGTCTTGATTCTGGGCATGCGACCAAAATGTGGTTGATGCTTTCCTCGTACTGATCGCATAGGACACACATGCTGGGATGGGGCAAGCCCCTGATGCTTAACCTGTCCGCCGTCCAGCAGCGGTTGAGTGCGACCAGCCAGCTGAAGTAACGGCAGCGTGGCGGCGCCAGCGATTTCCAGATCGGCGTGGATTGGAACGGGATTCGACCGAGGAACAATGCTTGGTAGGCGGAGCGGGAGGAGTACATGCTTGAACTTTCCCATTTCCAAATAAATTGGTCCTGGCGATCCGAGAGCTCTATCTCCCGCAACAACGACCAGAGATTGAGATACTCTACGATGGCCTGCAATCCGAGGGCTCCTCATATATCGCGGATCCAAGCTCTGTTGAGTAGCCCCTCTGCTACCGTCCTTCGTCGTCGGGTTCGCTTGGGTACTCGATCATAGAGTGCCGGTGCTAGTGAGCAGATGCAGGAACCATCTAGCCACCGGTCTTCCCAGAAGAGCGTAGTCGTGCCATCACCAATCTGTCAAGTCATGGATGCAGCCACGAAACACTGTTCTTTCGGAGAACAGGGGATGGAAAGGCCTTGCCAAAGAAGAAGAGATATGATGGATCGATGGTGAGGAAACAAACGTAGACGTACCCATGAGCTCGCATAAGCGGGTCCTCGAATGTGGCATGCGCCGCGTAAATCTCGAAGTCCCGAGCCGTCGCGCACGATCCGTATCTGCAACATATGCGTGCAACTTTTTTTTTTTTCTGTCTTGTTTCGTCACCGAATCAACAACACAGAGCTAAGCAGAGAACAGGTGAACGTACATGTTGAGGAGATGCGGCATGATGTGCCGGGAGACGGGCGAGGCTGCCTTCTCCTCTTCCATGGCTCCTCCTGCAGTCGTCGTGGTGGAGAAGAAGGAGAACCAGAGCCCGTCGACGGCGGCGGCAGCAGTCGCGCGGCGGAGATTGAGCATGCAGGCCAGGATCGGATCGAGCGGCGGTGGCATTCATTCAAATGGCGAGAAGAGAAGCGTACTAGTCTAGTCTAGTCGCCTACCCTGCCGTGGTTGACTAGTCCAGTTGGCATGCGCGGCGGAGGAGGGCGCTACGTCGGCGGGACAATCCGGTGGCGAGGACGACGACACCACGACGCTTTTCTTCTTCTTTTTTCCTTTTTTTCTTCTTTTTTTTTTCGTCTATGGAACACTTACGGCCCAGAGGATTTTTGGTAGGGAAGTACATCAAAGGTCCCTCAACTTGTCATGGAGATACAAAAGGAAAAGGTACACCGAAGAGAATGCTTGATGGAGATTCTTCGCCGCGCCGAGCAGACGACCAAGACCAAGACTTTCATATGACAGAAACAGCACCCTAGCTTTTCCTGTTACATCTCAAATTGTATTTATTTTGTTCGCCTAGCACCTAAGGGAGAGAAGAATGGAAGGAGGAAGTAGAAAGAAAGTCAGTTTCATCAGTACATAATCACAGGTGTTGCTTGATATATTGTAGGACCAGGTGTGCCATTGTATCCTGTCTACAGAGCAGTATTCTGAATTCCTGATTGTTCATTAATGCCATCATGGTAGATTAATTGGTTATATCATCTGAAAGATCCAAATGAGCATAGTGCAGTTAAGTATAGCACCAAGTTCACTGGTTGTTAACAAGACTAGTACTGCTACAAAGCAAATACTCCAATGGAGGTAACAAGAGATATTCAATTATCAGGTGCAAACTCATATATCATCTCTAATCATTAAAAGAAAACCGACATGTTCCGTATAAGTTTCTGACATTTTGCATGCAAAAAGCTATAGTAATTTTACTTTGAACTCTGAAGATACAACGCCATGAAGCTAAACCCAAGCAAATCAAACTGTCTGAGCCGATCGAATTACATCAGAATCCACACGCTTTGGTCTCATCACAGATTGCACATGCGCTCTCAGCATGTGTGCCTCTCAGCCGGGCTCCGTGAGCGCGATGTCGGCCTTCTTCAGTGCTAGCGCGTGCGATGTTGGCTGTGCCGATGTCGGCCTTCTTCAGCGCCAGCGCGTTCATGCCGTTGCCGGTCATCCCGCACAGGTGGCCCTCCCGTTGAATGATCCTCACGATCTCGTACTTGTGCTCCGGGAACATGCCGGCGTCCACCGGAAACCTGAAATTACACAAAGGATGGAACATAAGTTGCCTAGCTACTCAATAATGATGGATTCGATATACCACATATTTTTATTAAAGTTCTCTACCTCAATTAGGTTTTTGTCAACAGTGAGATGGTTGAGAGTGAGAGTTCCAATTTTGTCACAGCAGAGAACATCCATTCCTGCCATTTCTTCTATGGCTGTCATCCTTTTAGTGATAGCACCTTGCCAAAAATTAATTAATTTTAGTAATGATATGTGATATACTGTCTGTTAATTGAAGAAACATGACAACAATATCTTGGACACACCTGTTGAGACAGGTGATGAGAACCTATTGCAAGTGTGACTGACAGAACAGTAGGCATTGCGATCGGTATCCCTCCTCTCAGAAGAACAAGAACATTGTTGATTCCATCTCCGTATGACCGGTGCTGGATTGGGAACATGATTATAACCTCAACAATCACACCAATGGCGATTGAGCAGATACAGAACTTGCCTCTGGAGGTAAGAACCTGAAAATTCACTAGTTAGAAACAGCTGACAGCACATCCACTTGCGAGGTTCTTATAATCTTATTACAGTCTGAAGATTGATGAATCACCTTCTGAAAATGCCCAACAACCTCAGTGGAGTCCACTAGATGAGCTGCCTTGCCAAAGAAAGAGTGTATCCACTAGATTCAGAGGTGACAGAACCTAAACTAGACATTCATGCAAAGCATGTATTGGATCTCTTAGACGGCCGTCTATATGCTACTGTGCCTCAACAGGGTGTGGTCTCACCTTAACATTGGGGATGCATTTGCGTTGGAAATCCATCGTATAGAACTAATTAATAGCAAAATGCATCAAATTATTAGGCTACTAGCTTTATACCAATCTGTGCATCATAGTTTTTTTTTTCATTGTATTGTTCTCAATACTCATATCAAATAATTTATCGTGATTATATTATTGATTGTTTTTTGTGTAGTTCCTGACCTCTGATTCTGTAGATTTGCTACACCTCATGTATCTATATGCAAATGACATTATTGCTTAGACAGAAACAACAGCTTGAGTCTCCACCAAGTGCAGCGTAAACACCAGTATGGTAGGAGTAATTTCTTATGTAACAGTAACATGAGGAGAGGAAACCAAAAGCCATGCTGTGCAGAGACAACCAATACAGTTAATCGTTAAAAAGATAAATGATTCCACATTACTATTTTTTTTAACACAAAACATTAGCCAAAATTAGTGGCGTGGAATAACCTTCTTCCACGAATCGCTAACCTAGTTCTTACTCAGGATCAAGATAAGTTTCATTGGAATTTAACCCAAAATGGAGAGTTTTCAGTGAAGTCGCATTATCTTGCCTTGGTACATTCAGATTTGCCCAACATAAACAAAGTAATTTGGAAATTAAAAATACCGCTTAAAGTGAAGATCTTCCTATGGTATTTACGTCGTGGGGTAGTTTTGACAAGGGATAACCTAGCTAAGCGCAATTGGCAAGGAAGTAAGAATTGTTGCTTTTGTCACAAAGATGAGACAATATTACATTTGTTTTATGAGTGCAGATTTGCCCGTTTTGTGTGGTGCATTATACAAGTGGCTACAGGGCTTTTCCCGCCACGTGGTGTATCCAATATGTTTGGTAATTGGCTACGGGGAATTAGGAAAGACTTGAAGTCACTTATCCTGTTAGGGGCAGCCACTATTTGTTGGTCATTATGGCTTTGCAGGAATGATATGGTGTTTGACAAAAGAAAAATCTCTTCTCCTTTACAGGTTATTTTTTTAACTATCCACTTCCTTCGTACCTGGGCTATCCTTCAGAAGCCTGGTTCACGGGATTTGGTTGCAGCGGCGTGTTAGCGCTTGGAGCAGGTGGTCAGGGAATGTTTTACCCAGGGACATGGGTGGCGGTCTAGCCTGAAGATTGGTGCTCCCTGATTTTTACTGCTTTCCTTCTCTTGTTACAAACTCTTTTGTGGGTTTGTGTGTTTTGGCTGTGTGCATCCTAGTTATGCAGAGGCCGGGAGTTTTCTTAGTATGGTTCTATCAACTTGATGTAATCGTCTGAGATTAATAAAAGCTTCCTTTATCAAAAAAAAACATTATTAAGTTGAACAACAGTGAGGTAAACAAGCAACATGCTTCCTTATTCAGCTCCAATGTCCCAGAAGCAACAATGACAGTTTGGATCTGTATCAGGCAATATTTGTGCAAGTTTCTGCCTTCTGCATGTTTTATTTGTGGATAAAAGTAGGACTAAAGAAGTAGAAATGACAATACCCAGAAGCGAGGTAGATGATCGTCCACAAGAATAGCCATCAAGGAGAGCCAAAACCACCACCACCAGGAGTGAGAATCTGAAGAATCTCACCAGCATTAACCATAACAGTGTTCTTCCCTCCAAGGTAAACTCTACGACCATCTTTCTTGACGAGATAGTTTGCACCACGGGCCCCATTTCTTCCTCCCTTCAGTCCCCTGGGAGCATGCACCCTTCTCTCTGAAAGAATGCTCACAACAACAGGCTGGCAAAATTCAATCTCTCTCACAAGGCCATCACCACCTCTGTGGAAACCAGAACCTCCACTGTTCTCCCTGATGCTAAATCTATGTAAAAGAACAGGGTATCGCTGCTCAAAGATCTCTGGGTCAGTCATCCTTGTGTTTGTCATGTGACACTGAACACCACTTGTACCATCCCAACTCGCCCCAGCTCCTGAACCGCCTCCAATGGTCTCATAGTAACCGAAGGTGTCGTCTCCAAATGTCAAATTGTTCATGCAACCCTGGGAGCAGGCGCATGCTTGGAAAGCCATTAGGACTACGTCCGTCACTCTCTGAGAGGTCAATACATTACCACCAACCACTGCAGCTTTGTCACTTGGAGAAAGGAAAGAGCCTTTAGGAATTAGGATCTTCACAGGAGCTAGGCAGCCTTGATTTAGAGGTATATCAACGTCGACCAAGCACCGTAAGCAGTATATCACAGCAGCCGCTGTTACTGCTTCAGGAGCATTCCAGTTACCATACACCTCAGGACTGGTGCCTTCAAAGTCAAAGGTTGCTTCGCCTTTACTTGAATCAAGGGTGAGCTTCAAATGGAGCACAGAACCATCATCCATGTAATCTTCATCTTCGATGACACAAGACCCATTCTCCTTTTCAACTCTCGATGCAACTACCTTAAGCATTTCTCTAACAGCTTCTTCAGCATTGTTTTGGACATGATTCATATAAGATTGAACAGTGATCAAACCATACTGATTTATCAGTTCTTTGATAAGTGTTATTCCCCGCTGGTTTGCTGCCACCTGAGCATGGAGGTCAGAAAGATTATCTTGGATCTTACGTGTTCCTGGAATCTTATGGTTTGTAAGTTCATCATAGGACGGTGACTGTAGCAAGTGAATTATTCCTTCCTCTTGGAAAACACCTCTCTCAACAAGTTTAAATGCTTTGATGGCAGCACCTTCCTCCCAGATGCTTTTTGAGAAAGGAGGCATGCTTCCTGGGGTGATACCACCGATCTCTGCATGGTGACCTCTACTAGCAACAAAGAAGATAACTTTACCTTCATTGAAAACAGGTGTGACAACTGTTATGTCTGGAAGATGGCTACCCCCAGAACATGGATGATTCGTTACAAGAACATCACCCTCATGGAGATTATCACCCCAATATTTGAGTTGCCAACGCACGGTGCTAGACATGGCTCCCAAATGCACAGGGACATGAGGGGCATTTGCGACAAGGCCACCATCCGGACCAAAGAGAGCACAAGAAAAGTCCAGTCTTTCCTTTATATTGGTAGAAATAGAAGTTCTTTGAAGTGTTCGACCCATCTGTTCAGCAATACCCATGAATCGATGATTGAAGATAGAAAGTTGGACCACATCAGCAACTGTCTCTGATACTTCTACACTGCTTGGAGCAGCACTTATCTCAATTTTTATGTTACCATACTTGGTGATGATAGCTTTACAGTCTTTTTCTACTATCACTGTACTGTTCCCATTCATTATAACTGCAGGACCCTTCAATACATGCCCATAGCCCAAATTCTGAAGCTTGTAAAGTGGTGTTTCCTGCCATCCGTATGAAAAATAAATTCGACATGAACTTTCTGGCACAGGTTTGGTTGATACTGGTGTCAGTTCATGAGGCTGCAAGATATTTGTAGCACCAACTCCCTGAACCCTCACATCACATATGAGTATTTTTCTGTTTAATAATTTGAAGCCATACTCTTGCTGAAACAGTTTCACAAACTCATCAGCATAATCACTTCCAGATTCCCTCTCTGGTTGTTTAACCATGATTGCTGTATCGGTTCCCTCGTACCTCAAGTTCAAGTATGAATGTGTCCTGATGCTGTCCTCTCCAAAACCCTGCTCTATTAACTTTTCTTTCACCTGCTTAACTAAAAGATCTACTCTTCGAGATGCCTCTGCAGCAGAATCAACATTATAAATAGCAGAGTATGGCTCTTGCAAATCTTCAATAACATCAGCAAGGCCCATTCCATATGCACTCAATATGCCACAGTAGCGATGAATAAGTAACTCAGACATGCCAAGGGATCTTGCCATAGCACATGCATGTTGAGGACCAGCACCACCAAAGCATGCGAGAGCATGGTTCTTAGTGTCATGCCCCTTCATTTCGGTCAACTGCCTTATAGGTCGGCACATCGCCTCATTTGCAACATTAACAAAACCGAGGGCAATCTCCTCAACCGTCATGTCCTTTGCTGATGGATCCTGACTCTTTCGGTGAGAGTTTATCTCAACAGCAAGAATCTCAAATGCCTTTTTAGTAGCGTCATAATCAAGGGGTAAATCTTCGTTAGGACCAAATATGGATGGGAAGTACTCAGGAATAACAGTTCCCAGAATCAAATTGGCATCAGTTATTGCCAGCTCACCACCTTTTCTATAGCATACAGGACCAGGATGTGCTCCAACAGAATCTGGCCCAACCTTGAAAGCTCCAAACTGAAACTTAAGCTTCGATCCACCACCAGCAGCCACCGTGTTTATGTCAAGCTGGGGAGCTTGTATTATTGCCCCAGCAATTTGGGTCTCCAGAACTTGTTCATAGCTTCCATCGTAGCGGCTAACATCTGTGGATGTACCACCCATGTCAAATCCAATCAGCGGTTTTGATGTCTCAAGTTGAAACAAGGTCTGAGAGTAGCCAACCACACCACCTGCAGGACCTGACAACACTGCTTTGTGCCCGGAGAATCTCCTCTCTGGTGCCAGACCACCATCTGACTGCATAAACAGCACATTCACCTGCTCACCTCCCCCTTCAAACCTGGACATGAATCCTGATAGGTACTCTTTGATGACTGGTGTGAGATAAGCATCCACACTGGCTGTCAAGCCACGAGGCACAGCACGGACCATCGGCGTCAATGATGAAGACAACGATACATGCTTGAATCCCATCTCAAGAGATAATTTCTCAATGAGAAGCTCATGCTGAGGATAAGTATATGAGTGCATTAAAACCACTGCCAAACATCTTATTCCTTTGTCAAGCAAACCTTTCAACAAAGGCTTCAATGCTTCTACATCAACCGGCTTCGCCACCCTGACCAATTCCCCTGAGATCCCTTTAACAGATAAACCATCATCCCTCTCACCATCACCACCACCAACAAGTTCAACCCTCTCATCAACCTCAACCACCTCCTCATACAAATTCGACGGCTTTGACACCTTGAGATCGAATATGTTCGGCCGAGCCTGGTTACCAATCTGAAGCAAATCCCTGAATCCCCGGGTGACACACAGCGCGATCCTTTCACCCTTCCTCTCAAGAAGCGCATTCGTGGCCACCGTGGTGCCCATCCGAATCCAATCAATCTTGCCCGTGGGAATCTTGGACGACCGCGGGATCCTCTCCCCGGAGAACTCCTGGAGGATCCTCCTGATCCCTTCGATGGGGGCGTCGTCGTAGTTCGACGGGTCGACGGAGAGAAGTTTCATCACGTAGCCTTCCCTCCTCCCGGGCACCTCTGCGTAGATGTCGGTGAATGTGCCGCCCCTGTCAATGCAGAATCTGAATTTCTCCGTGCTACCCATCCTAACTTCGAGGTACTCTCAGAATCTGCGTCCTCTGCAAAACACCAAAACAGCAGCGTAGATGCAGGCAATTCAGATTAATCTGGTAATGGGTGATGGATTACTGTAATAAGTAGAAGGAGTTGTAGCACTGAGCTGTGCTGTGAATTAATCAAACAAAGGGGGATAAGAGCGCCAGGGGCGGATCCAACTTGGGACATGGGGGGTTCAGTTGAACTCCCAAATTTTGGGGGAAACAAACAATAAACTGTTACTTGTATTTTCTCGTGAAATAGCTTCTTCCAGAACTAGAAAAGAAGCTAGGGGTTAACGAACGCAAGCAAATTCCAGACAGACGTAGCCCCGGTGGGGTGGGAGAGAGAGAGAGAGATGAATCAGAAGCTCACCAGGATCCCCTCCCCTGCTCTGCTCGCCACCGTGCTCCAACCCTGCCACCGTCACCGTGCTGCGTCGCCCCAGTTGCCGTGCGCCGTGCTGCCGCCGTCACCGTGCGCTGCCGCCTAAACCGTCGCACCGAGAGAAGGAGGGAGGAAGCAGCCTCTGGCTCTGCCGCCGCTGCCTCGCTCGTCTCCCCTTTTTCTCCTCGCGATAAGGCCCGAGTCGACGAGTGGGCGGCGCGACGGTTCGGCTGGATCCAAGGTAATGCGATGGCATTTCCTGTAATTTCGATGAAAGGGGACGGGTAGCGCTGTAATTATTTTCAGAGTAGGACGTGGAGCCACGTTTTCGCCACTCCACCTCGCTAAGTCGCTAGTACTCTGTTTCTAAATGTTTGACACCGTTGACTTTTTAGTTTGTGTTTGGTCATTCGTCTTATTAAAAAAAATTAACTAATTATTTATTCTTTTCATATAATTTGATTCATTGTTAAATATACTTTCATGTACACATATAATTTTATATATTTCACAATTTTTTTTAATAAGACGAACGGTCAAACATGTGTTAAAAAGTCAACGGTGTCAAACATTTTGAAACGAAGGGAGTATAAATTTCTGGAGCGATTCACTTGGCTCCCGCTCCAATTGACCATTTGGCCGTGGGAATCTTGGACGACCGCATGATCCTCTCCCCGGACAACTCCTCGAGGATCTTCCTGATCCCTTCGATGGGGGTGTCGTCGTAGTTCAACGGGTCAACGGAGAGAAGCTTCATCACGTAGCGCTAGCGCCTTCCCCTACCTCAAGAACCCCCTCCCGATGCTGGACATCGCTGACGGATCGTTTGGCTCCGGCGCCGCGGCGATGTGCTAGGACTGCGGTAACCAAGCAAAGAAAGACTGTGGCCACCAACATTGCCGCACGTGTTGCAAAAGCCGCGGCTTCGGTTGCTCCATCCACGTCAAGAGCACCTAGGTGCCCACCGCTCGCCGCCGTGAGCACCAACAGCTCACTGGCTCATCCCCGTCTTCCCCCGCAACCGCCTCTACCACAGCCACCGCTTCCGCCTCTGCCTCCAAGAAGCCTTGCCTTCTCACCTCCCAAACGACGACGTCGCACACCTTCACCTCCGATGCCACCACGCCCGCAGCTTTGACACCACCTCCAGCCATCAAGTAAAACGCCATTGATACCAGCGCATGTTCATCAATACATACGCGCAATTCGGCATGTTTGTCTCCTACGAATCTACAAACAGCTCAAATTATTAAGCTTGTGCCATTTTTTGCAGATGTGTTGTTTAGGAGAGCTTGCCAATGCAGGTGTGCACACCGGTGGTGTTTAGGTGAGAGGAGAGGAAAATATGAAAGAAAAAGAGGCCGACGGAGAGGTGGCCAGGCCGCCGCTGCTCCCTATCGCCGTCCCCACCATCGCTCCCCACCGCCGCTCGGGGCAAGGTGAAAAAAGAGGCCGGGGGAGAGAAAGAGAGATAAGGGAGAGAGAGAGGGGGGAAGGAGGAGGAAGAAGGGAAGGAAAGGGAGAATGACATGTGGGGCCCACATTGTCGATGGGTCCCACTTGTGTGTGTTTGTGAGTGACATGTCAGTCCTACAAAATTACAAAATTTTGCCTTTTGTTTTACTCTAGTTCCACATAAGCAACGCGTCGACGACACGTGGGACGAAGACCGGATCGACAGTACCACGTAGGTGCCACGTCAGCTAAAACCGCTTGCAAACCCACCTAAGGAGTCAAATTGTATCTGTTTTAATAGTTCGGGGAGTTTTCTTATCCAGCTTTCTGGTTAAAGGGCACAAATTAGATTCGGCCGATATTTAAGGAAGTCAAATGAGCTTTTTCCTTGTTTAATAATAAATCCCTCTGTCAGCCGCCCAACAAATACCAGCGTAATCAAATCATATGATGTGGCAATTAATATTAGCAGCACGGTTTTTAAATTTCCCCTCGTGATCGCGCACAAGATGTAGACAAGATGCTCCGTATTCATGACATGCAAAATAGATGATTATAGTACTTTGAAATCGCAAAATAAACATGCGGACAACCTTTGTTATACCACCCGTCTCACGGCCACCGGCAGATCGGATTATTAACTACTCCTTGATTAGCTACAGTACTTTGGAAAAAAAAACGTTGACTGATCAAAATTTATACGGCGACACATAAAAGTATATCCTAAATTTATTTATTTTGACGCACATTATTATTGCCACAACAAAGCCATCGCACAGAATAATACTAACATATTAGCATAGTACACGTATTCCAAATACTAGTTTCCACTGTGTGCACGACACGGTATGTCCGGACGTGCACGTATCTCCATTGCTAACGTATTATTACCACTATAAATACAAACCGGTCAAGTTTGAAGAGTCAGTCCACCATCGGTTCTGTACATAGTAAAATAAAATAAACTAGCAATACATACAGGAAGCATAAAAGATTTAATTCAAATCCAAATCCAAACTCAACCCAAAGCTTGGCAAGGGTTATACACGGCGTTGATCATGTGGCTCACACGCGGAGGAGTAAAGACACGAGACTTTCTGATCCGACTAGAGGCCACGTGCCACAAGCATCACACAGAACAAGAGGCACGCACACGAGAAAAACAAAAACCAAAAATAAATAGGGAGAGAGAGGAAGGGGAGAGTTTTATAGCGTGGTGGGAGTGGGGAGACCAGACCAGGAAAGGAGACGGAGACCCGATTCGTTCCCACCTCCTCGCCGCCCACCGCTCTCCATCTCCTCTTCTTCCTCCTCCTCCTCCTCTCGTCGTCCTCGTCGCCGTCTCGTCTTCTATTTATTTAGGAGTATTTTTTTTTCATCTATCTATCTGTATCTATCTATACCCCCCGCCTCCCCGATTTTTCTTCTTCTTCCTCCTCTTACCTCGCGTCGCCGCCGCGGGCGTCAGCGCTCGCGTCCCCCGTGTCTCGTTTCGTCCATCACAACTCGCTCTCCGTGCGGCGGCGGCGGCGGCGATCCCCGATCGGGCGACTCCGGCGATTGCGAGGTAACTAGCGTCTCTCCTCCTCCTCCTCCCTTCTCGAGGTTCGCTCGATTTGGGCGCGTGTCGAATTCGGGAGGCTGGTTTGCTCTGATTGGGCTTGTACAGATTGCTTGCTTGCTTGGTTTACGTGCGCAGCCGCAGCGTGCTTGTTTTGCTAAAAGGGCGGCTTGGAGAAATTTTTAGCTGACATCGACCGAGCTTGTTGCGCCGCCGCCATTATCGTGCGACGACTTAACTGAATCCGTTTGCAGTTTTCTGCTATGCGGCGTCAGTTAGTTCAGTTTCCTCCGTGCGGGGGGTGGGGCAGGGTGCGGTACATGGGTGGGGGCGATGAACTGTGTGGCACATCGAATTTACTGCAGTAATCTGACAAGGGAATTGCAATTGTAAGGATATAAGGGAACTGCTTCTGCTGTGATTCTCAAGTGCTGCAACCCTAGGTGGCTTCCGCAGTGCCCAGCCCAGGTGGTCCAATGACTTGTACAGTAGGATAGTTGCTACTCGTGTGCACATTGCACAGTAGGTGGGGTGTGTGAAGGGCCACAAAACACCTCTTGTTATTGCTTCTTTTGTTGCATATATGCTACTGCAATCAGCTATGATTTTGTTCAGTCTGTGATTTGTTAATAGACAGTTGCCCCTGTCCGAATGGGTCCTCTGAATGTCAAAAATTTCTGCCACTGTTTCATCGAGCTTTTTTATTTGTGGGATGGGATTTATATCTAGGTGATATTAACTGCCACATTGAATTGGTTGCTAGCTGTTAGGGAGTATTTTTCATCTGTCAGTCAGTGGAACTCAGGTCTGCAGTAAGTTTGTTCATGATTGAGAGCATATAGCTTATATCTCACCCAACTGCTAACTTCAGGCAGATAGGAACAATTACACTTTATTTTGTTGCATGCTATCCCCCTCTGTGGATCTAAAGCTTTGCTGCCCATTTTTAGATCCATCTTGCTTGTCATGTTTTCTCTACTTCATTTTTTAACAACAGTTTGCAATGCATTCCGTTTTGGGCAATTATATGATATACATTTTTCTGCTTATTAATCTTAACAGGTTGAAATTAATACATTGATGCTGTATCATCACAGAGGCGGTCTTTCTTAATCTTCAATATTTTCTTAGAGCTAAACGGTTATATTTTGGTGTCTTCTTAGCAACAATGCCATCTCTTCAGTTATTGCAACTGACAGAGCACGGACGCAACCTTTTGTCTTCGAGAAGGTGTGCTGTTTTAACATTGTCTTTCTAAATTTTAGTAAGTCGATCATTTAGTTCTTATCTCATGTTCCTTGTTCTTTACAAACATCAACAGGAGAACTCTTGCAGTTGTTTCTGGTGCGTTACTTGCGGGTGGAACTTTAGCATATGCTCACTCAGCTCGGCGCCAAAAACGTCAGGAAGAATATTCTCATAGTGATGCAAGTACACAGACCACGGGTAATCAGAGCATTTGTCAAAATGGTGTTGATGGTAAATTGGTAAAAACAAGGAAAAAGAAAAATGGGTTGAAATCCTTACAATTTCTGGCTGCTATTTTGCTTAAAAAGATTGGTCCAAATGGAATAAATCATCTTCTCGGCTTGATGATAACAGCTGTAAGTTCGATGGTTCTCTTTAGTGTGGGTGTTTTTGTTTGACATTCTGATAATATTGTTCTGAATTTAATAACTTGTATGGCCATCTATGCTCTACACCTTGAATGTGTATTCTACTTCATGGACTAAGCATATTGTGCTTGTTATCTACATTTCCAAGTATTTATCTGCATTTTATGCTAGAGTTTAATATGTTACTGAGCTTTGCTGACTTGGTTGCTGATTAGTTATGATATGTTGTATCAGTTAGTTAAACTCTCGATCATTGAGCTATAGCATACCATGATAGGAAGTACCATTTCCAGCCTTGTCTGACTACATGTAAAAACTCTATAGAGCTTGGGTTTTCATATTTCTTTTATATAAATAAAATCTTGCTTCTGCAGGTGTTACGTACTGCCGTTGGCCACAGATTAGCAAAAGTTCAGGGCTATCTATTCAGGGTTGCATTTCTTCGGCGTGTTCCAACCTTTACACGCCTGATTATCGAAAATCTTCTTTTATGCTTCCTTCAGTCCACAATATATCAGACCTCCAAGTACTTGACAGGGTCCTTAGGTTTGCACTTTAAGAAGATTTTGACAGATCTTGTCCATGCTGATTACTTTGAGGTATGTTGCTTTATGAAGTTGAAATCTTCATTCTTTTTGCACCTTAAATTTCACATGATTACACTTACTGTTTATTTTTTTCTTTCTCCACGTATATAATCTACTCCCTCTGTTTCATATTGTAAGTCGTTTGACTTTTTCACTAATCAAACTTCTTTAAGTTTGACCAAGTTAATAGAAAAATATAGTAGTATTATCAACACAAAACAAACATATTATCAAAATATATTAAATGCTAGCTTTAATGAAACTAATGTAGTATTTTAGATGTTGCTATTTTTTTTCTATAAACTTGGTCAAACTTAACAAAGTTTGACTAGGAGAAAAGTCAAACGACTTATAATATGAAACGGAGGAAGTAAGATACTTGATACTCTCCAATTACGCAGTGAACAGCTATAGTTAATTCGATAGGCTTTGTTGATAGAATAATTGATGAACAGTGAGACAAAATGCTTGCTACAAACAGAGCAACTGAAAAGGTTACCTTATTCCTGATTATAGAAAAGCAATAGCACACCTTAAACAAAAAGGAGGCTATTTACTTAAGTCAGTTAAACCCCATAGAGTTAAGTCACTCCTGTTGCTGAAATGTACAGGAAAATAGAATTACTGTTTCATCTTTTCGGAGTTTTCAGTCTATCTGCACGAATACCAAATTTTCCCTTCTTCTGTAGTGAAGTTTTTGTATATTACTTGGGTTTGCAGCTACTTCTGTAGAATCGTTGAGTCAAATAGATATGAAAGTTATTATAGGTCACATTGGAGGTTCTAGTTATTTGACTTTGACTTTTTGTACTCAATAGCTTTCCATGATCTCATGCTGTAGAGTTCATCATGTAAAATGTAGATCGATTAGTTAGCTCATCTAATTTCCTTGGAAAGGTATCCAATAGTTTGGTCAATTGCTTGACGATTAATGTGTTGAACTGCATATTTAACATTACATGCCATTGATTCTTTTTCTCCCACCTTTTGTGTGCAGAACATGGTTTACTACAAACTCTCGCATGTAGATCACCGGATCTCAAATCCAGAACAAAGGATTGCTAGTGATATTCCTAAGTTCTGCTCGGAACTAAGTGGACTCGTACAGGATGATCTGACTGCAGTTGCAGATGGGTTAATATACATCTGGCGCCTCTGCTCTTATGCAAGTCCAAAATATGTTCTCTGGATTCTGGTAATTAACTCCCCCACCCCACCCCAATGGATGCATGCATGCATGCACCCTACAACACACACAGAGTAAAGGGTTGTTACGCTTTGTGAAATATAATATGACAACCTCTCCTGCTCTTTCACGTCAAAAAAGGAAATGAAACATCTTATGACAATGGTTGAAAAGTAGTACTCCTAGTTTGAGAAAACTGTGCTACCTTAATGTTTGTTTAATATATATTATGACTACTAGCTTGCTCATTATTATATAGATTGTCAACACTGGTAAATTGCTTTCAGGCATATGTACTTGGTGCTGGTGGTGCAATTAGAAAGTTTTCTCCTGCTTTTGGGAAATTAAAATCCATGGAGCAACAGCTAGAAGGGGAATATCGGCAGGTCCATTCACGTTTGAGAACCCATGCTGAGAGTGTGGCGTTTTATGGTGGTGAGAACAGAGAAGCATCGCACATCATGCAGAGGTTTCAGGCTCTTGTGAAGCATTTGAATGTTGTTCTTCATGAAAACTGGTGGTTTGGCATGATTCAGGATTTTCTTCTTAAGTATCTTGGTGCCACCGTTGGAGTTATCTTGATTGTTGAACCTTTCTTTGCTGGAAACCTTAAACCTGAATCATCCACTTTAGGACGGGCAGAGATGTTGAGCAATCTTCGGTATCATACTAGCGTCATAATATCATTATTTCAGTCTCTTGGAACCCTTTCTATCAGTTCAAGACGCTTGAATCTTCTCAGGTAAATGCACTGTCCTTGTGTGAAATGCTTGCCCTGTCATGTTATTTTTTTTTGGGGGGGGGGGGGGGTGCACTGTCACATGTTTAATGGACATTGATAAAGTAGTTGATGATACTTGATGGTTCTTATGATGTCATATGACATGTTTAACCTTTATGTAACCTCAGGTTCATATTTTGTTTATTTAGTGGAACTATAGGTTCTATCTATCATCATCACTCTAGTTCTTTGCTACTAAGAAATTAGTTATTCACTCTTAAACTTCGTTTCTGGAGTACAAACATAAAATTTTGACTTGTGGTTTCTAAGGAATATATTGGTGATTCATGTTTTTTGTGTGTATCAGTACTGTTGCGAATATGCAATTTAAGATTATCTGTTGATATATTTGAGTCCATCATATTCCAAGAATATCTTGTGCATTACAAGTATCTATGACTTCATAATTCCATTTGATAAATATCTTTTTGCTGATTAACTTTCTATTCTCATTAACAGTGGCTATGCAGATCGTATTCGCGAGTTACTGGATGTTTCACGTGAGCTATCTGGGGTTCGTGATCTATCTATGAATAAAAAATCTTCTGTAGACAATTATATCAGCGAAGCAAATTATATAGAATTTTCGGGTGTTAAGGTAATCATGATGGGGACTACTAGTTCTTCTGTCTGTTTGGTATGAAGAATTCTAATAAATGATTTGTTACAGGTGGTGACACCCTCAGGGAACGTCTTGGTTGATGATTTAACTCTTCGGGTAGAGTCGGGTTCTAATCTTTTGATAACTGGTAATAATCTATACCAAAATATGTGTCCTCTTAGTTTGGATTTGCGATTGAGCTATTGCAAATTCATCATGCTTATTGTAATGAAAACCTGATATTTGCACATCACTTTTTAACACGCCCAATACAAGTTCTTTTATGATTGCCATCTGATGTAAACATTAGTTGACACTGGGTAACTACTGTGCTGATGGGCAAATTGTATTATGCCGAGGGAAAGGGCTTAGGAGAAGCGACTGGAATGGACTTTTGGAATGAGAACATTTATTGTTTATCTTGCTCCCCTCGTTGGCAATAACTGTCCTTTATGTAGTGATAACACTTAACAACTGTCTAAACTTTTGATCTAAAGATAATATTAGATACCATGCACTCCATATATCCATGGATGTAGGTTGCTGTCGGATCCCTGTGATCAACCTTAAATTTGACTCTTAAATGTACGCATAATTATATATATTCTTTCTAGACATTTTGTTTGTATATGTGTGACACTACTTGTATGTTTTGGTGCTTTTTCATGAAAGTTACAGCCATGGAAACTAATTTTATAATGCATGTTTGCTCATTTTCAGGTCCTAATGGTAGTGGAAAAAGCTCCCTTTTCCGGGTTCTTGGGGGACTGTGGCCACTTATGTCAGGCCACATTGTGAAACCTGGTGTTGGCTCTAATCTTAACAAAGAAATTTTTTATGTTCCCCAGCGACCATATACAGCCGTTGGAACACTTCGGGACCAGCTTATCTATCCACTTACAGCAGACCAGGAAACTGAACCACTTAGCTATGGTGGCATGGTGGATCTTCTAAAGAATGTAATACTCATAATTATCCACTTGATAGATTGGCATCTTTAGCTGCCTCATTGCACTTGTTTGTGACTATTTTGTCCCAAGTACCTAGAAAGTGTTACTGGAAAACCTTAGTTTTTTTCTTCCCTTTTGGTAGGTGGATCTGGAATATTTGCTAGAACGCTACCCTCTTGATAAGGAAGTTAACTGGGGTGATGAATTGTCTCTTGGAGAGCAACAAAGATTGGGAATGGCCCGGCTGTTCTACCATAGGCCAAAGTTTGCCATCCTGGATGAATGCACTAGTGCTGTGACAACTGATATGGAAGAGCGTTTCTGCAAAAGGGTTCAAGCAATGGGCACATCATGCATAACAATCTCTCATCGTCCAGCATTAGTTGCATTTCATGACATCGTTTTGTCTTTGGATGGAGAAGGAGGGTGGACAGTTCAGGAAAATAGGTTATCCTCATGATGATTTTTATCTCCTTATTTATTTATATATAATATGAAATGCAGTTCTAAAAAGTTCGTTATTTCTCTTGTAGAAATGGCTCCTTTATCTCTGCTGAACCAGAGTTTGATGCATTGAACTCATCAGAAACTGATCGTAAATCTGATGCACTTGCTGTTCAAAGGGCTTTTATTGCCAACACAAAGGTAGTTATTATTCCATATTGCCTGTTCTGTTGTTATTGATTTTTTATGTACCATTCTTTTAACAGATTTTATTTGCTAGGGTAATGCTTTAATGGGCCCCAAGGATCATTCTTATTCTACACAGCTCATAGCCACTTCTCCCAATATGGAAATAGAACACACAGAACGGTCAAATCTAGTTCCACAATTACAGTGCTCACCAAGACCTTTGCCACTCCGAGCTGCTGCAATGTCAAAAATACTGGTGAGAAACATACATTTTTTTACGCTTATCAGTAATTCAGTATCTAGTATCCACTATTCAGAGATCTCTTCGACTCAAATTTGCTGATCGTCCACATGAAATAATTTTCTGGGATATTTGTTTGGCAGGTCCCTAAATTATTTGATAAGCAAGGTGGGCAGTTGCTTGCAGTGGCATTGCTTGTTTTCTCTCGGACTTGGATTTCAGATCGTATAGCTTCACTGAACGGTTGGCTTTTATCTTCATGTACTGGAGATAGATCTGATGGTATACCTTTTACTTAATATGTTTTCACAATCTTGATAGGAACGAGCGTTAAGTATGTCCTGGAGCAGGACAAAGCTGCCTTCCTTCGGTTAATTGGGATTAGTGTGCTGCAAAGTGCTGCAAATTCAATTGTGTCACCATCACTAAGGTAATATTGGTTCCCTGCAATTGAAATGTTCCTACCAGGATGCTTTGGGGGCAGTGCCAGGCAAATACTCCCTCCGTCCCCCAAAAAGGCAAACCCTGGGTTTCCGTGTCCAACTTTGACTGTCCGTCTTATATGAAAATTTTTTATAATTCGTATTTTCATTGTTGTTAGATGATAAAACATGATTAATATTTTATGCGTGACTTGTCTTTTTATTTTTTTCATATTTTTTTCAAATAAGACGAACGGTCAAACGTTGGGCACGAAAACCAGGGTTTGTCTTTTTTTGGGACGGAGGGAGTAGATAATACACTTTTTTTTTAAAGTAAAGTTCCTGAGCCTTTTTAACATATACTTGTCGGTGGGCTTAAGTTTTCCTTATAGTTCTGATATCTGTTTATGTTTGCCAGAAGAATGTATGTTCTACTTTCCTAGTCAGGATATTTAACTATTGTGCATTGGTAACTGATTTTGTGTATTCAAATTCACGGCTTGATAAATATTTCTATGCAGAAACCTTACTTCAAAGATTGCCCTTGGCTGGCGAATTCGCATGACCAACCATCTACTTCAATATTATTTGAAACGAAATGCTTTTTACAAGGTAAACTCTACTGATAGATTTGATTGTAAACATTGTTTTCTTGCACTTTCTAACATTTTTTTCTCTTTTACTTTTTTTTCCATGAAAGCTAAGCAGTTTGAGTTTTTCTTTTTCAGGTATTTAACATGTCAGGCATCGATATTGATGCAGACCAAAGAATCACACATGATGTGGAGAAGTTGACCAATGATCTTGCTGGCCTAGTTACCGGAATGGTGAAACCACTTGTTGACATTCTTTGGTGAGTTTGTCATGGTCTAAAATATTACCCAGGTGTTCTTTGATTAATCAGGTTTTCTTAGCAAGTCCACTATTACTCTCCAGGTTTACATGGAGAATGAAGATTTTGTCAGGGCGAAGGGGAGTTGCTATTTTGTACGCATACATGTTGCTAGGTCTTGGTTTTCTAAGAGCTGTTTCCCCTGACTTTGGTGATCTTGCAAATCAAGAACAAGAACTTGAAGGAACATTCAGGTTAGTGACATATGATTTGCGGTCATTGGCAAAGTTGACTTTATTACTAAGGAACTTCCAAGTATTGACCTTGTTAATTTCACAGGTTCATGCACTCAAGATTGCGGACACATGCTGAGTCAATAGCTTTCTTTGGTGGTGGATCAAGGGAAAAAGCTGTGAGTTTTTCATGTCTCATAAATGCTGCTTAAAATTTCTAGTTTCCACACTATAATTCTTGTGGGCAATATGTTTTTTGTGTATACAAATTTCTTGTTGCTTTTGAACATCTGGTACAGATCTGTTAGTAAATTTACATGCCCTAATATTATGATTATTTTATCGTAAATCAGATGGTTGAAGCTAAATTCACAACGATGCTTAACCACTCAAGGACTCTTCTGAGAAAAAGATGGCTATATGGTATTTTTGATGATTTCGTGACGAAGCAGCTACCTCACAATGTGACATGGGGGCTTAGTTTGTTATATGCTTTGGAACACAAGGGGGACCGAGCTTTGACTTCAACTCAAGGTTGATAAATTTTTCAAATCCAAATGATATTATTTTTGCATAGAATTTCCCAACAAGTTCTCAATTTCGGATTGCAGGAGAGTTGGCACATGCACTTCGATTCTTGGCATCTGTGGTGTCACAAAGCTTTATAGCTTTTGGTGATATTCTTGAGTTACATAAAAAATTCCTTGAACTGTCCGGTGGTATTAATAGGGTGTTTGAACTCGAAGAGCTTCTACAGACATCTCAAAGCAGTAAGTTCTCAGTACACTGTAAATTTTACTCGATTTTTTTTTTTTTGGATGAGAGACAGTAGGGAGAAACCAGACTATAAGGGGTTGGATCTGTACAAAAGAGGCTTTCTCCACTGTAAATATTAAGTACCCACTGTTAAAACTAACTATCCCAGCCACTGAGAGATCTCAAAATTAAGAAGTTACCAACTCTCAGAAATTCTAAATCAATAACGAGAAGTTTTCCCCATCATAAGTTATGGCCTTATGGGGCACCCATCAAATCCTCAATGGTTATTCTCAGTAACCAAGCCAGTGAGGTATCAGCTCAATAATCTACTACCAGTCTGTTGCACTCTCTGCAAACATATGCTTGAGTTTGAAGTTATGCCGTTCAAATATACTATGATGCTAATTTTTAATGGGTAATTAACTTCTGACATCTGCAAACTAAAGAACAGTTACTGTCTATATTACAGATTCTTAAATCTGTAAACTTTGTCGAAGGGTGCAAAGATGTAAATCTTCTGATACATCATGTCTATAAATAAAGAAAATTCTAAATTGACTGTCTTTCTGCTGTTTCCCTGGACACTGAAAACCATTTAGGAGTAGTTTTTAGTTGGAGCCCACATTCTTCAGTACAATATCTTGTCTGATATTGTCCCTGAATTAAAAAACATCATGTCTGGTATACACCTGTTAACTATCTTTAACTTTATAAGAAGCAACATGTGCTGATTTTAGGAACCTTCTCCTTGTTCAAAGCTACAAATCAGCACATGTTACTTCTTATAAAGTTACATCTTAAACAGATTTGCCATTGTTGATGAAATTGTCAAACTTGATGTTTTGCCATTTGTTATCTTAATGCTACGAATTGTAGCTTCATATGTTACTGTTGTTTTTCTAGATGCTGCCATGCCCTCTAATCCTATTATTGCGGCATCGGAAGAAATTATTTCCTTCCATGATGTGGATATCGTAACGCCATCTCAAAAGCTATTGGCTACCCAGTTATCTTGTGATGTATCTCAAGGAAAAAGCCTTCTTGTGACTGGTACATCATCTGGCAGCTTTTCGTCCTAGCTTTTATTTACTTTCATGTTTACATTATATGTTCTAATATCTATCATGCTGTTTTCTTAAGGCCCAAATGGCAGTGGCAAGAGCTCCATTTTTAGGGTGCTCCGAGGTTTGTGGCCCATCGCTTCAGGGAGGCTTACCATGCCGTCTGATGGCATCTTTCATGTTCCGCAACGTCCGTATACTTGTCTAGGAACCTTGAGGGATCAGATCATATATCCCCTCTCTCATGAGGAGGCAGAGTTGAAGGTTCTTTCATTATACAAATCAGGTTAGTGCCAGCTAACTTTGAAAAGGAAAAAATATCTGCCTATTTTAACTAATGAATTTTTAAGCACTCCTTTATTTTGATTATGGCTTTTAACAAACTTCTATGTTGACCATTTCCTGTTCTGTTATGAGCAATGTATTTGTTGGTAATGTAACATCACACCCTTATCCTTGATGATGTAGGTGACAAGGCAATAACTTCTGGGTCACTGGATGATCACCTGAAGACAATTCTAGAGAATGTTCGATTGGTCTATCTTCTAGAAAGAGAAGGGTGGGATGCTACTCCTAACTGGGAAGATATTCTATCCTTGGGAGAACAGCAGAGGCTAGGCATGGTCAGTGATTTTGCTTCAGCTTATATTTGTTGTCTAACTAATTTCCATTTGTTTTTTATGGATATATACCTTTACTAAGTGGGTAATAAATGCTTTCTTTCGTTTTTTATGGATATATACCTTTACTAAGTGGGTAATAAATGCTTTCTTTCCAGGCTCGTTTGTTCTTCCACTGTCCAAAATTTGGTATCCTAGACGAGTGCACCAAGTATGTAGCGTATAGTTTTTTAATGTTCTCATTTCCATTTTTTACCAATAAATGCACAGCTCTTATAAAGCATACTCATTGCAGTGCCACAAGTGTCGATGTTGAGGAGCATTTGTACAAGATAGCAACTAGTATGGGCATAACTGTCATCACCTCGTCACAAGTAAGTATCATCTAGATACCCACTTATCCTAACTCTTCAAATGGTGAATAAAAAAAAAACATGGTTTTCATTTCTATCCATTTTGTTTCTAGTTGATGGTATTTTGCATCTTAAGCTTACATCTTTGTCAGAAGTGAAATTTGGGTTGATGATGCCTTTCTCTCATTTATTCATTTGCAGAGGCCTGCTCTGATACCCTTCCATTCGTTGGAGCTGAAACTCATCGATGGTGAAGGAAAGTGGGAACTATGTACAATCAACCAATAATTGATGTGGCCAACTTGAATTTTTGACGAGTTTTCATCAAGTGCCTATTCACCAGTGGCTGCCTTTACAAGCCATGAAGAAAATACCAATTCACATTAGGAGACTTGCATACTTTCACGCAGCATATGCGCTTATACGAGATTCTTTTTTCCTTGGTTAGAGGTTTGAGATATAGCAAAACAACATACAGGAGTTGTAGAGTGGAAAGGTAGATATTGACTTGTAGCCCCTAAGAAGATAGATAGCGTAGTACATAATTTGTCCTTCCAGCCTAATTGATTGGCTTGTAGCAATTGTAACACGGAGCACGAAGTGTGCCCTTGCAAATGTTAGCTCTTTTATATAGAAAAAATATCTTTTATTTTGTTATTTCGGTGTTATGTTTTTTTGTTCCATGTCAGTTCAGCTATATACTAGTTTGAAGTTTGAACTTTAACTTGTCCGATTCCAGCATCTGGTACATATCTAGGGCCTGTTTGGGGGAGTTTTAGATTTTAGATTATAAGAAGCAGCTGTTTGGTAGCCAACTTCTGAGAATCTGGAAAAGCTCTGAAACCCAGCTTCTGGCTTTTTAGTTCATTTTTTTCAGAATCTGTAATTACAGATTCTCTGAAGCTGTGGACTGTTTAGGGCAGCTTCTAGCAGAAGCAGTTTTTGAGAAAAGCTGTAGCTGGGATAAGCTCCCCCAAACAGGGCCTGAGCCATACACGAAATGGAACAGGAATATAAATTTGAAAATTGCTATCCATCCTTCGCCCGATCTTTCTGATAATCGTCGGTTGATTTTGTGAGAATTGGACGCAACGTAGTGATTCGTATGCGCTCCGGCAAGCTTATCTTCTTCAGTAATGTAGTGATTCTGATTCACGATTTCGCATGTACTCCTGCAGGCTGCGTTTGATTTATCTTATTGGCCAAGGCTCTGTTTAGATCTCACCTTATAATTTTTTACTCTGTCATATCGAACGTTTGAACATCTACGTGAAGTATTAAATATAGGATAAAAAAACTAATTGCACAGATTGCGTCACAGGACGAATCTTTTAAGCCTAATTGCTCCATGATTTGATAATGTGGTACTACAGTAAACATTTGTTAATGATAGATAAATTAGGCTTAATAAATTCATCTCGCGGTTTACAGACGGATTATGTAATTAGTTTTTTTATTAGTGTCCGAACACCCTATGCGACACCCTATTACTATATAATATTTGATGTGACATGCCAAAACTTTATATCCTTGGATAAACACCCCCCAACTATTCCATCGTTTTTATGAGTACTATTTCTCTAAATACTAAATGGTTTGTGAGCTCTGTTTCTCAAACTAACGTTTTGTACAAAAGATATTTATAAGGAGGTTTATTAAAAAAACCACATAAATTTATTTTTTTTAAGTTTATAGCAATCAATATAAGTCCTCCCTCCGTCCCATAAAAAATCCAATCCTGGAGAGACCATCTGTTACTACTATCTCCGTCCCAGAATATAAGAAGTTTTAGAGTTAGATACGGTATTAAAATATGTAAAATTAAATGAGGAAAGATTGTGATTTGTTAAGAAATAGAGGTCGATAAGAAAAGTGAATGGTTTAGGGTTGTGATTGGTTGAGAAGGGAATGTTGGCGAAGAAGTTTTGTATTTTGGGACAAATTTTAAGTGCTAAAAAAAATCGTTATATTTTGAAACGGAGTGAGTAGCACCGAAAATAAGCTGTTTTTGTCACCCGTGAGAGCATCTCGAGAAAAAAAAACATGACTGTCTCAAATTCGATTTTGAGCGTTTTTCGTTAGAACTTGGTTTTTGTAGCCGACGATTAATACTACAAGAGATCGTGTAAAGTCCGAATCACAGCGTATTAATTTGCTTCACTTTTCACATGGAAACGAACGAACGAAACAGAGTTTGCTAAGGCTTTTGCTGAGAGAGGAGCACGAGCAATCCCTGTGGGCCGACGAGGATCTCGCTGGCGAAGCTGACGAGGCCGAACCACACCACCGGCGTGACGTCGACGCCGCCGAGCGGCGGGATCACCTTCCTCGTCACGGCGAGGAGCGGCTCCGTCGGCGCGTACGCCACCACGTAGGGGAACTCCCTCACGGGGAGCCTCGGGTACCACGACATCACGATCCGGGCGATGAACAGGAACCCGAACGCCGACAGCGCCGGCCCGGCCACCCCGATCGCCGCCTTCGCCGTCGCTGGGTCCAGCTCCCCTACCACCGCCACCGCCCTGCACACCCACTCCGCCACCTCCTGCCACTGACGCTCCGGTGCAGCAGCAGCAGCAGCAGCGTGGCATTGGCCGGTCATGGCCGCCGCCGTCGTCGCCGCGGCCACGGCGAGCTGGCCGTGTGACCCTCGCTGCTGCTTCACATCGTTGCTTCTTCTCCTTCTTCCTCCTTGTGCTATCTCGATGTCCTGTAGTTTGGAGAAATCAATCCATGTCGATGAAGATGAACAAATTAAACAGTGCATCGGCGGTGATCGATCCAGCAACCAAGAAGATGATTACCTTGGCGGCGCTGGCGACGATGCACCTCCTGGCGGAGAAGAGCATGGACACTGTCCTGGACATGGAGGCTTCCATGGTCATGGCCACGAGGAGGAGAGGCCTTCCTTGCTTTGCCTTACTTTGGATAAGGCGAATTGAAGAGCCAAGGTGGGGGAGGGAAGAAGACGACACTGCCCGCCACGTTGCTCTTTCTACTGGGCCTCCAATTGAGACGGCCTAAGCCCACTGGCGATGCGACCAAAAAAAAAAACAAAAACCCTACGGCCCAACACAAGCAATCGTCTCCCAACATCACCGCGGCGGCGGCGGCGGCGGCTTTCCACCTCCCCGCCGGCTTCGCGCTCCCAACCTCGCCGTCGTTCGTCATGTTCCGGCTGCGCTCCTCCGCTCGCCTGCTGAGAGAGGTGAGCCAGCCACCGGCGGCCTGCTACTTCTAGTTCTAGGGTTTAGCGGGTGCTTCTCGCTTACGATTTCAGTATGGCTTGTGGTTCGCGTTGCAGCTACGGGAGGCGTCGCGGTCGTCGGGGCGCCGCCGGGAATGGCTCTCCGGCGGCGCAGTAGCCTCCGCCGCGCGGACGACCTCGCTCCTGCACCCTCTGCCCGGGCTCGACGTCCCGCAGTGCCTCCCCGACCAGCTCGGCGTCCAGCCCACCCGCGTCACCACGCTCCCCAACGGCGTCCGCGTCGCCTCCGAGGACCTCCCGGTATTGGATACTCTATGTTCCTCTGCTGTGCTGCGGCGGCGGCGGCGGCGGCGGCGACGAGGCTGACGCTGTGTGAGGGTTTCTGGCGCAGGGCCCGTCGGCGTGCGTAGGGGTGTTCGTGGATTCCGGCTCGGTTTACGAGACGGCGGAGACGGCCGGCGTGTCACACCTGCTCGAGAGGCTGTCCTTCAAGGACACGGCGCACCGCAGCCACCTGCAGATTGTGCAGGATGTGGAGGCCACCGGAGGAAACATCGGGGCGTCTGCATCAAGGGAGCAGACGGTGTACAGCTACGAGACTCTCAAGGCCTACTTGCCGCAGGCCATCGAGGTGCTCATCGACTGTGTCCGCAATCCATTGTTCCTCCAAGACGAAGTCGAGCGACAGGTGCTGGACTCATGGATAGACTAGCCTCTAAGATACAGCTTATTACTAGCTATTTGCAGCGCACTGATTATGGTTGTTTGGTTTATCAGGTGGCCTTTGCCAGAGAAGAAGTTCAGGAGCTACAGAAGAACCCTGAGAGATTTCTTCAGGAATCACTTAATCTAGTTGGATACACAGGTGCTCTTGCAAATCCACTAGTAGCCCCTGAGGAGAGTCTCACACGAATCAATGGCAGTATTATTCAAAAGTTCTATCACGTAATTCTCTTGCTTCTGTATCACATTTGACTTATAAATTACTCATAAATGCGACTCAATTCATGCTGTTCGTAGTTTCCAAACGATGCTAAAATGCAAGTGTAGCTCTATCTCTATAGCTCAGTGCCTCAGTTAACAAATTTATGAAAAAAAAATCTATTACTGAACAGGAGAACTTCACTGCTGATCGCTTGGTTGTAGCAGCATCAGGTGTTGATCATCAATACCTTTTAGATGTTGCAGAGCCTTTATTGTCTGATTGGCACAAGGGCTCCCCAGTGGAAAGGCCAGAGTCTAAGTATATCGGTGGGGATTTTAGACATAGAGCAGACTCAGAGGTAATATACTTCCCATCAACACTACTTTGCCTATTCTTTTGGGGTTTCCTTTTGCTCTAAAATTGAAACCCTGCTCATTCCTCTCCCTGCAGATGACCCATGTTGCTTTGGCTTTCGAAGTGCCCGGGGGCTGGCTTGAAGAGAGAGATGCCACAATTATGACTGTAGTACAGGTATACTTAATGAGTGGGTATTTACTAAAAACAATCTGGCCTATGTTGACATCTGCATCCCAACTGCACTTTCTAACATATATCCATGAATATGCCAAAATATTTTGTAGACTTTAATGGGCGGTGGTGGTTCATTCTCTTCTGGTGGTCCTGGAAAAGGGATGCATTCACGGCTTTGTAAGTAATTATCTCTCGACAACCATTTGACTTTAGTAGGATTGCAAATTGCTACAATATGGAATAATGAATATAGATTAGATTGTGCTTTTAATAGCCGTTGTTGTGTAATTGCTGCTTTTATTTTGCCGTTTTAGTTATTTCAGTTCCTAAAGTTTTTTTTTTAAAAAAAAGGCTATAAGTTGAACTGTTATTTCTTTGCAGATCTGAATCATTCTCTTGACAACCATTTGATAGTAGGATTGCAAACTGCTACAATATGGAATAATGAATATATATTTGATTGTGTTTTTAATAGCCATTTTTGTGTTAGTGCTGCTTGTTTAGTACCCTAGTTTTTTTGGCCGTTTTAGTTATTTCAGTTTTTTAAGTTTTTTTTTGAAAGGCTATAAGTTGAACTGTTATTTCTTTGCAGATCTGCGTGTCTTAACTAAATACCACACGGTCGAATCATTTTCGGTATTTAGCAATGCATTTGATAGAAGTGGCCTCTTTGGTATTTACTTGACCACGGTAAGCTCATCTTTATACATTATTCTGTGCCTCGAATTAAATAGTGAATTATATGAAACATGTTGCAGCTTCTACCTTGAGTTGTTACTTCGTCATTTTATCAAATTGTGTGAGTAGGACTTCAAAAGGGACTAGAGCTGGCAAAGTCTGCTTTTTCAAAATTTTGAAGTGCCATTGCTTCAGTTCGTTTTTGAGTACTAGAAGTTTGAAATACTTTTTTTTTGTTTTTTTATTGGTCCAGCCTTCAGATTTTGTTGCAAAGGCTGTTGATATTGCGACAAAAGAACTGATTGCTATTGCAACACCTGGACAAGGTATATATCATCTCCTGCTTGCCAAAACTGCTTCAGCATCCACTGAAGCTACCTGATCTGAAACTTGATGCGATTTGTATGTATACAGTGACAGACATTGAATTGGCACGAGCGAAAAACTCAACAATTTCTGCCGTGCTGATGAATCTTGAATCCAGGGTAATTTTGGAACCCCCATCCCCAATACACACACGCGCACACACACACAAAAATCTTTCTGACCCTTTTCACAGGTAAGTAACCTGCTTTAGTGTACTTATTTTAATTTGCACCAGGTAATTGTTGCAGAAGATATAGGGAGGCAGATATTGACTTATGGTTGCAGGTAAGGCAATATCTTTCACACTTCATTTTTTAGAAGTCTTCCGCACAGAAATCATTGATTCTTTTCTATTCTGTCACCACAGGAAGCCTGTTGACCATTTTCTTCAATGTATGGACGAAATGACTCTAGATGATATAACAGCTTTTGCCAAGAAGATGTTGTCTTCACCACCCACAATGGCTAGTTGGGGAGATGGTATATATGCTTTATGAATTTGCGAAAAATATGAATGACACAAAATAAGAATTAATGTGAGTTCATTGACTCTCCTTCTGCAGTTGATAAAGTTCCTCCATATGAATTTGTTTGCAAGAGGTTTTGAAGTTCTCCGACACAATGATCAGTGGTGGACATGAAGATGGGATTTTGTTTACAATGTTGTATAATCCAATTCTCGCTATATTTGGGCCTTATCTTAGAAATTGCCCTCGTTATACACATCACCTGATGAGATTAGATTTTTGCTATCATCTTCAAACAGCATATATCTTGTGAAAGTCCAGGTCAAACGGAGGTGAAAGTTTTGCAATATCTCTCGAAGCAAGTTTAGCGATTCCTCGTCTTGTTATGCAAACATGCATATGCACTTGTCTTATTGAGTGCTCTGTAAACAATTTTCACGGCGATGATATATAGGGGTTACGGTGCGGAAATTGACAGGATAATGGCATGGCCTTGTTTCGACAGGACATTATGTTCTCGGACTGACTGGTTTGACTTCAGTTGCTACCGTATATTTTGTGTTTCTTTTAATGTATGGCAAAGCAAATCTTCAGAAAAAAACTAGTACGAAATGTTGCGTCTTTGCTTAACTACAGAGTTGGATAATAATGGATGAAAAGCAACAACACTGTTGAGTTCAGGGAAATTGAGCTCCCCATCATCTGAACTTTTACAAAACTTCCAACCTGAACTTGTACAAAATTTTCAACACTTGCTGCACCGACAGGTCAGTTTGCACGTTTGAAGTGACAAAACAAGCAGATGGTGCATACAAAAGCTCGGCTTGCAAGTAAAGCCAAAATAAGGAGTTCCAACATTCCATTAAGCATTAATCGCCAGTCATCAGACTCGCAGCTCATTACAACTAATCCCATCCTGACAGTGCACCTGATCCTACCTCCGGCACAGATGATAGCTGCTCAAGAGCTGACGAGCCAAAGACGGTGCCTTTGGCTTTCTTCTTCTTCTTGGTGTGATCGATTACCAGGCCACCAAATTTTCCATCTCGGGCAATTTCCTGATTTTTGCCCTTCAACTCAAGCTCTGGATTGTTGCCTTCACCGGAGAACACCAAGTCTGCAAATGGCATTTCTGTGTCATCAATTCCGTCGGCGTTCTTCTCTTCCTTCTTGGCAGATTTTGTCCTCTTGGCTCCCTTACTAACCTTTTTATCAGTATGATCAACAGAAGAGTTGTCATCCTTCCTCTTTGATTTCTTGTTCTTGACATGTTCTACAGCCGCTTTTTCCTTCTTCATTTCCTTGCCATCAAGCAGTTCAGATTTGGCTGGGGCAGCAATGGTGACATCCGGGCGAGTACTTTGTCCTGCAGGTTCTTCAGGGCTCTTAATTTGTTGCTTTGAGTGTTTCCCCTTGCCTTTCTTTTTTGTATAAATGTCAGTAGGACCATCATCAGGCGTATCAGCATCATTGATTGGTAGATTCTCTTCTCTAGAATTCTTACTCTTGGAGCTGGCCTCCATGGGCTTTGAGTTAAATATGCGTAGGTTGGGAACTAATTTCTTAACCTGAGAAAACATCCAGAGTTACTCCAGAATTGCATACATACAGAAAGGCAGAAAATAAACGGTATTACCTTCTTGGCTAGACCGTCTTTCTCAGCAATAGGATTTCCCTGCAAGTTTAGGTTCCTCAAGTAGTGCAATTCAGAAAGGACCTAACCCAAAAAAAAAGAAAAAGAATAGAAAAAAGATAGACTGAGACAGTGTAAAGATATTATGAATGTAGAAGGGTGGGAGAAAATTAATCAGATGCAAACCTCCAAATCTGATCTCCTCTCAATTAAGTTGTTTCCTAAATCAAGGTTCAAAATTTTGACATTTTTTGCCAGGTCTGATGGAATTGTCTGTGAATCAGACAGAGTTCAGCAAGATGTTACAGAGTGACCAAGTGGAATGTAACATGCTTTCGAGCAGAAAAAAAAAACAATGTGCAAAAGAGACCCAGACATATGCTATCCATAAGTCCATATACATACAGTGATCTTGTTGTGAGCAAGTCTAAGTTCCTTCAGTTCCACACACGCAGTGAGAGAAGAACCAATTTTTTCTATCTGGCAGTGAGATAAGGATAGCTGAGGAAGGTAATGACAAAACATTAGTCATGTAAAACAGGAAAAAGTGCATATTAAAGCTGATAGGTCTTTTTTTTTTGCAAAACTAAATAATACAAACCTTTTTCATGGCCTTTGCCTTCATCAAAGCATCACCAATAGTGAAAATAGGATTCTTGGAAAGAACTGCAGCAGAAAAACATTCAGAAGTAAATTAGGTGGAGGGAACATCATTATTCTTTGCCTGTTCCAAACTGGACTGTAAAACAACTCTTTTGTTGGGTGATGGGTTTGTACTACAATATGAAAACTGAATATGGATGATTTATAAGAAAACTGGTATTTTACATGCAGAAAGAAATTGCAATGGGCAAGGATCTTAATGTTAAGGTTCCCAAACTTACTATACTTACAAAAACTATTAACATCCTTTTGGTTTATCAAAATTATCGGCACAAATCAAGACCATATCATTTAATCATTCCAAGGGGAAAAAATGAATTCTACAGGATGAAGCCACTCAGTTCATTCTATAATTAATTGAGATCTCACTATGCATACCAAGTGTGTTCAACTGATGAAGCTGGTCAAGTTTGCAGATGGAAGAAATGTTGTTATCTGCATGAGAAATTACAGAGATCCAGTCATCAAGCTACCAGCAGAAACAAAATACAACTGACAAAACATAGCATTTGTGCATAGCATTACCATTTAGAATCAATGCTCCCAGGCTTGTCAAAGATTTGACCTCATCCATTGTTTTAAGTTTATTCTTGCCAGCATTCAATACCTGTACAACAGGAGAGGAGCAACTGCCAATCATTGCAAGTGAAGTAATCAGGCTAAGATCCTTTTGCGGGGCAGAGAAGTAACTCACCTGCAGCTTTGAGAGGCCTTCAACACCTTTTAGGCTCACAAGCTTGTTTTCAATAACCGAAAGCCACTTCAAATTGGCACAGTTTGATAGACCCTTCAGCATTCAAAACCACAATGTGAGTGGAAAAAAAAAAGATACTCTGATGAACACAGCCACAGCAATGATTTAATGGAACGATTAGCCATCAATTCTCTACTTCAATGAACTCAAAGAATAATCCAGACCGAATGGGACATCAAATTAGTCCATTATATGACTTTCTAAAAGGTTATTACGGGATTCATCCTTTTAACTATTCAATGTTTCAGATGGATTTACCCAGTGCCTATGCTTGTAGAGAACACAGTAACACCGACATCGCATATATCCATACAGGTGAAATTCACCAAGAATCTACACCGATGCTAAATTTGTTGTATAAACATGTGCATTTCTCACTAGAATACTGTGTTTTAACCCGTAGTACATTGACTAGTTACCTCGAGAGTGAGGAGGCAGTTGTAGCCGAGGTCGAGGCGCTCCAGATTCACGAAGCTGCTCAGGCACGACACCTACACAAAAACCAACACAGCACAGCACCGCACAACACAAGGATGAGAAAACATGGCAGGAAAAAAAACACCAATCGACGAGGCAGAGGCTACACAGCACCGACGTCGGAGAGGGCGCGGTGGGAGAGGTTGAGCGACGTGGCGAGCGTCCCGGCGGATCCCGCCTCGCGCTTCGCCTGCTCCACCGTGAGCCGCGCCATCTCCTCCTCCTCCGGCCGCCGCCGTTGAGGAGGGCGAAGCGAAGCAAGCGCTCGTTGCGGCGGCAGGCGAGCTGAGCTCTCAAGTCTCAAAGACTTCAAGAGAGAAAAATACCCTAACCTAACAAGGGCGATATGCAGCTGACATGTGGGGCCCACTGTCAGCCTCCACGGAGTATTTCTCTCTCTTCTCGTTAGAGAGGGGGGTAAAGCGCAAGAGACTCGCAACGCAGGTCAGAGCGGAAGGGGAGAAGAAGGAGGTGCTCCTCTCGAGTTTGGAGAAAATTTCCCCCGCAGAGGCCTCCGCTTGCTCGCGGAGATGGCGATGACCGTCGAAGGTGAGGGTCGCTCTGAGTTTCCCTCCCCCATCTAAGATTTGCTCAATTGCTAGTCTGGTTCTGTTCCCGATTTCGGCGTCGTTTGGGCTCTCCGATTCGAGTGTCGGGGTGGCGGGGGATTGGGCGGCTAGGGTTCCGGTTCGAGTTTGGTGTTACGATTGGCTGGTGCGTGCTTTACGGATTAGGGCGTCGGGTTCCCAATTCATCGCGCATGGTTTGTTGTAATGCTTGTGAAGTTAAACTTTCCCAGATTTAGTCTTGGCATTCGGTGAACACGATTATCTGTTTATATGTCATTCATAGAATCAGAGTGAATTATCCCTGCAAAAAAAAAAAGAATCAAAGTGATTAGATCCTCCAAGTTAGCACCTTGTATTGGGTCTTATGTTTTGCCAGTAGATATTGTAGTCCGGCTTACCTACAATTGTGCATGAAACACTATCCTGTATTTCAACTCATCTGCATCCTCCCGAGTTTCCAACAGAACAAGGAGCATAAGCCAAAAATATGCCTGCAAAAATGTGAACTTAACCATCTAGCTCAATAACAAGTGTCCCTCAGAATCGCTTAACTGATACCCATGAGCATTTACTATGTGCATTTGGTTTTGAGTTCTAGCTCTAGGATATAAATTTTACCATGTGCATTTAAATTATTTTGGTTGTTTGCTACCAACCTGAAACTACACTGCTTCTGAGATGTATTTGGATATCACTTTCTTCAATTTATTGCTAAAAGCATACAGTGATACTGAAGCATCAAACTACATGGTTTTGATTCAAAATTTGTAACCAAATTCTACTTATGATTCATGGAACTGGACAATTTGAAGTTAACATGGAGCTCTGCACATGCTTGATGTATGTTTAGTCCATCAAAAAACAACATCCCAGATCAACTTATGTTCTTCTTTCGACCTTTATTTGTGCAACCTCATGTTCATAAAAAATATCATCGAACTTGTTCAAAAGCACTTCGAAAACCATGTCGTCTTTAGATTAGCCTTTATGTAGCACAACACCAAAGATGAGCATGACCATCCTCTGAAGAAAAAAAAATCATGCTGAACTATTAAGCCTTTGAAGTGTTTTTAGCTAAACTGGGAGGAAGAATATGCATTAAATTATGGTTATGAAATTCAGACCAGCTTGTTGATTTTATAGAATAGTATTTCATTTGCATAGAGTTACCTTTCTGAAAATACAGTTCATTTTCACTATCAGCTATTTGTTAGACTCTAGTGCTCCTTATTAGGTCATGCCATCATCTTTGTTCTCCTGCAATTGGTTTGAAAGTTTCACTAACTTAATGCTTCTTGTCTTTGCTTTTATACCTTTCTGCTGGATGATGATGATGATGTCACTTATCATTGATGTGTGTCTTGACAGTGTAAGTATATTATTCAGATTCTTTTCTGACCATTCTTTTACATTTAAGATAAGTGTTAACAATATAATTGCTTCTACTACAGGCTCGCTGGACTTGCATTTATGTTCTCAACAAGTATTCTTTTGCAAATACTGGTACATAATTCTCACTTGTTTAAATCTCCACCTAGCCTCTTTTATTTGCTAAAATTCAGGCTTCTGGGTGCTTTGTTTCATGACAGTTGCTATTTATTTACTCACTAACTATTTCATTACTTTGAGAAGTGAGAACCTAACAGTTTGATTTGGCATTTTGTTTGTACAATTCATTCATGCACATTACTCTGTATGTCTGTCATGCTAATTATGTTGTGAAATTCATAAAACTTAGAGCAATCTGGAGCATCAATTGCTGTCCAGAATTACTGTAGAAGAGTATGCGTGCTAGAAATAATACTTCACAGTCAGTGAACAAAGCGTGTAGCATTTTGAAGACACCATAGCCCACATGACGGACATGCTCTTGTTGTTTGATCAGGCTGTTGGTTCTATAGCTAATTATTTTTCCTTATTTTGATGGTGCAGGCTTGTGCTCTGTACAATAATTGGTGGCCTATGTTAGCAGGTAATTGTTAGTTAGTTATCCTCAATCAGTGTTGTCTAATCCTCGTCGACCTTCAACTGACATTTGCCATACTTCTGCAGCTCTTATGTATGTCCTTGTACCGATGCCATGCCTATTCTTCGGTGGTGGATCTACCCAGTTCTTGACTAGCAGAGATGGTGGAGGGTATGGTTTGATTTGTTGTTTTCGTTCCAGAAACTTTACCATACATACTGTACTACTTGGATGTAAACTAACATATGTAAAGAATAGTTTGGAATAAGGAAATTCCTTCTGATTTGTAGTTGTGACAAACTAATGATAGAGTGTTTATCATTTCAGGTGGTTCAATGCTGCAAAATTCCTGACTGGTGCATCTGCCATGGGAAGCATTGCAATCCCAGCAATTCTGAGGCACGCTGGCCTAATTGAGACTGGAGCCATGTTCATCGAGTTCACGTCCTTCTTCATCCTTGTATGCACAGTGATGTGCTTCCATAGAGCTACGCTGGATGAAGATTGGTAAAAGGCTCGAGGCACATGGACACAAGAAGGTAAATCTGTTTCATGGTTTGCTTCTCAGCACGTACAAGAGAAATTCCTTAGTGGACACTAACATGGACATGTGTACAAAGAAGCAAATATTTGAGTTGGCGTGACTGTCTGTATAAATGCTCAAAGATTTGCTGATCTAGCGACAATGCCAATGTTCTATGTGCACTTTTCATGTGAATACTCCTCACATGATCTATGGGCAACCTGTCAGCCATCCGTGTGAAATGCGATCAAACGAGCAGGCAGGCGCCCTGTTTAATTCCCTTGATTGGTTCTTTGCATTTTGAAGCATTTGGCCACCGTGCGGCAGCTCGTCTCCTGCTGCATCTCTCCACCGTTTCGCTTCTCTCATCCCTATCCCGCGCCACCGCTCAGAATGTCTTGGGCTTTAATTTTTCTGTGTTATACTGTTCTCGATCAATGCGATTAATTTTAGACATGTGCTTGTTCTAAAAACCAATTCATCAAATCAATACTGGACAGTTTTTACTACTTGGGTTTGAAGATGAAGATTTTCTTTTTGGAGGGGTTCGATTCAGAATTGTTGCAGAATTCCTAACCTCTTCTCCCTCTTTTCAAACCATCTTTTTATTATAAGAAAAAATACTTTAAAAATTATATTAATTTATTTTTCAAATCATGCGTTAATTCATCGCTCCGTTTTTTATGTGTATGGATGAAGTTACCAACTTCTTCAAACGGTGCGTTCCTATATGATATTTGTGCTGTAAAACAAGCAGAGATATTTCACATAGCAATCGAGCATTCAGAATTTTATTTACCGGCCAAAAACAGGTAACCTCTGTCCTCTTCTCAGCTCCGGCTTGTTTTTCTTTTTAGCGTTTTTAAAATGTCTTTATGATTTATAAATAACAATCCGCCTAATCACAACGAAGACAGTTTGGCCGAGTGGTCTAAGGCGCCAGATTTAGGCTCTGGTCCGAAAGGGCGTGGGTTCAAATCCCACAGCTGTCATAATTTTTCTTCCTTCTGATTGATTTTGATTTTTAATCCTCTGGTTTTTTGCGTTCCCAGATATATAGGTTCCGTGCTCATGGATTTTCGTTCTGGTGAAATTTGCAAGGATTTTCAAATCGTTTAAAATGTTATCATCTCAGCGATGAGGTAATACCGCAATACATCGAGCACAACAACCCGGAGAGAAATGCAGAACGTCAGTGTGTGTAGCTATCCAGTGAAGTATGAGATTTTCAGTAGTTCGGTCAGAAATATATTCTAGTGGACACGGTTTTTTCCCCTCCCTTTTCCTTTTTGTTCTTTTTTTTTTGGGGGGGGGGGGGTGGGGAGTGGATAGAGTTCAGACAGCAAAACAAATAAAAAACAAAAGAAAATCACAAGAGGATTTTGTTGACAGACTGCTGCTGAAAATCAGAGTCCATGGTCAAAAAAAAATAGTTTTTCTGCAGGAAGACCCCTGAAGAAGTGAAGAGAGAAGATTTAGAGAAGAAAAATGTACGAGAGAGGAGAAAGACAGAAACATTGGGAGGGTAGGCAAATCAGGAGGCGAGGAAGTAGAAGAAACCTTTTGCAAAGTCCATGGGACAAGCAAGAAGTCTTATGAAAATATGCTAAATGATGCTTAGCTGGCTCAAATAGATTCTTCAAGGTATATTATGGTTGCAGACAGTTCCATTTTTTTTTCATTTAGAACCTTATTTTGCATAAATTTACATTACCAAGTCAAACAAACTAAGTCATGCTGAACCTTCCTTAAGCTGGTATGCTCCATGATATTGCAACAAAGCAAGGTCTAAATGGAAACTGACCATCCTGTTGAAGTAAACTAAGTACTGAATGCTTAGAAAACTCCTGTTTGGACCAATCCAAGCAAGTTTCATTACTTTTGTACTGCTGGGTCACCACGCCAACAAGTTAACAAAGTCTTTCACACATCTCACATCGCCATTTGGCCATTTCCTCTCCAATGGTCATGGCCCCAATACCCCAGCCATGGCATCAGTGGCCCTTTCTCATCCTCTTCTTCCTTGTACTTTTCTCCTGTGAATCTAATCTTCCCTGCAGGAATGGTGTAGAGGCCACACAGAGAGTCTTCCTCTATCCACAGTCTCCAAAGGTCTCCTCTATTGTCAGCAAGGGATACAGAACTGGATATCACTTCCAGCCTCCAAAGAACTGGATCAATGGTATGTCTGCATGTTTTCCATCAGTTTTTACCCTTTTGACTTTGGCTGAATCCAACCAGAAACTGTATTATCCAATTTGGTGTTCCTTTTGTTTCTTGATTCAAGAAGAAACAGCTGCCCTAATTAGTTAGTATCTTTTCTAGCTGCAGAAGTTAAGCCGTGTGGATGAGCTTAATTTCTTGTGTCTATATGAATTTCATGGTATAGAGAGGAGGGGGGAAAGGTAGGTAGGCAACTCACTGCTTGTGTGAGCTCTACTGCTGATTGTTGCACACGTTTATGGTGCTGCAGATTGATTTTCAGTAAAATCGTAATATGGTTATTTCTATGTTTAGATTTTCGCTGGAAAATATTTACCGCTGAAATGTTGTATTTGTGGCCGTCTTTTGACGCTAGGCATCATATTTGTATTAACAGAACGAACAGTACAACAAATGTGGAGTTTTCTCAGATAAAGCTACTCCACATTTGTTGTACTGTTCTGTTAATACTAGCTCCAGTTAGAAAATGTTGACCTAGATAATTCTAAGATTTGTTCTAAAAGGCCTAACTACATAACTTTTTTTTCTGAATATTTAGCAGATCTTTTCTTAAACATAGGCTAGTAACTAGTAATCAAGCATGTACTGATTCTTGAATTTTTCCTCCTGTTTGCTATGTCTTCTATATTGGACAATTCTTCTAAAGCTGACATTCTCTCTTCTTTTTCAAATGTTCCATGAAATGACAATCCTGGCAAATTTGTGGCAATTCAAAAGATCCAAACGGTACGCATCTTCTTCACATAATATGCATCCAAACAAATTGTAGAATAAACTGAGACATTGCGTGCCTAAATTATCTCAAAATTTACAGGGCCAATGTACTACAATGGCATCTACCATGAGTTCTACCAGTATAACCCGAACGGATCAGTCTGGGGTAACATAGTTTGGGGCCACTCGGTCTCGACAGATCTCATCAACTGGATCCGTCTTGAACCTGCAATAGAAGGAAATACTCCGAGCGACATAAACGGTTGTTGGACTGGTTCAGCAACAATCCTCACTGGTGATCAACCGGTTATCATATATACCGGTGCCGACACGGAGAAGCGTCAGGTTCAAAACATTGTGCTACCAAAGAACCGGTCTGATCCTTACCTGAGGGAATGGACCAAGCCAAAAAACAACCCTTTGATCGAACCGGTCGGTCCGGGTTTGAACTCAAACCAATTCAGAGATCCGACAACCGGTTGGATAGGACCGGATGGGCTATGGAGAATAGCAGTTGGGGCTGAGCTGAATGGCTACAGTGCAGCACTTTTGTACAAGAGCAAAGACTTTATGCAGTGGACTAGAGTAGATCACCCATTGTATTCTTCTAATGCATCCAACATGTGGGAGTGCCCGGATTTCTTTGCAGTATTGCCTGGCAAGAACAATGGACTGGACCTCTCTGCAGCTATCCCAAATGGCGCCAAGCATGTCCTCAAAATGAGCTTGGATTCCTGTGACAAGTACATGATTGGGGTTTATGATCTGAAACATGACATGTTTGTGCCGGATACTGTCTTGGATGACAGACGATTGTGGTTGAGGATTGATTATGGCAATTACTATGCTTCGAAGTCATTCTTCGATTCGAAAAAGGGAAGAAGGATAATATGGGGCTGGACTAATGAGACAGATAGTACGTCAGATGATGTTGCAAAAGGTTGGGCTGGCATCCATGTAAGAAAATCAGCCTCTAATCTCCTCCTTGAGTAAATTGCATCGTCGGTACACAAACTTGTCAGGTGGGTGCAACCTAGTGCACAAACTTGTAAAATGCTCGTTTTGGTGCATGAACTTGTTTGGTGCGTGAGGAGGAAGGTGAAAAGGACACTACAATACTACATGGCTAATCTTATCGATTTAGGGGCCGATTAAGATACTATGTAAACATATATCTAAAAAGGTTGCTATTAAACATACACCTATTCAATCAAAAATAAAAAATAAAAAATAGAATAGGATATAATGATAGTAGAAAATGATGAAAAAGCCGAGCACTGATTTAAGGGTTAGAAACATATAAAATTCATCAATTCCATGATGAAGGATAAAGTAGAGACCAAATTTATAAATATTGCATGTCTTATGCATACTCACTAGATGTATGCACGTCACATACTAATCAACATCAGCATTATAAAATTAACATTGTCAAGTTATTTTGGTCCTCGTTCGCACGAACTAGACAAGTTCGTGTACTGAAACGAGTATTTTACAAGTTTTTGTACTAAATTGCATCCATCTAACAAGTTTACGTACCACCAATGCAATTTACTCCTCCTTTAATTTTATACTATGGAAGCAATGTTTTAGCCTTAGCATGTCAGTGTAACATACTGATCCTCATTCGTCATTTCATAAAGGCAATCCCCAGGACAATTTGGTTAGATGGTGATGGCAAGCGATTGCTGCAATGGCCAATCGAAGAGGTCGAATCGCTTCGAAGAAACGAAGTCAGCCATCAAGGCTTAGAACTCAAGAAGGGTGATCTGTTTGAGATCAAGGGAACTGATACTTTACAGGCTAGTTCCAATTTACCTCAACAAAAGTATTATGTTTTTTTTTTGCAGACACTGTAGCTAATATGGCACACCATTTTCTTGAAGCAGGCAGATGTGGAGATAGATTTTGAGCTGACATCCATAGATGCTGCTGATCCTTTTGACCCTTCCTGGCTTTTGGACACCGAGAAGCATTGCCGAGAAGCAGATGCATCAGTTCATGGCGGCTTGGGGCCATTTGGACTTGTTGTTCTTGCCTCTGATAACATGGACGAGCACACTACTGTGCACTTCAGGGTTTACAAATCAGAGCAGAAGTACATGGTTCTCCTGTGCTCTGATCTGAGAAGGTTAATGCTTTTTCTTCATCCAGATTCTGTTGATGCTTAAGAACTCCCTATTTGCATTGCACTGATAAAAGTGAAATGATATTTGTAGAAATCTAACCTTTGACAGTAAACACTAAAAAAAAGAACGAAGATATCTGAAAAGTCTGAACTTGCTCTTTTGTCTGACAGTTAATTGTCCAACATTGTGTTCATCATTTTTACTTGTGCAGATCATCGTTGAGACCAGGACTGTACACACCAGCATATGGAGGCTTCTTTGAATATGACCTTGAAAAGGAGAAGAAGATCTCCTTGAGAACTCTGGTGAGTGAATGAATCAGTGACTCTGCATCTGCACGATCAACACAACACATCTAGGAAGTGAAATGAACAAACAGTCCGAAACCTGACTCGCCGGCGTGCGTGCAGATCGACCGGTCGGCGGTGGAGAGCTTCGGCGGCGGCGGCAGGGCGTGCATCATGGCCAGAGTGTACCCGGCGGCGGTCGTCGACGGCGCCACCCACATGTACGCCTTCAACAATGGCAGTAGCACGGTGAAGGTGTCGCAGCTCAAGGCATGGAGCATGACGAGAGCACAGGTCAATGTCAGGAAGGGATGAACTGATTGATTAATCAAAATGGAAACAAGAGAGCAACATATTACATGCTAATTGTCCAGTAAGTAGTTAATTGACTACCCATTCATCAGAACTCCTTTGGTAGGAATAAGAAGGAAATCCAGAATCAAAATTTTTAGCTGCTCACAGACTTGTTGATGACATCTACTTGCTTTGTAGCAATATGTTTTTACTTGTAGAAAGGAGATGGAAATCAAATCATTGTTAAGAAATGGTTCGCAATTGGTAACGAGATACTACTCTTCGTGTTTTACAGTCGAACTGTAAAATTCGTTGTCCGTCAGTTAATTATCCTGCTCCAACTCTCATCCAAAATCATTCCGTTTCCACATTGAATTTATTACTTACCCAAATGATGTTTTTTACTGAGAGAATTCATTTCAGCATGAAGCCTATGGATCATGGTTTCATGCTTGATGAACTGATGAAAAAAAGTACTGACTTATCGGTGATGTTATTGTTGGTGGAGGGGTTCGGGGAAAAAAAATCTCCGAACCCAAAAGAGGCATTTGGGCCGTAGTCGTAGGACAGATTCGATGGCCTTTCAGCTGCTCCTCAGCCTACAGTGTATTCTTCTTGGCAAAAGAACTCTGCCCAATCAGCGAATTAATTTGGCAAGCGAAGGCACCGGCAAGAATACGTTTCTTCATGTGGCTGGCTGTAAAAGGACGCTGTCTGACAGCTGATAATCTTGAAAAAAGGGGATGGCCTCACGCTGATTGCTGTACTTTGTGCCAACAAGAACCTGAAAACTGCTTACATCTGTTTATCAACTGCGACTATACCATCACAGTGTGGAGACTGATGCGGCAATGGATCAGCGCTTACTTCCCCATCCCTGGGAGCGAAAACACATGCCTGACAGAGTGGTGGTTGCAGGCCAGAACATGTTTTCGGAAGTGCTACAGGACAAACTTCGACAGCGCTTGTATGCTGATTTGCTGGCAGATTTGGAAGGAAAGAAATGCGCGTGTTTTCGACCAAAGATCGAGAAGCCCTAACCAGTTAGCAGAGGCTATCAAAGAAGAGATCTTAGTGTGGAAAGAAGCAGGCTATTTCGAGATTTGCAGATCTTAGTTTTTTAGTTTTTTAGTGTTGACGTTCCAGTTCTTTAGTTTGCCGGGCTGTGGTTCCTGCCACAGTCTAATTCGACAGCCTCCTGTCGTTGCAAGCGAAAACTACTTGTACTTTGATTTTATTCCTCCCAATCTTAATGAAATTTGGTCGCCGGTTCCTTCGGCCGACCCGGCAGATTCGATGGCCTAAGTGGGCTGGCCCAATTGCTGTTGCATATACGGCCCAAACGACTCTTTGGGGTTCGGAGATTTATTTCCCGACCCCTATGTTTCCTGTTTTTTGAATCAGCGTGTGTTGTTTTTCTGAGCTGAATGTTGTTGTCGAGAGCTGTTCTTGGACGGATTGCGAAAGAGGATGTACTACATCTGAATGAAATGGAAGGTTTGCTAAGTTTTTGAATTGATGGACTATGTAGTTTGATACGACGTTGCTTTGACGATATCATCGCATCATTGTTCACAACTGGTTCACAATCGGTAACAAGATACTCGACTTGTTTGATCTGCAGATTCGCTGTCCGTAAGTTAATTATCCTGTTCCAACTTTAGCTTCTCCCAGACCTATTGATGACATCTACTAGCCTTGTAGCAACATGTGTACTTGTCAGAGTTAAGACCGTTCTCTCCCCCGAGTCGGTTCTCCCCAGGGGCGGCTCGGGAGGCGACCCGGCCGCCCCTCTTCCCCCTACCCCACCCCCCGAAGCCGCGCGGCCGCAAGGACGGCGGCGGCGGGGCGCTCCTCGTCTCCTCGCGCTCGGACGGCCTGGGGAGCCACCCGGGGATGGGCTGGCGACGGGGTAGGCGGCGGTGGCGGCGGGGACGGGCGACGGTGGCTGCTGAGGTGAGTGCGCCCGGTGGTGTTTGTGGGTGGCGACGGCGGTGGTGGAGGCCGCGGATCCGGCGGCGGCCGGCGGTGGCGTGAGCACGCAGGCACCCCGCGGCGGCCACTGGCGTCCTCCGGCGCCCCTCTAGGCGTCGGCCGGCGTTGGTGGTGAGGGGGACGGCCGGATCTGGCTCCCTTGCCCAGATCCGGCGTGTCCTCGAGTGGGGACGGGGTGGTTTGGCGTCCGGCCGTCGTGCAGGTGATGTGCATATTGCAGGTACCCTCGGTGTGTAGGTGACATTTGGTAGCTCCCGTCGTGGATGCTATAGTTGATGGGTGCTCCAAGGCGAAAGTCTTGCTCCGCTCTCGGTGCTAGCAACGGCGACGCCCTTGGGCGCCGTTCACTTTCTTGAAGGCGTTTGCTACTGGAGCCCTCGTTCAACTCCACTTCAAGAGTTTTCTCTGGGTGAAAACCTAGATTCGTTAGGATCGGACGATGACGTCGTTCTGTCGGCGTGACCTTCCTGAAGGCTTCGTTTTAGGAGTTTATCTCTTGTTGGACAACTGTACTTAGGTTCAGTTTGTCAATGTCGGGGTTTTGCCGGTTTTCCTTTAATTAACCGTGCTGTTGTAAGGTTTTTGGGTCCGGTTTCCCTTATAAACTGGATCAACTCTCTTCTTCTATAGTGAATTGCAGGAGCTCCCTGTCTGTCCCATCGAAAAAAAAACATGTGTACTTGTATAGACAGGAGACGAAAATCAAATCACTGCGATAAAGAACTGGTTCGCAATTATGGTAGTACGTGCGATAGGGGAAGAGGCTCCTCTGACATACCGCCCTCTGATGTGGGTGGCTGACATGTGGGTCCACCAGCTGTGAGGCTCATATGTCATCCTCTCAAAGTTAGAGGGCAATACGTTAGAGGATCACGTTTCGTGCGATAGGACTTAGGAGCGGATCGGAGAAGAAATCTCCGAACCAGAGACATTTGGGCCGGGGGTGGATGGTGATTGACCCAGTTCGTACTAAACGGCTGGCGGCGCAAATGCCTCTTCGGGGTTTGAGCTCCCATCGGATGGCAAAAAAAAAACTAAATTTTAAATTTTCAAATTTGATTTTGAGATATTTTTAAGGTAGTTTTTTTTTCAGCATTGGCTTTTAAGTCAAAAAACATATATATAAAAGTTTTACCTATAAATCCATTTTTATTCCCTAATAAATAGTTTTGGCTTATTATGAAAAAAACCAAACGATGGGGCTCTCAGACTCTTCTACACCGAACCCCACAAATCACACGTACGCCCGTGCGAGACTCAACGACGAGTGCAGGTGGAAGCCCAGGTTTTCGTGCGATGATTGTTTACTCCATGAATTTGCTTAATATTCTACTGAGTAAAATTGAATCAATGTGTTTCTTTTTACAGAAACACAAACGCAGACGTCCATATTGCGCATATACTCACTCTTATAAATACACACCCTACCTCTATAATCACCTTTAAAAAGTTGGGTTGGCGTATCTTAAAATTGATGAAGTCATCACGAACACATTGTTGTTGAGGGTAGGTAGTCTATCACTAAAAAAATAATTAGCCGTAAATGCGAGTATTCATATCAAATCTAAGTTTTGAATTCGGATGAGCTGGTTCACCGTAAGATGAAAGATGTTTTTCATATTCTTGGAATGCGATGCAGTTTATATAGCCCAACGTAAAAGGCTGACTAAATTTTGCATTGGTTAAGTACATAGTTCCATATGACGTTGTTTTTACCCTAACATCACAACATTGTTCACCAGTTTGCTAGTAGTTAAATAAAGGTAAATGAATTGAGGAAAACAATGTAAATAAGATGAGGTAAAAAAAATCGTAAATATCACATCTTGTTCACCAGTTTGCTAGTTGAATAAAGGTAAATCAGTTGAACAAAAAAATATAAATCAGTTGAGTTGAGCAAAATAATGTAAATCAGTTGAGGAAAAAAATAAACATAAATCATTTTGGAGAGGATGGGCTCGAACCGGAGAAAAAAAACGATTTTGCTATATCTCACTCGAAAGATTTTTTCTTATCTCTCACTCGATTTTCTTACTCAAATTTACAGTGCATTTTCTGGTAAGTTACAGTGTAATTTATGAAACTTACACTGTAACTTTTGTAAGTTACACTGTAATTTTTGAATCTTCGCATGTAAATTTTAAATTTTGTATTGGATTTGGTCTTTTTATTGAGGATATGGTAATTTAGTGTCCATTATGGTATTTCTTAATTGCTTTTTGCTTTTTATTATATCTATCGGATTTTAATCTAAAGATTAAAAATCTGTGTGATACGATTATAAAAATCTTTCGAAAGATGTATAGGTACTCCCAAAAAAAAAATAAAAATTCAACTGAGGGCCCATCCGGGTTCGAACCGGAGAAAAAAAAATAAAAATTCATCCGAGGGCCCATCCGGGTTCGAACCGGAGACCTATTGATCTGCAGTCAATTGCTCTACCACTGAGCTATGGACCCTTGATGTTTCCAAACCAAACAGTTTATTACTTGATTTCCATATTTAGCAATTAGCCGATTCTTAATGATAAAAAATAATTAAAATCTAAATGAAAAATCACATATTTCCTATAGCAGAATAATGCGTGACACATTTTATGAGAAATATTTTTATTTATCTTATACAATATTATAGTATATTTTTTTAGCAATTAGCAAACACATGCATTTAGCTAGCCATCTAAAATGCACATACTCCCTCCGGGTTAATAATATTTGTTGTTTTGGACAAGAGTATAGTCTCCAAAAAATAACTTTGACCATTATTTTCTGTTATAATATGTATAAAAGTATTAACAAATATATGATTTTATTAAAATACTTTTTAAGACTATTCTATACATGTAATCACCATATTTGAAAGATAATGATTTTAAAAATGATTCATAATCAAAGATTCTAAAGTTTGATCTCATCCTTATCTAAAATGACAAGTATTATCAGCCCGGAGGGAGTAGTACTTTTAGTCAAAATATTCATTTTACCTATCGTGAGGACATGGTCAACTCCAATCTATAATTATGTGTGTAGGGTTTATTGCGTGTACAAATTAACTGGGGGACCGAAATTTCAGAAAGAAAATATTTGAAGTTTGACAAAAAAAATTGATAGAATTTGAACAGATGTTACTAAATTCACAAGTATTGAAATTTTCGGAAAAATATAGTTTCGTACCGGGGGTTCAAAATTCCCGAAATTTTAAAAATTTCAAGCCGAAATTGTAAACCCTGGATGTGTATGGATTGGACCAAACCATATATATATATATACCCCGATCGAGTACAACCAAATTAGTGTTGAATTCGTATTATATTAACATGAATTATCTGTAAACACGTACGTTTGGTACGACTCCAATTCCGAGATTCTTATCTCGTGGGAGCTAAAGCTATATCAAGCACTTCCAAGATCTTGGATAACATAGGTAAAGCTACCACACCGCTTCCAAAAGTTACACTACAAGCATGGAGCGGCATATTCCCGCCGCTTTCTCAGCTCCTCTCCACCATAGTAGCTATACCAAATACACCCTTAATCGATTTAGTAATCTTTCTAGCGATAGAACATACTAGCACACAGAAGGGAGTGGATTTTAAACTGACATCCTCTCGTTATTTACATATCATGCAAATAACTACAAGAAAAAAAATAAGATAAATTAATATGTGATATATCACTCCACCAACATGTAAGTTAAAATTTAAATTTACAAGTTGCAACATAAAACAAATTAAACTATAGATAGTTTACGTATACAATCAAATTTGCCTTTTTTTAACTTGTAGAAATTAAATTTGATGTTGCTTATTTATGAAGTAATATATCACAAATTAATCTACCTTAATGATTCTTTCTTTAAGTTTTTTCCATAATTATTCGAGTGACACTTAAACAATAAGAGGAGTCTCCTTAAGAGTTTAGAATATTTCAGATGACCAGGTGCACACACAAAATAGCTAGCCTCCTGGGTATACACGTATGTTTAACACGAATTGTTCGACAATCTTGGACAAATAATTTAGTATAGTTCGGCAAGCAAACATCAAACAAGACAACTATGCATAGATATACTACTCTCGTGCTTTGACTCAATATATACAGCAGCATTAGTTAACGGTTACAAAGGCACACGTCGACACACAACACGTAAGAGTAAGAGACGAACTACTAATCCAATAATTCCATGCTTAATTAGTACAGACAAAACCAACGCGTCAAAATGAAAGCCATCTGAATTAACTGGAGTATCTTCCAACTACTAATACTAATTAATCTAACCACTAAAGTCTCTTTCATTGCATGAGATAATCCATGGCTTTTCCCACAAATTCATTCATTCATTAATTCCATCACTCACTTTGCATGATGGCTGCTAGTGGCCGTCGACGACGACGACGACGGCGCCGCCATCTCCACGTAGTTGGTGATCTTCTCCTCCTCCTCCGGCGACGGCGGTCGAGTGGCGGCAGAGTCGTCGTCGCCGGCCATGTTGTGGATGCGGAAGAGCTCGCCCATCTGCTCGAGCGTGCGTCCACGAGTCTCCGGGAGGTAGGTGAAGAAGAAGAGCCAAGCAAGCGAGGCGACGCCGGCGTAGAGGAAGAAGCTGCCGCCGATGGTGATGGCCTTGGAGAGGGAGAGGAAGGTCATGGAGATGACGCCGCTGGTGACGCGGTTGAGGCCGACGCCGAGAGCGCAGCCGAGGGCGCGGAGGTGGAGCGGGAAGATCTCGGAGCTGTACACCCAGGTGATGGGGCCGAGGCCGATGGAGAAGAAGGCGACGAAGGCGAGGATGGAGGCGATGGACACGGCGATGGCCCAGCCGCCGCCGGTGGCGTCCTCACCGATGACGGTGAGGCCTAAGCCGAGGGTGACGAGGGTGGCGATCATGCCGCCGGCGCTGGCCAGCAGCAGCGGCCGCCGGCCGAAGCGGTCGAGCGTGAACGTTGCCACCAGGATGAAGAGCGTCTTGGTGACGCCCACGGCGCACGTCGTGCCGAGCAGCTTGTTCTTGTCGGTGATCCCGGCGCTCTGGAACACGCGCGGGCTGTAGAGCACGACGGCGTCGATGCCCGACGACTGCTGGAAGAAGTGGATGCCGAGCGCCGACAGGAGCACGCGCCGGACGGCCGGCGTCGGCGACAGGATCAGCTCCTTCCACACGCGCCTCTCGCCGCCGGCCCTCTTCGGCACGGCCACGACGTCACCGTCGAGGTCGGCCGGGATGGCCACCGCCTCCTTGATTTCCGCGAGGCGGGTGGCGGCCTCCTCCGCCGTGTCCGAGGTCTCGCCGAGGACGACCTTGGCGTCGGCGAGGCGGCCCTTCATGACGAGCCACCGCGGCGACTCCGGCATGGCGAGCACCATGAGCGCGAGGGCGACGGACGGCGCCGCGCCGACGCCGAGCATGAGGCGCCAGCCGAGCTGCAGGCGGAGGCGCGAGAAGGCGTAGTTGGAGACGTAGCCGAGGAGGATGCCGAAGTTGATGAACACCTCCGGGAAGGAGGTGAGGAAGCCGCGCGACGACGCCGGCGAGACCTCGGCGGTGTAGACGGGCGCGATCATGAAGGCGTAGCCGACGCCGATGCCGGCGACGAAGCGGCCGGCCATGAGCATGGGGTAGTTGACGGAGAGGCCCATCATGATGGCGCCGACGAAGAAGATGACCGCGGCGAGGATGATGGTGAGGCGGCGGCCGATCCAGTCGGAGGTCCGGCCGGCGGCGAAGGAGCCGACGAGGGAGTAGAGGTTGAGGATGCCGAGCAGGATCTCCACCTCGACGTCCGTGATCTTCATGTCCTCCTTGATGAACAGCGACGCCCCGCATATGTAATTAATGAGACTGCATATGCAACATGAGGCTCTCTGGAGACTGGAGAGAGCGTGTATATATAGGCAGTACTGGTGGCTGTGTGTGTGATCGACGGTCAGAGTAATCAATTGATGACAGTATGACATTTGGAGCGTGTATATATAAGCCATACTGGTGTGTGATCGACGGTCAAAATAATCAGTTGATGACAGTATGACATTTGCCCATTGCAACTTGTTTACTTGTAAAGGTTGGAACTTGGAAGGCCTCCGTGCCGAGCCCAGCTGGCTCGTCATCCACCCTATTTGGAAGGCCTCCGTATCAACTTTGATCCTGCTACCATCACCATCGACAGGTACACCCAAAATATTTCAAAAATTCATATTTTTAAAAAAAATATTTCAAAAAATCATATTTTCTTTGGATCCCTCGTGGGTTTGGATCCCATGCCACTCGACTTCATTTTATCAGTTTCTCATGGATTCTCCTTTCCTTGATTTCCCTTTTACCATCAAATTAAAATCTCCATTCCTTGATTTTTCCTGTGCACTTTTGTTTATTTTATGCCATCTAGTTACGAATTAAGAAGCGGGAAAGCTGGACACATGTGCACATATTGCCTCATAACAATTCACATACTGCCATACTGCGATACAAGGCAGTGCTTCTAGCAATTCAGAAAGTGAGAAATCAACACAAAACATAACCAGTCGAGTTCCAAATTGTCTTCAGCTAATATATTGATGATTCAAACAGATGCTAACGATGCAAGTTAGAAGAGAGGTAAATCCATAAGTCATAACAACTCCAACTCCAACACTCAACTATCAAATATAGCTGATTCTGGCCCAGTTCTCTTAGACAAAGGCGTTTGGACATTGCTAAGAGCGACGTAGCAAAGAGGCAATCCTCGACACAAGACTATATAGATAACTCATTTCGGGTTTTTGAGCACAATGATGACCGAGTCCCCACGTAGGAACATCTTGCTGATGAACCTGTCCTTGTTCACTGGAAGAGCCTTCTTCTTGCCTTTACCAGTCTTTGGTACCTGCAGCAAGAGTAACACATGTTATTACTGAAAACAGCACTACACTCAACTGGAACAAAAGTTCAAAACTTCAGATAACGCCTTGCATGTACCTCGGTCCACATCTCCCTGACATTCTCAAGAACCATGTTGCAATGGCTATCAAATGCCCTCACACGACCTAGTAACTTCTTGTTGTTCTGGCAATTGATAAGCACCTAGAAAGAAGAGCATACACAATCAAAACAATGCATATCTTTAGAAGCATCAAGTGTAGTCAGGAGAACCACTTATGGTCGGCTAATTCTATAGGTAACTCCTAAAGATACACTTATTAATATAACCGCACTGCTAGCCGCAACAAAGATCTGAGGTCGGACCCATACAATATACATCAAGCAGATATTTTCAGAGTTTTTGCCTAGTGTACACAAAATACAGTAGCAGCTATGAAGAAGTCAGCACAAATTTGCAACTATGGCTTGTTTTCCCACATCATACAAATGACCAAAATTGACAAATGGTTACACATAGCACAGCATGATAAAGTTGAGGTATCTAAAGAAAAAGACATAACACCAAGTGAATAAATTCAACATCCTAGTAACTGAAAGCAAGATAGCATATCAAGGTATCTAAACCAAAAGATATCGCAGGGAATGAATGAATTCAACATGCAGTAACTCAATATCCATGACAAAATGGCATATTTCAAGGTGTAAAGGGCAAAGATAGGTGCGTGAATTCAATCCAGCAACTCATCTTGCTATTGCACCAACTCAACACTCCAGTAAGTAAACAGACTCAGAAAATCAAGTAAATAATGAAATACTAATCCCACAACCCACAACGATTCTGGTCGCCAAAAGTTCAAATTAGGACTCCATACGATACACAAACAAGAGCAGTAGAGCATGTTAAGGTAATAGCATGGCGAGCGCGAACCTAAGATATGGACATACCTAGACAAACCATAGCACAATCCAAGACTACTGTTTGAACTGATAAAAGTGAACAAAAAGTAGGTAATTAAGAACTACATAACTAACTAAAACAGAAAACAACCTTACTGAAGAAGTGAAGATAGACTACCACGTTGCAATCAACTATGTTTCAGAAAATGAAGTGGCAGCCCAGATGCAACATTTACACTAACACTACATGAAAAGATGTTGACTATGACCAATTATTCAGATACATGAGAAAGGCTCCATTAATTTAACATGACTTACAGAGCATCCTTATTGGCTAAGAGAGTTGAGAGAACTACAGTTCATTCACCCGTTAGGAGAAGGGTACTTCCTTATTTCAGAAATCCAGATGTTCATAGACAGTTCAATTGCAAACGAATCAGCTTCTAAGGAATATCACCAAACATTCAAGGCAAATCGGTTGCCAAAACTTTTCTAAGGAACCCCAACCCATGAGCCAGTTTACAATCTGTGGCTACATTGTCCATTGCTCTGTTGTAAGAAATTAAACTTCTTTTGTTCTTTGCATTAGATGCGATAAAGCTTATCTTATAGTCATTGAGTTCGCAGATATTAGAGTTAGTAGAATTGTCTGATGTATCCAGTTGGAGGATGGAGAAAGCTTTAAAGAAAAGGATAATTACAATACTGTGGTGCCCCCACACTTTTACCACTGTAGATAAAAGTGTACCAGCTGTGAATTATTATTTAACAAATTCTTGTTTTGCCAAAAAATAGCCCACCATCAGAGATCGCACAGAGTAATAGTTAGAACTACCTTTAATTCGTCCCTAGGAGTCTGAAGGCCACCTCAACTCCATCTTATACTTGCAAAGAGCAATTCCTGTAAAGGGGTTATATAGCAAGGGTGATCACTTTCGTACTCAGCAAGTCAATAGTAGCAAAACATAGATGCATAAATGATACCTTTATATCCTACATCATGGTCATTCATATTTCATCATCAAATCTAAGTTTATTTTGTAAAAGGGTTTCCAAAAGGGACTTATAAAAACTAAAATACACTCATAACATTGACAAAGTTTGTAGCAACTCCTCGTACAAAAGCATGAATCACGATTTAATTTAGCACTGTGCAGGCTTGTACCGCTTTACCCACAGCTACTCTGATTTTTAGGGCCTTTGCATTCCATTCGATTGCTAGACTTATCAGAGTACAAGACTTTTTCCCTCATTTCCATTTACTACACTCCACGACACCATATACGCCGGGTCGTCTAATGGGGTTTATATCATCTCCCATCTATCACTATGCATTCGATGGGGTTTTATATCATCTCCCATCATTGCTACGCATTTGATGGGGTTTATATCATCTCCCATCCTAACTACTCATAGATGGGGTCTATATCATCTCCCATCTGAATACTATGCTCTTGACGGGGTTTATATCATCTCCCATCCTCCTACAACTACATACCCATGTGGAGTATAATAAACTTAATAAGGTACTAGGCCCAGCCCATCTTGAGACAGATCCATGGTTGATCGGTATACATGGTTCTCTGGTACAAGTGAGGATCAATAATCTTTATATGTATATCAATATCTCCATCATAATCAGTCTAGCAAATAATATCATCTATATTATATTTATTTTATATGAATAATGGTTTGATGCAATACTAAGAGTAAAAAATTTTATAAAATAGGTTTTTAATTAGAGGGAGCGTATCCTATGCACACAGGCCCTCACGTGTACACACCGTGTACACCAACTAAAAATTATCAAAAAAATTCTAGGAAAATTCATACATATACTTTCAATAGTATTACATCTACGTGCAAAGTCGCATCTTCAAATTCATTCTACATAGAGAATAACAAAAAAGATAAAATTCTGACAAAATTGCAACCTCAAAACTGTCAGATTTTTTGTTTTTTTGTTACAGTTAAAATATAATGAATTTGACGTTAAGATTTTAACCCTAGGTGTAATACAATTGAAAGCATGTGTATGATTTTTTCTAGATTTTTTGGTGACATTTTTTAGTTGGTGTGCACGTGTGTACACGTGAGGGCCTGTGTGCATAGGATATGTTGCCTTAATTAGAATAGAAGGATCATCATCTATCAATATGATCAAAGAGAGACTTGCCTGAGTTTCTATAGTTTTTTAATTTTTTGAGGTTAATAACTGCCTAGCATTTGCCGAGCCTGAGTATCTGTAGTTGAAATCGAAATTATCTAGTGCCGATTGACCCATTTTCCATTCTAGCTTTATGAAACTTAATCATGATGTCATTGTTTTCCAACTAATTGAACCATGTGCCATGAATTAATATTAATGATTTCTATTTAGGATTTAATTAAGTGCGCGTCGTTTCAAATATGCACATAATAACCCTGTATTAAGCTGATACCCGATGGGTGAGAGGGGGATCTGACTATTCTTATGTTCTTATGTAACAGGAGCTCTAAGGTAGTTTATCCCCTCAATTCAGTATTCAATTTGTCAGAACAAGCAACTCTTAGTTTATCCCCTCAATTCACAGAACAAGTAAAGATGTACCTTCTACCATCCTCGAACAGAGCTAAAAGAGCATCTGAATTAATACTTTTCCACCATCCCTCGGACAGAGTAACTGAGTTAACTTAGGCTGAGTTTGAGTAGGAGGAGATTAAGAAGATTGGGAAGATACGCAAAACGAGATGAGCTATTAGAGCATGATTAATTAAGTATTAATTATTTTAAATTTTAAAAATGGATTAATATGATTTTTTAAAGTAACTTTCGTATAGAAACTTTTTGTAAAAAATACACCGTTTAGTAGTTCAGGAAACGCGAGCGCCGGAAACGAGACAAGCTCACTCACAATCTTCTCCTGCCGAACGCTCCCTTAGACTACTTTTTTCTTTTCTTTTTCTCTTCTCTTCTCAACGTCTCAGTTCTCACGCCTAGGCAGGAAGATGCAGGTGTGCGGCCGACGGCGGAGCGGGCGCGGCTGCCGGCGCAGCGGGCGCTGCGACGCGCGGGGAAGAAGCTGGAGAGGGGGAGAGGAGGCGGCCGGCGCGACCGCCCGCGACGGCGGGAGCAGCGGGCGCCGCCGCCTCTCCCCATACGGAGCCACGGTGGGTGAGCGGGCGAGCGGCGACCTCGCTGTCGCCAGCCACGCCGCCTCCACAGCGCCGCGCAGATGCTGTCATTCGGCGCCCTCGGAATCACCACCACTACGTCCTGCAGCGCCTGCCTTTGCACGTTCGGCGACGGCTGGTACAGCCGGAGCACCTCGTTCAGCACGCACCCCATCTTCGTCAGCTTCCCCAGCGCCGCCGCGTCGAGGAGGCCCGACCGCCCGGCCGCCTCCACCACCTCCTCCCGCACCGCCGCCTGCCACTCCGGGTGCGCCGCCAGCATCAGCAGCGTCCACGACAGCCGCTCCCGCTCACCGCAGTGCTCGACACGGGTAGCGACCTCATCTGGACGCAGTACGACGCGCCGTGCCGGAGGTGCTTCCCACAGCCGGCGCCGCTGTACGCGTCGGCCAGGTCCGTGACGTGCGCCAACGTGTCGTGCTGCTCGCCGATGTGCCAGGCGCTCCAGAGCCCGTGGTCCCGCTGCTCGCCGCCCGACACGGGCTGCGCGTACTACTTCTCCTACGGCGACGGCACCTCCACCGACGGCATCCTCGCCACCGAGACGTTCACGCTCGGCACGGACGCCGCCGTGCGTGGCGTCGCCTCCGGGTGCGGGACGGAGAACCTCGGCAGCATAGACAACTCCTTCGGCCTGGTCGGCATGGGGAGAGGCCCACCGTCGCTGGTGTCGCTGAAGAAGAACGTCTTGCACTCGTCCACCAGCTCCCGCGTCGTCAGCTTCCTCTCGCGCCCCCGCGCTCGCCTTGTTCCCTCCCAGCAGCAGCTACAGCAGGTCGTTCGTCTTCTTCCTCCCGCTGCAGCCGCTGGTGACGCCGCGACTCGATGATGTCGAGCAGGAGCGCGTCGATCTCCCGCCCCAGCTTCCACGCCTCATAGTTGGCGCGGCACGCCGACGAGGCGGGTGGAGCGGAACAGCATCGCCTGCATGGCCTGCAGCTTGTGGAAGACCCCAGCGCCGGTGGCGTCATCGTCGGTGCCGATGCCGAAGCTGGCCTTGGCGATGATCTCGGCGGCGTTCCAGACCACGCCCTTCTCGATGTCGATGCAGCTCTACCCCGACACCACCATGTCGCTCCACTCGCCCAGCATCTTCGACGTCGTCTCCGGATGGGGAGAGGCGGGCGCTAGCCGCCGCTCCCGCCGTCGCGGGCGTTCGCGCCGGCCGCCTCCTCTCCCCCTCTCCCGCTTCTTCCCCGCGCGCCGCAGCGCCCGCTGCGCCGGCAGCCGCGCCTGCTCAGCCGTCGGCCGCACACCCACATCTGCCCGCCTGCGCGTGAGAACTAACAAGATGAGAAGATAAAAAGGGAAGAAAAAAAGATGTGGGCCCACATCATTTTCTCTCGCTGACATGTGGGCCCCATATATTTATTTTATTATTTTTTACTGACTAGTATGCCACGTCAGCAAAACCAGTCATCTATACTGCCTTGGATCCAAATTAGACGGTTTTGTATAGTTTAGGGGTGAAGATTTCTGGTTTTGTGGTTAAGGAACCTTGAAATCTTGATGTTAAGTTGAGGGAACTTATTCCTATTTACTTCCGTTTGAATTTTAAATACACATGTACTAATATTTACAGAGTTAACAGTTTCTTAAAGAAAGTCTTGTTTTATAGAAGTAATTTTATAAATGTATTTAATAAAACTAATTTCAGATTATGACTTTTCTGGGGGATGTCATTGGACTATCTTTATTAATAAGAAAATATAGTTACATCATCCACGCTCATAATAAAGCTAGGGGCTGGTTCATTGATCCATATACATGATTTTCTTGAAAAAAAAAAGACCTAGCCAATTCATGAGTTACCTGGTTTGCCTCTCTATTACAATACTCAATAGAAACCCTATCAAAACCATTATGTAAATTGTTGCAATCTTCGTATATGGCTATCGATGCCATTGTCAAGAAACCTCCATCTAACATAATGTCAACAACCTACTTACAATCTATCTGAATAATAAACTTATTCCAAACCATGACTTGGTGCTGATGGAAAACTAATTTCACAAGTAATATTAAATGGGTTCTTGCCATGTACAATATTTATAAGCTAAAGTATATAAGTTGAAATCCGTTTCTATTTCGACTTTAGAATCTCAATAAGAAGACCTAAGTAACCATACTCTATATCCCTTAGCTCTAGCTTTAAATACTATGCTTTACATATCAGATGTTTTAAAAAAATTCTTGCTACTAAAAAATACCAAAAAGTATGTCCATTGAAGAATGCAGCGGCGGTGCCCTGAACCATATCTCCCGCACATTAAGGACACACGTTATTCTCCTCCTGCTCTAAACAAATCACAGACAATAAAAAAAAGCAATGGTTGAGCTAGTAGGAGCTCCGCTTGATCCGGTAAATGAGCTAATATCAATCTATCATGTGTCTATGCTCCTACCCTACCTCGATCATTGTTCTCCTTCCGAGAGGCTAAGCGGTGGACTTATTAAACCTGATTGGAGCCATGTTTGAAAACACAACATAGATTTTTCTTTTTAAAAAAAAAAAAGATTTTGATGCCAATGAGAAAGGGAGATATTAGCTTTGAATCTCCCTAGCCATCTATACATAGAATATTCTATGTTATATGGTTTTGAATAGAATATTCTATGTTATATGGTTTTGAAGTACTAAGTTGAATAAGGATCAATATTTACCAATTCAAGTACTATGTACACTTACGAAACAATTCAAAGCAACTTACTATCATAGAGGTTCTATTTTATAGATATCGTGAAGTATATTTAATAGGAACACACTGTCTGGCACCGTTTGTAAAAAAAAAAATCCTCTATATCTATCCTTGTGAATACTGGCACACTGAAATTTCAGTTTAAGAATTTATACACTGATAATCCAAATTACAACCACAAGTTGTGGCGATTTGGACAGAATTTTGTTAATCCCAAGCTAGGTGTTGACCATGGGTCAACAATCTCCCATGGTGCCCGTGGCCGTGGTGTACGCAACTTGTCCGCAGCCGCGACCCCGACCCGACCCGACCAGACTCGGCACCCGCTTTCTCATTTTTTTTTTCTTTTTGCCGACTTCCCCCCTCAGCCGCCACACGCCCCCTCGCCGCCGGCGACCTCGAGTTCTAGGGTTAGGGTTTTTGCCCCGGCTCGCCAATCCACTATCGCCCAAGGCTTCGGCCCCAATTCGACGCCCGCGGGTTCAATTCCGAGCGCTCCCAAGTCGAATTGTCCGCCTCCACCGGTGGAATTCCCATGCCTCTGAGATAAGGATTTTGGGGGAGACGCGGGGTGAGCCGGGCGGCCATGGCGGGGAGCTCGAGGCCCGACCTCGGCGGTGGCGGGAGCTTCCGCGAGGGCCCGCAGCTCTCCGGGGCGGGAACCCCGAGGGCGCTGGCGGAGCCGCCCCCGCTGGCGCAGTACCTCCCCCTGGAGTCGTTCCCCGTCGGCGACCACAAGCAGTCGCGCGCCACGGAGCTTCGGCGGGTGCTCGGCGTCACCGTGGAGGCGGAGCAGTCGTTCGGGCTGGTGCAGACCAAGCCACTCCCTTCCATAGCGTCCGAGGAACTCAAGCGGATCCGTGGGGGCGTCGTGGAGTCGTCGGCCAAAGCCAAGTACATGCTGCTTACTAGTTACTGCACACTACTGCTTCAATCTGCATTGCTCATTAACCCGCAACCGGTGAAATGTTGTGCAGGGAGAAAACCAAGTCGCTGCAGGATTCTATTCAGAAGCTGGATAAGTACAGGAACGTTGTCACGCGGAGGCGGCAGAGGAGCGAAGGAGGTGCGACTGAGAGGTCATCAGGGAGTGGGTCGGGTTCCCTGAGGATGGGGGCTCAGAACAGTATGGATAATCCTGGCCAGCGGCTGGAGGAGAGGGCTAAGAGTGCGACCACAAGCAAGCGTGTCCGCTCATCGCTAGCAGCAGATGCACGGGTTTGTACTTGTGCTACTCTAAAGATTCATCCAGGGATTTCATTTTGCTCGTTTGCCACTGTCTCCATCAATGTAAATAGTTACGTCGATACTACAGGATTACAGAATTACAATCATAAGCTGCTCTGTTACTGTAATATAACAAATTAGTTTGAACTTTCAACTGGTAATTGGGCATATGCCGCATATCAGTGTGCGTTGGCAGTTAACATGGAGTAGCAATTTAAATTTTATTGCATGCTAAAAAATGGATTCCAAATGCAATTGGACCCAATTACGTGGTCATGGTTACCAATTTGAGTGAAGGAATACATCCTGTGAGTAGACGTAGCTGATCAGGTTAATATGGAATGTACTTAAGCATCCTTTTTGCTTATTTTGTAAAGAGCAGCTGAAGCTTATTTTTGGGTCACTTTTATGTCTTTGTATCTCTTTGTTGCTGTGGTATCCATGTGAGCAATATTATATTATTATATATGAGAGCACATTTTCGTCATTCTAAATTCAACTTAGAGCTACCTATGAGGCATGGTATTTCTTTTTGGGCGTTATCGTACTTGTTATGTATTTACTGTGCTTCCAATTTTCCTTTTCTTTGACTCTTGTGATATATATTTCAGTTAGAAGGGCGTGGTAATGTTCCTACAAGGCAAGGTCCTCTGGCGGACAGTGAGAAAAGTTCCTCTTTGGAGAAGGAAAAAAACTCTTTGAGGAATGTCAATGCTGCATCAGGGTTTTCTGAAGACAAATTACGGGGCCTAGCTCCTGGAGGTGAAGGTTGGGAGAAAAAGTTGAAACGTAAGCGCTCTGTTGGAACTATGCTGAACAGAGGCAATGACGTAGACCGAGATGTTAAACCGTTGGTTCAACATAGACCAAACAATGAAGCTCGCATGCGATCTAGTGATGGTCTTCCAATTAGGTAACTTTCATACATTGTTGTTACTTGTTAACCTTGTTATATGAGTTAGTTTCTGTACAGACTTTAGCTTCAAATGAAAACATCATTGAAACGAGACAATGAGGTTTACTATGCCACACACTATAATGACATCATAGGTGGTACTCCTATGAGCATTGAGGTCTGTCATCATCCCTTTAATGCTGTGTTGACAGGCATGGAGCTTCTGCTGGAGCATTAGGAGGAAGCAAGATGGATGGAGGTTCTCAACAGAGTAATGCAGGTTCCCGTTATCTACTGAAGGCAGACATGGACTCCACTTCTCTTCCAAATGAAAGAAGAGAGCGCCATTTAGGGATAGACAAAGAACGGGTTTTGGTGAAAGGAAACAAGTAAGCATAGTAATTGGTGGCATTATTTTAGCAATATATGCTATGATACAAGCACACTGATTTGCATTTTGGAATGCCTTTAACTCTTTGTGTGATTGGTTACACTGATACTTTGTATACGCAGTTTCTTGTATTTTATGAGTACTCCTTTTTTGCGGGGAGATGAGTCCTGTTGAAGTGTTGATTATTTCTACTCTATACCATGAATGAGAAATGATGTACTGAATCATTCTTCTCTTATTTAGGGCAAATACCTCTGAGGATATGCAACCTGGAACTTTAAATCCTCTGACTAAGGGCAAGGCATGCAGAGCACCAAGAACTAGTTCCCTTGTTGTTATGAATTCATCATCCACTCTTCAGCGCTCATCTGGAGGAATCGATGAATGGGAAGAAACACCATCCACCAATAAATCCTCTCCTTTGGGAGGCACTGCAAATCGCAAGCGTCCCATGACTGCAAGTGGGTCTTCACCTCCTGTTGCTTGGGTGGGTCAACGTCCACAGAAAATGTCACGGACAAGAAGAGCAAATGTTGTTTCCCCAGTCTCAAATTTTGATGAAGGCCTATCTGAAGGATCACCACTTGATGCTGCTGTTAGACCAGCGGTAGAGTCACCTGGCCTTTTGCTTCCAAGGGGTGTAGCTAGTAATAATTCACAAGTTACACCAAGAATGGATAATATTTCATCTCCAGCTGGTCTGTCAGAAAGCGAAGACTCTGCTGCTACGGAAAATAAGAACAAGGATAAAATCAGTAATAGTGGTGATTTTGAGAACGAGGGCGCAAATTCAGCCCATAATTCAGCAGACTTAATTATCTCATCGAAGAAAAGCAGGATACTGTTAAAAGAAGAGCTTGAAGATGGAAGTATTCGACGGCAAGGGAGGAGCGGAAGAAACACTATGCATGTTAAAGGGTGTGCATCCATGCCAAGAGAGAAGTTGGACAGCCCAGAAACAAGAAAGCTGCTGAAGAGCGGAAGACCTGTATCTGAAAAGAATGAAAGGTGCTTGATGATTGGAACTTATTGAGGTTGTTAGTTATATGTATCCTAATGGAACTAATTAATTTCTAAATTGATTCAGTAAGTTGGGCCGCCCTCCAACGAAGAAGGGTTCAGACCGCAAAGCATCATCTCGACACTCGGAGATCCTAAATTGTGGGTTAACAGATATATCAGGTTTCCTGAAAGGCACCTTTATTATCCACCTAATGCCTTCGAATTCTATAAGGAGTTAAGGATGTTAAGAGTCTTGACATTAAACTGTGTGTCATAGGTGAATCAGAAGATGACCGGGAAGAGCTTCTAGCTGCTGCAAATGCTGCGCGCAGTGCCATTGGTGTGCAATTCTGCAAATCAAAGTTTCCTATATGATTTGCAGAGAGCTGTAATTTTATTGGCTCATGCTTAATAGGTTCCTTATCCTTTCTGCAGTTAATGCATATGCTGGTCCATTTTGGAAGAAAATAGAACCGATGCTTACTTTCATCAGCTCTGAAGATTTATCTTTCTTAAAGCACCAGGTTGGATTCTGTTTGCCCTTTTGACTTTGCATAAGTTGCTTTACATTTTTGCCTGTTTGGGATGAACTTCCACTTACCAGAATCTCTGGTCAGATTACATTTTTGGAAGAGCTTGAGATGGGCATGTCTAAGTCATCCGATGAACATAATTTGAACACATCAACTAACTACAGTGGGCCATTATCAATGGTATTTTGCCTGAATTACTCCACTACAGAATTTCAACAAAATTCTTCAACCTGTGTATTCTGTTATATCTCCACTCTAAACTTCATGCATATGGACTGATATCCTCTTTCCATATGTTCTTTTCATAAACAGGGTCAAAATTCATCTCTGCCTCAGTCAAATTCATGTGTGTCATTGGAGCAAAGCGAAGCAAATGGACCCAGGACAAGAGAATCTATTGATATTTTGTCTCCCAATGATGAAAACACTGCATCTCAAAAGACACATGCAGAAGAATTGTTTGGTGGAATGGCTTCCTTGACACACAAACTCTTCTCTGCTTTTATTGTAGAAGATGGTGATAATTCTTCTGAATGCAATGGAGGAGATATACTTCTTGAGTTCTCAAATGACTTCCTTCCTTATGCTGCCAACATGAACTTAGAAAATGATTTTGAAGCTAGTGCAGTAAAATCCAACTTTGGATCAAGTCCTGATTTCAAGCACTCAAACCATAGCTCAGTGCATAACAGCATGTCCAATGGTTTTACAGCTTCCAGCAATTTGAGGGCCTCATATAGTCCAAATTCAATTTGCAGTGAGAATGCATCGGATGCGATAAAATTTGCAGTATATCCAGAAAATGGTGGTTTTCATGAATTTGTGCCACATATCTCACAACAGTATCAAAACTGTGCAAAAAGTACGCCTTTACCACCATATGAATATCAGTATGACCAGTTGCCTGTGCATGACAGAGCTTTAATCGAGCTGCACAGTATTGACCTTTGTCCAGAGATGGTATGGTTCCTAAAAACCTTCCATTATTTTGTAAATTTGAAGAATATATACTGCTTTCCTGGTTATAATGTTATATGCCAAGGTGTTTCTCAAACATCTCAATTAGCATGAATAGAAGTTGAGACCATACATTTTCTTCTGTTGCCAGTTTGTTGCTCTGGTTCTGGTGTTTAGGAGACTTTGATTTCTTATGTTATGCTATGAATGTAGATGTAGCTTTCTATTTATTTGCATTCCTGGTGGGGCATATGTAAATTCCTGTTGGCACAAGGCACCTAGTGCATCAATGGTGAGGAAAAATATCGATAAAATGTAGATCACCTTAAGAACTGCAAAAGTAGTGTGCTGTAATTTGCATTTTTATCTTAACCATTGTTCTTAGGAGCTGCGAAGATATTAGCAAAAACTTTTTATGATAATAAAATATACACCAATACTTCGATTGGAACAGAAAAATACTGAAATTATAACTTTGATCTGAGTGGAAACAGCTGAGGGGTTTAGAGGTCTTGAGGATAGGAAAGGTTAGTGCAAGGGGTTGGACGCCAATCAGTTGCTAGAGTGACTGTTGCCCCTGTTCAATCATGAGTTCTACTAGGGTGAACCAGTGGTGCTTATTCCTTGAGAGAGAGCTGAAACAATTTTGGTGCAAATCTTTGATTCTTGTACGAATGCTCCCTACTCAATATTCTTGCTTGAAAAAGAAGTCCTGACAATTTTCTTCTTCCGGTAGCCAAAGCTGGATGATGGAGAGGATGAGGACATTGATAAAGTTATTACGGAGCTGCAGAAAAGACTGTTTGAGCAGGTTCTCTCTCTCTCTCTCTCTCTCTCTCTCTGTGTATGTGTGTGTGTGTGTGTAACCTTGTAAAGTGTATAACGTTTCTAGATTAGCGAAGTATAAAGAACTATAGAACTAGGGATTCTAACTTGACTTCTTATTATAGTGAGAGCTATGATTATTCAGAAGTAGTACCCCATACAATCATCATCATCCCACCTCAATTTGGCCTATTTGAATGATAAGGGCATGGCCAAAACTACTGACACAACTGGTCGTGTGGTCTTGCCAACTTCTCTAGCAAGTTAACTGTGTTCAGTAAAAATCTAGCATGATTTGGGGTGGATTCTCTTGATAGGAGAATATGTCATAGCTTTCTCAGTGCCAAGTTTTCAAGCAAGCAATTAGTAGAATAGCTGAGTCGGTCTTGAAATTACTTATACATTGTGCATCATCTGGGTATGTTATCACCACAAATGAGATTTTCGATCACAGTTCAGGGCTTCAAGCGATCCTGATTTTTCTGTATTTCTCATACTTGGATGATATTCTTTAGGCTTCAATATCACATAAAATTTGTATGAGAACACCTACATTTCATTGTGATGTTTCCTGGACAGTATTTCTTTTGTTACTTCCAGATGTATTCTGGGAAATTGATGTGCTTTTTCTAAGAGTTAACACCTATTTAACACTTGTGCTCCTCGACTTATTTCAGGTGAATCAAAAGAAGTGCCAATTACATAAGTTGGACAAAGCAATCCGTGATACTAAAAATATGGAGGAGAGGTATTAAATATTCCACCCCTATACAACTTTCCATTATAAACACATATATGGAAGTTATAACAGCAACTAAACTTGGATTTCAGGAGTCTGGAGCAACATGCAATGAACAAGCTAGTGGAGATGGCATACAAAAAACTGATGGTACTTGAATATTCTTTTGGTTACATTACCACTTACTTACCTTTTATAAGTGTTTATACTTTACACAGCATTATAGGTTATAGAAACAGTCTAATTTATACCAGACGAATAAGATTAACATCTTTTTTGATAATCAGATTTTGGGAAAATATGCTATAGAGATTCAGAATGGCCATCTTATACGATCTATTTTCAAACACCTAATAGATTCCTAGTAGCTCGGTTTTGAAAGGCATTAATTGTTGCTTGTTAGCTTTACCTGTACAACTGAGTAAATACTGTTGGTCTATAATGTTACTTTGTACTAATGAATACACATACACTTTCTTAATGTTGACCTGTGCCCCTGATTGCATGCCATATTTGTTCTATTTTCACAGGGTGGCCGTGGTAGTTCTAGTCATAAGGGTGGTCTCAATAAAGCTGCTAATAAGGCTGCAAAACAAGTTGCATTGGCTTTTGCCAAGAGAACACTTGCCCGGTGCCAGAAATTTGAGGAAACAGAGAAAAGCTGCTTCAGAGAGCCTTTCCTTTGGAATGTGCTGTCTGCACCTTTGCCAAAGAATGATGCAATAGATGGTAATACACAAACTATTGAACAGCCAAACAAGTTGCATAAAACCCAGTTGTTATGTTACATTACCATCAATATAATTTTCTCTATGCTTCAGGTGGTCTCCCAGGATCTGCAGATAGGCCAAAGCTTTTAAAGCTTGACAGAAGTCCATTGAGCCAAGGTATTTCACTGTTTCTAGCATTCTTCAACAAATCCTAGTGGAATATGGCGTGCAGACCTTAAGTAGGGATCATTAATGTACTACTTGATGTTTGTTAGAACTCTTTCTTCAAGAGAGATGTTAAGCTTCTGCTGATCCTTTTCCAGGTACTACAAAATGGAAAAAGAGTGACCGAGAAAGGGATCAAAACAGAGACGCGTCTTTGAAGAATTCTAATTCGAAATCAGGACGCAATTCGTCCGGCAATGCAAGGAGTGAGCGTAAAACTAAGATAAAACCGAAGCAAAAGCTAGCACAGTTGTCGACATCTGGAAATGTTCTTGGAAGAGTTACGGAGCCATCAAATTTCGCAGCACCCGGCCAGAGAGAATCCCATGATTGGACGAGTACGTCGAGCACAAGACCTACTCAACCAGTCAGAAACAGCGCAGCTACTGTTGCCCAGGATACCTTAGATGCTCCATTGGCAAATTTGCCTGCAATAGATCCAATGGACATCTTGGACGTGCCTGAAGGTAACGACATCAGTTCGTGGTTTACTGATGGTCTTGATGATTCCTTACAAGATTTTGACTTCTCCGGAGGCCTAGAAATCCCAGATGACGATCTTACCCAACTGGGATTCATGTAAACTGAACCGGTAAATATGTACATGTTCATATTAATTTTAAGTGTTGATCCTATGTTAGCACTGGCATTGCTTGGTTACCGTGGTAACGGTGACTGATTAGTCTCTTGTGCCCCTAAGGGCAGAGCTTGCAAGTTGCAACTAGGAATTGATTCATTTATATATAGCGTAAAACTTGTAGTCGCCTTGTCGCATATCTGCGACCAGATTATTGGTCGTATGATGTTTTATCTTTCTTTGGCCACCAGGAAAGAAAGCCAGCGTTTATTCACAAGGCTCTCTGGAGCATTTGTGGCACACGTCTTGATATGATACGAGTATTAAAACTAATTAGTAATAAATCCTCTGATTTGGCGGAGCGGACAAAGCTGTCCGAGTGCATTTCTCAAGCAGTTAACAGCTAAACATAAGATGAGAGACGATGGGTTGTCCCTCCCTAGGCAGAACATCAAATTTTTGAGGTTTTTTTTTAGAGTTGAGGGGGGAATGTCTGAGTAGAGGAGAAGATACGCAAGGCATGCAAAAAGGGAATTGAGAAGACAGGAGAGGTGGAGTAGTGGTGCAACCCACGTCTGTCCCCTCTCTCGCTGCAGCTTAACTGTATCTCCGATCCATTCGATCGACGACCAACCACCTCTCCATAATATATCCACTCGTCTTAATTAGTCTCCACCAATTCTCTCTTTCTCTCTCAATTAGTCTACGACATTTCGTTCTGTCCTCGATCGAATTAGGAGGTTCGTTGAAGAAGAGAGGAGAGAGATCGAGGTAGGATATTTGATATTTCTTTCAGATCAGTAGGTGGCTTGTCGCTTGAGCTTGACAATGGACGTGGCCGGCGGCGGCGAGGAAGTCGAGGAGGTGGAGGCGGTTGACGGCGGCGAGCAGCAGCCGCCGATGGAGATCGGTTGGCCCACCGACGTCCGCCACGTCGCCCACGTCACCTTCGACCGGTTCCATGGCTTCCAGGGCCTCCCCGTCGAGCTCCAGCCCGAGGTCGCCGGCAACGCCCCCAGCGCAAGGTAAGCGTCTTCTTCTTCTCCATCTCCGGCGGCCGGCGCGGCGGCTGACAACTGTATTATTATTATGGATATGGAATATTGCAGCAAGACGGTGTTCGGCGTGTCGACGGAGTCGATGCAGTGCTCGTACGACGCGCGGGGGAACAGCGTCCCGAGCATCCTCCTCCTGATGCAGCGGCGGCTCTACGAGCAGGGCGGGCTGAAGGCGGAGGGCATCTTCCGCATCGCCGCCGACGACGCCCAGGAGCAGGCGGTCCGGGAGCAGCTCAACTCCGGCGTGCTCCCGGAGGGCGGCGTGGACGTGCACTGCCTGGCGGGGCTCATCAAGGCCTGGTTCCGCGAGCTCCCCGGCGGGATGCTGGACTCGCTGCCGGCGGCGGAGGTGACGCGGTGCCAGTCCGCCGACGACTGCGCGAGGCTGTGCGCGCGGCTGCCGGCGGCGAAGGCGGCGCTGCTGGACTGGGCGGTGCAGCTGATGGCGGACGTGGCGAGGGAGGAGCGGAGCAACAAGATGGGCAGCCGCAACGTCGCCATGGTCTTCGCCCCCAACATGACGCACGCCATGGATCCATTCACCGCGCTCAAGCACGCCGTCCACGTCATGAACTTCCTCACCATGCTCATCGACCGAGCTCTCAACGACGTCCAAACCTGCAACAACTGATCCATCAATATAATTAAGCCCACCATGCATCTCGATTATATATGATCACTTTAATTATAGCACGTAATTACATTGTCATTCATTCGTAGCAGGGTTAATTAATTAAGCTTAATCAAAATTGTTTGTTTTAGTTTCATTTTACTTTCGTCCATTACTCAGTTTAATTACTACTACATGTGTCGAGAGCTGACTTCTTGGGTCTGACTGTACGTAGCATCGAGCAAATCAGCTCTGTCATGAACTACATGCATGTTAATCATTTTATTCCATTCTAAGAGCGTACCTGTATGGTTGGTTGGTCTGTTAATTTGACGTTTGAGATATTTGTGACTTGTGAGTGCATCAATTCTCAGCATTACTGTTCTTTTACTTGTACAGTAATATAATCGATTTTTTCTACGCCTGTTTCAACAAGAACTTAAATTTTTCTCCAATGTGATGAGATCTCGCTGGTTTATTATATAGTTTTTGAAGTAATTTGGTGCATTGATGGCAAAGTGCGTGTCTTGGTAAGGGAATTGGGCCTTGCACTCTTGCAGCCGCATATGGGCCTGATCATCAAAGAAGACTTGGTATAGGCCCATTAAACTCAACTGAGGCCTATCCCGGGAGAGTGAAAAAGAGCGGGAAAATTAGTGATGACGCCGGATTAGAGGGTGGTCTTCACACTAATGATAAAAAAGAAGTGCTGGTCAATCGTAGTTTTAACAGGCACAGTGCACAAACAGAAATAATTGCCACAAGCCAGCTGCGTGTGTCAGGACTCAGGAGAGGCAGGAGAGGGAGAGAGAAAGGGGAAATCAACCTGTCCAGGAGAGGGCTGGTAATAGGAATAAAAAAAAAAAAACCCTCCAGTGTTCGTCTTCGAGAGAGAGAGAGAGAGAGAGAGAGAGAGAGGGGGGAGAAAGCGTCTTCTTCGCCTCTTCTGCGTCCTGCTCTCCTCGCCGCATCCTCTCGCGTTGGTCGTTCGTCGCGCTCCCGTTCCGGAGGTAATCCTACCCACCTCTATTTTTTTTTTATTTCGGTCGATCTGCCGTGCGGCGGCCGAGGCGGTTGCGATAGGGATAGGGCGATTCTCCGATCATGGGGGTGGCAGGCCGGAGATGAGGTCGCCGGTCACGCGCGCACCCACCAGTAGCACGGCAGGCTGAGCGCTAGGCGCCGAGCTCGAGCAAGACTGCGCCTATCTAGGCTCGAGTTGGGTATGTTGGGGTCGGTCGGATTCGGCTCGTCCGAGCTTTTCTCGAGCTGTTTTTTTTTTTTTGGGATTTGCTATTAATCACTAGTGTGAAAAATTTTGGGTTTACACTCAAATTTCTGTCCACTTGATCTGTCTCAAGATCTTTGCTGCATTTGCGGGTTCAGTCCGTGTTTGGGCCGCGCCCGCTTCGTAGTTTTCGTCTCAATCGGCGCGTCTATTCCTTTTTTTTTTCCTTCTTGATACGCGGATTCTCCAAACGATAGCTCCGCCGGAGAATCTCGTCGGCGATCGGCAATGTCTCGTGGCGGCGGGCTGTGGCGACGCCTTGGCGCTTGGTGAGTTGGCCGCCCGTGTGTGTGTCACAAGTCACAACCTTGAATGAAGTTATCTTCCTTGGCTGCCGGTGAGGTCAAGTGGCAATGGCATAGACGCCGGCAGCCGGCGAGAAAGCCACGGCGTTCTAGGGGTAGTTGACGAGGTGGTCGGTTTGCTGCTGTGGCTGGCGGCAAGGCACCCACGCCATTTGCAGCGGCAACCAGTGAGGCAACCATGGAAACTTCCATGGTAAGTCACGTTCTTTGCCCCCCCTGTTGTTTTGCTCTTGTTGACGACCATGAGAGCCTGGTAGATCTAATGATTGTGTTTTTCTCCCCCTCTAATCTGTTGCTGGGGATGGAGTTAGAAGGTTTGTGATAGCTAGCTGGATAAAATGATTTGTGTATTCTCCTCAGATCTGCTTCTCAGAAGAATGGATTTGTGGAGGTTGAGAGAGTGTCAGCAGACTAGCATTTCATTTTGCAATTACCAGACCACTAGATTTCTGATGTGAGGAAGTATCATTATGTGAACGGCAAAGCATTTTGTTGCTGCCCCTTTTTTATCTTTATGTCAAAAAAATCTAGTGGAATTGGGCAGCATACATGATCCTAAACATTAGAACGTTTTGCATGTTGAAATAAATTTACTATCTTGATTTAGATAGGGTGATAATTTTTGGGATCAGTTTTCTATACATACCTTTGTGTCCCTATATTTTTTTTCTTAAAAAATATTTGTTTCTATAAGGTTTATTTTCTTGGAATGTCTTGCCTCACTACAAGAAACAGAATGTTTCCAAGATCAAGCCTTTCATGCAGCACTTGCCTGCAACTAGGACTGTAGTAACAAGTTACTCCCTCCATTCTTATTTAGTTGTTGATTTGAGCTAAAATACACTGACCAAAGTAGCACTTAATTTTTAGTATTGTGACATGATTACCTCTAATTACTCTCCCTGCTAAAATACACGTTTTGCATTTGTGATACTATAAGCACTTGAGCATGGTTTATTTGACAAATTAATTCTTTGAACTGCATTCTCCCGATGGTTGTCATGTTCATCGAAATTTGTTCAGTTCCCAAACAAAAGCTTTGTTACATCTAAACTTTCTGTTTTGCTTTTGCTGTTTGCCTTCTAGCATTTGTTTGTTCTATATACGAGCACTTGAAACAACTAGCTCTGTTAGAATGTTTTGCAGCTAAAACTAGTTAAAACTAGTTCTCGTTTTGTTCGGGGAAAGGGCGAGGGGTTGAGGTTTGACAATTTCTCCCCCTTCGTAGCTTCCTTAATATAGTTAGTATTGTTTTCTACGCATCTACCAAGAACAAGAATACCTAGTTTTGTAAGCAAATTTGAATTAAAGTTAGATAAGGTTATGTTCTGTTTTTGTTATTCATTCTCCCTTTTTATCTTCCTTTGTTAAGAGTCGAGTGCACCTGCATTTACAGAGGTTTTGATTGTTGACATTGTAGTAGTTTTGTGGATTGATTTGTTTTGTTTGAACAAAATTAGATTGTTTTCACTGAAACATGATTAGCAAAAACTTGTTTATTATTAGAGATGTGTACTTCTTCTAATAGTACTTTGTAGCAGCAGAAGTAGGGGATCAAGTTAGTTTAAACCTAAAATTTGTTCTGTTAAATATTTCATTAACAGTAGAAATGTAGAAATTTGTGTTCTGTGATCCAAACATGGAATTGTTTTGTTATTTGGTTCTAGTTTTACCTAATGCAGTGGATGAAGAAACATATTGTTTTTTTTAAAAAAAGTTGCTTAGTTTTGTCAGCCACTAAAATTGCTTAGTTCTGTCAGCTCTTAATCTGAATTTGATGAGATCAATGATTCTATATAATCCATATACCTAATTTAGCACTGAGCATGACTACATGATTACTCTTGTTAGCAAATTTCAGTCACGTGGCATAATTTTGGGGCTGTTTGATAGCCCTATGGAATCGGCATCTATGAAATGACACACATCCAAAATTTCTGCCAACAGTTCATTTTGTGAACAAATTAGAAGAAAAACTATAGTGAAAGGGAACTTGCAGTGGGGGATGAAGCACAAAACAAACCATTTTGGTATCCCAGATCACAGCACAATAGCAGTCCTACTCAATCAAAAGCATCTTCCAATCTTGTAATGTGCATTTTGTGTTCTCTCTTATGTTTCCTGTGAATCAGTCACCAATGATGCATATGCAAGCGCCTCAAGCATGCTCAAAACATCATTAGTATCATCCATTAGTATTGACCAGATAGTCCTTGCTTTGCTTCTAGCTAGTTGACAGTGCATGCATATCATTGAGAGAACAAAATCTGCTTGTCTTCTATTATCTATCAGCGTTGATCAGCAACAAATCCTTTGTTGTTACAGTACCTAGTATATACCTGTTGGTACTGTCTTTTGCTAGTTTATCTTACTACTAGTTCAAATCATTTTGCAATCCATTCAGTCCATCCAAGTCTATTGCATCCTTCAATTTGTCGAAGTTATGTCAATCCATCTCTTCATCGTCTTTTCTACATCACCAATTCCCTGTCAGAGTTGGCTTTCATCATCACCAGCTCCCAGTCGGAGCTAGCCTTCATTGTCACTTCATCATCTCCACGTCGGAGCTTCTCGTCATCATCATCATCATCATCAATCAGTGAAGGTCCGAAGAACAATTTGTGAAGGGCCTTCATCAACATCAATATCTCATCATCAGTCAAAGGACCGAAGAATAGTTTGTGAAGGTTCATTGTCTTCATCATCAACAACATCTCTGAATCAATGAAGAGCCGAAGAACGGTTCGTGAAGGCTTCAAGGTACCGAGGGCCGAAGAACAGTTTGTGAAGGTTCCGAGGTCCACTTCATTGAGGAGGGGATACATCTTTTCTTCTTCATCATCCAAGAATTGGCTCACTTCGACGACATCATCAAGACTTTGGAGATAGGCTAATATTTAGTTTGTGTTCTCTTGTTTAGTTTTCACTCCAAATGCAATGTTATTGTATACACATTACATTTGAGTGGGGGTGTTAAGAATATATGTATTAGTGTGTTTGTGTTAAGGGGTATTTCTATCTTTTTGCGTTGTACTCTTCTCAACATATTAGCCCTTAGGGCCAACTCAATGGATGAATAGTTCAATCCCCAAATTTCTCTCCTCTCTCAAGAATTCACAAGACAATCCCTTTTCTTTAGAAAATAAAGTCGGAAATTTTAAGCTACGCGGGAAGCCTCTGGCAGTTTAGGCCCCTCTCATTGTCGATAAACTAATATTAATGGACACTTATATTTATTTTGTAGGATGATGAATAGTGATATCCAAACCCGCAAAGAATTCTTCCGTAAGGCTACATCATATGGAGAATGCATAGTTTTGGATCATAAGCGGAAGTTAAAGGATTTTGATGGAAGTCTCTTGGATCTCAGTGAAGCTGAATATGCTATCGGACCACTACATTCGAAATGTCTCGTAAAATATTTTGATAAAGTGGATCGTAAAAAGGCAAATGCATATTCTTTGCTGAAAAACATTCGGCATCATAACATCGTGTTTCTAAAAAACTTTTTTGATGGAAGTGGCCAACCCAGATTTGTATTTAACTGGGTAGATGGAAGCATGAGTGCATGGGTTAAAACCGAAGGTGCCAAAGTACTTCTGAAGAGAACAGGGACGGGTACCTGTCGAAACTCCACAATCCGTCAGCTTGTAAGGTAGTAAGTTAAAAAAACAATTTATGGAATAACACGTTGAATAGAATGAACAAAAGATGTGTTTTCTTTCTTAGGGATTTGTGCAGTGGACTGGAATGTCTATTTGAGCATGGTATCTATCCAATTCAAATCACTGCCAAGGACATCTATGTGAAAAAAGTTGGGAAAAATGCCTTGGCGCAACTTCTTATCGAAGAAGGTACCTACCCATATATAATGCATTTTCTGCTGCTCTGTTCCCTTGAAGAAATTTCCTACTGTAACACGTTTTTGACTGAACTAGTTTACCTTCAATCTAGCTTCCATGCCATGATTGAGTTCCTCTCTAAAATATGTTTGTGCAGCTGAAGCTTTGCCAAAAAGTGATGCTAGGAAAAGGCAAATCCAGGCAAATCTTTGGCATGAAATGAGAGATGCGGTGAAGAAAATCTTTGCTGATCATGTGGATTCCCCCAAAGACATGCCCCTCGTGAGATTCCTTGATTACATTGCAGAGGGCAATGTGAAGACGCTACAGAGGTATCCGTTGGATTGGGATGAAACTGAGAAGGGGAAATACTTGTTGAAGGTCTTGTGTATGAACCCACATAAGGTAGAGCAGGAGGTTAACAACCTCATACAGTGGCCACCTGTGACCTACTTGGGGAATTTACCATCCCCTCTTCAGGAGATGATAAGTTATGACCAAACAAGAAGCCACCCATCTGGTTACGATGATAAGAAACCATATCACTACCTAAAGCTGTGCAAAAATATAATCAAGCATTGGTGGCTATTGCCAGAAAGTGTTAAGGTAGTGAAAATTGAAAATATTCTTTTCTATAATTTTTTTATTCTGATCCTTTTATGTGTCTTACACCTTAACTTTAATAGGTGGAATGCAAAACATGGCAAAGGCTCATCCAAAAAATGGAAACATGGGATCCTAAGATATGGTGTAAGCTTTACGAGACATTCGGTTGATCAAGCAGGTACTTATGCTCCAATATCTATATAATATAACCTTTTCCAAAACTTGTTGCAGTAGCTAAGGTAATGGAAAAAAAGATGGAATTTGTTCAGATTTAGAGAGCAACAAGTGGATAGAGGGCTGTGAAATGGAATAAAATCCAACATGGTTGTGAAAAGATACAACTGAATGGGGAAAAGGACAAACTCATTTGGACTTTAACAAAAAAATGGAATGTTCACAGTAAAATCATTCTATTCTGCTATGGAACTTCAAGAAAGTGGCTATCGTTTTAAAATAAACTGTGGTAATTTAAGATGCCATTATAATCAAAGTGTTGTTGATGAGGAGTTTTGCTCTATCTCTTGGATTGAATTTGACAATGTGTCGTAGCTTGCTGCTTGTTTAAGTCATCTAGGCAGTCAGGCTATCAGTAGGGGTAGATTTGAGGGTCAGCCTCTTTTCTGCTTTGTTCAAACTTTGTAGTCTCATTTCTGATATATGGAAATGGGAGGGGCTGAGCTCCTCTTGATTAAAAAAAAAAGTAGTAAGTACTTATGCACCCCTGTTCCATATTTTATCAAAATGTTCTGCCACACGATTCCATGTAAATATTATAGTTCATTCTTTGTTTTACAGGAAGGCAAACGAAGCTGACGATGGGATAGGCATATAGCATGTTTTTACTCCAGTGCAGCATCTGAGTCGCCCTCTTCTTTCTTTCTTTGTGGTCCCATCTGTCTTGAACAGCCAGTTATGTAATGTTACTCCAGACCAGGATGTTCGACCTTCTGAATCTGTGTTCTTCTTGTTAGTAACACCTTGCTTTAGTGTTAAACTAAAATGCTTGACACATAGTTTGATGATTGATGGATGACTTTTTTTTCATTGCCTGAATATTTTGTGTTCGAGAGCTGGAAGTCTGGAACTATTCAGATTTCAGGGCTTCGGGGGTACTTATAGTACTTCTTACTTACATCAGCGTTATACTATTGCTGTGCTCCAGCATTTCCACGATGTTATTTTGTGGCGTGCTTCTTCTGGCGACATTGCTCCCTGTTGGCCATGACACATGCAAATTAACCGGAAACAAAATACGGCTAGGAAGTATCCGCGGGGAACAGTAAATGGGCTAGGCGATTTGGGCTTATCGAGCGGGTATACTAGAGGATGGGGCGCGCCGCCTGTAAATTTGGAGGAACAGCTGAAAATTATTAAGGTACTTAGGTAACTAAACATACCAGCTGACAATGAGTATCTGGTTACAAACATGGAATAAACCTGTTGATCATCCAGTTTCTTACAGTGAGTATGAACGTGATATTTTCATGCATAACTTACTCGTACAAATCATTTCATGTATACAACAAGGTAGAAATAATAGAAAAAATATTAATCTTACAGATTGCTTTAATGTCTGTATAGTATGAGCATTGGTTACACCATGAAGAGCGATGTCATAATAAAAAGTCATATTGAATTAGTGAATTGGTCGATTCTTAGAAAGCCAGACCCATGCGGTCAGATTCGTGTGGATACACTCAGCGTCACTTCATCTCTTGAAATCTCTTCAGTAAAAGATGAAATGAGACATTAGTTTCATGAGCATCACATGCAATCACCTTAGTAACACTTTGGCCAAGTTAGCACAAAAATGAAACCATGCACGAAAGAACCTTGTTTCCAAGTCAATCGATGTGAGTGCTATTATAGACGATCCATGTTTCTTCCACAATAACATACACAACCTAGTGATTGTGCAAATGCTACAACGAAGATCTATATCAACCAGGACGTACCAGAGGAGATATAAGACCGGTGCGGCGGGTAGACCTAGGAGGGCAGACCTAGGAGATGCGCAGAACCAAGCTGGCGAGCAGTGGGAGCTCCTTGTCCAGCCAGCCGGGCTCTGGGAATAGTCGCACGGATATCAACTGGCTCTTCTCCAACAACATGGACCTGCATTTTTTTTCTTCTTTTAGCCATCGAACAATTGACATGAGCCAAGATTCAATCAAACTAACAACAAATCACACATAATTGGATCAAATAGGTGCCAGATTTGATAGGATCAGGGCATAGGATATGTTAGCATATTTCAATTCCAAAATCGTCCATATAGAGGGCAAATAATTCAACATAAATGATGAGCTTAACAACAATAGGGAGGCAAGTAAGCAATGAAAGGAAACACTAACCTGCATAGTACATGGAAGATATTTCCCATCAAATGTGACCACACGATCTTTTCCATCAGCACCATGTACCTTGTTTTTCCATCAGCACCTACCTAGTCAACCGAACAGTAGAAGTCGATAGCTGACATGCTGCAGTAGGAAGCAATTACCCTAATGCATTATTTTTTTTGCAAAGGATATAAGCATGTCGACCAAAATTACACAGTCAGTAGCCTTTAAATACATACTATTAGTCCGCATCCTAATACTCACATTTCCACCTGTTACCAATTACCACTATTGAAAGAATATAGTGATTGATCTAGACAACGAAATACTGAAACCCCAGGGGTGGGTGGCTTTATATAATTTTTTGAGTGAAAGGTGCTTACTTTACATCAGTTCTCACTATATACAAACCTAAGCTTATCAGTTCATTAACCGTATCGCGTGACTCTGTATTACATGGACAAATAGAAAATAGAATGCAATAGGCAGAAATCTTACATTTCATTGCCAAACTTCTCATCGATAATTTCTTTGATGCTCTCCACAAAATGTACAACAGATTTATTCAACCTGTGTCCAATATATAATAAAAAAACCTATTAATATGAATTGCCATCTTGTGTATCTAAGCAAGAAAGCAGACTGATCAACATAATCTATTAGAAAACAAATAGACCAAATTAGAATCCACCTAGCTTATGAATATGATAGCACCACTCTTTAATCTATCTTAAGAACCGAAGGAAATCAAGCCTAGAATATAGATGACAATCAAATTTTAGACACAGAGAAAGATCCTTTTGTTGCGTACAGTGTACTACGCTGCCACCATCACCCATAACTTTATGTGAGGCACCGTTGCTTCTAGGGATGAAAATGGCCGAAAACAATATCATTACTTTATTGTTTTTGACGGAAACGGTCGGGAAATTTCCATTTTCTTGAATTCAACTATTTAGTGTCAACTTCAATGCCACTCTGACAAAAATTGGAAAAGCTAAATTTTAGACAGCAACAGTCAGTAAAATTATTATTATCATATTAGTTTTGCGGAAACGGTATCGATGTGGTCGGAAAATTTCCATACTATTTTCACCCTAGCCGCTTCACTACTTCTACTGCTTACCTAGTCCTGACTGCAAGAAAGCACAACTACATTCAAGATAACCAATCACACATGTCATTGAATTCATGATTTGACTAAAGATCATTTTTTTTATGAATTAAAATCTTAGACACAAAGACATGAACTCTACCTAAATGATACTATAGAATTGCTTGGAACAAATTATATTTACGCATACTTAGTTATTAGTAAAAGCTACAGAAATGTACAGCAATTCAACATCAACATAGGTGGGTTTCATGACATCAGTTTGAATAAAAAAAATTGACGTAGCAAATGCCTATATTCAAAATAGTAATAGGTAGTAATATGGTGGAAGAACAACATTACCAGTGCACAACCCTCTCCGCAGCTTCCAATTCATACATGTAACAAAGCAATTGTAGCTTGCATGCTCCTCTTCTCATCAGGCCTTCCTCGCATTGCCTGTCATCTTGACAGTGACAAGAACCTACTCTGCCACTAGCACGCAAGCCTCAAATTCATCGGTTGACCAACATAGGAATCAGCTACTGGATTGATAATCTAGTTCAATATAATTATATCTTATCAGCTAGCATACAAAAGCACGTAGATAGAAAAAGACAAAAGAGCAGATAACTTACAAAAAATCTATAAATCTCTTGCTGCAGGTTGCACCACCTATGATGAATGGCTGAGGATACCTATAATTTTTTTTTAAGATAATAGATGCCTGTAGGTAGCATCCTCCAATCCAAACATAGCTTTTAAAAATACATAAAACTGGAAGGTATCACAAAACTCAACAGTAACTACTTCCTGAAACATACCTGAATCACTTAGTAAGAAATCCATCCCCACCACACTATCCAACACTGAAGATTTACCAGGATTCTGTTGACCATACCAGTAAAGTTCAAATGTCAAATTACAACATTACTTTTCCAACCATGCATATAGGAATGCAAACGTGCTTAAAATATTAATGAAAGCAGTAATCTAGTTGAGAAAATAGCACTGAACTCTGACAAGCTTGACTTGGAGTGGCTTGAAGCTGATTTCCATGTCTGCCCGGTCGTCCGGCAAACTCACCAGCTTGCTGTCAGGCTGTGACAAAATAGAGAACACCACAAATTTGCACAGTTTGCATAGAAAAAACTGACCATTTGGAGAAAATTTGCATTGCAAGGTGGTAAAAATAGGTACTTTGGGGACCTGGCCAAGGTCCTGCAAGAACTTCTTGATAGGATGGCCATGATCTCTTTCCAATTTGGGCTCGGTGTTGTGATGCAGTTAACAGGCTAGGAAAATGCATCAATGAATGACCCTGCATTTATTAATATGAAAGTCAGTTGTAATGCCACTTTAATCTTTAATATCTGCAATTGCTTGCCTCTGCAGCTCACTGAATCAAGTTATGGAAAAGTTCTTCGCAACAAAACTAAAATGTTCTAGCCATTTAATGAACTCTACGAAGCATGGATTCTATCATTAAAAAGAAGTAAAGATGTAAACTGTGTATAAAAAGAATTGCAATACAGCCAACACATTCATAGCGCATGACCCAATTCACTCAAAGCAAACAAAGGAAGCGAAAAGAAGATGGAAACATATGCAAATGCAGACACATGCAGCAACTGAAACCAAAAAAAAAAAGTCCATAAATTGGACCACGAGAATTCCCCGTCAGCTAACAATCAAGCAAACCACTGCCGGAATCAAGCAAACATTGAACTGGCCAGCTCTTTCTTACAGGAATTCAGCAAGAGAAAAAAAAGAAACACAAAAAAATTTAAGGAACACACAATGACAGTTTTACACAAAATTAGGGAGGGTAAAAGGAAGTTATCTTAATTAAGTAAATATAAGGCATAAAATAAACAATGTAAAATTATCCTTGTCCTGAAAAGGAAAATTAGCATTCTATCGTAAATGCAACATGTAGAAACTTAAAATTAGCCGCACCAAACCATGCCTCCTAGAAAAATGACTCTTTGACAGTTATTGGTATAATACCCATCACGATACTTCAGATGAGACAGGGATGCAAAGTATAAACAATATATCTACATATAATAGCTAAGCTCACCTACATAGAATGGAAAGGCAGAAAACAATATCATAAGCAAGTCCAGATAGCAGTCATCACGTCAACAACATTAGTCATCCTGCTTGATCTGAAAAAGAAAGCAACAACTGTTTAGCATCCAAGAATTAGACTGATGTTCAGTCTCAAATGCAAGGAAAAACACTAAATGGGTTACTAATATAACAGAGCATTATTCTAGACTATTTCCATCTAAGAATATATTGCATCAAAACAGAAACAAGGTCGACACATGAATAATTTCTTAGCACTGTAGTGATGTAAATGGAATCTAGTATATGACACAATGCTACTGGTGTAATAGGACATCCTAGCTAGGAAATATTACTGCTGCCTTCTAATCATCACCGAATAAATAGACAAATTATGTAACCTTGTTTTTTCCCCAGCTGATAAAAAACCCTCTATACTTCAACCAAAAAAACTATTCCCTGCAGATGTGTAGAAAAAAAACTAAGTAGATGATACATCATGATAGTAACCCTTTTCTCTTGTGAGAAGGCGCCTCTGTTCCAATGATATGTATGGACCTGACATTGACAATGATGCAACGCATATCATCTTGCAAAGATTGGTTCAAACACAAGTAGCAGTTCTTTTTTTTAGATGGTACATAGATAACAAACAATAATGATAGCTCTAAGATGCCAACAAGAAAGGGATGGACCAAGGTTGGCACAACCCTTTATGTGCTGCTGATCCCTTCTGCCCACCTACGTATCTCTCCCTTATTCGTATGCTTTTTATGATCTAGTTTTTGTTTGGGGACACAGATCCTCTGCCATTGTGTGTAGTAGACAGTGGTAGTAGTATTATCATGCACAACACATGGCTCTGACAAAATGAATAGTTGGTCATGTTCCTCTCAGACAAAAAAGAAAGAAAATCCAACTCTTTTCGGTTCTGGACCCTTTTTGCTGCCTACCCATGCCCAACAACAGAGGATCCTTAATTGCTTCCTAGGGTTTGTTTTTTTTTTCTGTTCAGGATTCATCTAGTTATGCAGCTATTGATCCAATTAGTTTGCTTATTGCGTTGTCATCAAGCTGAAAAAAATTTATGTAAGAGGTTTCAGGTATACAGGCTTACTTCCAGTTGGTGAAGGGCGAGAGGGCACTCGCTGAGGAACTTGATGGTGAGCATGATGAGAACCGGGACGGAGTCCTTGCGGGTATCATGAGGTCGATCATGGTGTCAGAGATGAGTTTGTCGGTGAGCTCATTGCTGCCGTCTCCGATGAGGACATCGATGGCGTCCCGCGGCGGCCCTCCTTGCCCTCTTGTCCTGGATGATCCTTTGTATCAGCCTCGCCATCTTCTTCTTGGCCTGACCACCACCACCACACACACACATCCCAGGTTCAGATTTCAAAGGTTAACATGTAACATCTCCAATTCAGTGTCAATAAGGTTACTGCTGTAAGCAAACATGTATTTTTCCACACACTGTGGTTGAAACAATAATACAAGCATTTATGTTTTTTCAAATAAAGTCCTGAAAGTAAAATGAGCAATGCAAAAAGAAATCCAGATGTTTTCTATATTGAAATGTTCTTTTTGCTACAACATGACAGGCCTTACATCAAGAAAGTTAACACAAAGAAGGTAAATATGCCCCAAAAAATTATATTTCCACTATGGTAAAATTTCAATTAAATAATGTCAAAGGTTAATCAGTGAAACATACAAAATCATAAAGATTCAACCTGTGAAGGTGAACTTGCCCTTTTACCAACAGGATGCCTTTGTCTACTTTGTATTAAAATACAACCATTGTTTAATAAAATTTTAAAAAATGTGCTACTGAAAGTATAACAATTCCCATATGTTGATAAACAAAATTGAAGCAGGGACTGCCAATATAATAATCCATTCAATTAATGGTCCAAAAATGGCAGCAAGCCAGCAACGCATGCCGCTGAATAAAAACATTAAACTGAAGGCCCAGACAAAATGAGCACCTAAGAAAAAAAGACCATATGCGGATAATGAAGAACCATAAGACTGAATTACTTGGGATGCTTGTGCCCACAAGAAATCTCGGAGCCACCCATTAATCGTAGTGGAACTCTGTGCAAAGTTTCCCCCTGTGATATGAGTTACCACCCCTTGATCACTTATAGTACCCCAAACATCCGATTGCATTTTCCAACTGAAATGGAAAATGACTACCGAAATGGAATTGTACATCCAGAATAGACATAAGAAAACATGATCCCAGGCGGATACTTGATATGTTCCCCCTCGCCCAAGCCAATCGCAAGGGAAGCGAAAACCAAGATTTGCTTTATCGGGTATCAAACGGAAACTGCGAGCAAATAAAACAACTTTCAAAAGTATTAAACTCACCGCAAGTTATCTTGCTCCAATTGTTAGCATACACTGTGACCAATTCACCCTACAATGAAGAAGAGCGACTCATCAAATTAACATGCATAGTTCCTAGGTGTAATTACTGCCATAGTAAAATAACCATGTGTCTGTGGTGTGGATAATTCTGTTTAGAAGTTCAAGCCCATGAATTAACAACAGATTTCAAGCACACTCATATTATCAGTGCACAAGCACATAGTACAATTATTTCTCTGCAGAAAAATAAGAATAGGCAGACATTTTATTCCCATGAACATACACTGACATATGCATAACAATTAATCATTAGCAGATCAATTTTTCTATCTATGTTGTCCTTGAGACATGTGTGTAGGTGAACATACACTGACATATGCATAACAATTAATCACAGCATGATGTTTACTGTAGTGAGATTTCAATTCTATGTAGAAAGATCTACATTTTCATCATATTGGAGTCAGGAAGGGTACAATAACAGCAGCATATGCTTAGATAAATGGATAAATTCTGGTACCTAGACCAACATTCAAATATACTAGATACTGGGACGCGCCACCTATACACAATTCTTGTTATTAATTGTTTATACAGTTAAATAACATATAACAATTAGAAATGTACAAGGCGAGAGACGAAGAAAGGAACACTCACAATTTTGTGCTGAACTTATTGAAGAAAAAACATATAGATACAAAACAAAATTCACGAGTCCAGCCTGACGTTAAACCATGTAAGCAGATGCATTGGCTTGAACCCTCCATTTTCAACCAATTTGTAGTGATATCCTTTTGGGTGGGGTTGGGTGTGGGGGGGGGGGTGCATGCTGGGCCAGCCAGTGTCACTGACAAAACACAAGTAAAATGGCTTGCAACAAAAAATATATTTCCACATTTTCCTTCTTAAGTAGCTTGCAAAAATATACTCTAGTCAGTTTATCTGGTTTACTGCTTCAACTATAAGTTAAGTCCCTTAATTTGTCAACGAATCCGATTTCATCCTTCAAACTGAAAATCAGATATAACAGGTATGTGGCATATGAAGCAAAATTAACAATTTAAAAATAAAAACAAAATATTTAGACCCACATGTCAGTCAAATTATAAGATTAAAAATAATGGACCCCACTTCCTCCACTTCATCATCTCCCTTTCTCTTCTCTATCTCCTCCCCTTCTTCCCCAGATGCGTGGCATTGGTGAGAGCGGAGGCGCAGCGGAGGCCGGCGAGTGGGGGCGTGACGGGGAGGGAGGAGCTTCAATACGGCGGAACTATAAAAAGGCCCTAATCCCAACCAACACCTGCATGTAACCAACAAGTGCGATGACCAAATTTTTCGCACGAACTCCACAGCGCTTCACGATCTGAACCAACATCCCGATCACCGATACTAACCAAAACGAAAACGACCTAACTGCATCTCCAACAAATCGGCGAGATCTATATTTCCACCTAAATCTTCCATAGCCTCTCACGAATAATCAAGATACATTTGTGTAAACCAAGCAGCTGCAGGTTGTGATGATAAGTTTTTTCTATGATCCTTGTCCTTGTTTGTTTTGGCGGTATTTGTGATTATCAGTGATATAGATGATTGGGGGGGGGGGGGGTATTATCTTTATATGATCATCAGCATGTCCTTGTTATGTTGTTAGGAATAGTATGCGTACCTTCAAGGTCAACTTTTGGAGGAGACTGTCTCAGATGAAGGCTGATCACGAGCCGTCAGCGAGCAACAAGAGACTCCCTGTTATTAACCATAATTACAAAAGGTAATTATTTCAATCAGCATGAGTTATTGTTGGCTGTGTACATCCAATCGGATGTAGAGGCCAGGTTAATCCCATTTTCTAAAAAAGCATGAGTTATTGTTGCATGAAACTAATTATCAGAAGCATATCATAAGAGAATATATATGTAAACAATTATGTATGTCGCCTGAGTTTGATAAATTCCTTCTCCTCCCTATTAGATTTATCTTTTATTCCACTGATGGGAAGTCTTCATATATGTAACATTCTGAAGATTTGTTCTTCATATATGTAACGTTCTAAGAACAATTACCTCTAATCAAGAGACAGCATAAGCATATGTTGTTCAATTTGCAGTAAACGGTATGCTACCTTGACGCCCCAGATGATGAGGCAGAAGATGGTGAACAGGAGGACGAAGCACTGAAGCAGAGGAATCCGAGGAGGATCTGGCAGCGGCGGGAGATGCCGCTGTCGCCAGCGCGGTCCTTGTCCGGTCCCTCGTGCGCTCGCCGGACTTGCGGGCCCCGTCGCGGAGGGTGCCGGAGAAGCGGCTGACGGAGGAGGACCGGAGTGGCGACAGGATGCGGCCGGCGAGGACGGCGGAGTGGCGGCGTGCGGATGGGGAAGGCGAGGACGGCGGCGGGGCGGCGCGATGTGGACCGGGAGGGGCGGCCTGCAGCGGGGCGACGCGGCGGATGGGAAGGCGAGGACGGCGGCGGGGCGAGGAAGGAGAAGGTAGTTGCATTTTTTTTACTTACGCGGACGCGGAGGAGACAGTCAGAGCAATGTCGTCCGTTGGTAAAATAAAAATAAATCAGTACTCTCTTCGTCCCACAGGGATTTTGTGATAAAAAAATAAAAATAAATTAGTAATCCCTTCGTACCACAATACAAGGGATTTTGAGTTTTTGATTGCAACGTTTGATCACTCGTCTTATTCAATTTTTTTTTACAAATATAAAAAAGGGTGAATAGCTAAAATGGTCCACCAAGTTTTATCTGAGGCTCAGTTTAGTCCTTAATATTCCAATCTATCCATATTAGTCCTTCAAGTTTTCATTTTAATTCAAACTTATCTTTGAACCAACAACTCTCTTTATAAATGACACTTATACCCCTCATCATTCACATATATAAGAGAAAAATTGCATGCTTAATTTTTTTATAGATAATACACAGTATATTATGTAAAACGAAAAAAAATTATGTACTAACAAGTATATACGATAGCAATTGCTTAAGTTTTATGTGCACATGTTGAAATAATGGGAAGTACATCTGTAATGTTGTTTATTTATGTTTGCTTTCTCTTTTCTAGTATATAGATGTATACAAATTAAGGGCAAAAAGGACATTTTCTAATAGAAATATTGACTAGAAAAAGCCATATGACATATTAAGTGGACCCAAGGATGATTTCAAGCCAAAACAAATATTTGAAGGACCTATGTGGACAAAATGAAACGTGAAGGACCAAATTGAGCCTTCACTGAAACTTGAGGGACTAAATTAGCTATTCACCCTATAAAAAACGAAAAGTTGTGCTTAAAGTACTATAAATAATAAAGTAAGTCACAAATAAAATAAATACTAATTTTAAAAAAATTTGAATAAGACGAGTGGTTAAACGTTGCAAATAAAAACTTAAAATCCCTTATATTATGGGATATTATGGGATGGAAGGAGTAATCCATATACGTAGAGATTTTTTGAGCTGGTAGTGAAAAGTGGCAAAATAAAAATAAATCAGTGAACCCGAATGGCAAATCATCCAAGTCCTGACTTTGGGAAGATGGCAATTGGCAAATGGAGTAGTCCAAAATCCCACACTCGTCAGGCCCGCTAGGGTTTCAGGCTTCCGAATCCGAGCAGCTCCATTCCCCAAATCGCCTCTTGTCTCGCGCCCTCCCGCCCCGTTGCCGGCGACGAGCGCTGCAGGGCACAGGGTGCTCAGGCTGCAGCTTCGCCTGTCCCCGCCATCTGCCGGACACCAAGCCCCGCCCCAAGTCCTAGCCTGCCATCCGCCCGCCGCCCGCCAGTTGCTGCCTGACTGTCTCAACTGTTCACCGTGCGTACCCTGCAGGTATTTGTTTGTTTCGTGTGTATACCTTTAGTTTTTGGCGCAGATTGTAGTCTGCAGAATCGACCCTACTTGTCAATTTCAGGGCTAAAATTTCATTGTTGAGTCAGTATGTGCTATATTTCACATTGTTTTTTTGCACCATAGAATACCGTTGATGTGTCAGGAACCAAATGATTTTGGTTCAGACAAATTCGAAAGAGATTCAAATATGGCAATTAGCTAACTAGTAGGAATCCTAACACAGCAAATAATTAAAATTGTAATGCTGAAATTAACTAGAATGGAAGGAAATATATGTGTGCGCCGCAAGAACAAGAGGGGAAATTATATTAGGGTTCAGATTCGATAAAGAGTTACAGCCAAAACACGGGGCTTATATTGAGTACGCCCTCTGCTAGACGACAACGACGATGACGTCCACAGTACGGCAATTCTTCCCCTCTGTAGCACATCGCGGCGAATCAGGGCCACCCGATCTTCATAACCCTTCCAATGAATCGGTATCTCACAATCTCAGCCGTCGATTCTACTACAGCTATCCCCCTTAACTCTGAACTTCCAAGTCTGATTCTTCTTCAGGCCTCACATGATGCGTGTTTCTTTTGCTGTAACAGCGTAGTTAAGATGAATCAACTACCATGGAGTCTTTCACTAAAATCAAGACTTCTCTTGGTTTGCGATGAAAATGAAGTTTCAAACATGTATTCAATTACTTTTGCTGTTCTGGCCTGTTCATGGTGTGAATATCGCATTGTAAATCAATTGAATGACGATCATTCCATGTCTAATATGGCAGACATTTACCCATGAATGGCTATTTTGTTGGTGCTCGCAACGACTTCCTGGGTTATATGCTCCAGTAATGTGGAAACAAGTATAAAACCTTGTCTGCCGTATGCTTTTATCATGTTAACTTGTTAGTAGATTCTTTTTCTTTTTTAAAAAAAACATGGCAGATATCAACAGTTGCGGTAGTAATTTCGCTTCATATTATTCACTTTCTTCGATTGGTCATCTTGAGTGGTTTCCTCTTTCTTGGTTACATTCTGCTACTGTGTTGTTCCTTCATGCAAGTGTACTGGTCATCTTTTTTTCCCATAATGATGTTTGCTGAATTAACTAGGAGCTTAGCCTGTTGTGTTTTGTGAATGTATGCGGAAAATGAATAAGATTTTGTATAAAAATAATGAACTGGGTATTTTTTTTTCAACCTTCTGAGTCCTTTCATGCAAACAACAATAATTGTTTTCTCTTGATAACAAAGCATGAACTCCTGGTTATCGGTCTGTACCTTGTTCAGTGCCTTTCATAATTAGTTTAAGAATTTCTAATACACTGGATGTTTTAGAACCTTCCATTACTGGGAGTTGCAAAAGTTAATTGGAGATAATCTAAATGAATCCCTTTATTAGTGTTGTTCTGAAAATAGAAATGATAGGCCATTTTCTTTTCTGCAGTTTCCTACCAAAGAAAGGTGCTTAACAATTTGTTGTCACAAACCAGAATGGCCCCAGGCACATCAGGTAGTATGCCCACCTCTTAAATATACTGCATATTTTTTAATGTCTTAGTATTAGTATGTACCTTTGCATTTTTGTGCAGCACAAATGGTGATAATTTAAGCTTCCATTAGTGAAAATTTCTTGTTTTAGAGAATTAGCTCGTATAGAAAATTATAATGACTTGGTTGTCATTGAAACTGAAGTTCTTTTAAAATTTACTTTAGGTCAGCCGGAGAGCAAGGGGCAGAAAAAAACGGTACAAGTCTAATTCTACCTCTTTTTTCATATAAAACTTTCACTGAATATTTTTATCTAGCAAGAAAGTATGAATTTGCAGATTAACATTGGTTATGAACTGGCGCATCAAGCATGGGACTTCAAAATACAACAAGGAAGTTGCAGGGCAAAAATTCCTTCAAATATACCGCGGCAGTATGATCCTATACAGAACCTTGATTCTGTGTTAATTTTTGATTTGATGGATAATTCAAATGGGCTTCACTGCTTGGAGATTATGACAAACTGCCTGCATAAGAACATATTGCATGCTCCAATTGTTCAGAAGAAGGAGGATGTTGACTGCATTTCTGTATGGCATGAGCCTTACACAGGCAATCTTCTTGCATATTTGGAATCTACTTTGTTAGGGGCCAAACATATGGTTGGGGAAAAGGTTGTGCTCCCAACACCTGTGCTACAGAATCTTATAAGGTGTGTCTTTGTTGCCAGCTTTACGTAATGCATTAAGATATATAAAGTCATGTAATAGTATTGTTGTTTTAGTCAAGTTTTTGATGGATTGAAGATGCTGAGGCTCTGTGGGAAATACCATGGAAACTTTACACTTGAGAAGACATACTATTACAAGAAGAATGGAAATGAAATCATTGTGAAACTTGCTAATTTTGAAGTTAAAGGTAATGCAACCTATCGACCGTTGAGATACAAGATCACCATTTAGGGTAGAAACAAGTAGAGATATGTAAGCACATTATTTAGATGACGTTTTCAATATAATTAATGTTTCAATTTCAGATCAGGTGAAGTCTACTCCAGTATTGCAAGCTAAGGACTGCCAGGCTGTTGGTGATGCACTCAGAAAGATCTCAAAGATGGCTAAAGATCGAAAAGATCTTGATTTTGATTGCAGTCAAATTGATAGCCTTGCTGAAGAACTTAGGGAGTTTTCCTTGTAAGTATACCGTGATTTTCTAGAGAGTTAATATCAGTATATGTTCCTTGTAAGTATATGTTCTGATGTGTGGTTAACTTGTTCTATAATCGCAAATCTTTAAATTTCAAAGTTAGCTATGCCTATTGTGAACTGATGCTTGAGTACCTGTCTATAGTTTATCTACTAAACTTTTGCTTTGATTTGAATCATGGCTGCTTTTGGTTAGTCAATGCTCTTTTATCTGAGGAATCAATTGATGATTGTGTAATTTGGATGGTCTTGAGTGTTCCTAATTTTGGCTAAGCAGTTCATATTCAGCAATAGCATCTTGCTGTAAAACCAAGAACAATGTAAATGATCATTGTTTCGTACTTTAGGTAGCTAACTGCATGCCAAGGAAAGCAGGTTCCTCACAAGGATATCTCCGAACTTAATTCCTAAGTTTGTGAATAGTAGATTTTAGTCGTTTATTTTAAAGGAGGTTGGTCAATCTAGTTTAGAGCGTGGAATGTTTCAATGTCAATGGTTTTTGTTTATTTCCTTCAATACCGCTCATGGATCAAGAAGGCTTATCTTACCGACTTTAGTGACTTAACAATGTTTTCTGCAGTGGTTGTTTACCTGCTGTAAATATTGCTGATAGCTTAAGTATAGGATAGAGACCTAGATTTCATGATTGAATTGTAAGAAATCTGTGCTTGAATTAAGTGATGCCAATGTGTTGGAATGGCCCTGGCTTGAATTAATATGGGCCATGAGAAGGAACTTGCAGCTCTTCAGTGTAGCTTTCATACGCTTCAAGTTTGTTTCCAAGTATATTGTGAGTTTGATTGTGACAAAACAATTGGTATTCTAAAACCAATAGCCTCTAGGTGAAAGCGAAATACTTGATAGTTGAAGTGAAACACTGATGACATAAATAGCTTAACAATATATTTTTTTATGCGTGCATTCGTAATGAGAGCACTCTCTAGCAATTAAGAGTTTAATGACTATCTAAAAAGCTATATTCATGAATGGTGGTGCTAGACTAATGATATATTGTTTATTTTATAGCGGGGATTTATGCAATATTGAGAAGAAGATTGGAGGCCATCCTTTCTTTTGGGTTTTTGATGATAGGAAGTTCCTTTTGACTTGCTCGATTCCTTTGGCCATGAACAAACGCGCATTTCGACAAAAGATTGAGGGCAATGAAGATTTGATTGCTCTTCCTTGGGACAAAGAGGACTATGATGGATTAATTAATTTGATGATGAAGTACAGGGCAGATCATATGATTAAAAAGTTTGATATTAACAGCAGAGTTGACTATGTGCTGTGTGTAAGTGGAATGTATGCTCATGAAAAGGAGCTGAAGGTATTACATGTTTTAAGCAAATAAATTAACTTACTTTAATTACCTTCTGGTTACATGCTTGCAGTAAATAAAATGAACTTACTGTTGTAAATTATAGACCAACATTCAGGTCGATAGAGTCATCATGGAGAGAAACCCCGGCCTTTGCTGTCGACTATAATATATGTTAACATGACTGGGAGGACTTCAGCAGACATGATAATCCACACTGAAGGTAATGTTTTCAGGTTTCTTTCCCAAACTTGTAAAACTGTAGTGGTAGATGTTCTTAAAAAATTCATTATCAGAGCATTGCTCGATTAGTTTGTTTAGCGGGCATGGGAACTTTGTTTCACCTATACTTTGTTTCTTTCAAAAGATAAATATGATGGGATCATTTGCAGCTTTGTTGTTTGCTTGATATTTGTTGTGTAAAATAACGTCTGTTGTTGAAGAAACGTCTTGTTTGTCTTATTCTCAATGGCTCGAGTGTCCTGAGGTTATGGGCATGCACATTATTTTATTTTAGTAACATATCTCTTCAACACAGATATAACCCTGGGAGCTGTGCGAGAGGTAGGCATGAAGTCTGGAACAATGGGAAACAGTGGCTTTTGGTTCCTACTTGTCTTTGATAGAGCTAGCAGGAGGCGAAGAGAAACATAGTTAAGTTATTGATAATTTAGTATTTGCAAAAGAGGGAGATGCACCACTAAAGATCTTATAAAGATTGGTACTGTTATATTTGGTGCTTTCAATATTTTCTTGGTAATCTATAGTACAATGTCCGTGCGTTGCAACGAATGAATTGGCAATTGCAATTGTATTTAAGCAGAAAAATGTTAAGAGTAAAGGTAATGTGCGACAGAGTGACATTAAGATGCGTTCATTCACATGGTTTTACACAACACTATTAGCATTTCATCTGAATATCTCTGTATTATTAGAAACCGATCCATCCCAAACGAAACCAATTGTATAAACACACACACAAAGTTGCTAATATATGACCATCCAATAACTTGGCAATGCCAAAAAATGTTAGCAAATTTGACTTAATTTGTTTTTTTTTTCAACCTGTAGAAATTGAATTTTAATTTGCATGTTTGTGAAGTGATATGTCATATATTAATTTATCTTGTTTATTTTTTTCAATTTTTTATAACAATTTGCAAACAACGATGAAATGTTAGTTTTTTTTTTTGAGAGCGATGAAATGTTAGTTTATATTATAATCCACTCCTAGGAAGAAAAGATGCATGTTCACTGACTGTAGGGCTATCATAATTTTTATTTATTTATTGGTTGAAGTGTCACGTTTTAATTAAAAAAAATCAGGTATAGTACTGCTGTGGGATCTCGTCGTACGCTGGCAATAAATACTTTTACTTATTCATCATGTGACATATCTAAGAGCAGGTACAATAGCAGACTATAAGCCAGTTATAAACATATTTTAAAGAGATAAAGGAAGAGAGAGAAGAGCAGCGGGCTACAGATTTGTAGCCAGCTGCAGCACGGACTCCAAGACGTAATGTAAGTATGACAGATGGGACCAGATATTAATAGTATAGTAAGCAAATATTGTATGAATTGGCTATTACGTTGGCTATAGATGATTTGGAGCTAGTAGTGGGCTATACTATTAAACTTGCTGTAATGATGCAAAATATAGTTTAACAAATGCTTTTATTAATCATTCATCATGTGACATATCTAAGGATTCATTCATAATCAACGGAATGAGGTCGATCCGACGGCTCCGATCGATATCAAATCGCACACCTCCCTCCTCCCCACCAGTATCGTGCAAAACACGTCCCCATCCAACTCGCGGCGCAGATCGCGCACTCTCTCCCTCTCGATCAGATCGCGCGAAGCATTATCCGAGGGCTATCTGCCTTGAAGGCCGGGAGGATTTGGAGGGTTGGCAATGGGAGCAGTATAGATATATGGGAGGATCCTTGGATCCCTGCTGGAGTCACCCGAAGACCGATAACTCCTCGAAGAGGCACTGTGCTGAACAAGGTAGCTGATCTTATTGACCCAGCTACGGGCTGGTGGGATAAACCACTAGTGGAGGAGATTTTTTGGGAGTCTGATGCCAGGAACATTCTGGCCATCCCGGTGAGATTAGACACAAATGATTTTGTAGCCTGGCATTTTGATACAAGAGGAATGTACTCGGTCAAATCTGCGTACCATGTCCTGGAAGATCAAAGGGAGAGATCGGCGAAGAAGCAAGAGGGCGGTTCATCCTCTGGAGCGGTGAACCAGCGGAATTTCGAGTGGGATAAAATCTGGAGTTTGCAATGCATTCCTAAAGTCAAACAGTTTATCTGGCGGCTTGCCCATAACAGCCTCCCCCTGAAACTCAACATCAAAAGGAGAGTACCAGACGCTGAAACTCTATGCCCGGTCTGCAAAAGGTTTGATGAGAATGGTGGACACTGCTTCCTGCAATGCAAGCCCATGAAACTCTGCTGGAGAATTTTATGCCTTGAAGATATCCGTTTAAGCTTGACTCAGCTTGTTTCTGCTAGAGATGTGGTTCAGACCATTTTGAAGCTGGAGAATGATCGAAGAATGGAGGTCTTCTTTCTTTTGTGGGTTTGGTGGTATGCACGCAACAAGGTGAACTCGGGGGAGGACGTAATCAGAGTGGAAGAAGTGGTCCACAAGGTGAAACAGCTGATCTGTGATCATGCCTCTCTGCGCAAAGGAAAACATCCCAAGGTGAATGTGCAAAGAAATAAGTGGGTTCCCCCTGTAGATGGTAATCTGAAGCTCAACTTTGATGGAGCCTTCCGAGCTGTAAACAAGTCTGGTGGTTATGATTTCCTGGTTCGTGACCACCGTGGATGTGCTGTTCTTGCGGGTGCCGGCTGCCTGGAACATGTACATGATGCTTTTGCAGCTGAAGCTGAAGCTGGTTTAGCAGGCCTAAAATCTGCTATTTCGCATGGTATTAACTCTGTCCAGGTGGAAACTGATTCACCATCCTAGTGAGAGCCTTTCACTCTCATGAGTACGCTCTCTCTCCTTGCAGTTCTATCGTAAGGGAGATCAAGGATCTCGTCCATTTAAATTTTTCTAGTGTTGTGTTTAATTATGCCCCGTGATCATGTAATGTGGCTGCGCATAAGTTAGCTCAAATGGGTGTGTGCTGGGAATTGGGTCAAGCAAGTGTGTGGGCTGACCTGTCCCTGACATTGTACAAACTATTGTGGATCGTGGTATCACTGATCCTAGTATTTAATAAAGCGCGCCGGTTTAACTCAAAAAAAAAAAGATCGCGCTCGCTCCTCCTCTCTCAGATCGCGCCTCGCGCTCCGCCGCTGCATCTCCGACGATTGTCGCCTCAACCGGCATCACCCGCCGCCGCCGATCCGGTTTCCCGCCCTCCTCCAGGTCGCGCACCTCGCGCTCGACCTCCGCCGCGCCACCTCTCCGACGAGGCGACGACTGCCTAGTGCCTACCGCCGCCGCGTCAACCGGCATCGCCGATCCGGTCTCCCTCCGCTGTCCCTCCGCCGCTGAAGTCTCCTCAGACTCCGCCTCGCCGATCCCCTCCTCCGCTGCATGCCTGCATGTCGCTTGACCATCCCGCGGGGCCTACTCGCCCGCGAGCTCCTCCCCGCTGCCATCGGACCTGCGCGGACTCCCACGACCACCACGGTGTGAGATGACGCCGCTGGCGGCGATTGTGTTGGCCGGTTTCTAGGAGCTCTTTGATTCAGTCCGCCGCTCTCCATCTTTTCCCGTCCCAGGGGCAGCACTGCAGTATTCCTCGACGAGCAGGTTCTGCTTCGAGCGTAGAGCTTCCGGTGGGGGTTCAGGGGTGGATTAGCATGTGCCTTCATGAGTCGGGATGTCAGACGGTAGGAATGGAGCAGGAGGAGAGGAGAACCTGCTGATCCAGTGGAGAGATAGCAATCTCATCGGGAACAGCGTGCTGAGCAGGTATACCTAGCATGGACCTCGATTCCTACAAGGGGCTTCAAGTTTCGAGCAATAGGCAATTCTGATTGGATCGGTCTTCTGCTTTCCTTTTGGTGCAGGCTTTGATCAGAACCAGCAATGCCACAGAGGAGAAGACCCAAGTGAGTACGTTTGGTCAGTTTCTTGTTTGTCTTTATTTTCCTCACCAACTGCGCAACTGTAAATCTTAATGCTCTTAATTATTTGATCCCACTCTTAAGTGTTTTTCATCGGAAACTTTTGATTAGTGACACATAAGGGAGCTTAAGGATGAAGTGAAGCTACTCAAGAACCTCTCACATTCCAAAATGCTGTGAGTACATACTAGATAACTACATATGGTTTGTTTTTCAATTCGATGATGGTGTTTGATTTATCTGGTATGCTTTGAACAATGATATATTGGAACAGTATGGGAGGAGAACTCACTAAATATTCTGGTGGAGTTTATGCTAGGAAGATCAATACAATCATTCCTTGGGAGGGTTGGGCCATTCCATGAGGCTGTAAGTGCTAACTGTTATATATGAGCGTCCTCTTTTGATGTGTTTACAACTAAAGAGGTTTTTTAACTGAATGTATTTGTTTATCAGGTCATCAGGAAATACGCTAAACATATTTTGCATGGTCAGGAGTATGTACACCGCAATGGAATCGTACACATGGATAAAAAGGCAAGCAGAGTATTTGAATTTTGTTGACCCTGAACGATTTTGTTGCATGGGCTAGAAAGTTTATATGTGAGATTACTGTTTTTTTAACTTTTCAGGGAGCATTCTACTGATAAAAAGGAAATGCAAGACAAGTGACTGCAGTGCTTGCAAGATGAATCATCATCATAATTGGGTAGTTGCTATTCGGGTTGTTGAACTGCTAGACGAAATCAATTGTAGTTGTAGTGCCATGGTAGTAATCAGCAATCAAACTCCTTGCCATGATTAATCAGGTATGTCATTTTTTGCTAGAGAATAATGCTAAACAACATTACCTTATTTACTAATTATCTGCTAGATGTCTACGGTTGAAATTTTCTCTTGAGCATGATTCTAAAAAGTTAGTTGAGTTGTTCAGTTACAATTGATGATTTAGCACTGTCTGGAACTATTTTTTGGTACCAACTTATGTGCTTTACGTGAATAGTATTGGTCTTTCAAGGTTGATATGGTAGTGCATTACTGTTGTGAAACGAGAAGCTTATATATCCTGTGCATCTTCAGTGATTTCTGAGTATTTAATCCTAGAAGATTGCATATTTGCATTACATTAGTTTCCAAATTTCTAAAGTATTAAATTATCCTGTTGATGCTGGTTGCCTGAGTAAGGAGATTGATGCAGATTGTTAAGTTCATAATATATTAGAGATCGTATATGGCTGCATATGAAATTATGTATTTGTGTTCAAATGCCAATGTCAGGTAAAATCTGAATGCATATATTTTTTTCTATATACCTTAGTTTAGTAGCTCAGATGGTAAGATTTAAAAAAACCTAACAACTGTCAGCACCGCTACTTGTAATAGATTTCTTTCATGCTGTATGGTGGATTTGATTTTGTAATTTTAACCATTAAAGGAACCTCCTTTTACTGTGGGTGGGACGGACCTGTCAGCGGGGTGCTGTTGGTGATGACGGGGTGCTCTGAATTGATGGAGCTATGCGGATTAATTTAGCTTTACCACTGTTAAGTTGCTTGCAGTTCTGGTTCTGAACAGCTTTGTGTCTACTCTCTCCTACAGACCACAGTTTGATAGCACCACCATTACTATATATGTTGAGACTGTGAGCATGCACAGCTCTGAAGCCTTTTGTAGTTTTGTATGACAAGGATCAGGAGTTCAGGATGCAAGTCCACCATATGGATTGAATTTGGTGGCCATGTATTTTCTGTGTCCTGCAAAGGACGTTGCTGTTTTTTTTACGGCTGCTATGTTGCTACCTTTTCAGAGAAGGTATTGCAATCTATATTCGCAAGTCTTTATCAGTTCACAGGTATGTTCTTATCCTATCGTCCGACAAATATTGTTCTTTCATCTTTCATATTCATGATGAAACATCTTTTAATTGAGCCACAGTGAGATTGATGTAAACTATCAGCATACAATTAAATGTAGTGCATGGAGTTTCAGACCAACATATTCTAACAAGGAATACTTTAATTGAAGGTTCATGTTAGACCTCATAGCTCTCTCTCATCTGTGCTATTCTAAAATGAAAGGAAACGATGTGGTTTATGTTCTTTCTTGTTAGACTTCATAGCTCTTTCTCATTTGGGCTATGATGGAATTGCAAAATTGTGGATGCAAAGTTGATTAATTGGGTTATTCAAACTTCAATCTTTTTTTTTTTGCCATTGGTAAATGGCATGCATCATGCCCACCAATTAATTATTAGTTGAGCTATTGATTTTTACTGTAAGTACAGAAAAGGATGGCCAATTTACATACATTTTTCTCAAATAATAATTAAGAATTGTTCGGTGTTGTGCAAATAGACTCAAAATAATAATTGGAATTGTGTTCATTTGTGCCATGTGGTGCTATTGCATCTCTTATTTCTCTACCATGAGTGAATAGATGATATGGCTCTTGTTGATTGGAAATAGAGGATGAATTTTGCTTTGAAGATCTGTTCTTTATGAACACCTAAAATTCTGTAAACAGTGCTTGTGGTGCATCATTCTAAAATGAAAGGAAACGATCGTTTCGAAGATGGTGACTGTAGTGCTAATATTACTCCTAGATCTATGGAATTTATGTTCATTATGTGTTCCATTAGCGGATTTATTGGTAGTCCTAATTGCTCGTTTATTTCACCAACTTGATGTGGTAATATGTTCTATTATCATCGAGAGATGGATTTAATATTGCACTTGAGTCTCCAGTAGAGAAAACGAATGGTGAGTATGAGCAGAAATATTATTTCTGCACATGACTTTGAAGTCCATGCCACTTCCATTTACATGACTGTATCAGTTTCTGTAACTTGCAAGAATCAAACTGGAGAAGGAAAAACAGGAGAAAGATGGAGCAACTGCAAATTTGTGCAGTACTACGACTATATATGGATTTGCTGTGTTTTTTTTTTTGTGATGTATGTTGTAATTGATATTGTGAAATATTTGTTGACTGTTTGTATAAGAAATCAATAATACATGTGCATGTATTAATTGTGTTTTAGCGTTTCAGATCGCAGCGTGATGAGTTGTTAACAACCATCTTGTTTATTCTGAAATTGAAAGGAAAAATATGAAGTAGTAGAGAAAAAAAATGTACGTCTCATTTTCTTCTTAATCAGTTTTTGCTATCGTTAATTAATTATATAATAAGGAAAAATATGTAGAAACTAAGAATAAAATATCGTCGTAGCGTTAGCACTCGTATCTCATATTTATAAGTTAAAGAGACCAGCTATACGCGATATTACAATTCAAGGACATAATTTTAATGGGGAAATTGGTTCCATACCATCTAAAGTTAATAAAACGAGGGACCTACAATGGGATCCGATCCGATATAAGGAGTCAAATTGAACTTTTTTTTTTATCCTTTTTCCGCCGAGGCGAACCATCCCGATTTGCGATCCGATTTCTCCTTTCAATCGAGGGTTGCCCGCCACGTAGCAGTGCGGTCTCTCTCCCTTATCGCTTCGCCCTTCCTTTTCCGCTCTCTTTCACCGTCCCCGCCGCGTCCATCGTGAGAAGACCTAACCCTAGTCATCCACCAACTCGATCGGAGAGGAGATCGGAGAGGAGAGGAGGTGCGGTGATCCCGACTTCACTCGGTCCAGGCCTTAAATCCAAGGCAATCGAGAGAAGAGATCCGCGGATGAAGGAATAAGGAAACCGATCTCGATTTGGTTCGTCATGGACTTGGAGTGGGTTGCGGAAAGGGGAGGGGAGGGGGGCCTCCTCGTTTAAGAGGAAGAGGAAGAGGAGGACGAGGACGAGGAGTAAGTTACTTGCTGCCGCCGAGTCAAGGCCGAGCCGAAGACGGCGAGGAGGTTTTGTTTGGAGCTTTTCCGTGGCGGGAGGGGAGGGATTCCCGACGCAACCGTCAAAAATCTTCCACCCAACACTCTCCAAAGGATCCAACGGGCTCGAGTGGAGAGATTCTGCAGGACGAGCACCGCATAGAGGAGAAGGCGGAGATGGCTTCTAGTGGAGAGAAGCTGCAGAAGCACCGGCCAGAGGAGATAGCTCTTAGAACGGGCTCGAGTGGTCAGACAACGCAGAAGCTCCGAGAGAAGGCAGCCACTGAGAATCACCGTCCAAAGGAGATTGGCCCAAGTGGAGAGAAGCCGCCGCATAAGCTCCTCCGGGCAAAGGGGAAGGCGGGCACGAGCTCAATTGGAGTAACGCTACAGAAGCACCGGGCAGAGAAGGCGGACTCAAGTCGAGGGATACCGCACAAGCTCCAGGCACCGGCCGGCACAAGCTCTATTGGAGTAATGCCACAGAAGTACCAGGCAAAGCAGCAGATGGGTACCTCTCGGCTTGGACGCCATCCACCATGTATCCAAGTCCAAGGAGGAGTAAGCAACAGAGAGGCACAAGCGGCCACTACCAACCGGCAGAAGCACACCAAAAGTAACAATTCATTATCGACGAGGGCCACTACAAAGCTCAGATCAGCAACAAACACCCCATGTCAAAAGCCCACCACTGCCCCTTCCTCCAATGGCAACACTGCTCCTCCCAAGGATCGTAAAGAACCTGCTACAAACGCTGAGAATAATGCTGTTCCTGTCGCAGAGAACAATGATTTGCAAGAAGCGGATGAGGCAATCAAAAGGCTGAATGAATTGGGCTTGGGAGAGAATATCAGCTCTGAGGAGTTCCTTACATACATTGACCAGCTGAATGAACAACCTAAAATCGATACTTCCATTGAACTGGACGATGCACAGGTCACTACCCTCTATTTTCAGCATGCGCGCTATCGCGTCAGATACTATAAGGTCGGTTCAATTTCCATCACTGCTGCTAAATAAATACTAATTAATCATCACCCAACACATGCATGTTTTGTACTATGTTTCCTATGTGAATATTAGATCAACAATCATTGCTTTAATGTTTATGTCTGTCTAATTTCAGCACTTGTCACAACAACCTAATACTGAGTTGGTAGAGGATTCTTACCACATGAAACTTGTTGGGGAAGATGAACTCTCCGATGAGTTTATTCGCGAGATGGAATTTTTTATGCGTTTCGAGGAAGATGGCACATTTGATTGGTATTTCTACCCTGATTACTGCTGGCTTGCTGCTCTGAACGACTACCAACGTCTAGTACCGATAAACTGTGTACGTATTACATTATATTAATGCATGAATAGTCCTTCAATTCTTCAGTTGTGTCTTGGTGTTCTATTTTGTCAGTTGTTTTTGCACCATCACACATAACAAGTGTACAGATCGTAAATCTGATGACCACTTAGTTAGAATTTGAAATCATCATATATACAAAATGAAGATGTCTGGTTGGAAAATCTACATGGCATTCAAAAGGTTAAAAAGATGTGTTTATTTGTTTAATAATCCAGCTTTTATACTGCTTTACTATTAGTTTTGTGGATGCTTTCATGCTATATCTACTGAATTATCGCTGCGTAAGACAAGCATTTGCTTTGTTGTTTTATCAGCCTCTACAAGAAACTGGTCATTTTTTTCTAATTCAAAACCAGAGCCAACCCAATTCATGTTATTTCTGTTTCTTGATACTCTAGGTGCTCGGTACCTTTTTTCTTTCTTCTTCCCTTTATGGAACAGTTTCTGGCATTTCTGTAAAGAGTGCTACTCTGTAATTCTCCTTTAAAAGAACAAAGTGAACAAATCTGCATCCCTTTCTGTATGAATACTAGCTAGTAACTTTTTTGCTGCTTATTTACTTGTATATTTTTTAGCTTGAAGCTCTTAGTTATTGAAGTCATCGAATTGTTTCTTCAAAACTCTAAATCGCGAGTTTCCTCTTACCCTCCTTTTCAACATAGGTTGGTGAGGAGTACGCTTATTGGGACGACTACCGCGGCTATTTTAATAGCTATCATACTGAATTGCAATATCTCGACTTCTGCAAGGCATTGTCGAAGGAACTTAAGGTGTGTATCATAAAATTGAACAAACCAATAACATTTTGTACAGCGCTTTGCATTCTTCTGGGATTAAAAACGCTTTTTATCTTGAGACAGTGGATGGAAGACTATGTCCTGAATAAACTGCCATCTTCTAAGGTAAACAAGCTCACCATACAAAAATGATTGAATGAGCAGTGTTATATGTTGTAGTACTATAATAACTCTGCTGTACAGTGGGGAAGAATATGCAGCAGAGGAGCCTACCAAGCAATTAAGATTGCCACCCGCTTTTCCAAGATCACTGCTGCTTTGGCCTATAATGCCTACTATGTACGATCCCTCACACACACTAATTATTTTTAATAGAAAAAAGGTGGTTTGTATTTAGTAACAATTCCATTCCTTTCAGGATTGTTTACAGCACATGCGCTTTTATGTTGCTTATTGCAAGGACATGGATAGCTTGTACTTTGAGATTTGGCAGCGGGTCAACATGCAAAAAGTTAGTACTTAACATTGTTATCCAGGTTCCTGCCTATGTTTATGTTGTGTATGTTTGTTTAGTAATGCATGCCTTTTTCTCAACAATGTTCAGAAGAGTTTCAGAGATTCTTTGGAGGAAGTCTACAACCTCAACAAGTTCCCTTCACGGCAAGATAAAATGAAGGATGCATTGGAGAATAACTGTTCCCACATGGAAACTGTGGTAGGTTATTTTTCATGGATGATCTGAGAATTTAATGTGGTTTCCAAATTTTTAATTGTGCTTTAATTTTATTATCTATTGTCATATCTTTTCAGTTTCATGTTTGCACGGCAAGTGTTACCAGTGAAGTAAGTACTGTATTTGTCTAATATTAGTTGAATACGTGGAATGTGATCTTAATGTTGATCATGTCTGTGTGCCTTAGATTGCGGAGGATAAAGCTCTGGAGCTGATTGCAAAGGCAGTTGAAAGTCGGGTACTGTACTTGTATGGAATTCCATTTTGTTAGATGGCACCTATTTCTATGGAACTTCATCATACATGTTTTGGCTTATAGCATACTGAATTGAAAAATTCCTCTGCATTCAAAAAAGAAAAATTGTACGGAACTTCATCATACATGCTTTGGCTTATAGCATACTGAATTGAAATTCCTCTACATTCAAAAAGGAAAATTTGTGTGGAAGTTCATTGTACATGCTTTGGCTTATAGAATACTGAATTGAAATTCCTCTACATTTAGAAAAGAAAAAGAATAATGAAGTGAAATTTATTTTCTTCTTTTTTTTTCAGATGAACAAAGCAAAATTCTACGAGCAGTATATCGAAAAGAAGATAGATATTGCCCAAGCTATTGGATTGATTTCCACGGTATTGTCTTATTGCTGTTGACAATTGCACATGAGCCATGTTTTCTCACTGTGAATAACCAAATTAGCTTCCTTCAACTAACTGTCATTTAAAATTTACATTTGCAGGATGGGACTGAAGCAACATGATGTGCTTAACTTATAGTGTTTTTTTTTGGGAGGGCTTAGCTTACCTTTCTTTTTATATCAGTATCAGTAGATGTCGATGCCCCGCCAGCGCCTGCAGAAATAAAGATCCCGAACCAATGTTTTTTTAGCTGTTATGATTAATTCGGTTTCCAGGCTCCGGCCCGATCGAAAGCATTGTAATTGATAATGTTATGTGCGATACATTTAGCGTACGTTGCAATCGTGCCTCGGAGTGATTCGACTTGCTGATTCGGAAGATGAAGTTTTTTTTTTTGCATGAAATTGGGCTATCCAATTAGCTTGTTGTTTGCTTTGTGGTCGACATGGATGAATGTGATTGTATATAGAGGCTCACAACCGTGTCTTTGTGCTAACTGCCCTAGCTAGATTATGCAAGTTGATATCAGCAATTTGCTGCTTTATAGGACACTGAGAACAAAATACATCTACAGGAGAGTTTTTTTTTTCTTTGAAGTTTGGTCAAGTTTTTTCAGTTCTTTTTTTTCTATTAATCCTGATAAGTTGAGACTTCCTTTGAAATTGAGGAATTGCATATAAGATCTCTGTAAGAACTGAACTAGCTCTGTGAGAAGTGTTATAAAATTCTTCGTTCCAAATGAGTGCTGGGCTCCATATATATATCATAAAATTTGATGATTTGACACTTTATATGTTGCCAATTTGATTGTATTTACACTCGTGAGGATGACATGTGGGATTATGCGAGTCTATCACAATGGCTCAAATAGTCAGATTTTTCAATTTTTATGTTTGGCTCCTGATAAGTCAGTTGAGGCTTCCTTCTAAATGAAAGGAATTTATAATTCTTTGTAAGAATTGAACTAATTTTGAGGAAGATGTTGTAAAAGGAGGCCATAGTTTCGCTTATTAATGGAATAAGCGAAACGGTATATTTATAAACGAAAAATAATTTATAAACAAAACTTTTATATACATGTTCTTAGCAATCTAAAAGCAAAGGCTCGAAAATAAATTACGATGAAAAACCCTTACAATCAACTCTTTTTCAAAATTCAAAATTAGCTTATAAGCATAAGCCAAATTGTTTTGTTTCAAATGAGCGCTGGGCTCTAAAATCTGCGGTGTGGTCAGTTGAGCTCATCATCTCCTCCATCCTGAGGCGGCGGCGCAACGACGACGACGACGACGATGGCGCTGCTCCGCGCGCACCACCTCCTCCTGATGAGGCCGCGCGCCGCCTTCTCCTCTCGCCCTCCCCCTCTCTCATCCTCCCCGTGCCGCCGCGCCCTTCCCACCACCGCCATCGCCTCGCGCCTCCTCTGCTCCCACCACGCCTCGTCGCCGCCCGAAGATGCCTCCGCCTCCGCCTCGCCCTCTATCGTCGCCGACCTGCTCGACTACCTCAACGAGTCATGGACGCAGTTCCACGCCACCGGTGAGCGCCCCCACCACGCTTTGCCGCTTCGCATGCATGGATGCCCTCAACCTGTTCGGTCCTATTCCTCACCGGGAAGGACGCGAGTGGCTGCTTTGTCTCTGGCATTTCTGCATGTCCTGGACTGCTCGAGTGCATTGACCTTTGTGTTTAGGCATCGGTACAGCCCCCCCCCCCCCCCCCCCCCCACATGTGCTGTGTTTGCTTATGCTTTCAGCGGAGGCGAAGAGGCAGCTGCTTGATGCGGGCTTCACGCTGCTCAGTGAGAACGACGACTGGGACCTGCAGCCTGGTGGCCGCTACTTCTTCACGCGCAACATGTCCTGCTTGATTGCCTTTGCAGTAGGGGAAAAGTAAGTCAGCGACATTGGCTTCTGATTATTTAACTTATCACTAAGAATCTGCAACGAATGTGGTGTTCAAATACCATTTGAAAGTCAATGCCTTTGATTTAGGTACTTAAACTTGCTCAAAAGGAACCTCTAGTGTAAAACATGGCCAAAGTATTTAACTGATTGAGATATTTAAGCTAGTGGAAGAGGCAATCAATACTATGAAAAATTCCTATGTATGTACGGCAGTCAGCAGGGTACACACTCCAGTACCTTCTCAAAAATGTTTTTGCCTCTTCACTTCGTTGCATTCCTTTCAATTTTTGAAGATATTTAAAATCTCTCCTTGATATCCATGGCATCACACTGATAAATGATATATGCGTAAGTGCCAAAAGTTTCAAAGAAAAAAAATTATGATACCGCTCTTTCTACTCCCTAGTTGTAAATGGATATTTGAAGTAAAATTATTTTTTGGACGCAGGTACAAATTGGGAAATGGGTTCAATATAATTGCGGCTCACACCGATAGCCCATGTCTCAAGCTGAAACCAAGGTCTGCCTCCTTTAAATCTGGGCATCAAATGGTAAATGTACAGACATACGGAGGTGGGCTGTGGCATACATGGTTTGACAGGGACCTGACTTTGGCTGGGAGAGTTATCCTCAAGGATGCTGATGGCTCATTTAAGCATGAGCTTGTCAAAGTGAGCAGACCATTGATACGTGTACCAACGCTGGCTATACATCTTGACCGGTTATTTCTCATTCCTTCTTTTACTGATCTATTTTCTGAGAACTAGGTGGAATCTATCTGGTAGTATGTTCTGTATTGCTAAGCAAATATTGCTAGATGTTCTCTCTTTCAGTACTGCATCATCATGTAACCCTGTCAAGTTATAGCAGCTTAGTCTTCTTTGAACTACTATTTATATCTATCTCAGTGTTTGGAAGTTATCTCTGAACACTATTGTCATGTTCGTTTAGTGCATATCTGAGGATCACACAGGCTACTGCTGCTATCATATTTGACTGCCTGTTTTAAGTTTGACTTTCTCTATTTAGCTGACTGAATTCCTTTTGCCTTTTAGCACAGTGAATTCTGATGGGTTCAAGCCTAATCTGGAGAATCATCTAGTTCCACTTCTTGCAACAAAACATGAAGAGACTACTGCAAATTCCAGTGAAAAAAATAGTTCAAGTTCCACTAAAGTTGTCCATCATCCACTGCTCTTGCAAGTAATTGATTTTATATTCTGAGCACTTGCTCTATCATTTAATCAGAGGTGTACTTTCAAAGTACTACAGATGGCTTCAAGTTGAACTTATAGCATTTGATTTTCTCGCTCTGCTCCACAGGTTCTTTCAGATGAAATTGGTTGCAAATCAGGTGAAATAATTGGCATAGAGTTGAATGTGTGTGATACCCAACCTAGCTGCCTTGGAGGGGGAAATAATGAGTTCATTTATTCTGGTAGACTCGATAATCTCGCTTCGTGTTATTGTGCTCTTAGATCTCTCATGGACTCCTCCAAGATGCCAGAAGAATTGTCAAATGAGAAGGCTATAAGAATGATTGCTTTATTTGATAATGAAGAGGTATGCTATATCTAATGAAGTCTCACCTGATTGCTAAAAGTATCATGATTGATAAAAGCACATCAATGCGTGCTCAAGATTTCCATTCCCGTTTGGAGTCTGTTTTGATTTGTAGGCTTAGAGTGGCTTTAGATGAGAAGTAGTGCTGCTAACTTATTTACTGCTTGTCTTCACTTAAATTATCTCTGGTCACTAGTATTTGATAAAACTGATTTTTTTGGTAGAACTATCTACACGGTATTGTTTCGGTTTATTTCTTGTACTTGGTCCCTTCTTGTTCATATTATAACCTCGACTCTATTCAGGTGGGTTCGAATTCGATGCAAGGGGCGGGTGCACCAACCATGTTCCATGCTATGAGACGGATTGTCGATTCCCTGATGCATCAATCTATGGGAGAGGGTGCTTTGGAACGTGCAATAAATTCCTCTTTCCTTGGTAATATTTATGTATCTGGGAGATCATCACCGGCCTATAGTCCTAGACTAAATAGTGCACAAATTTAATTCTTGTTTCACTTTCAGTTTCGGCAGACATGGCTCATGCCCTGCACCCAAATTATCCAGACAAGCATGAAGAGCACCACAGACCAGAGCTACAGAAAGGACTAGTTATCAAGCACAATGCTAACCAACGTTATGCTACTAGTGCTGTGACAGCTTTTCTGTTCAAAGAAATAGCAAGACTTCATAATCTTCCTGTTCAGGTATTCAATATTTTACATTTTAACCCTCAATACCATCTTTTTTTATTGCAAATTCCCATTATGTTTGAACAAATAAGTGTGCTTCAAGATGGATAAGAATCAAATCATCGTCTATCTCTATCATTATCATCTATTGCTAGTTATATTATTTCTGATAGGAAATGTTAAATTCAAGAAAAACAAAATCAGCATGTGTCATCTAGAAGTCTTTACTTTTGTAAAGCTGATTTGTCTTTAGAATACATGAATGAGTTTGAGGAATTGCACTGATGTATATAGCTTATAGGAATTTGTTGTAAGGAATGATATGGGCTGTGGTTCAACTATTGGCCCCATACTTGCTTCTGGTGTTGGCATACGGACTGTTGACTGTGGTATTCCTCAGCTCTCAATGCACAGGTATGCACAGTTGGCTTTATCCCTTTTTTTGACAAATTGACCCTTTTCAAAAACTTATTTCGAAACTAACCCCTGACAAAAACTTCAACCAAAAATAGGTCGTTTGCTCAGCGCCAAGCGCATTGGCGCTGAGGTTGGGCGTGTCAGCGCCAACGGTCGTGGCGCTGACATCGTGTCACCGTGGCGGCCGGGCCGATCCCCCAGCTGACGTGGCAGCTATCTCAGCGCCGACCGCTTTGGCGCTGAGATGGCCAATCTCAGCGCCATCCGCTTCGGCGCTGAGGTGGGACTTAGCCTTTTCGGCCGAGTCCCGACCTAGCAGGCCGTCTGTCTGGCTGGCGGGGGGGGGGGGGTACCTCAGCGCCAGAAGAAATGGCGCCGAGACTAGGCACATCAGCACCACGTACCCTGGCGCTGAGATGGGACTTAGCAAGCTTGGCCATGGCTTAGCCCAGCAAGCCTTCTGGATGGCTTGCGGGCTGGGACGTCAGCGCCAGCCATAATGGCGCTGGCCCTGGGCACATCAGCGCCAGGGCACCTGGCGCTGAGGTTGGACTTAGCCGGCTCGGCCATGGCCCAGCCCAGCAAGCCTTCTGGATGGCTTGCGGGCTGGGACGTCAGCGCCAGCCATAATGGCGCTGGCCCTGGGCACATCAGCGCCAGGGCGCTGAGGTTGGACTTAGCCGGCTCAGCCATGGCCCAGCCCAGCAAGCCTTCTGGATGGCTTGCGGGCTGGGATGTCAGCACTAGCCATAATGGCGCTGGCCCTGGGCACCTGGACTTAGCCGGCTCGGCCATGGCCCAGCCCAGCAAACCTTCTGGATGGCTTGTGGGCTGGGATGTCAGCGCCAGCCATAATGGCGCTAGCCCTGGGCACCTCAGCACCAAGGCACCTGGCGCTGAGGTTGGACTTAGACGGCTCGGCCATGGCCCAGCCCAGCAAGCCTTCTGGATGGTTGGGCTGGGAGCTCAGCGCCAAGGCATTTGGCGCGGGCCTGGAGTATGTCAGCGCCATTTTGCTTGGCGCTGAGGTTCCAGACCTGCTGTAATAAGCAGCACAGCTCTCTGCCCAGTCCTGCTTAACACAACCACACATCCAGGCAATAATTTATTCACATCACAGGCAGTATTCAATCCCGACGAAATCCCCTTCGATTTGAGTGGATTTGGGGGAGATTTGGTGAGGGGAGAAGAGAGGGCGACGAACCCTAGCGCGCGGGGTGGGGAAGAATGGAGGAGAGGCTGGCTGGGGGCGGCCTCGGCCGGCCTCTAAGTACCAAAACTCAGCGCCAGGCCCATTGGCGCTGAGATTGGCCATCTTAGCACTGTCGGCGCTGAGGTAGCTGCCACGTCAGCTAGGGGATCGGCCCGGCCGCCACGGTGGCACGAGGTCAGCGCCACGCCCGTTGGCGTTGACACGCCCAACCTCAGCGCCAATGCGCTTGGCGCTGAGCGAACGGCCTATTTTTGGTTGAAGCTTTTGGCAGGGGTTAATTTCGAAATAAGTTTTTGAAAAGGGTCAATTTGTCAAAAAAACGGTGGCTTTATGACCATCCTTTTTCGTATTTCTGAATTAGCAGTAACTGCATGTAGACAGTACTTCCAATCGTTTTGCAATTCATATTGAGCAAGTTGACTCCTAGCTATATAGGGAATAAGAGGTCAGTTTTTTTCTTACATGTATCATCCTTGTCAAAATAGGTATTTAATTAAATTGATAACATAGGTAAGAAAAATGTATGCTTAGATTTCACTTATACCTTCCCCATCGTTGTTCTGGCCGTGGGTGACGCATTACTGAACGTTTAACTGCTATTGTATTGGTTTGCAGCGTGCGAGAAATGTGTGGCAAAGAAGACGTAGATACAACATACAAGCACTTCAAAGCTTTCTTCGAGATGTTCTCTGATATTGACCGGAAACTCAACGTAGACTAACTTTTAGATCTTATCAGTTCCTCATGTTCAGTATTTGAATTTTTTTTTCCTGGATCAGAATAATGACCGTATATCAGAGTATCAGTTTTTTCTTGTCCCAACATCCCAATCTAATTCTACGCATGACCAAGAGGGGTGAAATCATTTTACATGTAAATATGGTGACACATCGCCAAGCTCACTTTTGAGAAGATGGCCTTACACATATCATACTCAGTTACTCAGGCCTGAATGGCAAGTTGAGATTGTAATGCTTATATTGAAATTCCATCCAACCACAGCCGGATCAACAAATGAAATAAATGGCCATCCAAAATTGTTTCGCCAAGATCACATCGGTAAATTCCAACATTCTACAGGTGTTCCAGAATCTCGCCACAAAATAACGTGCATACGTTCTCCTACATACAGAGTGCAACTGACCTTTCATTATATATGAAGAAATTGACGGTGCAACCAGATTGGATATTTGAGTGTTGCATTACAAAGTTGATGCCAACACAATTTTCATCACCCAGTGACCCTTCGCCAAAAATGTCGCAACAAAATCTAACCCACCGGAGCTCAGCTTAGCTCACCTTAGTGTAGTTTATGGCGTTTCTTGCCCCATGTATATGGGAATCTTGGGATGCACCGCCGCTGCATCCCTAGTTGAGAAATACATCAGCAGAATGCAAAATACAATATGCCTCCTCTGCTCAGGAACGACACCTCAAGCTACATGGCGATCAATTTCTATCCTTTCTTTTACCGGTTAAGGAGCCACCATTATGTTCTGCTCGCCTCTGCTCACATCCATGAGATGCCTCGGTGGGAGATACATCCTGGACAACCCCGTTTGCTGCAGGAGCTTCATGGGGATGTTTGCAGTGCCCTGTCCTATCAATACAAAGCCAAATCCTAGCTCTGTCATCACCAGATTTCTCCTCCATAGGCACATGCCAAGATCCCATCTCCGATTCCTACGATGAAGATTACATCAGAAACAACAGATAGCAAGCTCTAAAGATGCCTGTAGCCCAGTTACTTACCTGAATCTCCGAAGAATATGGAGGTGGCATCATAAGCACCGCCTTTCCTTTACTAAAGGTGTACTTGACCTAAACAATTGGAATGAGAAACAAAATCAACAATTAAGCAGGAATGGTAATATCCAATACGTGAAGCAGTATCACTATGTTACAACAGGATAAAGGACCCAGCATCTGTTTACATGGTTTTAAGTTTAACCTGGCACTCAACCTTTTCTAAATCAGGGTTCTGTGGTAATAAATTATGCAGAAAGAATGGCCAGTATGTTAAATAAAAAGAAGTGCAGAGCACACCTGATGCCGTTGCTTCCACTTGGGGAAAAAAGATGACCCCAAGAGCTCAAATATGTGATCTCTCATTTCATCATTAGTCACAAGCAAACAATTCAACCTAATCGCCGCATACAGCCAATACCTGAAAAAGTGCATATCGTACTGTTAGTAACATCGATGAAATGAAACACAAGTGCATCAAACCGGAGACTGATGGGTGAAATATCCAACCTATTACCTAATTGCACATATTAATCAATGAATGCACAAATACAATATAAGGTACCCCAAAAAAAAATGCAAGTGCACCCAAGACTAGAGACTGAAGAGCATTACCAGTCATCATTTGACCCAATTGGTGAAGTGTACAATGCCCCGTTCGCTCTCCAGGTTTCAATCAGGTGTCTATTAGATGCATTTTCCATAAGCTTGGCAATGCGTTTATTATGTAATACGACAAGTGGCCATTTACCATTATATCTATCCCGTAGCTCTGTTACAACAGCGTCCAGCTGCTCTATATTAAGGATGACAGATAGGAAAAGCATTAGTACCACATTACTTCACTGATAACATTGATAGGTCAAAGTACATTGAAAGATGGAGTTCAGACCTGAGTCAAACTAAAGCCACCCTCTGCAAAATTTTGTTGATAAAGTGCAATATTTGCACCATCAACTATAGCTTCATATGCTCCATGTTCTTCCAACCACTCCTATAAAGTCATAGCACTCAAACTTGTAAGGAAGAAAAAACATGTGTTCCAAATTTATAAATGGATTATCACCTAGAGGCAGTGTTCTAAAAGTCGGCTCTAGGCGCCGCCTAGGCACTGGGTAGCAGCCACAATTAGGCATTAGATGCTGCATTAGGCGGCTGAACTAACTTGGGTGGTGCTTTATTGCTATTTTAGGGTTACATAGTATAATTTGTATGCAATATGCCAGCTAATTTCTTGGATTTCTTGTATGCGAACTGCCTAGGCGCTAGAGGCACGCGAAGAAAAAATAAGTATCTGAATCATATTCTGACTTGCATCGAGAAACACATGCATGAGGTATCTTACGTTCTTAGGAAGGTAAATTCAATGCTTAACTCATAAGGGAAGTTCCAAATAATGATTTATCTAAACATAGAACAAGTTACCTGGGCAAGGAACTACTGAGCAGACATTGCTCAAATACACAGCAGCATTTAAATCTCTAAAAGGGGTGAAACCCAATATAGATAAATCAGCTGAGCACTATTAGGTTAGGCCACAATGAAGCATCAAATGGTTTTTTGAACAAAGCAGGGAGACAGACCGATGGGCTTACATCTCTGACTACAATTTTTCTATGTTGTTATGATCACTGAGCCCACAAGGCCATGTTAGATTGAATAGACCAAGCAAAACGAGTGATCTTCCTATCACACTTAATAGTAAATCAATTGCAGTCAGTAAAATCAACTGGTTACATATACCAAGTTAGATATGGATACAGGTTAACACTACAGAAGGGCAGAGGATATGCACCTGAAACTGGCTGAAATTTATTTTGGTCTCCCTCTGAAGGGCCAGACTGGCAACAGAATCGGCAAACCTCTGCGTCTCCTCGACGTCAATGTCAACACATGCTAGACGGCAACCACACCCCTCACACTGGCCATCTCCTCCAACTCTTACTCGCTGCACAGTCCAAGGGCCGGTCCCAAGCCATCCAAGCCGATGGCACCCGCCACCATTGGCCACAATGGCGTCCTTCACCTTACAAGCATCCCACTCGGCCTTGCCCGCCATTGCCGCCTTACCGCTCCGAAACCAACCCTCCAGCACCTCCGCAGTCTCCTCGCCGACACAATCCACGGTGCGGCTCAGCTTGTGCATATACTCATACACCTTGTCTGCGTCCCCTGCCTTGGCGCTGACATCAAGGAGCGCGGCGATCTCGGGCTCCTCGGGGGCAACAGCAGAGGCCTCCATGTGGGCATCGACGGCGTAGGCCTTCCCGGCCTCCCCCGCGCGGCGGAACGCGGCGAGCACGGGGCTGTACGAGCGGAGGCGCGGGGCGACGCCGTACTTGTCCCTCATGGTGGCCACGAGGTCGAAGGCCTCGTCAGCGGCCGCGGGGTTGGAGGCATCGGAGGCGGTGACGCGGGCGAGCGAGGTGATGGTGGCCTCGGAGGGGGAGGCCCCGGAGCCGAGCATGTGGGAGAAGACGCGGCGGGCGGCGGCGGCGGCGTTGGGGAGCGAGTCGGCGTCGGCGGTGGCGAGGAGGTGGAAGAGCTGGTTGTACTGGTGGGCGAGGAGGCGCGGGGCGTCGGGGCCGGAGAGGGCGGAGTCGAAGGCGGCCATGGCGGCGGCGGCGTCGCCACGGCGGGTGCAGTCGGTGAGGGTGCGGGAGAGGTCGGAGTTGGGGCCCTTGGAGCCACGGCGCGGGCGGCGGCGCGCCGGGGAGGAGGCGCCGGCGGCGGTGGCCATGGGTGGGGCCGTGTGGGTGGTGGTGGGGTGGAGTAGTGGAGGAGGAAGAAGAACCCTAATTAGCGAGGTGGGTTTGGAGGTGGTTAGCGGCCATAGGCCCATAGGCCGCGTTAGCCCATGCCTCATCGTCACCTCACCTCTAGCTCCTTCGCCGCGCGACAGCGGGAGAAGGGAAAGCTTCGCGAAGACGCGGAAGCCGTCGATTCGAGAGATGGGAGCCGTGGATGTAAGGATCGACGGTCCGTACCAAGATGAACGAAAATCGGAGTCCTTTCCATCTATAAGCAAAATATGGAAATACAAAAACTCTATATCACAATCTTCTTTTACTAGATTTTTGGAATTTATATTGTCGATGTTTTCTTTTAGTTGATTTGTATGGACTCCAACCATGGGGAGGCAACACTATGAGTCGACTAGCTCGTTATCACTTTGGTTAAAGTTCGTTATTTGTAAGGAGTAGAATGATGGATTAGTGTTTTCCAAGCTTTCAAATGGTGCGGTTTTTTTTAAAAAAACTTGTATGCACATAAATTTCTTGAAATATAGTTTCAAATACATTTTCAACTTGCGAGAGTTAATTTGTTCGTTTGTACATCTCAATAATTATCACAAACCATTTACTCTCCATTCATTTCATATCATAAGTCGCTTTCACTTTTTTTTTTCAAATTTTTCCAAGTTTGATCAAATTTGTAGAAAAATATAACGATATTTCTAACTCAAAACAAACATATTATCAAAATATATTCAATGTTATATTTAATGAAACTAATTTGGTTTTACATATGTTACTAATTTTTATATAAATTTAGCTAAGTCTAAGTAGTTTGACTAGAAAAAAATAAAAGTAACTTATAATATGAAACTAGGAGAGTACCTATTTAGGCTTTAGCCATTCAATACAAAAGGACAAAGAACGGATGGATTACATTTGACACAATTTCTTTTGTTTTCATTGTTTGGCGCTAGAGAATCGAACACAACAGAAAATAGTGAACATATGCTCCAGTATAATTGTGTGTTATTTCATCTTTAACATAAAATTGCATAAAATTTGTGTGCTCTCAGATATCAAATAACATATCACGTTGGTGATCTGTATATGTGTAGCCCCTGAACTTAAAAACAAATTAACTTATTCCGGTGTTTAGCTCTATTGCTGTTTAAGAAATTAATAGATCAGAGCTCCCAGCGATGAAGGTCGTTGAAGCAAGCTTAGTTGGCCCTGCCAGTGACCATGGAGATGCCGGCGCGGCGGCCGAACCTGGCGACGGCGCAGTCGGTGGAGAAGATGTCAGAGACGACGTAGCTGGGAGCGCCGCCCATCACCGGCATGCTGGCGCTGACGCTGAGATTGTTGACGTAGTCGGAGCGGTAGGTCTGGCCGAGGACGCCATGGACATCGTCGGAGAGGTCGTAGAACTTGAAGCCGAGGTCGAGGTGGGCGAGGCTGTCCTCCTCGGTGACGCCGTAGTTGTGGATGCGGGAGTCCTGCTCGGTGATGGGCACCACGTTGGCCATGATGTCGAGCACGCCGGCGAGCTGCACCCTGACGGCGTTGGTGGCGGCGGTCCTGGTGACGGTGAGGCCTGGAACGGCGGCGGACTCCCAGCGCGCGCCGAGCTCGGCGGGGACGTCGACGGGCGCGCCGTCGAAGGCGAGCTCGAGGCGGTCGTCGTCGCTGTTCCACTTGGCGGTCTTAAGGGCGCCCATGTAGAGGCGGTGGTCGGCGAAGCGGATGCCGAGGGCCTGGATCCAGGTGAAGTCGCGGCTCATGGTGGGGTTGCGCTTGCCGATGAAGTGGGCGTTGATGTGGAGGTCGGCGTCGGAGACGATGCAGAAGTCGTGGTCCTTCTTGCCGTGAAAGTAGAAGTTGTTGCCGTCGCCGCCGGTGAACCGCGGGTCGCCGCACGACACGCCGGGGTAGAAGTCGCACACTTTGAAAAAATCAAATAATTTCACACAGAGAATCACACACGATGTCACGATCGATCAGTAGTTCAAATGAATTGCAACTAGCTAGTGATGCTTACTGCAGAAGGTCTTGCAGCCGGGACACATGACGATGCACTGGTTGGGGCAGCGCTTGTCGCACTTGGCCATGCAGACGGCCTTGTTGCCATTGGAGTCGGTGCAGGAGAGCTGCTGGTCCCTCTTGCCGAACCTGCCGGGGTTGATGACGTGGTAGTTGCTTGGCAGCCTCGGCGACGACGGCGCCTGCGCGGCGGCGCACACCACCACCAACAGGGCAGCCGCCGCAGCAACCACCGCGGCGCCCCGTGCCATCGATCGCTACCTCGTTGGCTAGCTAAGCTTCAGAAATCGATCGATCAAACGAGGAGGTAGCTAGGATGAGATGAGGAGGACATGGGGAGGCGCCAATTTATAGGCAGCGGAGCGGAGCGCGGGCGCGATGGATTGGGGTTGGATCTGAAGCCGGTGCGGCGCGCGCGTGGTGGTGAAGCGATGCATATGCATGCGTTGGGTAAGGGTTGCCTAGCTTGGCGACGCACGCATTATGCACATGTCCATGCATGGGGAGTGGATTTTCATAACTCGAGGGGAAGGATAACCCTCAACTAACTAAATAGTTATGAAAAAAAATTAAAAAGATATATTAACATGTAATATATCACTCCACAAACATGCAAGTTTAAATTCAATTTCTACACCTCGCAACGAAAAAAACAAATTAAACTACAACTAGTTAACGCATATTCACAGTCAAATTTGTTTTTTTCATTGCGAGGTGTAGAAGTAGAATTTGAATTTGCATATTTGTAAAGTGATATATCACATATTAATACATATTCTCAAATTCTTTTATTTTTTTTCATAACCATTTGAGTGACATGCAAATAACGAGGGAATATTCCCTCAAGGGATGAAAATGATGAAAATAGTTTTCCTACATGCATGCACCAATGCAAAAAAAAAAAAAGATTATTTCTTTTGTTTTGCTGTACACACGTACAAGGGCACAGTACGGTGCATGGTGTGCGTTGAGTGGCATCTATCTCGATCGGTTAGAGGCTGCGATGCACGTAAAGCGGCTAGCTACTAGCAGCATCGCTTCAAATGCTTGCATCTGCATGCGTGGTAACCTATATTATTGTTCTGCACATCACAACACGTTACAAGCATGCAGCTGCCACCTGATGATCGATCGATCGAGGACCTCCCTGCGATGCTACTCGATCGATCATACACCCTTCTCTGCTGTTGTGCACCACACGCTACACCGAATCAAACGTACGTACTCCCTCCTTTCTTAAATATTTAACGCCGTTGATTTTTTTAAATATATTTAACCGTTCGTCTTATTCAAAAACTTTTGTGAAATATGTAAAACTATATGTATACATAAAAGTATATTTAATAATGAATCGAAAAGAAATAATAATTACTTAAATTTTTTGAACGAACGGTCAAATATTTTTAAAAAAGTCAACGGTGTCAAATATTTTTGAGATGGAGGGAGTATCACATTAAAAAAATCAATTATTGATTCACTGTAGCAGCACCGCGAACGCATGGGGTATCCGGCCATCCAACGGCAGAGCATGCTCGTTGACCGTCGGATCGATCGGCACTCGGCAAATACATGGATCAGATCGATTTATACCATGTCCTGCAACAAGGAGACTTTGCACAAACTTCGATCTAATATTGGTCGACGACGTACGACTAAATCCTCTCATCAGCATCAGACCCCTTCTCTCTAATAATCTTCACATAGCCCAATTTGTTTTATCTACTCTCGTCAATCCATACTTTGCAAATGAGCACTACTACAAAACTCTTACAAACAAAGCTATCAACCAATTGAATTTATTTTCGAGAATCAACCATTCAAATTAATTAGATACTCCATCCTTTTCACTTATAAGTCATTTTGATATTTTAAGTCAAACTTCATGAAAGTTTAACCAAGTTTGTATGAAAACATATATAATAACACAAATTAGTTTCATTACATATAACATTGAACATATTTTGATAATTTTTTTTTTGAAAATATTGCTATATTTTTTCTATAAATCTAGTCAGATATAAAATAAGTTTGACTTAGAAAAAAATCAAACAACTTATAATATGAAATGGAGATGGTAGTAGTTAATAGGAATCTAGATTCAATCACAACATACCACATTAGTGTTACTAAAAGTTTTATATGCATAGACTTTCCTTTGTGCATCCTATATTATCATTGGAATTCTCAAAATTAAAAATAATACTTATATACTTAATTCACTGGTTAATATTACTTTTTCGAGTTATAATGGAATAGATTAAAATAGACCAAGTGTATCACAGTTTGTTGGTTGGTCTAGTTAACTAAACATAATTCATGCTATATATCGAATATATCATACATAACTACGTGGGTCGGTCAATTGGGGAAATGAGTTAAGCCAGGCTTAAACAAGGTCAAACTTACTAGCATAACGTCTACTTCGGCACCTATTTTTTTAGATATAGGATTTAAAACTCGGTATTTACATCAATAAGGATATACACAACAGGTAAAAAAAATCACTGAATAGGCAATTAGTTTGAAAAAAAAGGAGAAGCAGTAGCAAGAGCAACGCCTTCCCTTGGCGGTTTGGTGGTTTGTAGGAGTAGCATGTTAGGAGATATGAAGAGTAGGCTTAACGGTAATGTGAGCATGCTTAGTGCTTTCGGCAAAACAGCTCTATGGCCTGTCCACGTCAGCAAAATCAGGGAAGCAGAACCAATTACTGTGTGATTTTATCTGGTATTGCATTGGTAGATGAGGGTGTTCAATAACCATTTTTTAAGTTTTTTTATAATGGATTAAACCGGCCTCTACATCCAAATGGATGTACACAGCCAAGCCTTTTTTAAGTTAAGGGATTTTTTAAGTTAAGGCATGGTTGATCATCCTTAGTGAGTCTCGCTCCTCATGGTGAACCCTACGACATAGATCGGTGTGCATGGGTTGATGGCTAAGTTATATGTAGGGTGCAAATATAATTTTCTATTTCATACATAAGTAAATAGAACAATATATGTATGGCAAAAATATAATGATCCATGATAATTAACATATTCAATCATCGTCACTATATTCATTCAATATTTAGTTTGACGAAATAATTATTGAACAATAACAATGATGGTTGTACACCCATCATTTGTGGGAGGGGTGAAGAGATTATATCATCCTTGTGTCAATTTGATCATCTCTTGGTGATCGATCTTCCTGTTAAAATTATTCCCGGCTCTCATGATAGCTTGGCCAAACATCAGAATGCAGACGGCACACGCACCCTTTGTCGAAGGCAACACTCTTTAACTGGCCCTGGCGGTGACCATGGAGATGCTGGCGCGGCGGCCGAACCTGGCGACGGCGCAGTCGGTGGAGAAGATGTCGGAGGCGACGTAGCTCGGCGCGCCGTCCATGACCGGCATGCTGGCGCTGACGCTGAGCTTGTTGACGTAGTCGGAGCGGTAGGTCTGGCCGAGCACGCCGTGGACGTCGTCGGAGAGGTCGTAGAACTTGAAGCCGATGTCGAGGTGAGCGAGGCTGTCCTCCTCGGTGACGCCATAGTTGTGGATGCGGGAGTCCTGCTCGGTGATGGGCACCACGTTGGCCATGATGTCGAACACGCCGGCGAGCTGCACCCTCACGCCGTTGGTGGCGGCGGTCCTGGTGACGGTGAGGCCTGGAACGGCGGCGGACTCCCAGCGCGCGCCGAGCTCGGCTGGGACGTCGACGGGCGCGCCGTCGAAGGCGAGCTCGAGGCGGTCGACGTCGCTGTTCCACTTGGCGGTCTTAAGGGCACCGATGTAGAGGCGGTGGTCGGCGAAGCGGATGCCGAGGGCCTGGATCCAGGTGAAGTCACGGCTCATGGTGGGGTTGCGCTTGCCGATGAAGTGGGCGTTGATGTGCAGGTCGGCGTCGGAGACGATGCAGAAGTCGTGGTCCTTCTTGCCGTGGAAGTAGAAGTTGTTGCCGTCGCCGCCGGTGAAGCGAGGGTCGCCGCACGACACGCCCGGGTAGAAGTCGCACACTTGAACATTGAACATTGTCAGAGAATGAGAGAATTACATTGCTGATCAACCGATTCATCAGTAGACCATGAAATGGATTATGTACATAGCTAGTGAAGTGGTGATGCTTACTGCAGAAGGTCTTGCAGCTGGGGCACATGACGATGCATGCACTGGTTGGGGCAGCGCTTGTCGCACTTGGCCATGCATCCTTTCTTCTTCCCCTGGGTGTCGTCGCACGACAGCTGCTGGTCTCTCTTCCCCCCCATGTGACCCGGGTTGATCATGTGGTAGTTGGGCGGCAGTTTCGGCGACGGCGGCTGCGCCTGGACCGCCGCGACGGCGCACACGGCCACCAAGACGGCGAGCGCACCGACGAGCTGCCGATCCATGGCGATTCAATGGATGGAGATGTGCTTCAACCTCTGTGACTCTGTGTTGCTAGCTGTTGTTGTTGTTGTGACTTGTGAGGATTCAGGACAAGAGAAGATGTTCATTTATAGGGATCGCGAGTGCAGTGGGGTAGTGGATCGATGAGTGGCCGCCGGTGATGTGTCGTCGGCTTCGGCTCTCTCCGGCTGGCCGGCGGCGCGGCCGTGGCGGTGAAGCCACCAGCATGACATCTGAGAATCCAACACTTTGCGTTCACCCTGAACTATGCATGATCTTGCTAGCGTACGAATCGAAAACGTCGTCCTAGGATCGAGGTCAACAGTAATAATATAAAGAAATTAAGCTAGCTGGTTCTTGTATGGCTTCATGCTTAATTTGCTTCCTTTCTTCCAACAATGGACATGGTTTTACCGTTTTTTTTCCTTCTAGCTAGTTCCTTAAAATCTACTGCAATTAGTTGATTCAGCTAGTAGCAAACATAATAAAGGAAGTAAGCTTGGCTTATGGACCTGAAAGCTGTTTACCTTTTTTTCCATCCTAATCAAGCCCCTGGTCAACTCCATTTTGATCTACACTTAATTCTTATCTTCAGATATTATGTTCCTAAATATTACTGGCTCAATGCACGGACCTCTGTTCTTCAGTAAAGCCAAATTACCCAACATGCATGCTCGATCACACACACACACACGTTGTTGTTATCGTTTCATATAGAACAGTATAGTGGTTAACTAATTGTAAATTGTGATGAGATTTCTCATCAGTAAACCAGCCAAGCAAGAACGGATGGTACACAAGTTTTTGTAACAGAGTTTGCTGATTGTAAATTTGGTGGCGTGGCATGCTAGAAAAGCTGGACAAAGTACTCCACATGCAAGCTGAAGTTAGCTAGCAAATATTCAGACGCACGCAATGCGTCATGCGTTCTCCTGAAGACCTGAAGCTAGATACGGCAGCTGCTGGGAGCTTTCTGATTTGCCACGACGACGTATCGAACGGCCAGCCGCCTTCGCCGCGACGCCGCCTGGCCGGTCGCCATGGCACTGCACCACGAGGCGCTCTCGCTCGCTTCACCACCACGCGCGCCGGCTCGCCGGCAGTCTTCCCTGCCGAGCACCATGCTTGCATGCTACCTCATGGATGGATCATCTCCATTGCCAGTCCAGTGAAATGCCGGCCTAGCTATAAATACGCGCCTAGCTCTCATAGCCATCTTCCTCACCACCGATCGATCCAGAGTAGCCAACTTAACCAAATTTACTGTACGTTGACCACCAGCTAGCTAGCTTAGCTAGCGACGATGGCCCGGGCATACATGGCTGTCGCCGTGGCCCTCTTCTTGGTGGTCGTGTGCGCCGCCGTCTCCGAGGCCGCGAAGCCGCCGGCGTCGCATCCCAGGCTGCCGCCCAACTACCACATGATCAACCCGGGGAGCTCGGGCTTGGGCAAGAGGGACCAGGAGCTGTCGTGCGCCGACACCAAGGGCAAGAAGAAAGGATGCATGGCCAAGTGCGACAAGCGCTGCCCCAACCAATGCATCGTCATGTGCCCCAGCTGCAAGACCTTCTGCAGTAAGCATCACTAGCTATGTACATAATCCATTTGCATGTTGTACTGATCAATCGGTTGATCAAGTAATGTAATGTAATTCTCTCTGACAATGTTCAATGTTCCAGTGTGCGACTTCTACCCCGGCGTGTCGTGCGGCGACCCGCGGTTCACCGGCGGCGACGGCAACAACTTCTACTTCCACGGCAAGAAGGACCACGACTTCTGCATCGTCTCCGACGCCGACCTCCACATCAACGCCCACTTCATCGGCAAGCGCAACCCCACCATGAGCCGCGACTTCACCTGGATCCAGGCCCTCGGCATCCGCTTCGCCGACCACCGCCTCTACATGGGCGCCCTCAAGACCGCCAAGTGGAGCAGCGACGTCGACCGCCTCGAGCTCGCCTTCGACGGCGCGCCCGTCGACGTTCCAGCTCAGCTCGACGCGCGATGGGAGTCCGCCGCCGTTCCAGGCCTCACCGTCACCAGGACCGCCGCCACCAACGCCGTCAGGGTGCAGCTCGCCGGCGTGTTCGACATCATGGCCAACGTGGTGCCCATCACCGAGCATGACTCGCGCATCCACAACTATGGCGTCACCGAGGAGGACAGCCTCGCTCACCTCGACCTCGGCTTCAAGTTCTACGACCTCTCCGACGACGTCCATGGCGTGCTCGGCCAGACCTACCGCTCCGACTACGTCAACAAGCTCAGCGTCAGCGCCAGCATGCCGGTCATGGGCGGCGCACCAAGCTACGTCGCCTCCGACATCTTCTCCGCCGACTGCGCCGTCGCCAGGTTCGGCCACCGCGCCGGCATCACCATGGTCACTGCCAGGGCCAGTTAAATTTGCTTGTATGCTTCAAGCTTGATCGTTGACAGCTCTTATCGTGTACCCAATCAAGCATTAATAGAGCTAGACACTGGAATAAGTTTATTTTCAGGTTGAGGGAAACATACCAGTCATCAATCAATATAGGACTCAAATCATTTGATATTCGCACCGTCTCGTGCCGGTTTGTTAATGTTAAAAAATAATTTGATATTTGTGATCACATAAAAATCCTGCAATTTAAATTTCATATGTATAAAAATAACCGATACATGGAATATACTCCTTTACCTTTCTTTTTTTTCTTTTCTCTAGAAAAAAGTTGAAATCGAATAAAAAAGTGACACAAGAAAAAAATGCTTAGGCTTAATTCTTTTAAGATAATGTATAATATTGTTAAAACAGATTATTTGCTCCATGCTTCGGAAAATACATTTTCTTAAAAGAACACATGGAAAAAGAAAAAAAAGAAAAGGTTTAGCCACCGTGGCTGATGAGTTCGTGACCGATCCCAAATCCAGTCTCCACCGCGCGTTCCAACTACCGGAATCGAATCCATCTCTCTGGTCTCTAGTTAGAGTTTTTAAGGGTGCCCGCGAACCCCCGATGTGAATCGATTGAGGAGGGGATCTCCATGCATCCATCGAAACACTTGCCTCCTTAGTCCTCACCTAGCACTGCCGCCTCCCCTGACCAGCGTGTTGTCCCCAGAAAACCATCCTCACCACCCCTTGCCCCTCCATTACCTCCCAACCCAGAAAATCGTAATCCCCGTGTCTTTGTCATAGTTGCGACACTGTCACCAACCGCTGGGAAGTCATCGTTGCTGATGAGTTACCACCTCCTCCCTTTCTCCCTGTCCTCCTCATTTGGAGCTTGAGGACGACTCGGCCATAGAGCTGGTGACTGGACACTAGCAATTCCCAATCAAATATTATATAATCCATATTTTAATTTGAACACGAGACATCCATATGAAAACATATGATTCGATTTCGCTAGAAATCTGTCGTGTGATTTTTTCCCCGGTGATTTCACGGATTTGCTGACCGCACGATGGTGGAGGCTGCATGCGTGGTCAGCCGGTCGGGATGATCTTGTTCGCACTGTGCTCGTCCCTTTGGGCATGATGAGTGGAGACGATCGCCGGACGGGACGACCTTCTCTGCACTTGAATCTTGTGCGTAAATCTGAACCAAGCCAAAGCTAGGATCCCACACTAGATTACACCACCATGCGGCCATGCCTAACAAATCTACCATCGCTAGAAACCTGTTCTATTCATTTTTTTTTATATATTTGCCGATAAATTTTTTTCTAGAAATTTGACAGATGTAATTACAATACAATCATAGTGTAATTACACTGCAACTTGTATATAATTACACTAACTAAAATTATATTTGTAAATTCAGTTGATATGATATGTAAGTGCACTGTAATTTTGATAAAACTAAAGTGTAAGTAAATATGTATTTGTTATTTTCTTTAAAATATAAAATTACAGTCCTATAGAATTAAAATTACATTTGTAAATTCAGTTGATATGATATGTAAGTGCACTGTAATTTTTATAAAAATAAAGTGTAAGTAAATATGTATTTGTTATTTTCTTTAAAATATAAAATTACAGTCCTATATATAGAACTAAAATTACATTTGTAAATTCAGTTGATATGACATGTAATTATTTAAAATATAAAATTATAGTCCTATATAACTAAAATTACACATGTAAATTTAGTTGATATGATATGTAAGTGCACTATAATTTTGATAAAAATATTGAATAAGCAAATTTGTATTAGTTATTTTATTTTGTAGTCCGTTGGATATAAATCTAAGTGTAAAAAAAATCTGGGTGATTTCTTGTTAAAAATCACCCGACAAATGTGTAGGCAATCCCCATATGATTTATTTGAATAGTGGGAATGGTGGATCACGGCCCGTCCACATTTCAAAAAATGTAGTTAGTATTTTTTTTATAGAAAAAGTTCAATATGGCTCCCTTAAGATAAGTCAGATTTGATTCATTTCCCTCAACTTCATAAGCCATAATACCGGATATATCGACCCCTCCAACTATTAATACCAACACAAACGACTTAGATCCAGTTTAAATATTTTGGCTCTTAGAGTCATTTTGTATCCGTTTTAACAATTGGAGTCATTTTGTATCCGTTTTAACAATTGGAGTCATTTTGGCTCTTAGAGTCATTTTGTATCCGTTTTAACGGTTGAGAGGTATGAATCAAATCATACTTATATTTGAAGGAGCCAGATTAGACCTTTTCTTAGTTTTCTCACACATAGAAATGTCGGAATGGACGTGCAGCCCAGTCCAGTAGGCCGCAAACAAAACAGGGAGTGCATGCTTAAACCCAACTTGGATTCTCACGTATATTGTCATTTAGTATGTACTCCTTCCCTCTCAAAGTATTAAGGGTTTTCTTTTGTTAGACTTAGTTGAGACACATTTTTATAGTATAATACGTATAGCACCCTTGTCACCGCCACTGTACGTAGGTCAACGATGAAATCTAGCTATCTAAGGACGTCTCCCCTGCCCAGGATAGATGCATATTGCGTAGAGCTGAATCCATGCAGGCATTGCATGGGCCGGTAACATGCACTTTAATTAATCTGGGGACTTCGTTGCTAGCGAGTATATATGTAGCATACGCGGTCTTCAAAAAAGGCAAAGTATGTAGCACGTAGCTTGTAAACTCGACCACCACGACGACCATAGCTCTACCTAGCTTCAACTCTACTACCAATTAGTAGTAGCAAACGTACCATAGATGCATATGTACTGTCACTTTGTCTTCCCCTACGCCACTTCCCACTGAAGCCACTTCACCCTCAATTAAGCCCAGGCCGGCGTCTTCTTTCCATCTTCCCATAAGAACCCTACCCCCCATGTACATTTGATCCTCAACTCCGATCCATCGATCGATCAGCAACTAAGTAGCTAGCAGCCAAACAATCATCCTAGCTAGGCTGATTGATCCAAGCTAGCTTCGTCGTACGTGCAGCGCATCAGCCTAGCTAGCTAGCAATGGCGGCTCTGGTGCAGGTGGTGGCGGTGGCGCTTGCGCTGTGGTGCTGCGGCGCCGCCGTCGTGGCGTCCGCCGCGGCGTCGAGCCCGCCGCTGGTGTCGCCGAAGGCGAAGCCCGGCGTGCGGCCGAAGCTCCCGCCCAAGACGAAGCTGACCACCATCACCTTCAGCCCCCACCACAAGCGCGACTACCAGGTCACCTGCACCAACACCGGCCGCCGTCCCTGCGTCGTCTCCTGCCCTTCCAACTGCCCCAACAAGTGCCTCGTCGCCTGCGCCTACTGCCTCACCTTCTGCAGTACGCACGCACATATATATATTTCGATTATTCATCCTTCGTTTCCAATTGGATTAATATTGATATATGTATGAACTCTGTCATGTCAGTGTGCGATCTGTTCCCCGGCACGTCGTGCGGCGACCCACGGTTCACCGGCGCCGACGGCAACACCTTCTACTTCCACGGCAAGAAGGAGCAGGACTTCTGCATCGTCTCCGACGCCGACCTGCACATCAACGCCCACTTCATCGGCAACCACAACCCGGCCATGAAGCGTGACTTCACCTGGATCCAGTCCCTCGGCATCAGCTTCGGCGACCACCGCCTCTACATCGGCGCGCGCCGGGCCGCCGAGTGGGACGACGACGAGGACCACGTCCAGATCACCTTCGACGGCGAGCCCGTCAACGTCGACGCCGCCAAGGGCGCCCACTGGGTCTCCGCCGCCCTGCCGTCCCTCTCCGTCTCCCGCACCGACACCGTCAACGCCGTCGCCGTCGAGCTCGACGGCGTCTTCGCCATCACCGCCAACGCCGTCCCCATCACCGACGACGACTCCCGGATCCACCACTACGGCAAGACCGCCAAGGACACCCTCGTCCACCTCGACCTCGGCTACAAGTTCCACGCCCTCTCCGGCGACGTCGACGGCGTGCTCGGCCAGACTTACCGCCCCACCTACGCCAACAGGCTCAACATCACCGCCAAGATGCCCATCATGGGCGGCGCCGACAAGTACCGCTCCTCGGGCCTCTTCTCGCCGGACTGCGCCGTCTCCAGGTTCCACCGCCGCCGCACCGCCGGAGACCATGTCGCCCTCGGTTTTGCCTCGTAAATCGCCGATCACTCGTCTACTCCAACCAAGTGAGATACGATCGATCGACTATGAAATAAATCGACACTGATCAGTACGTACGTATATACATACTCGTGCACCACGTCAAAGCAAGAAATAATATTCTCATTATGTGGATGGTGCATTGATTAATTCCAAAATTTTATTGACTATTATTATGGAGCTCTTTCGATTGAACATGGAGTAATAAGGATTCTTGATTTGTTTTGATGAAAATGTGTCACATTCATAACTTTGTTCCATTATTTTTTAATTAGTCTATCGATCAGATTAATATATTACCTAATTAACCTGTGTTAAACTTCAAATCGCGGGGTGTACTATATGTACCATTTCTGCGTCAACGCTATTACGACCAAATTAAGTTAAGTAAACTAGGAAAAATATTGCGTGAATGCTTAGTACTACGAAAAAACACCGGCCTTGACTTGTTTTTGAAGGGGGAAAAAGTACACCGAAGGTCCCTCAACTTGTCATCAGAATACAAAAACGTCCTCGAACCGCAAAACCAGATATCGCGAGTCTTTTAACTATATAAAACCGGTCACAATAGGTCCCTCGGTGGTTTTATTCCCGGTTTTGTCCTACGTTGCTACTGAGTCAGCGTGGGACCCCACGTGGGCCCCGTATGTCAGGATGCCACGTCATCTCCCCCTTCTCTCCCTTCCTCTCTCAGTCATCTCTGCCGCAGGAGAGGAGAGGCGCGGCGCCGCTACAGCGGCTGCAGCGGGGAAGCACGGCGGCTCCGAGGCCTACGGTGGAGGCCAACGAGCGAGCGAGCGAGCAAGACACGGCGGAGGCGCGGGGAGGCCGGCGAGCTCCACCGCGTGGAAAGGGAGGAGTCGGGGTGGCCGCGGTCGTCGGCGAGGAGCTCGCAGGTAGGGGGCCCAGAGGAGGCCGTGGCTCGGCGGCTGCCGCCCTCGCCCATCTCCTCCCCCCGGCGGAAGACGCCGCAGTTCCGCTCCGCCGGCCGCTGCGCCCTCGCCTGCCGCCCTGCGCCTCCGCTTTGCTCCGCCCTCCACCACGCACTCGCCAACCGCCGCGCGCTCGCACGCCGCCTCCGCCCTCCGCCACACACTCGCCCACCGCCACTCTGCTCCGCTGGCCGCCGCGCGCTTGCACGCCGCCTCCGCCGACCGCCGCTCAGCCCCACTTGCCGCCGCCAGTCGATTTCGAGCGTGCACGGCGTGCTCGTCGCTCAGCGCGCCGTAGGCCTTGTTCGCCAGCGTTCACGGCGAGCTTGGACCGCCCGGCCTCGCCGCCCCACGCGCCGGCCACGTCGCGCAGGTACCACTTGAGGTTGTGCCACACCAGCTCGTTCCCGTGGTACAGCGGCGCCGTCGGGTACCTCAGTACCTGGGGACGACGTCGCGTGTGTTGTGAACGCGGAGGAGGCGGGGGCCAAGGCCACGTGCGCCGTCGAAGCGACTCTTGAAGTCGTGCCCGCCGACGCGCGGGTTGGCGAACACGAACGCGGTGACCGGGCAGCCCGTCGCCGCCAGCGCCGCCACCGCGGCGCGGGGTGCCCTGTTGTATCCATTCGCGACGATGTCAAACGCGTTCAGCGTCGCGAGTGCGGCGCCAAGGCTGTGTCCCGTCACCCTGATGCTCAGCTCCTCGCCCTGGTACATGCTCACCACCCTCGCCACCTCGCTCAACACCTGCATGGCGACATCCATGTCAATCAGTAACAATGTGGCAGGTGACCGTGCCGCGCTACTCCGGCCATTACCTGATCTCGAGCATTGTCCTTGTTGTGGCTGGACTCAGAGTCACTGGAGGTGTACATGGACAGCCATCCTCGGTGCACCATGGCGTCGGAGGCTTTGTCCCGGAGGAGGTCCTTGGGTGGCGCCATTGACGAACTCCATGTCCTTGATCCATTGTAGCGACTGCACCGTGCCGCGCCACGCGACGAAGATGTTACGGCGCCCGAGCGCGGCCTTCCCTTCGTCGGTGGCCACCGCGACGTACCCGATCCAGTTGCTCTCCCTGCACCTGCGGAAGCGCGAGACGGACTGCAGGATGAACGGCTCCGGCACGGCGACGCACGACCTCGCATACAGGAGGATCCCGTCTCGGCGTCGAAGCCGAACGGCCCGCCCTCGAGCTCCCCGAACCCCGCGAAGAAGGCGCGCAGCCGCTCCGCTCTCGCGCCCGGTGCGACGTTGGTCACGTACACCCGCCTCCCCGCTGCCGATGCCGCCGATGCCGCGACGCCAGAGGATGGGTTCGCGCCAGCGGTGGCGAACTGGGCGGAGACGGCGCGCGGCCGGCGACGACGACGATGCCGCCGCGGCCCACCTCGCGGAGCGCGCGGCGGGCAGCGGTGCGGGACCGCGCCCCACCGACCTCCTCCCCTCCCGTCGGCTAGCCTGCCCAGAGAAGTGGGAGAGAAAAGGGAAAGAGGAAGGTGAGAAGTGAGAGAGAGAAGGGAGAGAAGAGGGAAAGAGAAATGTGTTGACGTGGCATCCTAATATGTGGGGCCCACGTGGGTCCTATGCTGACTCAGCAACCACGTAGGATAAAACCGGGATCAAAACCGCTGAGGGACCTATTGTGATCGGTTTTGTATAGTTAAAGGACCCGCGATATCTGGTTTAGCGGTTTGATGACGTTTTTTATCCCGATGACAAGTTGAGGGACCTTTGGCGAAAACGCTTACAATCGGTCGTTCGATACCACCGAAAAAATCGGACGCTCCACGTGTTTCTCTGTTTCTCACACAACGAGTCCACGACTTTTCCTCCTCCCCCTCGCTATAACTTTTCCTCCTCCCCCTCGCTGTAACCGCCCCTGCTTTCCCCATTCTCGCTCCATCCCTCTCTCTCGCCACGCGCTGCCGTCGTCGGCCGTCGAGACGCCGCCGCCGCAAGCCTTTTGTGCCTCCTTGTTCTTCTCCTCTTTAACTCCTCATGTACTCTTCCTCCTCTCCCATTAACATCTCCCCCAACGTGGGTGTTCCTCGAGCTAGATCTAGCCATCCTTGACCTCAAGTATCAGATCCGGGGCAAGGCCACCATGGGGATAGGGAGAGAGGCACGGATATGGCTTCAGCTCAGGAGCTTCTTGTAGCCACCAACTCCGTCGTCGTGCCCTACCTATGTGATAGAGGAGGTGAAAAAGTAGTTGCCGGCGCTGACAAAGGTAAAGCTGGTGTGCCTAACTAGTTGGGCAAGAATGTTGCACACCCTATTCTTTTGATGTTGCACACAATGTTTACTTGATGTTGCAATTAGTCTTTTTTGGATGTTGCACAAATTGGTATAATGATTTCTTGATGTTACAATATTCTGTTTTGTGTGTTGCAACAAGTGTTCTTGGATGTTGCAATATTCTGGTTTTGTGCGTTGCAACAAGTGTTCTTGGATGTTGCATGTGATTGAAACATCTTTTGATAAATCAATGAAACATTCTTGATCGAGTTATGGAACACGCTGGAACAATTCTTGTTGAAACATTTTTTTCATCGGATTATGAAACATCTGAAACATTTTTTTATGTGTGATGGAACACGTCCGATGTTTCATCATCCATCGGACGTCCGATTTGTAGCGCTCCCCGGACCTTTGGTGTACTTTTTCCTTTTGAAGGGGTGGACTTTTCGTACTCGTGGATGGGCCTACCAAAATGAGGCCCAAGATGGAGTTTGAGATGGGCCCGTTTCTGTCTCCAATTCCAGCCCGTCTCTTATCTCTCTCGTGTCTTCTTCACAAAAGAAAACGACAAAAAAAAAGTCATTCCAACACAAGCCCACCTAAGCGAGCACGATGCACGGCGGCGCGTCCTTCGCCGCCGCCGGCGAAGACGCCGGCGACGCGGTTCTCCTGGAGATCACCGACGCGTCCTTCATCGCCGGGGAAGCTGACCCCTCGCCTCCACCTCCCGTCTCCGTCGACGACCTCGCCGGCCTAGACCCCCTGCCGTACCCGACCATCTGGGTTCGCGCCGACCGCACCAGGCAAGCCCTCGCCGCGCCCTCTTCTCCGGATTCACCGGCCAATGAGCTGCTTGTATTCTAATCCCGCGTCGCGTGATTCTGGCCAGGCTAATCGAGAGCTCCTCCTACTTCCGCGCCCTCCTCGGCGGCAGCTTCAGGTCAGTAATCTAGTCGCCCCGACGCGATCGAGCTCTCAATCTCTCAAACCTATCAACAGCAAATCCTAAGTAATTGTCTGACATTTTCCCGCGGCTCCTGTGGGCAGTGAATCTGGGAGAGCGCATGTGCAGATCAGCTGCAACCTCGAGGCGGCCGTGCAAGTCCTCATCTATCTGTTTGAGCCTTCTGGGAGTTTGACGATTACGCACCACACCTTTCTACCGCTAATGGAGGTATTCAGTCTTGGGTTAGCTTTTTAATGGCTTTGGTGCAGAAGTTGTTGACCGGCATTTGTGTACATATGAAATCACAGCTGCTAATCAACACAATTACTAGTAATTGGTCAGTTAGCTCAATTTGAGTAAACATACCATGTTTTGGAAATTTTGTGTTATGTGAAATGTGAGCAAAAATGCCATGTATTTGTGTCTCCATGAACTGTTGCTTAACTGGGTTCGAGCTCGAAGGTTCAGATTGTGGTCATTATGCACCTTTATAATTTGAGGCTAGTGCTATTAAGTTTTGGTGTATGGTCAGTGATGCTCACTGGTGGTATTATGAACTTAATATTTGCAGGGTGGCTTGTTTCTGGCTGCTGAGAATCTTCTAACAGAATGTGAAAGGTGGTTCCGCACCATGAGCTCTCAAAGTTCCTCGCTATTGGCCCCATTAGATTTCTTAATTGACACCTGGTACTTTGCTCAAGAGCATGGTGAGCCATATTTTGTTGCCGCTTTGTTCTAATGGTTCTTATACTTTTGCATAACGAAATCTATTCAAAGATCTAATTCTTGTTGACATTTGTATGATTGCAGGGATTAATTATGTTCAAGATATATGCCCAGGATATTTAGCTCAGAATTTTGTAGGTACAATATACTAAGTTGCAATGCTGCCATACCTTTCTGCATACTATCAATTTGTTTCCTAACAATATCTTCCTTCAGTTTGAAAAGTTTATGTGTGACTGATTCTACAAGCAGTTAGTTTTGTTCCACTCATGGTCCTTTCGGAGATTCTAGAACATTAAGGACCCGCAGTCACCATATTTGACTCACATAAACCATGTTTGTAGCCTACAATTGACATTAATATTTCACATTTTCAGATAGGAAAATTCTAGAAACTGTAGAGGCTGGATGAATTTTCATGTGCTCTATTTATGGTTGATGAACCGGTGCATGTTGGCATTTATGAATGATGATTACTGCTTGAATTGAAGAAAAGGGTTTGTCTAGATTCAGAGGAAAAGCTCACTGATTTTTTACTTTTTATGGAGAAAATAAAGATATTCTCTTTGTTAGCAGCGTCATGTCGTTTATAGCCTTATAGTGTTTTAGACCATATTTTTTCCCCTTCTTGTAATAATTAAATAGACTATGCCTTTCTTATTCAGACACTGCTTTAACCAAGAAAGCTTATGATATTCTATAAAAAAGAAAAAAAAAGTTATGATGTTAAAATGATGATAGGCCAACTTACCAGTTGAATATATATGCAGTGGGGCTACCTTTATTTGGCATGAAATGTATTCATGTATAATTACCACTGGGTGAATCCCATACAGGTGCAGGTTATCTCCAGGAGGTCGTTTGTTAAACTTCCCTATGATTTGTTATATTCTACAATCGAGTGCCCCTTTCTGACCGTGGATAGGTTTGTTTTAATTTTTCAGCGCTTTTCCATAATCAAATCGCTGTGCTTTCATCTCGATGCTAAAATTTGATCTACTGACCTTGTCCAGTGAAAAACAATTATGCGAAGCAATCCTATGCTGGATTACTGAAAATATGCTATGCTGTGAAGAACTACCTCCCAACTCAGTAGATCACCAGCTGTACCTTCTTAATAAAGTACACCTCTCTGTGACCCATCTATACAATGTTACATGACTTATACCATCATATATGTGTTGCCTCCTTGGTTTGTTCATTGACTACATTTATGTATGTTTTCTACCACTTCACTGAATATTTTGGCCACACAGATTTAAGTCTATCTTTCTGTTTAAACCTGTTCTGCAGGTGAGGATATGCCTCTTACCTTTAGAATTTGCAGCAGGTATGATTCCTTGATCATGAGTTTTTAATTGATAATAACATTATGTTATGCGGTTCTCTTGTTTGATCTTTTGCTATGTCAAGACATAATCCATGCTTTTTGATTCATTTTTGTAGGAACAAAGAGAAACTGGGCTGAGTTCGGAAGCAAAGTAGAGAGTAGGATTCTTAATCTGCTCAAGGATAGTTTGCGAACAGTATTGGATGCAATTGCTGATGACAACTTGGAGAGTTACCGTGTTCGAATTACAGAATATTCTAAGGTTTTTATTTTTGCCACCTCTGTTGTAATAATGTTGTTTTGATATATTTGAATTGTCTAGAATTCTTTTCTTTTTGGTGTTTCTTAAAAATATAATACTTTTTTAGTGACTACATAAATTGGTCGCAACCACTTCATGTATACCTTGTTTGAATGACTACATATTGCTTTTATTTTATCAATTGTTGTAAAAATAGGTAAATTATGCTTTACTTTGTATATAAAAAATCTTCTTATAAAACCTACAAAATATTATAGGCTCAATAACTCTTTTTACATGCTTCGTGTGAAGATATCCTTCTGTTATGACAAAGTGCTATCCTGCATTATCAAAAGAGATTCTGGTCCTTTCATTGTCTATTGCAGATCATGCACTTCGTTGCACTTCTCACTGATGAAGATTTTGTTTTGCAGAAAATAGTGCTTTCTGGTTGTCCACAAATAACTACTGAAATCTTGTACATATCAGTGCTCCCCCCTACTAATGTGGGTGCCTCATTGAATAAAAGGTTAGAAAGTTCATGGGCCCAAGTTGATTACCGAAATATCATCCTTTACAATGAGCTGGAGGAGGCTGTTAAAAGCTCATCATTTGGAAATGTGCACATGGTGGATCTCTCAAAATGTCCAAATGCACATTTTAGCACTGCAATTGACTGGTTGAAGTTGGCATTTCCAGAATTGAGGATATTCAGAGCTTCCTTTTGTTTGACATTTCAGTTCGAAGACTTGTTATATCTGCTACTGACTTGTCCATGGATTAATGAAATTGATTTGTCTATTGATACGAGCATTATAGCACAAATGCATTCAGTTATCTCTTCCAGATTTGAAGGACGGGGCGCAGTGAAGCCAAAGCTCACAAGATATTATGCACAGGATCCGCTATGTGATACCACAATGAACTCATATATCTCAAATATATCAAAATTGATATTGGAAGGCAGAAATGATATTACTGGTTGGAAATATGTTCTGTTCCTACTATTGATTTCTTTATAGTTATGGATTTGGTTATAAGAAATCTTGTAACCATGTATGTGCCTTTTCTTTTTGCGTGTGTGTATGCAGATGTGGACCTGTTGAAGATATCCATTCTGAAGAACTCTCTTTGTTATATAAACATTAAAAATTGCACCCTATTGACAGATGATGGTATTTCTAAATTATTACTCAAGTGTACGAAGATTCATTCAATGGTTCTTTCTTATACTTCTTTTGGAAATCAGTCGATTCAAACTCTATGCAATTCCAATCCTCTGGACAGCATGGATGAGTGTAGGCATGTAATGGCATTTAGAATGCAAGAATTGCACCTGGATGGGTGCAAAGGTAAACATGGCTTTTGTTTCATGTCAAAACTTTCTCCACAACTAAGCAGATCATAACTTCCTAGGACAGCAGAAGTGGCATTCTTATTTCTATGTTCTATTAACTTTACGCTCCATTAGCCTAGCATGGGGGAATCTGGGTAATATAAATTTATCTACGTGCACTGTGCAGGTATTGGTTATGCCGCTATGTCTCAGCTAATGAGTAATGTGAATATAACAAACTTCCTATGTTTAAGGGAGACAACACTTACCGATGGCGCTCTCTGCAACTTTGTTGGCTCTTCACTTGAGTTTCTTGATATTTCCGAGACCGTGGTATGGTTTTCTGTTTCAAATTATATGCATATGGTCACCTTTTTATATATCAGAATATCAGATGATTTTCCTATTCTTTGAACCAAAGTACTTGTGATGCTAAGCAAATATTCTTCAGTTTTGAACTTTATAAGAATCAAACACTGCAATTGACTAGTTGAAGAAATGCTTAGACTGAGACTTGCAGTGAATTTGCTCAGTTGGAGACTATAGATAAACAATATTTTTACAATTAACTTAGGTAAGGGTAACATGTACTGGACTATAGATTGTGATTTATCTTTCTGTAGCTTTCAGCGATATGCAATATTGAATTATGGAACAAAGTCTGCAATGTTTTGATGATCACACAAACCAAGCTCTACTCGTCCAACATTGAATAGAAGTATATGATTGAAATGATCTTTCTTATTGTACATCTGAAAAGGGGGCCCATCACATTTTCTACTTTTGTGTCTGCAAAGGACAGAGACAGACTACAGCAGTGCAGTCATGGTTCATGATTACTGTCTTTTATCGTTATGCTGCCATAAAAGAACCATTACTATGGTCTGTTTTGATATATATAGTCTTAAAAGTTTTGTCGCCTCAAAATTACAGGTTTCCATGGTATCATTAGCACCAGTTATAAGAAGAAATTCTAACTTGAGATGTCTGAAAGCAGCTGGATGCCGTAACTTGCTATTTGAACATGGTGAAGTAGAAGCGATGAGTGGTGGTAATATATACGGAGATTTTCTACAAGAAATAACCAGTACTTGCTGCTTAGAGGATGTTGAAATGGGATGGGCATTTTGCCCTATTCGAGTTACAACCCTTATTCCTTCTTTTAGTAAAGTAAGAAAGATGACTATTGGACTTGGCACAACATTACCAGAGAATATATTGTGTGCTCTTCCTGATATTTGTCCATTCCTAGAGTCTTTGGTTCTTAGGTTTCAGGTGTGTCTCTGGCTCTTCTCCCTACTATTTGTTCAATAATAAAACTAATTGTGCCTTTAATTCTTTTAATAACCGGATGATGTACATACCAGATGATCTCTGACAAAGTTGTAAGAAATCTGTTGAAATCCTCAACGAAGCTTCGGGTGCTTTGCCTGTACTCTTGTCTTGGCAATTTAACTTCATTTAGCTTCCAAATCAAGGCACCATTGCTAAGAATCTTAAGGCTTGAGTGGATTACTCCATGGATGACAAATGATGACTTGGCAGTTCTTATACAGAACTATAACTTAGTTGAACTTTCACTGTCTGGTTGCAAACTCCTTGACTCCAGTAAGTTCTACTTTCGGATTCAGTATGTGGACCACTCGTGATGCTGTTGGGTTGAGTTTTTTTTTGTGATCAACAGACTCTCAAGAGTTAATCTCGTCTGGGTGGCCAAACTTGACTTGTTTACACCTTGAGGTATATTATAACTACAATTTTTTACATGGGGCATTTGATTAAAAATTATCTTTATCTTTGCAGTTTTTATTTAAGCCAAAATTTCAAGGTTTCAGTGCTGTTATATCTGTAGCCACCCTCTTAAATAAGTAACTTCTAACAGAACTAAAGGATATAATGTATTCATGTCCATACTTTATGCATCAGCATGTATGTACTGTATAATCGTAGTTATTTCACTAGTAGATGTTTATATTTCTTGATATCATCACGAATATACCTTTTTGTACATTGATTAGGCATTCAATGTATTGAAAACTCCAATCTACAGCTGAAATTGTTAACATCCTCCAAACCCCATCTCTTATGTATAGGCTTGTTGATTTACAGGAATGTGGTCAGATAACACTTGACGGGGTTTCTTCAATTTTAAACTGTAAAGCTTTGGAAGATCTGTTACTTCGGCACACGGTGAGCATAGAAATGCCGTAGCCATGTAGTTGAGATAATTGATAGTATGATCTAAAAACTCATAAACCTAAATATTTTGTATGCTATTGTGTTTGTGTAACTGTAAATCCTACAAATAAAGCATTTTTAGAACTATAAATTAAATTAAAGGATGTGTAGCAACTTGTTGCTCTTTACACAAAGGTTGTTAGGTTTATGACTTGTGCTGCTATAGGAATAATCCTTTCACCATGATGTTTCACCATTATTAATATGCATGCTATTGCAATTTAAACTTGCAGCAAATCCTGCTTCATGCTTCATAGTCATCATGCTTTTTTTTTCTTTATTAGAATGATGTGCAGTGACAACGGCATTTCCTGCCATAGTGTTGGCAAGTCACCTTCATAGGTTATCCAACACAAATCGTTATTCACCTCGAGTTTATTTTGACAGGACCATCAATTGATTGCTTGCAGTTATTCTGGTTAAGGTTTAGCATTAGACCATTGTAATATGTTACTCCCTCCGTTTCGTTTTATTTGACACCGTTGACTTTTTAGCACATGTTTGACCGTTCGTCTTATTCAAAAACTTTTGTGAAATATGTAAAACTATACGTATGCATAAAAGTATATTTAACAATGAATCAAATGATAGGAAAAGAATTAATAATTATTTAAATTTTTTGAATAAGACGAGCAGTCAAACATGTGCTAAAAAGTCAACGGTGTCAAATAAAACGAAACGGAGGGAGTACTACTTAGTGTTTACAGTGGTACCTGACTGGGAAAGAATTACCATTTGTGCATATAATTCTGGCGGGGTAGTTTTCTACATCATACACTGTGTAGATTCAGGATGGTGTAAGCAGTAAGCACAGTGCTTTGATCTTTCCCCTGCAAACGGTTAACCCTTGTGCATAGCTCAGTTACTTGAATGAACGTTTAAATGACAAGAAACAAGAATGAACACTGCCACTAAATGATTCAATGTGCAACTATTTCTGCTAACAAGCTTTCGTTGAAGATGTTTAAACTGTATACTGGTTAAGTGGTTTATGAGGCTTGGTCGTTACAGGGCAAAGGTATTGGAAGAACCATCATAACTGATGCCATAACAGAGGTACCTATCTTATCTATTAATTGGTTTTGCTGCCCTTGCAACATTATATAGGTCACATAGGTGCAACTCATTTTGCTGTTTATTTCAGTTACCACTACTAAGAAAGCTAGCTCTGGATCTTTGTGATGCTTCTGAAGAAGGCTACGATAGCCCAAATGTGAGTATATTCCAAAGATTTTGCCGAGTTGGGCGGGTTAATAATAATAATAACTGAATAAAGATGCTAATATCTTTGCAATTGTTTTGAAGAACCCGGAGGGGAAGATGATGAGGACCATAACGATGAGCAGATGCAAGTCGGTGAGGTCTTGTTTCGAGCTCCACAGGGAAGGATCCTCAAACTCAAAACCAGTGCACAAGGAGACGATTGTGTTGGAATGGAGCAGCAGACAGCTAAGAACCACCATAGTGAAAGAAAAAATACGTTGGAGTACGCCGATTTTCTTGTAAATTTGATATTTCACTCCCCTAGTCCCCTATTACCAATTTTTTTTTTTAAAAAAAGAAAAAACGCAACCTTACCAGCCCAAAGGCCCAAAGCCCACAACAGAGAGGAGAGTGGGCGACGGGGGGCTAGGGCGGCGGCGGCGCGGCGACCAGCGACGGGCGGCGCGCACCTGACCGGAATGGCCCACCTCGCGGCCTCTGCCGCCCCGCTTCCAAGCGCTGACCCCGACGCCGGCGAGGAGTCCTCCCACTCTCCGCCGCCGCCGGAGAAGGGGCTGAGGAAGGTGGTGGTGGTGATGGGCGCGACTGGCGCCGGCAAGTCGCGGCTGGCCGTCGACCTCGCGAGCCACTTCGCCGGCGTCGAGGTGGTCAGCGCCGACTCCATGCAAGTCTACGGTGGGCTCGATGTCCTCACCAACAAGGTCCCCCTCCACGAGCAGAAAGGTCTCCTCCCGGGATTCCCCAGTTCTTCTTTTGACCAAACCTGCTTCAGATCGAGCTTAACAGCGCTATCTTTGCCGTGTTACCAGGCGTTCCTCACCATCTCCTGAGCGTGATTGATCCCTCTGTGGAGTTCACTTGCCGCGATTTCCGCGACCATGCTGTGCCGGTGAGCCTATGATGTTGCTGCTACGACTTTTAGTGCTCCTAGTGTGCCATGTTTACTGATTAGTTGATGTTTCTTAGTGCTCTGCTCACCAATTATATAAGGTATATTGGTTTACTGATTAATTGCTGTTTCTGAGTGGTCACAGATTATAGAAGGTATATTGGATCGTGGCGGCCTCCCTGTTATTGTTGGTGGTACAAACTTCTACATCCAGGTTGATACTTAAGCGCATGAGGATTCCTGTATATTAGGCTATTTTTCTTCTGAATTAGACTATATCTGATTTTTGTCCTTTTAACACTTATTGTAGGCTCTTGTTAGCCCATTCCTCTTTGATGATATGGCACAGGATATTGAGGGTCTTACTTTAAATGACCACCTAGATGAGATAGGTGAATGATGAAAGCTTAGCACATGTTTCTTGTTGTTAGCATGTTTTGATCAATGGTTGTGTCCAATTAGTGTTTGACTTGTTAAACACTGCTTAACACATGCCAAGCAGGGCTTGATAATGATGATGAAGCCGGTCTGTATGAACATTTGAAGAAGATTGATCCTGTTGCTGCACAAAGGATACACCCGAACAACCATCGAAAAGTAAGGGTGTTGCACAGTTGTGCCCTTAACCTGTTAGGTTTCTTTGGTAGCAATTGGATTTTCCTTGTGGTGTTGCCCCATTTGCCTTATCCGGTTATCCTGTTCTGCATGCTTTTTTGTTGTGTTGACCAGATAAAACGCTACCTTGAGTTGTATGAATCCACAGGTGCCCTACCTAGTGATCTTTTCCAAGGGCAAGCCACAGAGGTGAGAAAAAAATGATTTCCCTTTTAATTAATTTCTTTATTCTGACTTGTTGCTGACTCTATAGTCCATGTGAAATGTGCAAGGACTTTATGCATATTATCATGCGCACAACACATTTTTTGCCGTACGAGTTGGACCTCATGCGAACTCTAAATGTCCTAATGAGGTCATTTGTTGTCAGGACAGAAGTGGGGTCGACCTAGTAACTCCAGATTTGACTGTTGTTTCTTGTGGTTAGATGCTGATCTTCATGTTCTGGATCGTTATGTCAATGAAAGGGTCGACTGCATGATTGATGATGGCCTGCTAGATGAAGTGTGTAACATATATGATCGAGAGGCCACTTATACCCAAGGGCTGCGGCAGGCCATTGGTGTTCGTGAATTTGATGAGTTTTTCAGATTTTATTTTGCAAGGAAGGAAACCGGTGAGATAAAGATGGATTCCTGTACAACTATGGCAGGTCTCCATGATGATAACCTGAAGGGCTTATTGGATGAAGCAGTCTCACAACTAAAAGCAAACACTCGCAGACTTGTTCGACGTCAAGTAATCTCGACACTTTTTTAAGTAAATAATTGAAAATTGCATTTTGTGTGTTTTATATTCTTGCCTTTCTTCAGAGACGAAGGCTGCATCGGTTGAATAAATATTTTGAGTGGAACTTGCGTCATATTGATGCAACAGAAGCTTTCTATGGTAATGATATGTGCATTTCATGTTTTAGTTCAAAGCCAAAAGATTTCATGTCTTACGAAATCTAATGTGTTTGCTTAACATGTCATGCATATTTCTAGGTGCCACTGCTGACTCATGGAACATGAAAGTTGTGAAACCTTGCGTGGATATTGTTAGAGATTTCTTGTCTGATGATACAATTTTGGCAAGCAGAGATGGTTCTAGTGTAACTGGAAGCCCTAGGATGTCTTCAAGAGAGTTGTGGACTCAATATGTTTGTGAGGTAATTGGGAGGCTTTTCTTATTCTTACCAAAAAGAATGTTGATAACTGTATCGTCATTTGTGCGTTTTGCCACATTTTTTGTTAGTGGGACAGCAATCAATCTGATGAAACTTTCTTGCCTTTCCTGCTCCTATTTTACAGGCCTGTGATAACCGGGTACTTCGGGGAACGCATGAGTGGGAGCAACACAAGCAAGGCCGATGCCACCGTAAAAGAGTACAACGTTTGAAACAGAAGGCTAGTACAGTGATATCATTATAGGCAATTAGCACTGTTTGCACTCTCGGTGTTCATGAACCTTTCTTCATTCTCTGCAACTGTCCCCATGCATCCTGTTTGTCAAATTGGCTGAAGACTACACCATTCAGAAGGTAGCAAGCAGCAGATATATTTGTTAATAGTACCTTGCTAGATTCTTGTGCCAGTTCCAAACATCCAATGCAGAGAATACAAACTCTACAGATTGGTCAGCACAAGCACGTCCGATTGAGCAGCATCTACACTGATGACCAGTTGGAGTTTCTCCAATCTGCTGATCATTTCTAGACTAGTTTTCCCATTAAGGACACCATAAATTGGGTAGGCGGTCCAGCTTGTTAGCAAAGTGGTGATAGTGATTAGCAATTAAGCATGACATTGACCCATCGAATATTTGCATATCTTGGTCTTCCAGATTGCATGATTTTTCCTTCATATGTGACTGGAAACAGTGGGGCCATGCTAGGTTACATAAATTCCTGGGCGTGATACACTGCGAATAGTAGCTATCATGTTTACTACTGTCGTGTTGAGACTACTGTACAGTAGCTCGTATGTATTTCTCGTATGTTTGTGCATAAGTGAGGGGTCGATGAGAGTGACTTACTAGACTTTTCTCATCCTAAATTCCTAATAACTAGAAAAGATGACCGAAATTGGGAAGGCGACTTGTGCCTCTTTTGGAATGATCGAAATATAGAGGAACTTTCATGTTGACCTGATTCTTACGAAAATCATGTAAAACTCGTGTTCGTTGTCAAAAGGCCCAACTTCATCTCAGATGAGCATAAGTATACCATATTAATGCTTCAAAATGGTTAATGCTAGCTCGTTTTTACTGCACAACTAATGCTCGATGTCCAAATATACTTGGGTTATTATTATTTTTTTGAAGGATTTTTCATGTGAGTCTCGCCGAGGTCCACTAACCGGTACACAGGCGCCGACCTCTGGCACATTATTTTACACGAGAAATTTAAGGTAGGCATGAAATCATCAGTCGCACGGATGCAAACGTGACGACATCATCAGAAACAATATACTGCTGCGCCGATTTAAACTACACTTAAATTAAATAATTCTATTAGTGGTACGAGAGTAGTACTACTCCTGTATGTAGAATAGATGTGCACGGGCGCACGTGTTTCATCCCTCTAATTCTGAATCCCCACGTGACGATCGAGCTTAAAGCCGAACGGGCGGGGCGGGGGGATAAAGCGGGTCCCCCAGCCGCTGTCTCCAGTTCACACCCACAACCCGAAGTCGATCGCTCGTGTTCGTGTCCGCCTCGACGGCGAACTCGACGGGTCCCGACCCGCAAACCCAACACCCACACCTACTTATACCCACCTCCACTAATCCCTCCTCTCATCGCACCACCACGCCACTGAGCTCAAGCTAAGCTAAGTGCTAACCTAGGTGTTCGACCATGGACACCGAGGACACGTCGTCGGCTTCGTCCTCGTCGGTGTCGCCGCCGTCGTCGCCGGGCGGCGGGCACCACCACCGGCTGCCGCCGAAGCGGCGGGCGGGGCGGAAGAAATTCCGGGAGACGCGGCACCCGGTGTACCGCGGCGTGCGCGCGCGGGCGGGGGGGAGCAGGTGGGTGTGCGAGGTGCGCGAGCCGCAGGCGCAGGCGCGCATCTGGCTCGGCACCTACCCGACGCCGGAGATGGCGGCGCGCGCGCACGACGTCGCGGCCATCGCCCTCCGCGGCGAGCGCGGCGCCGAGCTCAACTTCCCGGACTCCCCCTCCACGCTCCCGCGCGCGCGCACGGCGTCGCCCGAGGACATCCGCCTCGCCGCCGCGCAGGCCGCCGAGCTGTACCGCCGCCCGCCGCCGCCGCTGGCATTGCCGGAGGATCCGCAGGAAGGCACGAGCGGCGGCGGCGCCACCGCCACCTCGGGGCGTCCGGCTGCCGTGTTCGTGGACGAGGACGCCATCTTCGACATGCCGGGGCTGATCGACGACATGGCGAGGGGGATGATGCTGACGCCGCCGGCGATTGGGAGATCTCTCGACGACTGGGCCGCCATCGACGACGACGATGACCATTACCACATGGACTACAAGCTATGGATGGACTGACATGTATACACACATATCGTTCGAGTATATATGCTTACAGATATAGATAATACTCCATCAGTTCCTACTAAATACGGAGTATATATTTTTAGATAAAGGATTTATATAAAACCCGGCTTCTACATCCCGAAGAATGTACACAGCCAATCCTACTAAATATATATAAGCACCTCTTGTTTGTTTAGAAAAAATGAGATTAAGGGAAAATATTCTCTTTTTGCTGTCTCACGATCAAATTTTGAATTTTGATGAATTACTGGATCATCCTAAGCATATTAATATATTAGCTAAAAAATACTTGCATCCCTGTGCATTGAAATTGGTGTCACACGAGTAATAAACACAAAACCATCCATTTTGGTTTTACATTTGTTTTATTTGAATAAAATGTTTGTCGAAATGTTTATATTGTTACAAAATTAAAATCCTAAAAATACTTTGACAGTAGATGGATAGCAAAGGTATCCACACATACACACATAAAGTTCAGACAAGCGTCAGCCTTAGCTAGCTAGGGAAAAGAGTAAAAAAGGGCAACAAAATATTTTCTCAATAGACAAACGTGTGAATCAATTAATTTGCAGATATTTGGCTAATAACTTTTTGAATATCTTGAGTGGACATCCTCTAATTATCATTATATACCCTAAATACCATATAATTAGTTTCAAATCAAAATTTTCTCCAAACATGTGGCACTTTTTATATAACGTACATATATATAATATCTATGATCAAGGGGTGAACTCATAAATTTGTTGCACCCGTGACATATATAGTACTGTACATGTACACGGATCGTGCTTAAGAGACATATATGCATGATGTCATCTTCTATCGAGAAACAATCTAACACACAGTAGGTCGTTTTGCCAAAAATCTTTTGGCCAATCTAACCTCAAAGTAACACGGTCAATCTGCACCTTAGAGCAAGTTTAATAGTATAGCCAAATGTTAACTCCAAATCATCTATAACTAATCTAATAGCCCATTCATACAATAGTTACCTATAAAAATATACTCCCTCCGTTTCAAAATGTTTGACACCGTTGATTTTTTAGTACGTGTTTCACCATTCGTTTTATTCAAAAAATTTAAGTAATTATTTATTCTTTTCATATCATTTGATTCATTGTTAAATATAGTTTCATGTACACATATAGTTTTACATATTTCACAATTTTTTTTGAATAAGACGAACGGTCAAACATGTGCTAAAAAGTCAGTGGTGTCAAACATTTTGAAATGGAGGGAGTACTACAGTATTAATACCCGGCCGGTCCCATCTCTCATATACACAGAACGTCTTGTAGTCCGTGTTGCAGCTGGCTATAAATCTGTAGTCTAGGGGTGCAAGTGGGTCAACCGCGAACCCACTTATAGATCAAAATAAACGAGCTTGTGGGTTAGTTTAGCCTATAAATGGGTTTTCGCGGGTAGCCACTTGCACCCTTACTGTAGTCCTCTTTCTTTTCTCTCCTCTTTTCTTCTCAATATGGTTATAGCGGCTTATAGCCTGCTATTGTAATTGTACTTGCTCTTACAATCCCCACAAATTCTTAAGTCTCTAAACTCAAAGTTACACACATAAAGCTGAGCCAAGAGGACCGGCACGCAACTCGGGCAGCCGCCTAAGCTCACTGGTGGGCCACAATACTATAGATTGATCATACTATATATTATTTTCTTCAAAGGAGAAATAAATAATAGTACGATCGATATGACTACTAAGTAAATCGGTCGTACTATTAGTTTCTGATATGCATGAATATGATTACTTAAGGAAGAACTTTTAACCTTACATTTACTTTTTAGGCTTAGAGACATAGACATACATTATCTTAATTATGGATCGACACTTTGTAACCACTAGATTAATGTGCATATTTATCTAAAAAATATGTTATATACAAAATATGCATATAACTTTGTAAATATTTTAAAGTTTTAATATGGTGCGGGGGCCGGCCTCCTCTATTGTTTTCAGTTTTCAGGTAAAGAAACATGTTTTTGCCATGGGTTCTTCAAAGTTTTCAGGTCCATCACTGGCACTGCTTGCACACCAGGAGAAAAAAGAGTTAACTAGCTAGCATATATATATATATATATATATATATATCAGTAGTAATTTCTCGAGAGATTAATTTGTGTGTTTACTAATGCACATAAAATTTGAGAGATGTTTCCTCAAAAACATGCAGATCGATGAAATTATATCTGACAATTGATTAATTTGACAACAAGATCGAGATAACAAGATTGATTAATTTAACTAAATACGGGTCGATCGACTGCTAATTGATTAAACTGAGTAGAGCTAGCTAGTTTTGTTGGCATATGCGATATGATGAAGTAGCTCGATCGATCTCCGGCGCCGCACAAATTAACTACCAACCTGAACTTTATAGTAAATGACCTAATGACAACGACGGCAAGAACGCACATATTATACATGTATCGCATAAATAATAATAAACAACACGTGTTGAGGATTTACAAAAGGGTAGCACACGGTGAACACTATATTTACATATATATATATTAATCATGTATGAAACGTACGTCTGTGAGACCTACTTGCTCTTTTCATTCCTACCTTTAATTTCTTACTTCTCACGACGCTAATTAAACATCATATATAGAGTTTATCTCCTAACGCAGTCAAATACACACACACACACGTGTTTGTGACTGTGTGTGTGATATTTAACTACACATGTAGATGTAGTCACATAAAACACATCAATTTTTTTTTTGCTGTGTACATATATTTTGAATGTAGAGGTCGGGTTATTTTAATCCATTTTATAAAAAATAAACACATCATTTTGGTCTTCTTATAGTATGTTATAAGTCAAATTTTAAATTTTAAACATCGATCTGCTTTCAGATATATATATTTGGATTGGAGGCATGAAAAACCATATGCATAAATTTGTCTCGAGAATTATCTTGGTAATAACATAATTGTTTTCAAATATAATTTTGTATGCCCTCATTACAAAATATAATTATTCTAGTTATGTGTATATACTAGTGGTGAGAATCGTATCTTGAAGACCATGCAAATGTCTGAAAATAACATACTTTCGTATTTGGGCGGAGTATATATGCAGCTTGATGCCTTGATATCAATATATATATGCTGGGGATTAAGTTGCTATCAACTAGTCCATCAAAGGGTTAGAACTTTTCCTACATTTCAAATACATATATAAATTAAATAACTATAGTGAAAAGAACAAAATATTTATTCCTTTTGAAATGCTGTAACCCCGGCCCTCTAGGGCAATGGGTGCAGGTTATACATGATAGGGAGTAGTACTATATTGTATACTTACGGTACTGAACCATTTATATATATGGTTTTGTTTGGCATGACTGCAATTACAACTGAATTTTTTTTATAGAAAATAGATTTTATAGACTAAATTAAAGTGTTTTAATCTTCTTCTTTTTTCTTAAATGTACATAAAATGTCTCATCCAGATATCCTTAATTTACCAGCATATATAGCTCGACCTTTAAGAATTTCTATAGCTCTAAATTAAATTATACATTAATGGAGCTGAAGTTTTGACCAGCATAAATGTCGATATAGCAAAATTCTATATGTATCAGACAATATATATGTCACATCAATCACTAACCAACTTGCTCATACTCTATATAGCAAAGCATATATGCTTAAAAAGTAGAAGAAATCACTTGATTACCATTATTGGCAGCATAACTCACGAGTAGTGGTTAATAAAATATAAAACTTAAGGTGATTTTGCTTTTTTTTTGTGCAGATTATTACTGACACACAGGCTTGTAGATTCTCCACTAGCTAGTTGGTCGGTGTAGTTTTCGCCTTTTCTTCTTTTATTATTTTACTATACAGAAACTTACACGCACATAGGCACATCACCACGGACTGACACACCACACTACTAGCGGGTGTCATGATCGAGTGTGAAGGACATGATTAAGGTTAACTTTTGCTATTGAAACATGTCTTAATTAATTAAGCATAAATCATGCAATCAAGAAGAGTACCACACTATGTGAAGGGAGTTGGATTTTAAGCACTTAAGAGAGATATGTTTTACATGTTACTCGCTATAAGATGTCAGTTTCACACGTTTGATAACACTAATACAATATTTGTCTACTGCCCCCACAAAATTAAAGTCGTAATAACTAAGGTCCAAATTTGATGGGCACAACCAAAAACATACTTTCAACATAATACGCGAAATTCTTATGTACACATGGCGGCACATGTGGAAGGAAAGAAACCACAACACAAATATTCCAAAAAAGGTGTAGTTGCACTATATATTTATATATGTTTGTATTTGTTTCCTTTCTTAATGTGTAAATTGAGTTTACGCTAGCTTGAAATTATGTCACTTGATCTTTTATAATTTTTCAGAAAGTACATTAGCGGTGGCATTGGAAAAGTAGGATCGATGGTTTTCCCATGTTATGCACATGGTGCACAGTAGACTAGCATATCTCATTGCAAGGACTTGATGTACATGTAAGACCAAACACCAATAGTTTCATCACTTTCAACATATATCTCTATCATGCATTGTGTTAGCACTGTGTGGAGTCAGCTGTTTATTTACATATACACACACACATTTGTCTATAAATATATATGGACAACATATATGTGTTGGAAATGTTCCAGATTTCCTTTTGACATGTACCATGCAAAAGGAGAATTTTGGATTTTGGTGTGCCGGGCCGTAACTAGCTAGCTAGCAAACTTGGTCTAGTCGATTCATCAGGTAGAAAAAGTGATCGAATCGAACGGCAAATGTGTATAGACAAAGAGAAGAGAACAATCAAAAGCAAGCGAGAGCAATCAAAATGTGAGGGCAGCGAGGTTGTTCACCCAACTAGCTCCGACAAGGAAAGGAATAGTACCATCATATCGGTCGTCGATTTCACTGTCGCGATGGATTACTGTGTATCACCATCGGTCGTCGTCGCTGTCACACAAACGGGAAAAGGTGAAGGCAACAAACGTGAATTTTTGCGATGCGTTATACTCCATATGCCTGCACGTGTGGCTCTGCACGCTTTAATTTCTTGGACGGATCGAGCTAGCTCCGCCCACCAATTATACGTTTATATATCCCCATCAATTGAATCCAATTGATTGCTTTAATTTCCGCATTTCCATCGGTCACTGCATGCACGTTAGTCACACATATGTTATTTGTACATAATTTAATTCTCAGTCCGGTATTTTTAATATATGACGTTGTTTATTTTTAAATATATTTTAAATGTTTATAATATTAAAAATATGAAGTTATTATTTATTCTATTTGTGGCTCTGCATACTCTTTGACAGATTGAGCTCCGCCCACCAATTGTGTACGTATATATCCCCATCAATTGGATCCAATTGATTGCTTTAATTTCTGCATTTTCATCGGTCACTTAATGCACGTTTGTCACACATATGTTGTATGTACACAATTTAATTCCCCGTCCGGTATTATTAAATATATGACGTTGTTAATTTTTAAATATATTTTAAACGTTTATAATATTAAAAGCTATGTAGTTATTATTTATTTCATTGTTACCTGATTAAACATATCTTATATTTTTGTGCTTGCAAACAAAAAACTAACAATGAATGGCAAACAAATGTCAAAAAATGAACGGTGTGTAGCATATATTAAAGACATGAGGGAATATACTGGGTTTTAAAAAAAACATATTAATTTATTTTTATAATTTTTAAGTTAATATTTAATTAATCATATGTTAATGATATCTTTCGTTTTCTATGTCGGAATGATTCCTAACCAACCGTACCGAACATAACCTACTACATTGTTATATATGATTGGCCAGAAAATTTTCTCGTGGACGATTATTCGTAGGGATTCGATTTGGACAGCCCCACACAGCAGGCGACATTACTACAGGTCAGGTCAATGGACGCCACCGACCAAAATAGTGACATCCATGCAGCAAAGTCGGTTGCTTCAAGGACTAGAACATTTTATGACCATCACTGTCGTTTAGCTGGTTTGCCCGAGTGGTTAAGGGGGAAGACTTAAGATCTTCTGCACAGAAGTGCGCGTGGGTTCGAACCCCACAGCCAGCACTATTTTTGATTTTTTAAATGATTTTTGATTTTTTTTAATGATTTGCAATTCAGATTAATTGATTTCTTTTTACTTTTTGATTTTTAAAATGATTTGCAATTCAGATTATTTGATTTTTTTTAAATGATTTGCAATTCAGATTATTTGCCTTTTCAAATTTTTCTTCATAACATAATTTTTATTACTTCTTTTTTCAAAATGATTTGCAATTCAGATTATTTGCTTTTTCAAATTTTTCTTCAAAACTTCATATTCAAGTCAATGCTCGTGATATTGTACAGTTTTTATTTTTTATTTTTTAAATGATTTGCAATTCAGATTATTTGCTTTTTCAAAATTTTCTTCAAAACTTCATATTCGAGTAAATGCTCGTGATGTTCTATAAAGATTTGGACAAACACAAAGGTTTTGCTCAACATTTGCAATTCAGATTATTTGGTTTTTCAAAATTTTCTTCAAAACTTCATATTCAAGTAAATGCTCATGATGCTGTACAGTTATTATTATTATTTTTTGGAATGATTTACAATTCAGATTATTTGCTTTTTCAAAATTTTCTTCAAAACTTTATATTCAAGTAAATGCTCGTGATGTTGTACAGTTTTTTCAAGTACTGCTCCTAATGTTCTATAAAGATTTGGACAAAACACAAAGGTTTAGCTCAAAATGTCCAAACTTAACGAGTATTAGCCTTGGGAGCAAAAATCATAAATATTAATCTTAGGACAATAAGTTTTGTTATTTCTGCCCATCGTCGTATAATTTCACTAGTTATAGCATAACACCAAAATTAATGAGTACTATCCTTTTGAAAAAAAAACATATGAATATGTCTGGCCAAATATTTCATTACTGTTATCCTTGGACCCGTTAAAAAAATCCATAAACCTTAACCCTATAGTAAAAAAAAATTCATGGTTTACCCTTCGGCATTTAATTTCATTAGGTATAGTCTTTGATCAAAATTCATGAGTATTAACCTTTGCAAACAAACGCAAGGATATTTTTCTTTAGCTCAAAATTTCAATGAGTATTAGTCTTAAGGACTGTTGTGTACAAAATCGTGAATATTAACCTCACAAAAAAAAAACTATTCATGATTTTTAGCCATCTACCTATAGTTAGTGATTTATAGCTTTCGGCCAATTTTTTTTTTAAAAAAAGTGTGGTTATGTTTCTCTGGTCCAAAATTTCATGAGTACTCGCCTTAGGCGTATTAGGCCAAAAAAAAAGACTTGAATATTAACCTTTAGCTGAAAGAAGATATCCAAATCAACATGATAGGGTAAAGTAAAGCTCATAATGATTTGCTTTTTCAAAATTTTATTTACAATTATTAGCCACCACTTCATTTTTATTTTTCAGTTTTTTTCTTCAAAAAATTTCAAATGATTTTTTTTCTTCAAAAAATTCAAATGATTTGCAGTTTACAAGAGTAATGCTTGTAGTAATTTGATTTTTCGAAATTTCCTTCAACAATATTCAAAGATTTCCAGTTTATACACAAGTAATGCTCGTAATGTTCTATAGTTTTTTAAGTACTGCCCGTAATGTTCTATAAAGATTTGGACGAAAACACCAAAGGTTTTCCTCGACATATCGTGGGCTGGACCAGTCGCTCTTGGTTGCACCACAAATATAAGTAGGCCGGCCCTGAATTGTTTCCAAGTAGGCAAAACATGCAATGTTATGCTTTATCAGTGAACACAACGGAAGGCAATCAAACTTGCAGTTGGATCATGGATGGTAGTATTAAAAGAGGTCTTTTACTTTTACTACAAGCCTTTCACTTAAAGATATTGCAAGTTCTAACATGACAGCAAGGAAAAGGAAGTCACTTGCGCATGATGGGCAAATACAGAATCCAAACACAAGGCAACAATGACGGGGAAGAAAAACTCTAATCAGATGGACATAGATTAGAGAGGTGCACCATCATCGCACAACATCTTTATCTTCTTAGGATTTAAAGCAGAGACTAAAGCTTTCTGGAGCAAACTAAGAAGACCCGTCCGGGGATCGGCCATCAGGCGAATCATCTCTTTCCTTGCTTTCTTTCCACTTAACCCAGGCCCATCTCAACACAATAAACGCTCCAAGAGCATAAACCTACAGAAGTAGCAAGGCAAATCGTCTTTTCAGAAATATGTGAAGTATGTTGAGATAGCACAATGAGTGAACACAAGAGCATATATATTGCAGCACAATTCAAAATGAAAAACGGATGCTGAACCACATATGGTTCTCTGAAGTCTGAATGAATATGTTGATTTCTCTGAAATTTGGAGTCATTGATTAGCAGATACTAACAGTAATATTTTCTGCATTAACTAAAAAAGTGTGAGTATCTTGTTAGCAAGAATAATAGGGTCCCGAATTCAAGACAGGCTCGTTTCCTTGATTGCATCATCTGAACAAGATAACTGTACCCACCTTGCTGAATCTCAGCTCCTGATTTTAGTAAATCCAACATCAAGTGGTGATTAACTTGCAGAATATTCGCATGCACATTTTGCTCCCACGGACACAGGATTGAGGTGTTTGGCAATATTCTATTTGATTTTTCGGAATCGTGCATAGCAACCACAATTCACTACATGGGACTTTGAGGTAGACAGTCATTTGGTCTATAACTGGATACACACAATTTGGGTAAAGCACACGATAAATTACAGTTTCGATGGAGACAATTGGAAGGAGAAACAGTACTAAATTCTTAGAAAGTTTGAAAGACAAAACAACAGGTGCTAATTCTCAGAGTAGGTGTGAAATTTAAAATACCCAATTGGGAACATTCTACACAGCAGCCTGGTGTGGTAATCCACTTGTAATTATGCATAGTACTGGGAATGAGTATATTGCCTTCAAGTTTGTGCATTCTATCCTGGACTACCAACTTACCAAGTGCTCGCGGATTAGATCACAGGAAATGAGCCATTGAAAGTTAAAAGGTTGCTTATCTAAGACAATTGTTTTGGACTACCAAGCTTCGCGGATAAGATCACAGGAAATGTGCTTATCTAAGACATATGGTGTTGCAAAGGGTGCATCTAATCTAACAAGAGTATTACTGCACATTTCAAAAGACAATAGCAAACAAAATAATGGTGAATATACATGGTGTGTGTAAAGCCATCTGAAAATCCCCTTCATGTTGTGTGTAATTTATCTGTTGTATATTCCAAACAAAACAAATATTCGAGTCGCAGTTTCAGGCGATATGACAGGTTGAAACGCGGGAAGAAATTGGCATAGATCCACAAGGCATAGAGGTTTTGGTGGGTTTAATCGCGCAGACAGAGAGATGGTCGGAGCGGGATTGGGATTAGTTGGGGCTGTACCTGCCAGAGGTTGCGGGGGGCCATCTCCTCGTCGGCGACGGGCGGAGGGGGCACGTCCTCCTCCTCCAGCTTGATGGGCGGCGGCTGCCTGGCCTTGGGCTGGTCGGCGCTGGGGTAGAATCGCACGGTGGACGGCGGCTGGCGGCGGGCCTCCGCGTCCTCCTTATTATTGCCGGCGGCCTGCTCCGGCGAGCTCCCGGCGTTGCCCATCGCCTTCCGATTCTCGCTCTCCTCGCCGCGGCGGCGCCTCTCCTCTCCTCTCGCCTCGTCTCTCCTCGCTAAGAGACTCACTCGACTAGCTTGTAATTGGTGTTGGTGATGATGATAAGATGGATTACTTGGGAGTAACATATGCTCTTTTCTTTTGTATTTTCTGTACACTTTATTACCTTTTCTTTTATTTGCTACATTCTTTTTTAGCCCCACACGACACGTTCCTTTCCTTTCTGTTGATTTGTTTTGTTTTTACATCATCAAATTATTAGCTTAGCTTCGGTTTTAAAGCGAAAAATTTAGGAAACATCCAAGCTAATTTCTGACCTCATTCGAAGGCCTGGGGGCGATGTCACGCCCAATTGTACCTTTTTCATTTGGATTTTCATGATTATTTTTCGTATTAAAGCCCTGATAGTAAAACGTACACACTACTGGTTAGTGTTTGAGTGAAGAGGAAAATAAATGATTGAGAAGATACGTAAAATAAGGTTAGCCATTAGCATATAATTAATCGAGTATCAACTATTTTAAATTTTAAAATGGATTAATATTATTTTTAAAGTAACATTTCTATATATTTTTTTAAAAAAACACATCATTTAGTAATTTGGAAAATATGCGCACAAAAAATAAAAGGTTTGCTCCCTCAATCTCCCTGAACAAACGCAGATACATCTTAAGTGGAAAACAAAAGGAGATCGGATGTATTCTGGCTTCCAGCTATCAAGAAACAAAGAGCTTAACATACTAATGATGGACCTGCCCTTTCATGCAGTTTTTTTTTTCACAGTACGCAATCAGTATGAGTTTGAGAACAATGCACAGTACTTTCTCAAGAAATTTTGAACTAATCCAAATTATCAGTTCATGACAATGGGAACCCACCTGGATACTGTGATAGCACGAGAAAAGCTCAGGCACACGGCATGCGCATGGAACAAACAAGTTACCACAAATTAGTCGGTCATATGAATCACAACTACCAAGTAGTGAAATTTGCAGATTTTGCTTCTAACAGCCTACTACTAGTTGCTGTACTAAACTCAAAGAACTTAACTCACAACCATTATAGCTTCCAGCCCATAATTTCCTTGAACAATCATCTATACTGAACAAGAACATCTCTCACCGACGAAGCAATAAGAAAGAATGACACAGGATGAGCAACCAAAGGTACAAATGAATACATCGACTCTGCCACAGATATGGTGGATAACCCCTTGCCGGCTTACACAGGAGGAAACCTAAAAGTTGGTAGGGATCTAGGAGTGACTAGATGCACAAAAAGGATTACTTGAGTATACGTATTCCACTTCCAAACGATTATAGCCACTGACAGTGCTCTACAAGAGCCAACATCACCATCTATGGATTGGAGCGTGTTGTCTAACTCGACGCTGAAGCCTGTGACATTTGCCTTTTGATAGCTTCTTTGTAAGTCTTGTGCTGGTAGGTCAATGTTGTCTCCAGCAAATCCTTGAGAGGGGTCTTCGGATTCCAACCTAGAACAGTTGAATCAATATTTGGTTATTATGAACCACTGGTTACCCAACTAGTACAACATAGACATAACAGGTTATTGAAGACAGTAAATACCAAGCTGCTTGTTGATTATGGTCATGTCAGGAATCCTCTTATCACTATCATCATATCCTTCACCATAGAACTGCTTCGAACTCACGTCAATCATAGGTTCATCCAGTGGTGGCTCTCCTGAGACATTTGCATAGACCTGTACAGGACAACCATGTAAGACTTAGGGCATGAGTAACAGAAACGCTCAAAGAAACATTGCCACGCTAATGATGTACCTCTGTCATCATTTCAGCCAATTGCCTAACAGTGACTTCATTGTTAGGATTCCCGACATTGAAGATTTGACCATTGGCACGAGCAGGATTTTCCTTTTGACATAAAGTACACATTTCAGTTCAACTAACAAGGTAAATCTAGCATAAGAGCAAAGGAAGTAAAGATAAACAGAGAAAACATACAATCATCAAGTGAACAGCTTCAATGGCATCCTTAATGTAAACAAAAGTTCTCTGGGACTGGCCACCATCAACAAGTTTCAGGGGCTCCCGACGCAGGAGATTCTGCAAATTCATTGGCGACATACATCTTATGAGAAAAACGACCATAACGAAATGGAGGTATATTATTCTCAGAAAGGGACTGGTTGACATACGTTACTGAAACATGCCAAAACCCGAGGAACACCCTCACTAGGACCATCAACACCAGGAATAAAGTCCATTCTTGGTCCAATCCAATTGAAAGGTCTCACAATTGTGAACTCAAGGCCATTTTCTGCTCCTTCAGCTGGTTAAAGCTCAAAAAGCACACGGTTACAAAGTGTTCAGGTAATGACATGAATAACAAAAGTTACTGCACTCACCAAAAATAAGCCTCTCAATAAGCTGCTTCGCACATGCATAAGACCATCGCTGTTTCACAATTGGACCAAAAATGCAGGGGGATTCATCTTCTTTCAGTACATAAAATTCAGGTTCCTGTTTCAAAGTTTGAAGGTACACAAATATCAGATAAGAGTCAATTGTGATCAAAATTAAGACATGTAATGGGCAGGTTTACACTTGCTCCTTTCTCCATCCATGTCAATGCAAATGCATAGCAATTTAACTAAAGAGAATGCAACAACTGGACTACTGCATTTCAGTAGGGGCGTAGGGCCCTCCTCTACTGTCTCCGTGAAAGTAGACAAATACATTGCAAAGCATACAACTCAACAATATAGACTCTAGGGTAAACTTTATTGGGGAAGTCCATGGAACAATAAGCAAGTTATCATTAGATCCTGACCCTCCAAGCGTGTTGCTAGTTGACTTCACTTTAAATACTGATGCACCTACAGGACTAACTTATCACATTGGAAATACAATTAGAAAAGACATTTCCTTAAGATGCCATGTATTCTTGATTACTATATCCACTTGCAAAGCAATGTGCAGTAGTAGCACATAAACATAGTTATGCCTGAAGAAATAAGTATCATCAAACTAGAGGAGGAACAAGTCATTCCATAACACAACATGGCACTGGACAATCTACACAGATGAAGGATAGAGCAACATGAGAAATACTGACACTCCAAGAGATGCTGTCAACTCTGCTATCCTAAGAAAGTCAAAACATTCAATAATCCTGAAACAGAACCACCATCACAAGACCATATATCCGAGTGTCAACCAACAACCAGACAAGGTCCAATAAGAAAATCCATTCCCAACCAACACCAAATCTAACCCAACCTTACTGTCAAGGCCGTACAACAGCAAGTACAGGATAATGGCAGCTGAACAACTGAATCTAGCAGACCTGCACCAGATCCATTCCACCCCCAATCTAATCAGTACCAATCAGTTTGCTTTTCAGTCAACCAACCAAAAAAGAAAATGTCACACAGACTTGTACAATTGGCACAAGCACATTATTATCCAGAAGAAACGTCAAAATAGAGTGATATGGTGGATGACCTTGCGGAGAGGGTGGTCGGTGGGGAGGAAGCTGCCGATGGTCTTGCCGTAGACCTCGCACGTGGAGAAGTGGATGAGACGCTTGTTGTTCTCAGAGCAGTACTTGACCTGTGCACATCACACACGTCCATCAACAATTCTGCACTAGTGGTAGAAAAGAAGAAGAAGAAATCTGGAGTGGAGAAGAGGAGGGATTACCACAGGGAGCGCGTCGATGAAGTTGCTGTAGATGGTGTCGAGGGGGCGCGTGTTGTAGTCGGCCGGCGTGCAGATCGCCGCCAGGTTGATCGTCTACGCAGATCCGGAATCAAGGCGTGTTATCAGAAATGAAATGAGATTGAAATTGAGAGCAGGAGGGAGAGAGAGGGAGAGACCAGATCGGCCATCTTGATGAGGCCCTCGAGCCTGGAGTCGTTCTTGATGTTGAGGCGGTGGAAGGAGATGCGGCCATGGAGGTGGGGAGGGGCGGGGTCGACGAGGTGGCGGATCTTGTCGCAGTAGACGTCGACGGCGTAGACGACGTGGGCGGTCTCGGCCATGAGCTTCTCGCAGAGGTGGGAGCCGATGAAGCCGCCGGCGCCGATCATGCAGATGGTGAGGGGCGCGATGGGGTTGCCGTCCAGATCCAGCCTCGCGGCGGCGGAGGCGGCGGGCGGCGACGACGACGACGACATCCTCCCTTGGTCCGCGGATCCGGAATGCGCGTGGAAGATGGATTGGATTCGATTATTGGGGAGGAAGGGAGGCGCTGGATTTGGGGGTTACGAGGCGAGGCGATGTCGGTGGCGGTGGTTTTCTTTTTCTCTCCTATTTAAGAGCGCCCACACTCTCTCTTCTCCTCTTGTCTCTCTCGAGTCTCGACTTTGAAGAAGGAAGGGAAAGGATTGAGGGGATGGACAAGAGGTGGCCCACTCCTCCCATCGAGATCCGGTGGTTGGTGGGCCTGCATGGGCCTCTCTTCCTTTTTCACCATTTCCTTCTTTTCTTTTTTTTCCCTAACTCATTTACGCCTATTCATTTTGGATGAATTTTAAAGGATTTTAATTTCTTTTAGGATTAATTCCTACGAAAGCTATTTGATTATTAGGAATGTAGATATAGGAAAACCAAAGAAAAAATTTCTCCTACAAGATGTAGAGGGAAAACATATATTTTGTTCCCGTCCACTCTAACCTTTTGGGAAAATCCTATGGATTCAAGTTTGCATGTATTCCTATTTCTCCATTTTTTATATTTCTATGTATTAAAATTTCTTCAAAACGAATAGACACTAATGAATTTTTTCCCTTTAAATTCTTACCTCTACTGCTTAAAAGCGGAGCATTCGTCTGTTCCAAACCAAATATACATCAAATTCATTCATTTGTTATACCAATAAATTCAATGTTTGTTTCTACACGCGAACATATATTGCTAGTTATATTACTATTCATACACGCATAAATTAGCATCATGTGTGTTGTTTTAACGTACGCGGGAAGCGGTAAATCTCGACCACACTGTATGTATAATATTTATGGATATTATTTGCGTACTGTTGTATATAGTACTATAGTGTGATGCCGTTGTCTGTTACCTCAACCCAAATGTCACAGCAGCACTTTGGTCTCTGTCACGTTGGC